CACATCGTCATATATGTAAGTGTTTAGTTTATAAGTAAAAAATATAATTCTCCGTGAAGTAAGAACCAAAATTAACCTGCTGAGACAAGCCGTTCATGGAGGTTGGCTTTTATTCATGTCCTCACAAAAGGAGTCCTGTGGATGAAGGCGAGGGTTGACAGAATTCAAATTAAATCCATGTTACTGTTGATATTGCTTTTATTTTCTTTTGAATAATTTGAACGTACAAGGTCAACCTGCAAGTATAAATATACTGTAAAAAAGTGTATGTACTAGCTGTTGGGGCATACATTATTTTATGTACAGGAGGAAAAACACTGGTCTGAAAAGTCGAAGCAATTACAAACAATGACAAAGTGTCTCTTTGTTTTTAAGTCTACGTGTGTAAAAAGTAATGAGGATTTTATACCCTGGAAGATGGCAACTTATGGGCTGTAAGATGACCAGATTATAAGACTAAACTGTTTCAAGGTACATTTGGCTTGGCTATGGTCTATTATCTCACGATTTTCAATAAGTTCGTGACGGCATGCGTACATATGTACACCTTGATCAAAATGGTTTCACTCTGGCTGGAGGGATGGAGATTAGAAAAAGTCTGAGGGATGGATATTCAGAGAGACTTCTTGCCGATTAAATAAGGGAACGATATACAATGCAAGGCAACATCAATGTAAAATCTGTGCAACCTGTGGCACGATAAAAGTGTTGGATTTGAAGTTAAAATCGCTACAAACAAGGCTTCAGGTACACCTCAGTCAGTCATGGACCTGGAGGAGAAGAATGATATTTTTTATTGTCCCAAGTTTCACTTCTTCTCGTAACGCTCAAGCCTGACATTAGGGATGGAGGAACAGCCATTATGGAATTAAGGTAAAGGCCCATCCGGCCAAATGCAGTAGAATATGTGTGTAGTCAGTCAAGGTAAAAACATGGCCAGGCTGGGGTTTTAAACATTTGGATAGAAGAAGAGGATAGAGAGATGGTTTAGAAAAAAAAAGTTGGAGGAACCAACACGCCATCCATCCTGCAAGGCTGCTTCGTCTCGTACCACAATTCCTTCCAGCAAAAGCGTTGTTTAATTGTGGAAAGAACCCTCGGAACATACTGCGTCTAACAAAACTTTTAAAATCTTTTCTTAACCTCCAACAACCAGCGATGGATGTACATATATACATCTAGAGGTAAATATTCGGCTATAGTTGGGAAGGATTTTATATATTCTTAAAGGCAGGATTGCATTTATAGTGGTAGTAAAGCAACCCTTCTTGCAGGCCGAAGGGTGATTTTTTGTGTCAAGAAGTGAAGTCACTCTACCACTTATATAACGAACAAACTTGTACTGGTTTGTTCTTTAACACAACTATGGATCCTGGGTACACATTATATGATGAGATGGATATATGTACCTCACTACTACTGGTCAAATCACACCATTTTTTGTAAGCCCTTCTATTGGTACCTGCAAATTCTTCAAAATGAACTGCAGACATTGCTTTTCAGTTTTGGGAAAATACTGAATGTGGCGAAATCATAAACATTCTTGGATAATATGCAGCATAACGATCAAGTATCCAGCAATATTTGGCTTGAAGAGGTGGATCCCTTTCCTTTGTACCTTTGATCTCCTTCCGTTGATAAGCAAACGAGCAAAAAAGAATGAAATCCATCAGATTTTAAGATGGTGCATTTTATCACCTGTCTTCTGCATACACAATGCACTTGCACACCTTCAATACTTGCTTCACCATGTTCTGATTGAAGCCAGCAGTGGGAGATTGATCATGAGAAGATGAATTGCCGAATCTGAATTAAAATCCACTTCACTTAAGTTTCAAGGGAAAAGTGATGTGTACAAGTTGAAGTTGTTGTGTGTACACTTTTTTGAGGACTCTCATTATTCGGCAATTCTTCTGGATGCTTCACTGTGTAGGCTACCTGTTACCGGTTACAGTTTTTACTGGACTTTTTTTTTACAAGAATACAGGTATTAAGGAGGCAAGGAGTATACATGTGTATTTAGTATATCTAGTTGCTTGGATGTGAAACAGAGCATTTAATGATCATGCGACCTGACTTGCATCTCAACTTTTGGTATTTATCTATATACCCTGCTATGCAACTTATTATCATTTTCATCCCGGATGATTTGTCCGGATTATAATATGTAAGTACTGCTGCACACCGACTTTCTTCGGTTTTGTATACCTCCGCAGGGTGGTAATTTATTGACCACGTTTTCCAACCAGATGGAAATTGTGATGTTTGATGGAACACACAGATTGAGATTTTATCCAGGAAAACTACTACCACCAAACCGATATGGTCGTCGTTCGCATAATAGAAACTTGTTTTTGAGAAGAAGTAAAGTAAAATTTAGTTAATCTTGATGTCTGTAACGTATGTATAATACCCAAGTTGAAACACACCAGAATTACGAAACGACAGCTGGGGGAAGCAGAAAAAGTAATGCACCGGCGACCCACCAGATCCTAAATAATTACAAAAAAACTTGCAAAGTCTCCACCTGCGAGAGACGGTATAATTGAAGTGGAAATTCTGCAGAGCGAAACCAGCATGAAGGAGATGATGATGATGACAAGCAAGTATTTTATATTTAAGCCCTGCACTTGCTCCAAACAAACCTTAATGAAAGTCAATTTTCACAACAAATTGCCTTTTCCGCAAACATCATGACAGCAGAATGTCATGTGAGATGAAAAATTCTCCTGAAATTGAGTAACATTGTTGTTAAAAAATTGGGAAGAAAATTCAAAGTGAAGTTGCTGCTTACTACATGAATACCAACTTCCAGGAGAGGAAAGATGTTCTTCTATGCAAGCTCATGGATGCAGAATTGCACGAACGACAGGAGCATTTTTAACGATGATTCCACCACAAACTAATAAGACACGAAAAGCAGAAAAAATTGGAGGTTTACGATACTTTTGTGGTTTGTAGATGAGCAGAATCTGAAAATTTTACAATATTCAGATCATCATTGATGTAATCAAGCCAAATTGACTGCATGCCGAGCGCTGTTGGTCACAATTACCAAGATCGGTGCTCCAGGGGTGAGATTTCGGAGGGCTTTTAACCTGTTCATTGCCATTTGGGATCAAAGATGTGCTAAAGCTGGAACGTTTTACTATAATTTTGTGTAATGAGACTGCCCAATTTTTGGCTATTGTTGCAAATCTAGTCGACAATCAATCATTTTGAGTTTGTCTTTACATAAATCAGACATTGTGGCCTCTCAAAAGTGCATGTAAACTATAAACTTCCTTCCCCGTGGCAAATTGCTGTTGCACCTGGAAAGAAAAAAATAAGTCATCTATCGCTTTGATGAGATCCACCACCCCAAGAATAACGACAGAATCTCATTCATCTTCCCGTCTCACAGCAAATGTTGATTTTTCCAGGATTTCCTTCAATTCAAAGATGATTTTCAAGGTCTATAAATCACATTGTGGACAATGTACTGGAAATGCATTGTCCAGCAGAGTCAGTCATAATCAGCTCCCAACTCAAGAATGGAACAGAAAAAAGAAGTAGTAATGGATTTTGTAAATTTGAAATGGTGACGAACCTTTAGTTCTCTGGGTTCGTTCCTCCTTCCTTCAGAAATGAAAAGATTTCTATTAACGAAATGCAAGCAGCGATTCAGAGATAAATGATCTTTCCACCACACGTGGAAAGATCAGTTTAAAGTTTTATGTAAGTTTTGACTTTTGCCTTCACGTAAAAGTTGTAAGATTCACTTTTGTATTGCATAATCGATTGTTTGTTGCATGTTGTTATCCTGTTACCTTTTGAGGACAAACTCACTCTATGCAACTTTTATTATTTGTGTCCCCCTCGTTCTATGGAACAAAAATGAATGGAATTGTTCAAAATATCTAAAAACAAACGAGAAAAGTTCTTTTTGTGTAATTGCTCAACAAAATTCATCAGTCTCAAAGATTAATTATGTTTCAACCTAACTGTTATTACGGACCACAATAGCGCTCAAAAATTGAGTGAAATGAGGATTGTTATGTATGAAGCAAGGTAAATAAATCAGAAAAAAACTCTGAACTAGGTCCGGAAGTAGAAACAAGAATACTAAAAAAGAGACCAGTTTTATGTCTGCGCAGATATTTATATTTCTACCTAAGACACAAAGTTATACTTGCATTCATGTCAAATTTGAATTTGACATGGTCAACGGTCCCATAATATTTTTGCAAAAAAAAGACAGCACAAAGATTGCGATGATGCAAAAGATGAACGTGTCAAGAAACACATTTTCGTTGGAATTGCTGTGATGAAATAAGAAGTTAAGTTTACGAGGATGAAATGAAACTATGTAAAATTTGATTTTACATAACACGGCTATAAAAATGTTGCCACTGTTTCTCCTTCTTGACCATCCTCTCAAGTGATAAGAAGAAGAATATTCACATCGTAACTTGCTATCCGAGAAGAAGTACAAATAAAAATCTCTTAAAAAATTTGTACTCAACATTGTTTACGATTTTCATTGTCAGTTTGTTAAAGGCTTCAATCCTGGTTGGTGGTGGTGGTTGTTAAAATTTGAACGATGCAACAATCAGCTTTCTATCATCCTCCCGTTTCGAACTTGAAAAGAAAGAAGGGTTCATTTAAATTTTTGGCATTTCGTTTAGCTCGTTACTCGTTGAACTTGTCATATCTTTTATCCATGATGCGTGAGATATAGCCCATTGTTGTGGTGGTATGAAGAAAAAGAATCAATTTTTTATTGTCAAATTATTCCCACAAAATTCACATCCCCCTGAGAAATATCGCCGTCTGGGGATTGAAGTAATTTATGCATGATTAATTCATACCCAAAATTTCTCATGGTTCAAGTGCATACTTACATAGTTATATATCAGACTTACGATTAGACTAATATTAAGTTTACATATAGTATTATGTAAGGATTAAAATAACTCTTTGGAAAATGTATTAATTTTGACCTTATTTATAATTTGCAGGGTCACCACAGCCGGAATACCGTTGGGTAAAAGACGGTCAGTTCCTGGGAGATTATTCAGTGGACCATTTTTACAAAATCCAACATGCGAAACGCTCAGACTCCGGGCAGTATTGGTGCCAGTGTCGAAATGACGTGGGAGCCATTCAGTCGGAGAAAATTAAAGTTACAGTCGCATGTAAGTATATCATAAAGTTTTTGTCCGATTACTCTCCTCAGGTGTAATTTCAACAATTATGCGGATTCAAATTTTCCCTTCCAGGCATTCTAAAAATTCAAAATCACTTTAATTGACTTGCATAAATATTTGCATATGACATGTGACTTAATTATGCGCATAATTGTTCACTGCAATTTTATGATTGCTCTAGTGCTTATCTATTAAATTATTAAAATTTAGACCTTCATCCATCCTTACCACCCATATTTTCCTATTACTTTTTAGATATGACACCTTTCGAAGTTGAAGAGGAAAAGACTGTCGTTGTCCGTTCTGGAGAAGCAGCGGTGCTTGAACTCCCTGCAATTTCGAGCTACCCACCTCCCTCCATCCTTTGGCAAGCTCGGGACAACTCACTCCTTTACGGTTCCAAATTTGCATCCACCTCCACGTTTGGCCAGGTCATTCTCGACGTCAACGCCGCAGACCAAAAGTCTTATCGAGCCCGCGCTACAAACACACAACTGGGTCAGGAGGAAACGTCCGGCTTTATCAATCTCATCGTGACCAATCAAGGTGACCCCACACCAGACCAGACTCCTCCGATGATCATTGTCCCCCCAACGGACGCCCAAGTCATCAAAGGCACGAATGATTACGAGCTCCAATGTATTGCCAATGCGAGACCGCTTCACGAACTGGAGACGATTTGGCTCAAGGATGGCGTTCCAATTGAGACATCTGGGATCCAGACGTCATTCAACGATCTGTGGAACAGAACATTGTCCTTGTTGAAGGTGGACTCGTCTCACGGGGGACAATATTCGTGTCAGGCTAGGCTAAGGAATTCCATTTACCCAATTCAATCTGCATCAGCTCGTGTTTCAATCATTGGTAAGTACTTTTTTTAAATTTAATTGTTCGTTTTACGGTATGGAGAAAGCACGTCATGAATTTACTTATTTTTCCTACTACAGAAAAACCATACTTTGTCCAACTCATGCCAACCGAAGTTTACGGAGAGTTTGGGAAAGAGACTGTTATGCATTGTTCCGTGGGTGGGGTTCCCAAACCAAACATTACCTGGTACAAAGACACGTCCTTCATTAATGGGGTTGATCAACCTGGATATTCGGTCGACCCAGAAACGGGTTCTTTGACGGTCCACTTCCTTCGAGCTCAAGATTCCGGAATGTATCAATGTTTCGCCAATTCTGTTGCTGGTGAAGCGAACGGCTATAGCTGGCTTCGTGTTAAAAGTAAGCAAGCATCTTTTTCACAATAAGCAATAATCACTCACTCCTATAAGCAAGTTATCAAGTATACTCATTGCAAAATTCATCGTTTATTCGCCGCAAATCACAATTATTATCCGAAAGAATGTTTAAAATTGCAATTTATATGTTACACGTTGCGTTGCAAGTGGCATAATTCACATTTTTGGTAAAGGGTGCTCATCCCATCCGTCATTTAAAACTCGCAAGCCCACTACCAAACGAGTTGCTTCATCTTTGTTATTGATTTGTAGCCAGTCACAGTTGTTACACAAGTTGATCTCTGGTATTTTTATGACCACCGTATCAGCAGCAGCAGCAGTTACATGTAGTCGTATAGTGTCAGAACATGGCTGTGAACAGTAATGAACAATTATTATGGCCACATTATATTCTCCAGGCGTTCATAAATATCCGGCAGCCATAATTTACAGGCAAGCGAGCTGAAGAAAAAGCTGGCGACTTGAGGAGAACCACGGCTACGACTCCGAACCCCCATGTGGAGTGGAAGAAATTGCGATTGTTGTTGTAAATACAAACGATGTGAAAATAATATAATTTTTTTACAACTTTTGGCTTCAATATAATCTCCCATCTCAATATGACAAGTTTATAATCAGCATGACTGACTGTACATATTTGCATATATTGTAAAACTCCTCAATGACTACTATTACTATACGAACTTAATTTTCGCATTGCAAAATGGTTAAGCAAATTGGGTATTGGTTTTGCTTTAATTTATGGGATTGAAAAACAGTTTCCCTTTCAGATAATAAACATTTGCCGCTGCTGATGACCCCACGTCGTGTCAGAGATGTACATAGTAAAGTTGTCAGACTTACGATCAATGACCTTCTTAACGCCAAACCTGCCAACGGTTGGTAATCTCTTTTGGTTTCGGTACCGAGTACTTTTATCAGTGCTTTGTTGATTATTGAAAAAAAACACCACCTTCCTCCGATTTTTATGCTTTCTCCTTGTGAATGAGATTACACTTCTTTCTCATGCTGCTGTACTTTGTATTTACGTCTTCCCTTGTTTCTGTTTTATTTTTGACCTCTATGCAAAAGAGGTAATCACAAAGAGTACAATATTTTTCGCATGTTTGACTGAATTTTTGACTATTTTAGACAAACACACCTGCAAGCATAATAAATTTATGTATGTATGATTCACCAATATTTTAGTAGCAATTAGGATTAGGAATGCAACACAAAGCACCTCTGCACTACACGAATCGCTGTTAAAAAGGTCACCATTCACCACGATTTAACTTCAACAGCACCCACCGTGCGTTTTGTTTGAAGTTTTTGCAGCATTAACACAGCACGCTTAATTGAACACTGATTTGACGGGTGTAAAAAAAACCTGCATTTGTTTTGAAGCGTTATTATCATTTTGTTGGTTTTCGTCCTACCTGTTTGTTCCATGTTATGCTAAATTGTTGAATCGGAAATTTTACAGCATCTGCACCTGTGATGATTAAGGGCCCTGAGAATCGCACCGTTTTGGAGGGCAACGATATCACCCTGTTTTGTGAAGTAGGTGGAGCTCCGATGCCGAATGTGACTTGGTATCATAACGGTAAGGAATTATTTATTGCTAAATTATAAATATTGTTGTAATGTACAGACGGTAGATTAATTTCTAAACTTTTTTCTACAATTGGAGCAGAAAAGGAAGAAATTGTTTCCGGTGGACGCTTTCAAATCTTGGAAACTGGGAGTTTGCTCGTAGCTTCTGTCAACCAAGACGTTGCTGGTCTTTGGACATGCATTCGATCAAATGAAGCTGGCACTGTGATTGGTACAAATAATAGAAGAATTGCAATAAGTATTTATTGCTGGCAGGTTATCAAACACGACACCATTGACAATTTTACTTTTGTTCTTAGGTTCAGGAGAGATTTCCGTTCTGGTCAGAACTCAAATCATTCAACCTCCCGTAAGTACTGACCATTTTTGCTAATCATTACAAACTAATCTAAAGGTGTAACATGCTTAATTATCTGAACTGATCAGGTTGACACCCAAGTTATTCTAGGACAGGTAAGCATATAAACAATGACCAATAGGTCAAGCATGTGCACAAGTCAATTATTAATATAAGTAATTTAACGTATCATTTGATCTAGATTGCTACCATGTTGTGCAAAGTTAAGGGAGACCCAGCACTTCCCTTTGAAATTGAATGGGAACATAATGACGAGTATGCGCATTTTAACAAGATTTACATAAACTACAAATTGTACCAAATTCTTACTTTCATATTATAAAATTGTAGAGCAATTGTACCCGGGTTGTCTCCTAGAATTATTGTTAATTTGGACGGGACTCTAGAAATTAGGGAAGTTCGAGCCAGCGATGGTACGTAATTTTATGTAGTTACAAAATATAGAATTTATAGCACGTAGAATCTGGACTAAAAATTAATTCTAATTAAATTAGTTGGCCAGTACAAATGCATCGTACGATCTCGCTCGCAAGGTGGTCATGATGAACGCGTTGCTCACTTAAAAATCATAGAATTGCCGTACCGACCTTCAAACATCCATGCTGAGAAATTACCAAAACTTGCCCCTGTAAGTAGCACTAATCACCTGAGTTATTCACCTTTCATTGAGAGGAATTTATGAAATATTGTTTTACGGTGCTGATTACAACTCTCAATTTCAGGGTGCAAATTCGAAAGCAGTGAACATTAGTTGGACGAGTGGGTTCGATGGAAATAATCCCGTGTTAAAGTACATCGTTCAGAAGAGGACGGCATCACCAGAGGCTGGAATTACACAGACTGAAATTCTTTCCGCATGGGAGACGCTTCTCGCTAATGTTTCTGCGGATGTGAGGAACGTTGTTGTCGAGGGGTTGAAGCCAGCGACCTCATACCAGTTTCGTATTAGTGCCGTGAATGCTGTGAGAAAAATATGACATTTTTTTCGATTTTCAATTTTTTGAAACAAGTATTTTTCCGAATCTGAAATCTTATGTGTTACTGTCGTTGACAGGTTGGCGAAGGAGAGGCATCTCAAGCGTCGAATATTGTCACTCTGCCGCAAGAACGTAAGTTGTGACGCATTTCAATGATAATTTGTGCTTCAAGCAAGAAAGAATAAATTATAATGGGTTTAATTTAATAGCTCCATCCGGTCCTCCCGTCGGACTTGTGGGTTCGGCAAGATCTCCTTCTGAAATCATTATTCAATGGTAAGGTTTTAGTCTTCAATTCCGAAATATTTGATAAAATATCTAATTATAAGTGGTGTAAGTAAACGTTTCCGAAATTTTTAGGCACCCACCTATGGAAGAGCATAAAAACGGTCAAATTCTTGGTTACATCACCCGTTTCAGGTAATGAATTCTGGAAAACATGACGTATGTAGACTTACATTATGCATAAGTGAGAAATATACATAACTTCTCAATCGACATTTGCTCCACATTAATCATAAAATTAAATACTACATTTATTAGACGAAGACAGATTGAGTGAAAATTAATGCACTAGTGTTTTTACGGAACGAAATAGTTTATTCATTCGCATTGACATAAACGACCTCAAATGACTAACCTGTTTTTCGTTACAGACTTCACGGATATGGTAAAGATAGCCCCTGGTCAATCAGGAATATCACCAACGAGGTATGCATGCAACTGCGAAAGCGTGACTAATAAACGTATAGCGAGCGATGACGATTTTTTTAAATTTATTAATTACCCCTCCAGGCTCAGAGAAACTATCTCATCCAGGATTTAATAACGTGGAAAGATTACGAGATCCAGATTGCTGCCTATAACAATAAGGGGGTTGGAATTTACAGTGTAAGTCTCAAAGTGAAGACACGGGAGGGAGTGCCAAGTGCCTCCCCCACCAAAGTACGAGCCGAAGCGATCAACTCGACCTGTGTCAAGGCTACTTGGAAACCACCAGATCCACAGCAAATTAACGGAATCAATCAAGGCTACAAAATCCAGGCGTGGCAAGCTGGAGAGCTGAAAAAGACAAGTAAGTTGTCGGTTCAATCAATCTTTTTGAAGTTCGAAGTCGTTCATGTATTTTTTCTTCCAGTATTTGTTAGTAGAAGAAATGAGATACGACGAATCAGTGACGATAGATCAGAGTAGTTAATTTAATTAAGTTGACATGATGTGTCGATATGGATGCATTTTACGTCATAATTATTCATAAAACTCACCCTTTTTTGTACCATACCTTCAGAATAGCGATAGTAAGTCAATTTGAAATTAATGCAACTGAAATTATTTTACAGTGTCCGTAGCACCAAGTCCGTTCGACCCTTTGGCAGAACAGACGGGAATGATTTGTGATCTCGAAAAATTTGAAGTGTACAACATTACAATTTTATGCTTTACAAATCCCGGAGATGGAAAGAAAAGTGGCTCCGTCATGGTGAAAACTAACGAAGATGTTCCAGACGAAGTGGAGGCTCTTCACTTTGCAGAGATTTCAGACAGGTCGGTCAAAGTGGTTTGGAAACGGCCTTTGAAAACTAATGGAGGTAAGTAAATATATCAAGTTTACATAAAATAACAGTATGCGAAATATCAATTTAAAATTGTTTTTTCCTTCTTTGATTATTTGCAGACCTGTTAGGCTACGTTGTCCGCTACGGAATCAAAGACATTCCCAGCAGTTTCAGAGACGTCAACACGACGAGCAATGTGACACAGGCGAAAGTATTTGAACTCAAAGCCAGCACGTATTACTCTTTCGAAGTTTGCGGATACACGCAAATGGGGAGAGGATCTTGCAAAACGGCGAGTATGAAATCTGGAGTTGAGCCAGTCCTTCCTAAACCACCTTCGAGCCTTGCGGTCTCCAACATCCAACCATTTTCCGTTGTCCTACAATTTACTCCAGGCTTTGATGGAAATTCATCCATAACCAAGTGGACCATTCAAGGACAGACGAACAGGAATTCAACTTGGCACACGATTTATGAATATTGTGAAGAACCAGAATCTTCAAATTCCAACGCGATTCATCCCAATTTGGGGGGAACTCAAGCAGTGACGAGTATGGAATCCATTGTTGTTCACAATATGAGTCCCTTCGTCTCATACAAGTTACGACTGATTGCGAATAACGTTGTTGGACCATCGCCACCTTCGGATCCGTCTCCACAATTTGAAACCTTGCAAGCCCCTCCGGCCCATTCTCCGAGAAACGTTACCGTTAGAGCCATGTCTGCAACTCAACTAAGAGTGCGGTGGATTGTAAGCAGCGAATCAATTAACTTTGCAGTTTCATTTATACTGAATAAATAAATAATTTTACTATTTCTTAGCCCCTCCAACAAACTGAATGGTACGGAAACCCCAGAGGTTACAATATTACATACCGACAACGCGGAGCGACAACTCCCTATCAATTCCAAACGATAGAAAATCCAACAGGGAATTCGTTCGTCCTCGAGCACCTAGAAGAGTTCACGCTGTATGAAGTTTTAATGACGGCGTATAATGACGTGGGTGCTTCAGAGGTCTCTTTCTCTGCGTTAGAAAGAACTCGTGAATCGGTAAGACTTTCTTAAGTTTTTTATCAATTACGACTTTTAATTTTTCTCCTGTCTATCTTCCAGGTTCCTGGGATTGGTCCGCAAATATTGGCAGCAAATGCTACATCTTCAACAACAATTGTAGTCCGGTGGCAATCAGTTCCAGAAGAACATTGTAATGGCATCATTGATGGTTACAAAGTTTACTATGGAGCAAAGAACGTTCCCTTCCAGTACAAACAGATTGGATCCAACGCAACGTTCACCACGACGCTCACACAGTTGAAAAAGTTTATCCAGTATCATGTTCAAGTTTTGGCATACACACGAGTTGGGGACGGCGTACTGAGTGATCCACCCCTTTTGGTCCAGACATGGGACGATGGTACGGCACACGGGATAAATTTTAAGATCTGTATGCACTTATTAATAATATGCAATTATTTATAATAGTTCCTGGACCACCAAGCAACATTTCTTTCCCGGATGTGTCCACCACCACTGCGAGAATGATCTGGGACGCGCCCATTGATCTAAACGGAGTCATCTTGGCCTACAGAATAACTTACGCGTTGGAAGGTTACGCTAATCCAAGTTTTTCGATGGAATTCTCACCAGAAACGCGAACTTTCCGGTAAATTCATTTATATTTTCAGTACTTTCACTTATATTTACATGTATTTATTAACCTGTTTATTATTACCCGCAGAGCTACGGATTTGGAAAGAGAGAAATATTACTGGTTCTCCATAACTGCAAAGACTCGACTTGGGTGGGGAGAAACTGCCAAACTTTTAGTTTACACGACAAATAATCGAGAACTTCCGCAAGCTCCAAGTCCTCCTAGAATTTCACCATCGCAAGTTCAGTCCAGTCAAATCACATTTTCCTGGACTCCTGGCCGAGATGGTTTCGCTCCCATCAGATATTACACCGTAATAATTTTGCTACTCGATGAATGTTGTACAGAATTTTTAAATGATAACTTCTGCGCAGATGGAGTTCAACGAAGGGGAAACTCACTGGGCCAGAATCAACGAGCGAGTCTCCCCCACAGGAACGTCTTATACGGCCAAACAACTCAAGCCACACACATCTTATCGTTTCAGAATTCAAGGTAAGTTGTTATCGAAGGGGAAAAAAATACTGTTATACGAAAAACTTTATAGAATTATCACAATAATTTATTTATTCAATTCAAGCTACGAATGACATTGGATCGAGCAGTTTCTCACAAGAGTCCAATATTACGTGGACAATGCCCGCTGGTGAGTAAATCAATTAAATGTTATTAATGTAATTGTAATCTGTAATTAACTAATTTCTTTCACCAGCACCAAGTGGATTAGTGCTTGATGTTCAAGTAGTTCCGATCACCACGACGAGCGTTCGTGTTACGTGGAAAGCCTTACCATCATCCAGTTGGAATGGGGATGCGGAAACGGGAGGATATCGGGTCGAGTACCGCCAAGCCGTCGACTATCCTGTCGCATCAGTGCAAACCACCCCCAAGGAAGAAATTCACGGAACAAAAGCCAGCAGCGTGGTTCTCACGGATTTAACACGAGACAAGAATTATGAAATTTCCGTAATTCCGTTCAATTCACGAGGAACTGGAGAAGCGTCGAGACCAATCACTGTGTACGTGGGAGAAGCTGTGCCGACAGGGGAACCACGCGAAATTAAGATCAAGTCAGTATCCTCGACAGAAGTCACGATTGAGTGGAAGCCACCATTTCAAAATCAACAAAATGGGGATCTTTTAGGATATAAAGTAAACTTTGAAAATTTCATTATGATATTGAAACAATATTATTCTTATAATTATGTTATTTCAGATTTACTATCAAACCAACTCTACCTCGTCCCACACCAGCGAGGAGGAACTTGAAGTTGTCCCAGGTATTAAATTTGTTTGTTGGTGCTTACATAAGTACATATATATAACATAATCTATTTTATTTGTTAACTTAGCCTGGACGACGTCCCATACACTATTTTTCCTCGAAATGTTTTCTGAGTATTCGATTCGAATGTCGGCTTTTAATCCGGCCGGGGATGGACCTTCGACTCCCATATTTCTCGTCAAAACAGAACAAGGTCCGTTTTTTTAAAAAAATAATCCCCAGAATCACATCTAATCGAATCACTTGCATAATTACAGGTCCACCCGGACCAATTTCGAACATAACTTTCTACGACATTACGATGACCTCGTTAAAACTGAGTTGGGAAAAGCCAACTAAACCAAATGGAGAAATTACGCATTATCTCGTGACGTATGAAACGGTTGTCGAAGCGAGTGGAAATAGTGGGGAAGATCATGTCATTTCTAAACAAGTTCGTCAAAAGGTGTCATGCTGCTCACTTCTTGTCGAAAATTTGGAAGAGGAGACCAGCTATACATTTTCTGTCCGAGGAAAAAATTCCATTCTTAACGAAGTTGGGCCACCAATTTGGAAAAATGTGACGACTGGACCACAGCCAGGGTCTCCAAAATCAATCAGAGATCTCAGCCTTGGAAAAATGTTTTCCTCCGTGCAGTTCAAATGGGCGAATGATGAAAAGTCCAAGATCCAAGGATATTACTTTGAAGCTAAACGTAGAGGTAATTATTTGTATTTTTTTAGGAATAGACAGATCTCTGAAAATCTATCCTTTATTTTCGAAGTTTATTTATTAGTCTGCTATTTACGAAAAAAATATTGAGCTTCCGTTATGATAATTTCTCAAAAATCGTTTACAGTCACAGTCGAATGGGAAATGTGTAAGTTATACGATTTCAATGATAAGTAATGTGTTATATGGGGCTGCAGGCTGAAATTAATTATTTTGTGTAGTTTCATACACAGAAATTCAGTTTGTCTGAAATTATTTATTTTTTGTTGGCTTTTCATGTTCAAAATAGTTATGAGTTAATTACTAACTTTGTAATTTGCATAAAATAAAAGCCCAATATCGCATGTATTTAGTTGCAGTTGCACAGCTTAATACTGCACGTAAATACTGACCTGTGTAATTGTTGTCCAGTTCTAAAATATGGTGGCGAGTGTATTTATTGTTGTCAAACGTATAAACGATTACTTGTTTAATGTGGATCTTTGTTAAGTTTGCTATATTTATTAGCTTATTTTAATGCAAGTTATTCCCCGAAAATTCTAAGAATGATTTCTATTTAAATTTACAGATGAGAACCGATGGACGATTATTCACAGGACTGACAATGGACCCCTCTCTGAATTTACCTTATCTTTCCAAAATTTACTACCTTCGTAAGTTTATTTTTGAAACTTCTCCATTAGGCAAAAAGATTAGAAATATACATGTCTGTATCTTGTTTTAGGTCCGGATACACTTTCCGAATCACGGCGTACAACCGACATGGAATCAGTTATCCAGTTGCATCGGATGAAGTTGTGAGTGAAAAATTTTAAAAGTGTGATTCATGCGTTCTAGAATTCCGAATAATTCCGATAATAATGTTCTTGCCTTTTTTTACAGGTCTATACTCCACCCAAACTTTACTTAGAATATGGTTACTTGCAAGCGAGCCCGTTCTATCGACAGACCTGGTTTTTAGTCGTGACCGCAGCGATGTCCATAGTTTTCATCATTGCTTTAGTAGCATATCTTTGCGTCAAGACAAAATCCTACAAATATAAACGTAAGTATAGTTTCGTAAAATTGGCTTAATTTTATTCCAATTTTGATTGAATTGACCTTCCACAGATGAATCAGAACGGAGTCTTGCGGAGACTGCGAGTATTGAGGAGGGCGTTCTTTACGGCTCATCCGTCGAGTTGAGACAATCCCACAAAAAGATTGGAACCCTGAAGAGAAAGTCGGCCGCTGGGGCGAACAAGCCCCCACCTCGTCCAACGCCCGGATCCGTAACCTATACGGATGACGAGAGTGACAAAGCTTACGACCATAACCCTGATGAAAGTTCGTTGACGGAAAAACCGTCCGAAATCAGTTCTACGGATTCACAAGTGAGAGATAAACAAACGCACAAGCTTTTAGCAAATAGTCTTATCGATGTGTTTAAAGTTGGTTCGGGTGGTGGTGGTGATGTAATTGATCCTACTTTATCAAACCCTGAAATTGCAAGTGTCGTTATTGAATCTTCTTCTTCTCCTCCTCCTCCTATCGTGCTTCTTCCAAAAACATTTGGCAATTTTGGTGGTAATTCTGTCTCATTAACTAAACTTTCTCACTGTAACAATAATGGAACTAACTCCATAAATACCAGTAAAAAGCCAGTTATACAGACGCACGGTCAGTCTGTACCCACAAAATTATATCCTGGCTGGCGAAAACCTAACAGAATCCAACCTCAAATGCCAAGTCCTAGTTAATCTATGTAATCACACTTATGCATAGAAATCTCTGAGCGTAGTTTCTTGGTTATATTTTACAAGCTTCTTATGAATTGATGTCAACGCTTCGGTAGGTGATACAATAGTATTTGCTGCTTGCAATAATAATGCCACGTATTTAGTGCATGCGACGCTAAGGAAAATATTTTAGCATTTATTTCGTATTTTATGTCATTTTAATTAAAATACTCTGTTTCGTAGGGAAGTGAAACCGAAGTGGAAGATGAAGTTGATGGAGCGAGTCATCCACACTCATTTGTAAGGCTGTTCACATTTAATTACTTGAGTCACTTAATAAACTGATACTATGATGTATAAATTATTCATCTATTAATTTTCCAGGTAAATCATTACGCCAACGTAAACGACACATTGAAGCAATCATGGCAGAAGCAAAGGCCCGTTCGTAATGTTCCCGTTCCCACGACGCTTCCTACGACGGTCCCAATGCCAAATTATTCCAGCTATACGGACTCTGAACCGGAAGCAACGGCCAGCTTAAGCGGTCAGGGTAGAATAGTTTTGAACAACATGGCGAGATCGAGAGCCCCACTGCCTGGCTTTTCGTCCTTCATTTAGTTACGAATTTGCTGCTTGCTTAATTTGAGTCATTGAAAAACTAATAACTTGTCGCTCGTGTGTCGTCCGTTTAATTCAAGTCGTGATATTTACCCCTTAATAATGTGTCAGATATATAGATAGATACGTAATCGGAAGGTCAGTTATTCCGATCCGAGATTTCAAATATTTATTTCTGCATGCATAATATATCGTCATGTTCTGCGAGTAATGTTTTCTCATATTAAACTGTGATATAATGTTTAAAATAACAATTAAGTATTTGGTTCATAATCATGTACAACTTAAAATATTTATAAAGTTATTATTACAAAAAAATCAGAATTTGTACAAATACATATACATACATTGGGCATCATTACGTGCTCTTACTTTTTATAAGGTTTCGTACTAAACAAAATAGATAAAAGCAGTAACTTAACAAGTATTAGTAAGGACTCACGCTTAATGTACTTTAGTATCCCGAGTTTGTTAATTTTATAGTGATGGTTATGAAATAAGTGGCAATACTTAATTTATACTTAATTTTCCTGTTCATTTAGTTATGTAATGGGAAATGGGTTATATAGGTATATTGGATTTTTTTTTATCGTCGTTGTTGTCGTTGTTATACATTTCTGTTCAATCATGATTTCCAATGTTCCTAATTTGTGCGAATTGTAGTTAAAAAATTTATTATCGTATGTCATCTTGTGCTGAATGGTAATATTTCAGCTATCTCAACTCATCATTATTATATGTACTGTTCATGCCAATCAATCTGCCATGTTTAGAAGAAGTATTAATAAATGATTAAAAACGAGTTAAAATACTTCGCATTTATTTATTAATCCGAAAGTGACAATTACATAATGCACTGATTAGCAAGTACGAACGCCGGAATCAATAGTCACGTCTTCTCCCGTGATCATGCCTGCTTTTGGGCTTAATAAAAATAAAATCGTATCTGCAATTTCTTCTGGAAGAACTGGGCGCGGATCCACAGCGCGACCGATGACCGCTCCAGCAGCTTCGGGGAGAAGAGTAGCCATTATTGTGGCTGAGAATTTATAAAATAAAACAATTCTTACATGCATACATATTTATCATTATAGTAAAAATGTTATACCAGCTCCGGTGGGGGACACGGAATTAGCCCTGATTTTATGCTTCCCAAGCTCCAGCGCCATACTTTAGGTAAAAATTTGTATAATTTACTCAACAAATTTCGCATAATCAATTTGTGATTAGTTACCTTTTTGTGAGCATTATCACTGCAGCTTTGGTACACGAGTAGGAACAAATGCCAGGGACGGTTAAGTGTCCAGCCTGACATTACATAACTTAGATTTTCTCAATCGGTTTCATGAAACCGTTTGTATTTTTCTGCAAAACATTGTTCTCACCAAAGAGGACATATTTACAATGCTGCCCCCATTTCCACTTTCAATCATCCCTTTCGCCACGGATTGCGTCACCTGTATTATTTTTTACTTTATAAACTAATGGCTGATTATGGACTGTGTCTAAATTATGGTTATTACTCACATTTATCATTGCTTTAAAATTTACGGCCATGTGCCTAGTGAAGCATGCATATTTAGAATTCTTGGTACATACATATGTACTCAAAGTGATTAAGTTTCTACTCACAATTCCACAACTTGTTCAGTTAAATCCATAAATTCCTGTGGGGCCAAAACTCCTGCATTGTTGACGAGATGATCAAGTGGGCCAAATTTCAAGATTGCTTCCCTTGTCGCTTTCCAATCGCAAACGTCAACACAAACAGCGGTGGCCTTCGGTAGTTCTTTCTGTACTTGCTGGATAAGCTCTGCATCTTTCTCCAGGATGTAAATCTTGGCATCATCATCGTACAACTTTTGGACGACGGCTCTTCCGATACCTTGTAATTAAAATGCGTATTTGTATTTAGGGTAGATTTGCATAAGATGTCAAATTAATACCCCTTCCCCCTCCCGTTACAAGAACCTTCTTCCCAGAGAAAGAATAGTGCAATGCCATCGTAATCGTTGGATGGATGTGATGCTTAATGCAGATGCGTCTCTAACAAAGGTCAAGCAGCTACTGAGCCCATATTTTAAGACGCTTGCCTTAATTATCGCATCTAAGAAATACCAACAAATAATGAGTGGCTAGCAATAATCTCAGCAAAAAAAACTTGAATAGGTAATGCATAATACATAATATTTGCTTATATATTGAATGCATAAACATCTATCTATGAATTTAATTTCTTTTCCAGTTTTGCTCAAGGTCTAATTCAGACAGCGTCAAGGATGTCCAGAAATCTTGTCCAGAGTCGAAGCCTCACCAAACACTCCATTAGAGAACAATCCAAACAATTTTAAAAAAGGTTCAGTTACCCACTTCTCACTTGCTTTACACAGGAATGAGCAAGTTTTTTGCAAAAGAAGAAGATGATGATGATGATGCATGCAGTCTTTCATGTTTTTTCACTTGTGATTAATTCGGACAAGGTGCATAATAGCGATATTAGCGATATAAGAACGGAACTGGTCATTATACTTAATTATCCAATCAGTCAGTGTGGCTAATACCTACATTAGTTAAACATCTAACTCAACTAGGTGCGTTGTAAATACTAATAAGAACATGGATTTCTTCGTTTTGTAATATCAATCAAGGTACATGTAAACCTTGAAATCTTTGTTTTTTGTCATGAGTTTATTTTGCAGAATGTTGTTTCTTGTAATACTATATGTACTTCATGAAGTATGCATATTAATGTTAGATGCAATTTCTACTCCAAAATGCATGAAACATTATGCAAAAGTTGAAACCCCGAAAATACATGTACTCAAAATTATTACAATGCGAGGTACTTGGTAGGTTGATGCGCGGTATCTACTTCATCGCGATTCTCGACCACTTCTTGACTAACGAAAAATATTCTACAGGAGAAAGCTGAGAATACACAAGTTTTATTGTCCGCATTTCTCGTAATCCTCGGATTTGCATTTCATTCGATTTGCATTTCAGCCCTTATCTACGTTTCGAATTCACGATGGTTGACTCAATATGTCTTTACGGAGTACCTCTCAATCTTATTTCAGACAGATCGTCAAATCACGTCGATGAATTATATTTTTACCAAATGAAATCACTTACGTACCTTGTGGGTTGGCCAGTGGCTTATGTTGGCCCACAGTCCATACCACAAATTATTCCCAATCCTAATGGATTTATTGACGAATTCCTACTTTCCCCGAGTCAAAGTAACACGAAAAATCATTCTTGTATCTCGCTAAGGATGAGCACTAAATATAAGAACATTTGCGATAAGGTTTTCTTTAGTCGTGATTCGTTACATATTTAATTTATCGATATGTCGTTCGAAAATTTGCCAGAGGTATGTTACTTAATACTTTCCATACCAATTAATTTATTACGAGTATTCTTATATCGCGTATTTTTCGACATTAAAACAGGAACATCCTCGAAAACTAATTCCTTTCTTGTGCAAACAATTTTACGAGCTTGGATGGGTCACAGGAACTGGGGGTGGCATGAGCATGAAATTAGGGTAATTAATAAAAGACTCAAATCGTTAAAAAAACTATCTAATTAGATGAAATTACATATCACACAATTATATATTTACTTAGAAATGAGATCTACATCGCACCTTCAGGTGTACAAAAGGAGCGCATCCAACCAGAAGATTTATTTGTTCAAGATATGGCTGGCAATGATTTGCAGGTGCCACAAAAGAAGCTGAAAAAGAGCCAGTGTACACCACTTTTTATGTGTGCTTATACAGGTGATTAATTTCGTTACAACCTGGCCGAACGATCCTAATTTATTTATTGTAATTCAACTAACTACAAAATTTCACATTAGCACGCGGAGCTGGTGCTGTAATCCACACCCACTCAAAAACTGCTTTGATGGCAACACTACTTTATCCAGGCAAAGAATTTCGATGTACTCATTTGGAAATGATTAAAGTACAATTTTATGAAAAGAGATCATATGAATTTCACACAAGTATGTACATTTACATAATTAATTCGCGTAATTATTCACAAATTCCAGGGGATTTACAACCCTGTCACTAAATGCAACTATCGTTATGATGAAACCCTTGTCGTCCCAATAATTGAGAATACGCCATTTGAAGAAGATTTGAAAGACCGGATGGCTCTAGTGATGGAGGAATATCCACAAACTTCTGCAATCCTTGTTAGACGACACGGAATCTATGTCTGGGGCGAGACTTGGGAAAAGACCAAAGCCATGTAAGTATTTATCTATTTTGGCATTAAATTCCATGTACTACAGTGTAAAAACGTAACATATTTTTTGCCAAATAGGACTGAATGCTATGACTATTTATTTGATGTCGCGATTCAAATGATCAAGCATGGTCTAAACCCCGAAGCTGTTCCAGAGGATCTGAAGTAAATAATGGTAAAATCACTGCTTGACAATATTCAAAACATTCAAAATATTTTTATTTCATAAAATGTGTCTTCTAATAAATATGAGTCTTACTAATAATAATTTAATTACATATGGTTTTAAAACGCTACTTATGATTGCAACAATCACATTGCTTTTCATCTTCCGATTTCCCTTTACTCTTCTTTTTCAACGTTTCTTCTATCTGTGCTAAAGTGAACCCTTTCGTCTCCGGTACAAATATTGCTACATAAATTAATGCTAGAAAGCAAAGTACGGCAAAAGACCAAAATACTACGTGTGGTCCGAGTAGATCGAAAAATATTGGAAAAATTCTCACAACTAAGAACACGGTCAAATGATTGACCAAACTCGCCAACGCCACCATGTAGCTTCTCACGCTGGACGGAAATACTTCCGACATTATGATAAAAGGGACAGGTCCAAATCCTACCGAGTAACCGGCGATGAATGCACAAAGACAAAATAGGGGCAACCAACTGGACGTATGTTTGATGATGGAGGCATATGTGTACACGTGAATTAAGCTGTTGGGATACATCTTGACCCAGAAATAAAGTCCAAGGATGACATGAGGAAAAATCATTAGCGCTGCAGAAATCATGAGCAAGGCCCGTCGTCCAAGTCGATCGCAGAGAGGAAGGGACAAGAAGAAAGCGAAGAACTGGACGAATCCAAAAATGACCTATTCCGTACAGCAATATTTATATGAATCAATGTACATATAGCATCTAGATATCTACATAGTTGTATATACGTAAACACATACCGACGCCACGTTTGGGTCCAGTCCGTCCTTATGCAAGGGAATAATATGGTGCTTCTCATCCCCAAAAGAGTTTATAAAAGTCGCATTTGGCAGGTTGGGGTCAGCCTCGTTGAGAATAACGCTCAAATAATAGATCACAGCATTTGCCCCTGTCGAGAAAAAATGCGTTTAAAAAATCACTTCTTTGTAAACAAGATTTTTATGTATAATGAACCTGTTGCCTGTTGAAAAATCATCAAGGAAGCCGTAACGAAGGCAGGGAATCTGATTTCACGTCTTCCGAGTAGATCGGAAAACACAAATTGCATAAAAGTCTCTGGAACGACGGGTTCATTATCAACAACCGTCTTGTTCTTGTTACTAGCTCCTCCCACTTCTGGATCTACCATAGTGTTCCCCTTAGAGTGACGTTTAGCAGCTTTGGACATGGCAGCAATCGAATGTCTCTTTCTCATGACACGTTTCATCTCTTCAAGTTCATTCTCAATCTCTTGGCTCAATTTTTGCTGACTTTTTGAAATTCTTGGAGGCACTTGAACCTCGTTTTCGGCAGTATTTGCAACCACAGTCGAATACTCGAAACCTCTCAGTTTACGCAAACTTTCCATCGCTTTCTCTTCCTTTCCTCGATGCAGCAACCAAATGGGTGACTCCGGCACGGAGATGGCAAAGATGAAGAGCAACATAGGAAAGCAAGTCATGAGCATGGCGAGGCTTTTCCAATCTAAATTTATCGTACTCAAGGCAAATCCTAGAAGAATACCCAAGGACAACATCATTGCAGGGACGAATCCTAGAAATCCTCTCACTTTTGCGCGTACACACTCGCTGACGTACATGGGCGCTGCAGCTGTCGAAAATCCAGCGGCCAAGCCCGTTAAACCGCGCCCTATCATTATCATGGTGGTATTTTTCGCAAAAGCGATAAACAGCCAGCCAACGATGTAGGGCGCCGTGAGGAGAACGAGCGTCTTTTGTCGACCACAATAATTCAGTGTGATTCCACTATTTAATAAATAGATAAAATTAATATCAAACTCATTAAAATAATTACTATCAGCCTAATTTCATGTTTCATATTATGAAAGTCACCTCATAATCGTTCCAAAAAAGGAGGCGAGCGGTGGCGCCGCGGCGACCCAGGAGACGACCGTGTTAGACATGGGGTTATCAGCGTTGAAGAAGCCGTAATCATTTTTCATGGAGGCGATGGCCGGAGAAGTGTACGCTCTTTGGAGTCCAATACAGAGAAAGGAAAAAGCAGCGATTATCGTGGCGTGGACTTCAACGGATAAATATTTTTTCGGTGACTGGGATACTTCTTCCTCAAAGTCGTCCTCTTTTGCGTCATCGTTGCCACCTTCGTCATCATGAATGTCGACAGGAGTGGATTCTGGGGAAATTTGCCCTTCAGGTGCACTTGAAGAAGTTGGAGTGTTTGGATTTTGAAGAATTGAACTATTTGGATCAAGAATTGTGGGGCGTCGCTTTCGATGCCGTCTTGGAGTTGGTTTAGGCCTATCATCAGTTTCTGTATACGGGGGCGGGGAGTTATCATCAGTTCCTGAAATTCTAGATGACGATGGTGCAAATTCCAATTGTTCGCCCATTTCTATTGTTCCAATTTTAGACTCTGATTCAATTTCTGAAGAAGATCGTCTCACTTTCTCTGCTTCGGGGTGTGAAATAGGATCCTCTGACTCTGACTTTTTCGATTCCATATTTTAAATGCGATGAAAATTGTAGTCTCAAACACAATAAGATTATATGTACTAAACACTATTCAATATCAGTCGATTTGACACGTGTAAACTTTTTTTTGCTAAAAATATCCATGAACTTTACATTAAAGTTTGAAATATCTCTTCAACTTTGTTACTGTTCACTCTTCGTTCCAGGAGGAGCACTTGAAATGAGGATATCGTTTTTGCCTATGTGTAATGCTCAATGTTTGATGGAATCGTTTTGCATAGATTGCCTTGCACTTAGACCGGAAACTGTAACTTATTAGAATGGAAATTACATACACTTGCTTCGAGTGGAGACCAACTTCCTATATTATTGTCAGCAAAAAGGGAGAAGATGATATCCTTGAATGGGAGAAGTTGTTTGCAGAATAAGATTGGATTTTTATGCCGCATTGCATGTTGCTTGATATTGTACTTATTTTGCAACAATCACAAGTTGTTTATTTTCCAAACTGCTGCAATGTGACGAAGTGGTTAGCTCATGACCTTTCGCATATAATTATTCTGTGGATAGTGGATATTCAATCTGCTAATATTTAGTGATAGCATTGAAAAATGATTGAAAAACTATAGCACGCCTTCAATTCACAACTGTAAGCGGATCTCTCACTTAGGATTAATTGGGCAATGTGTTTGTATGCAAGATAGAATTTCTCACCGAAATGACATCAATGCATAATACTGGAATTGGTGATGACGTTTAATTAGCGTCAGTCAGTTAGTGATGAATATTAACGAAAAACCTGTTTTATTTCTACCAGGTTCATCCGATAACTAGCTATTTTGTCAACAGCATAATATAAATGCATATATACAATTAAATACATTGTTCTTGTACCAACCCTCTGTGCTGGATATAAATATGTACATTAATAAAATCCACATATGCAGCATCAGATAATCTGCGGTTTCGACCAAACATTTACCAACTGTATCCATCATTATTTCTGTATTACCTTGTGACAATTTCGTTTCTGTATTCGGCAGAAGTGTTTTTTTCTGCATACAAATAAAACTCCTTAAAACTAGATCTCGTCGGTTAGAAATGAGCAAGAAAGTAGCTTGCTGAAAGAAACTGTATGTATAAAACCGAATTATTCATCTTGCATCAAGGTATATTCTAATCAATCCTTTCACATATACTTTCCTGTACCGGTGCTTCTGGTTGCAAAACTTTGCTACCAAACAACGCCGCCTCCTCAAACTCATTCACACAATAGTGCATACAGATTGATTGCAAGGTAAAAGATCCGAAACATTCGAGCCTTGTGTTCACCTTGGTTTTCACTAATCCGATAACTTTCACCACATTTGGAACCAGTTTTATGAGAACACCACTTTACGCTTCGATGCAACTTGGTCCAATTCTCGAGCGAATTTATGGATTTACAAATATTTACATCAGCAGTAAATAAAATCATGTGCCAAATCCAAAAATTACAAAATTAGCAACATTGCAGGACAAATGATGTTGGAAGACCTATGAATTTTCATTAATTTAATTACTAACTATTTATATTTAATTAGCATTTCCTCCTGTAATGCTTTTCACTGTTTCCCTTCGTTGTTCCGGAAGCTAAATCGCAAATATTTGACAAAGTTCTCATTAGGGAATTTAAAACACAAAGCTTCGCAGGTGTACATAGTTTGATTCATTTTCCAGCATTTCCACGTGTCCATAATTCAAGGCCACTGGAGAATGTAATCTCATAATTTGAGTGTTTTCGCTACAGCAAACACCCACTTCAGGATAAACTATTCTGAACACTGTTGACCTTCCGGAATGACCATCAGCACAAAATCTCGTAGAATTTCTGTTATAAGTACTTAACTCAAACCAACTCACTATCCTACATTTGATCCAATTATTAGTTGTAAGCCTGGTTTCAGCCTAGTTTTCAACACGGGTTTTCCACTTGAGAGAATTGACCTTTAACCCACACGAATATACGAAACAATGGGTTTTCTCAGAGCGATATGGTGTTATGGATGAAAAATCGGATTACGCAGTCAATATCCGGGTACTTCATGGTACATTTGATCACCATTTTTTTCCGGTGAAGGTGACCTTGGATTTGGAACTGCAAGATAATGCAGAATAACTCAACGGACAGGTCAAAGGTGCTCTTAACTTGGTCATCGCCCTTCGACGGGTGTGGTCGTGGTTGGTCATACAAACCGAACTCTATTATAGAGTGGCCCCTTAAAGTTCCCATAGCTGATCAATTCGACAGAGATGATGTTCACCAACGTGACGTGGCGTACGTGATCGGAAAACATGATCAAGCACTAATAAATACGAATTAAGGTATAAGTTAGGGATGCAATTATTACTGGTGTAACTAACATTTCCATGCATTTCATCCGTGGCGTTGGATAAAAAAAGATTATCGATCACATCACAACACCCCCAAACCAAATCACCATCAGAAAGGAACTTCTACCGAGAATTTAGGTTCGCAACGTAAAGATGTAATCTCGGAGATCATGATTATTCCTCCTTTCATTTCATCCTCCTAAAAAAAGTGTCCATGTTATTACATGTCATGCAGGGTTATGTAAGCTGGGGAATAATAATTTGTTGCTGGGAATGTTAACGTGTTGATATTAATTGATAGCGGTATGTCACAGTATGGGGTGAAAGGAAACGCTCTTTTATTAGGCAGAATCATGATCCTATATAATATCAGTTTATCGTCACACTATCACCTCAAGCCTTGCGTGGGTTATCACACGTCGAGAATTTTATTAGAATCTTGTCCAGAAGATATTTTCCAAAATATGGCTTTTATACTATAGACGTGCGAAATTGGGTTGATGGGCGTGAGGCGATCTGAGATGGAACAACTCACTAATCTTTGTCGTACTACTTGTGGAACTTGATAACATTTGATCATCTCACAAGGTTAAAAGTATCCGATTACGACATCACATGATGACTTTCTTCCTCTTATCATTGTCGACAGATAATCTCATTATCTCGGAACATCCCACGCAATACAATATGTAATACTCGTGGGCTGTTACATACCCTGGTGGGAGATGAGGTTATTTTTCGGTATGAAAGATTGAACGATTAAATGTACTTTAAAAAGTGGAGGCTGATCAGTTGTCAACTTGACTATAAGTACATTATATCATGGCTTTTAAGTGATGGAATTAGGTTTCCATGTTTTGGATGGGTTTTTCTAGATTTGTTCAGCTGAAATAGAATTTGAGTCGTCAAAAACGTATACTTTCAACTTTTAGGTAGACAATCAAGTTACAAGGGAAACAAATTAAGATTATTAGCAGCATTGAAACGTGATTGAATGGTCACGCAACTATTTATGTTGTATTGCTGGGCGTAACCCAGGTATGAGTTATAAATTGTGAGCTATATATGTACTAAAAAATATTCCACGGCTTCCATAATTTCTGAAAAAAATTCTCAAACCAGAAAACTAACTAAAGGAAACATTAGAAAAGCATGGTCTATTGTTGTCTCCTCTTTTTGAAAATAACTTTCGCTTTTTCACTACACCATGTTTCTACTAGACAAGGTCGAACATGTCGTTATCATCAATCAAAGATCCTTTTTCCAACATAAAAAACCACTTCGTCCTACGGAACATAAAATGAGCTACTTAAACTTCGTTTGGCACACAGAGCACTATCTTCAGAGGAGCAAGTAGGTCATAAAATCCGATAATAATGAAATATAGAACAAAGTAATAAATGTTGCTTGTCCATCCTCCCTGGGATCATTATGCTCTCCTTTTTACATCCATCCAACAACGTCACATCGTAAGCCATACAATGACGACAACATGATAAACATCGGCCTAAAAAATATACTGCATGCAAATAGTTAGCTTGATGCTAATAATAACGCAATGTTATTAGTATTTATTACGGAAAAGCCCAATCCCACCCCACCCACCACATTTGCCCCAAGTGATGGAACCGAATCAACCAAATTATGCCAGAGAAAAAAAACTTTTTGATGAACCAGTTTAAATTTTAAATTGAGTCAAGTTGACAAAGATAAACAATTTAAATCAACTTGTACATGGAAGCATTTCCTTTGAATCATTTGATGTTACTTACTTTTCCATCTCGCTCTTTTTATAATAAAGTTTGTCGTAATTGAAATGGAGTAGCTGCAACATATTGAATGGAGGAGACACAATGTACATAAGTTGTGCATACATATGTGTACAAGCATCCATAATGCATACATGTCTCGTAGGCATAAAGTTCAAAATTAGACGGGAGAAAATAAATGTGAAAGTTGGTTTACGAATTTTCCAGACCGTATACAGTGACGGATCACCACGTCCTTAGTTTCACTTTGTTTTTGGGGAGGACGATGTGGTTTCGAAGGTATATGATCTGCTAATGAAGGTATGACTTTGCGTCGAATTTTGGTTGAGAGAAAGTCATTGGTAATTGAACATGTTCGTGCAATGTCCTTTTACTGCAGAGTTATTATCCTTAATAAGCTCGCTGTAAAGATTTATTACTGCTTGAATTAATAAAACCCAGCCCGAGTATTTAGCTAACGTCAATATATATCCCACTCTCATTTCATCAAATCAAATGGACATCCACCCACATTTTCAATCCCAGAGGGAAAAAAGATGAACTTTCAATACGGTAAATTCTAAAACTATTTCTGTCTCATATTTTCCCCTGAAGAAGAAACCTTCTAAAAGTGAATGCAATCTCACTCTGGTCTGTTTACATAAAAATTTCGAGTTCAGCAAGCCTGCCCTCGTTCGTGATTACTGAGAAAGATAGATAAAACCCTTGTTCCTAGTCTGCTTGATTTATAAAGTGAATGGCTAGGTTTTGGTGATTCTTGACTCTTGGGTGGGATGAAGTTTGAGCTAACTAACCCTAACTATACGCTGTAAGTTCATATGTACCCTCGGCACACGTAAAATTCAACAGGCTGGAAGAACACTTGTGGATTTTGTGTGAGTGGTTGGTCGTGTGGGTCGTGGCGTCCGTGGATGGATAGACTTTCTCTGGAAAAGAGAGAATTTTCCTCACTTCACTTTCTCTCGTTGCCCATTCGACATCGTCTCATCTCACTTTCTTTCTTTCCTTCGAGAATCCCAATTTATTCAACGCAGTAAAACCCGTACTTCAATTTGGACCTGGCCACCCTTAACTTTCAGCAAGTAAGTAATTGCATTCACTTCAATTCTGAGAAGAAGATAGGTTTCTTGGAGGAAAAGAAAACAAGAAAGCCGTAAAAATGGAGAGCTACGCCAACAGAAAGGTCGTCATCAGTCTCACTTTCACCACGATTATTGGAACACTGGCACTTTTCTCTTGTTTCGCCATATTGCAAACAAATGCTTTCAATGACGATATGGGATTGTTGAAATGGAATCCGTACTGGTTTTCTGGAAAGAAATACTCCGAGCCTGTCTCCTACTATGGGGGGATGAGAGGAGGAATCGGTGGATTTCCAAAGAGGGTGAGTTACAACGTAAGCGGAATTTTGAGTCATTTTAATTATTTATTCATTAAGCTTGTAAATATTTAATTATAATTTTATTTGCATAGTTGAGATAATTAATTTTTGAAAGTTGTGGCTTTCGATAATATATTTGCGTAGGAGTCGTAGTACCACCACCACCACCACGTTAAATATAGTCTAAGATAACATGGAATTTACCCATCTCTCAAGTTATCATACATGCATGATTAATATCTCCTTTTGTAAAATTGCGTTCGTACACCAACGCTCGCTTTTTGTTTTTCTCACAAATCTTGTAATCTGAACGTTTCCGAAATACGTACTTTGCTTCCTTTCAAGGATTTCTCTGCTACATATTTCATACTTATTTTTTTGAGACTCACACCGAGTTCATATTTCTCGCTGATTCTGCTGAAATATCAAGGTCTCGATTTCCAAGACGTTATATGAATACTTTTAGCTTGGAGAACGATCTTCATTGTACGGAGGAGCACACCAAATTTACAAATGGAGCCCTGTTTACTTCTCGGATGGTGGATTGTTTGGAAGATCTGGAAACTATGGGACAAATAACTTAAATAAAATCTCATCCGACGGATTTGAGTCGGATGACAAATAAACACATTCTTGGATTGTATAAAATCTCAAGTAGCAAGATTCCAAATGGTGCAAGGACGACGTGTATGTAAATATAATTTTCAGCTGCATACATCAAAATTCCACTTTTGTTAGAGGTATGAATAGTACAAGGTTTCAAGTGGTTTTAATTAGTATTTACCGTAATTAATTACATGTATATCAAGTGTTTGCATATCTCAAATTCAATTTTGGCCATCCTCCTCGTGACACAAATCCCGGAAAGGAAAGTTCCGAACGATATCACGCATTTGACACTTTACGTTACAATGTATGTACCTTGAAATAAATAAATGAGTAGTCAACATGTGTAGTAAATCATTTGTCACGGAAGGTAATTAGAGTAACAAAGTAAATAAATAGCAGGTTGTTGATTTTCCCTTAATCATGTCTCCTCAAATAAATAATGATGATGAATAATATCGCCGTAAATTATGCTACTACCAAAATGACTTTTAGCGACATACCATCGGGAATAATCTTCACCATTTTCGGTGTGATCCAATTTTCTGAATTTCACTAAATTGGCACAATTATTAACGACGGTTTCCTCCATCTCATTATAATATATTATTCCATTATTATGAATATTGCGACTGTGTACATTTTGAATAAAGTTCACTTAGTTTTAAATAGAATATGTATGTGCTTGTCTTTCCGTTCCACGCATTTTCACGAATTTCCATCTTGACACGTACTCAAGAAGTTCCAAGATGAGAATCCTGCAATTGTGCAAATGCATAGCATTAAAAGAGAAAAAAACATTACTATGTAAAGGCGAGCATGAGAAACTGTTTATTTGCAGAGTGAAACTTTTTGAGCCTGTTAGCGAAAGGTTGGCGATGGCGAAAGAGAGTGCCAAGTTGGTTGGAGAGCATTATCGAGTGTGGATAGATTCCACACCCACTCACATTTTGCAACAAAACTGATATTAAATTGGGAGAAGGACATTTATTAGGTTTGAAATCTATGGGCTTTTGCCCAGGAGAACCTTGAACACATTAAAAACGGTACCACTTACTTGACATAAATCAACCAAAATGCCACAGCCAGCCGCTGCGATGCGATGTCATTTTGACGTGACTCCATTACGTTGTTTCACTCGTGATTTACATCATGCTGGGAAGATTTTGAGGAGGTAGGTGCTATGTACGTATAAATGTGTCGCATTTTATTTATCTCGATAAAATAGTTATGCGTTCTTGTGTTTCACTTTTATCGTGGAGGATGAAGATTGCGTGGATTTGTGGAATAAATTTCAATCATATTGTGTAAAAATGCTGCCAGTTTTCTCGTCTTATTTTGTCATATATTTGTATCACATTCAGTGGGCAGAAAATCCAGTTACCTGGATAAGCCGTAGGTAAACTGTGAAATGGATTTTCTTCATTTTCACTTTAAATTGTGAAATTTTCAATCTATTTATCTGTCCAACCAAAAACTATTATTTGAAATAATAGTAGAAAGCATTGAGAACCAGTTTTGGTCTTGTTCGATCTACGCCTACCTTGTTTTTTGGGTGAAACATGTTTTACACAATATGTTTCACCACTCTACTTAACGTTTAAAATAGATTAATGAGGTGGTTTTATTTCATACTGGAAATACAGACATTAGCACAAGTCGTATAAGTACTGAACCACAAACACATTTTCACTTTTCACTCTAACTCCTCTTGGAATTGTCCGTGGTTTACAACCAGTTCCGGGGATTTGCACTGTTGCTTCGAGTCATGTACATACATAATTGTGTCATGTCAACTTTTGATAGACAGAGTTACTTACCAACGTTATGGTATTTCTTTCCTCCGAGTTCATTTGATTTCTGCTTTTGTAATCCAATTACTCGGTCCAATGTTGCAGATTCCATCGCAAATGATCATCATGCATGCTTACGTGTGTACCTAAAAGCTGTAATCGCACGTACATACGCCGGCACTTTGACTAGAATTGCAGAGAATGTAGATACCTTTTAAGCTGATGGGGATGGATTAGGGGTATATTTTTAGAATTGACTTTCACCTACCAAAACATTATTTCAAACAATATGGAGAAGAATATTAAGTTGGATTTAAGTCTGTGGTTTATTTCTATTTCGCATTGTGTGCCATGTAAATTATGCTATGCAGAAAAGCTTGCGCATTATTGTACAAAATTTCAAAAAATTTCAAAAACTTCACCAGTTTTCTTAAAAACTTCTATCACTTTTATTTATTTATTGCTACATTTATGTATCATATTCGATTCGTGATGAGTGTCACGAAGCAAAAAAAAGAAGCTGCTTCGACATCTGTGCACATACATACAATGTAAATGCATAACTCAATTACGTGCATTTGCCCTCTTGAGAATCGGGAAATAATGAGTACAGTGGCATTCCACGTATATTATTAAGAAGGGTCCTATCACTTTTGAATACAAATTCGCTTCTCAATTTCACATGCATCATTCACCATCCATATCACATCTCCCTTGACACAGCGAAAATAAATTACGTATTTATGAACATACAATTTGTGTGCATACTTTTCTCCAAAGAACAAACGCGTATAACACCGAGGTACCAATTCAGTCCATCATTTGCTGCCTTTGTATGTCTCATAACTTTTTTGAGAGAACAATAATTCCATTTTTGTCTTACTAGAATTGAACACAACATAGATGCGAAATGCAACCAAGTCATTTTTATTCAGTAATATTTTTCCTATGTTAAATCCCCCTGTGGTTGTCGCACATTGTGTAAATGAGTTATTTCCCACGATAGATGCCTGCATTCAAACGTTATGCAGGCGTTCGGAGCTTGCACTTCGAGTCATGCTTCTTGCCGTGAATTGAGACACCTTTAGAAAATCGAATACAACCCAGATTTCGTAGATGCGCAACAGCAAGAACATCCCAAACACGACCGCAGCAATGTACGTCAATTGGTAGGTGACAACGGAGAGAACCAGGAGGGAAATCACTCCCAAAAGGACAATCACGCAGCCATTTATCAACCATGCTTTGATGGGACAGTCCCAGTCCTAAACATGCACGAAAACAACAACACATCGCCAAGATTACCAATTGAACAAGGTATCCAGATGTATAATTACAGTAAAATCGGCAAAGTATGTACCTTTCGTACTCCGAGAAATAGGCCAGACGCCAAGAACAGCGATATCAAGCTGCTCAAGAGAACAAGCACCACTTGTCCGTGTCGGTCTGTAAAAAAGCAATTATGTATTTTACTTGTAATTATATTTATGCAACGCCTAAAAATTTCCACGTACGGGTGAACTTGTTGATGCCCATTTGCACATGGTACGCATTACTTTCACTCGTAACGTCGGTAATGTCACGTTCAATTATTTCTGACACTTTGTGCAGATCGGCGAGTGCCAAAGCACTCAGGAAGAAGAGACACAGGCTCAAAATCTAAAATAATGAGATTACCTTGAAATCTGAGTTCGTATTTAAAACTTGTTAGAAATAACTTACAATGTCCACAATTGCGATGAGAATGACGGATCCTTTCGGATGTAGGCCACAACAATAGGTCGTTTCTCCCATACTTTCGTTATCTCTGCTGATTTATGTATCTCAAATATTTATGTTTTGTAAAATTTGTTACATTCTTTTAACTGTAATTTCAAAACAGCAATTAATTTTTTTATAGAAACTTTCACCCCGTTTCTGTGTAAACAAGGCTCCGAGTTTACATTCCTCTCTCATCTACTCGTCTTTCTCCACTATTATCGACCTGACCAAGAGCTGGGTATCGATCCGTCTGTGTGGCTCCAGTTGCTACATATCGTCCGTCTTAACACGACGGTGTGTGTTCGCTAACTTACTCCACTTTCTCCAATTGCATGCATAAAATTTTACTCTTTTTTGCCCTGCCAAACATGAGTAAGTGGCGAAATTATATGCAAAATATTATACACATGGTTTCCGCCCCAGGTTATAAAGTATCGATGATGCATGGTGAAAGTGGAAAATGTTTCATGCACGACATGTTCTTTTTGCCCTTTTGACTTTCTCCCAAAATGAAAAATGCAGCCTAAAAATTACAGGTGTTATTTGGATGCATGCAATTTATTCGTGGTTCAGAAGCATATGTATCTATCATGCGATGTTGCTAATGTATATGATCAACAGTAATTTAAAGTCTTCCTAAGAACGGTGGGACGAGTTGGTTTCTTAATATTGCACAAAACAGGGCCATTCGTGTAGAGTTGTCCGTTGATGTTACACTTTGTACAGTTCTGGCAACAGGGAGCAGGTAGTTTGGATTTTTGTGAAGATCTTACAAGAAAAGGGGATGGTTTCAGGGATGCAGTATTTGTCGATGTTTTGCAAGCCTTACAATTTCCGCAAGGGTCGACGGATTCCCAAACGTTGCTTTTGGCAGGAGCAGCACCAGCACCTTGAGAAGGACTTGGACAATCGGTGTAACCTGGAATCTGAACTTCAAAATCGGGAAGCTTTTTCTCTTGGTCGCATCCTCCGTCTCCGGATCCGTCTTGGTCAGTTACTTGAGGTCCGGGTAGCATTTGGTTGGGCACGTAGACTTTGACGTCTTGACGAGGACACGGCGGCATAGTTTCGGGACATTCGGGGTCCCCGATACAGACTTGGAATTTTACGTCTTGTTCCTTCTTCTTGAACACTCCTGAGCAATGGGTGCAGTGTTCTCGACCACAACTTGTATGCGTTGGGGGTAACTGGCCTGGTATATTAGAGGAAAATAATATTTAGTAATTTTAGAGAGGGGGTTTAGTCATCTCACCTTGTCCCATTCTGAGTTGAGAGGTCTGTGATTGACCCAAACCTTGCTGGGCGAATCCTGATCCTAGCAGACTCTTATAGTCTAATTGGATATGACGAATGTTTGGATTTTTCCCGTTGGGCGATCCCTCTGGTGGACAACCACACCCACACGGACCACAATAATTGTGTCTGTAGTACTTGTAGTCGGGTTCTCCGTACACCTGTGACAGACAATTGCTAAATTTGTAATCTAGCCCCACCAGTAAACACGGTACCTTCCCTTCATTTGGGCCGACGTATCCAGCGCCATATCGCCATCCATCCCACATGCTTCTCCCTACGGAGCTGGACCCTGAGGGGAAATATTTGACCGAGGTGACGCCATAGGGGTACTTTGTAGTATAAATCCCATTGCCCCCTGATCCACCTGGAGCAGTGGACTGCATTTTTGAGAACTTGTGGTGGAATCTAAAGCTATTTTCAGAAGTGATTTACTGTGATTGGAAACTCATAAACGCAAGGCGGTTATCAAGCTTTGGCTTTAGTATCCAAGTAACGCGTCCCAGACGGTCATCCTGCCTGACTGTTGGTTCATAGAATTTTGCGTAATGAATATTTCCAAGTTTGCATTTAGTTTATGTACTAAGTATTTTGTGTAATCGATGGTTAAGTAAATTGACATATTGGAAATATATCTTGTTTTATGATTTCATGTTCTAAATCTCGCTTACGTCCTCAATGATTCATTCAGTCATTCACTTGATATTATTGCCACTTGATTTGTTCCATCACTCTAATCGTGTCCAGAAAGGTGTATGTACTCGTATGTAGGACACAACAACGTGATAAGAAGAGTAGCATATTTATAAAAACCCAATAAATTGATCAGAAGATCGCATATATTGAGTTAACCGAGTTTTTTTGCATAAATTATATGTATATTGGGATAAATTCAGCATTCTACATACGCACATAATGTTGTGTTGGCCAAACAATTACTAAAACACTGTAATTTGTACTATGAATAAGCTCCATTGACTCATTACCACCTCGCTCCTCTACAAATTCACTCACTCAATTACAGTTTCGAGAGGAATGATAAGGTTATCAAATCTGAGTCATTCCACTAAAAGTTAACCATGTAGCAAACATTGACAGGTTGTTTATTCAGTCATTATAATTTAGGTGATCTCGTACAGGTGTACCAGCCCAGGTGTTTGTCGTTGCAAATTAGCTAATTAAATATAAAATTTGAAGTTACCTAACCAAATTATAAAAATGAAAACGCCAAAATTATATATTCATCTTGACCAAAGAATCCCGTCATTTTTTCCTGGACAAACAATAGTCGGACAAGTTGTGCTTAACAATGATAAACCAAAGGAGCTTAAGAGTAGGTGGAAATTATATACATGCAAATTTAAATGTGTATAGTTGGTTACTCACATTTATGGTAAAGTATTTATAAATGAATGACTTTATAAAATTGGGGTTTTCTCGCAGATATCACGATTACTTTCGAAGGGACAGCCTCCGTCCATTGGACTGAAAACGTGAAAGAAACAGTGGGGACAGGAAAATCGAAGCGAACCACCTCTAAAACAATACATTTAACATCCAAGGAAAATTACTTTAATGCGAGCATACTTCTTTTTGGCGGTGGTATAAACAACATTAACTAATTAATTTAATTAATTAAACTACATATTAATTAAATCTTATTTATTACCAAATTGATAGACGGAAAGCGAAACAGCATAACACTTCCAACGGGCACAATTACATACCCATTTCAGTTCACACTTCCGGTCAATCTGCCCTCCTCTTTTACCGGAAGACATGGAATGGTTCACTACTTGATGGAAGCACGCGTAAAAAGGTCAAAACTCAAGACTGACCTCACGTCCGTCGTCCCTTTCACGGTCAACGGAATTTTGGACCTCAACTTCGAACCTGGCGTGGCTCAATCCGTTTGCTACGAAAAACAGAAAAATATTTGCTGCCTTTGCTGCAAAAGCGGACCCGTGGGGTACAAGATTGCCTTGCAAAGGACTGGCTTCGTCCCTGGCGAGTACGTCTCCTTCAACGCCGAGTTTCTGAACTATTCTCGGAGGAAGATTAAAGGAGTGACCGTCACGCTGATCCAAATTTCAAACTTTTATGCACAAGGTCGCACCCGAAGTGAACGGAAAAATATTTGCTCTGCAACCTGCCCAGAACTGGCACCTGGAGATTCTGATTTTTGGGGAGGTGATATCCTCAGACTTCCAGCCCTTCCCCCAACCAGGTTGGCGTCGTGCAGAATTATTGATGTACAATATATCGTAAAGGTAAATAAAATTTTTTTAATAATCTACAAAAAATTAATGTTGTGTAATGAGATAAATTTTAAAAATTAATTTATGCTCATTCATAGTTCGAAATGGACTTATCTGGATTGACGATGAATATGGTGGTCGAAATTCCAATCACGATTGGAACTATTCCATTTCGAAACACTTTCAACTTTTTCATGCCAACGTCTGAAGGACCTTTGTCATCCCCCGCGGCAACCCTTCCAATTGCTCCGCTACCCAGCACGTTTAATCAACTCTCCGTCGATCAGCTTCCAGGATACAGTGGAAATATGAAAAATCAGACCGTTTCCGTCCCATCACCAGCAGCAGCAGGAGGGTCACAAGTTCTGTCAGTCCCTTCAGCCCCCGTTTTTGACATGTATCCAGATCTTCGTAAGTATTAAATGCATAATTTTAGAGTTTTATTTGGATGTTGTTTCAACAAAATCGAAATTGAAATATTTTTACCAGCACCTCCAACATATGCCGAAGCCGTGCAGAATGAAAAGTTTGAGTACAACTTGGACGAAGGGGGTAATAATAATGGGGGCAATACTAACCTGGGATTTTCAGGTAATAATGGACCTTTGGATGATCAGGCAAACGTTGCTGGAACATCGTCACCTTTGGCATCCGCACCCCACCCACCTGGATACGACTACGTTCCAAATTATATCACGTATGGATTTTCCAAAGGAAAATAGGAACATCAAACACGTACATAATTTCTAATACAAAATAAGTACTTACCTAAAATTCATAACAATTTTATTGACTTCGTATAATATGAAGTGAGCTTGTAAGATAATGTGGTGTTATAGTTATCTCGATTTATTTCTAATGAACATGCTTCATGAAAGCAATATGATTTTGTCCGCTTCAGTGATTTTAGTAAAAATAAATACCTGAAACGCATTGTTGTGTTGCATTTCCTGATCACAGTCAACTTTTGAGTCAATAAAATTGACCACACACGTTATATTTCTTATTTATTGCACTTGTTGATTTATTTAATGCAACGTGCGATAACTTCAATAGAGAGTTCACAAAATTCTTTGTGTCCAATAAATATGTACGTATGACATCATATCCTCTCGTCCGTAAGTCCGTAGTACTTTTACGCCGCCCATGTGCAACTGATTTCATATTATGCAATAATAATTTTCAAAAAACAATGAAATTAATAAATAATGTGGCACACCTGACAAAAAAACAAAACGCCGGTCAGAAGTAATCAGTAATCAGTGTCATTCTCATTACAATTACAACACTCATAATTAATCCTTTTACCTTGTTAATGAAATTAGTTTTGTATAAATGTTCCAACACATGAAATTATGTAATTCTTGATCATGAACTTTTGCTTAAGCTTGTTTCATAATACAAATTGTGTGATAATTACACTGCATGACTGACTGCGTGTTTAATTTAGTTTTTAAAATTAGCTGTGAAATATTTACGCGAGCAAATAGCCCATTATCTTCTTAATAACGAACAATTATAATAACAATAATTTGGTTAATAACATCTACCTTTTTGTGTATAAATTTGCACACCACGTTTGTTTCGAGCTTATCATGAAAGGAACAAAAGTCGTCGTCACCCTTCCTTTTTAGTGGTCGTTTATCATAATAAATAATAAAATAAGTAAGTGCGCAACAGGAACTCATGGACTGAATGAGTTCGCAAAGTGCAAGTTCCGCTTTAGTTGATTACAATTATAATCATATTGCAAGAACCGTTTCGTCTCGTTGAATGTATGATGTTTTGCACGGATTTGTTAGACATACTTGTGGATTTGATCTTATAATCCCATGTTCAATTAGTAGCAAGTTACCTTATCGCAACGTTAATATGATTGAATAATACGGTGGTATATTAGCAGTAGTAAAACATACACATGTCCAATTTTTATCGCACTTTAGATATAATAATTTTAATTTTGCATTTTTCTTACTAGATAGAAATGCATTCAGTGAAACTCAAATAATGGTAATAAATAATACCTTCAGCATTCCATCCACTTTGTTCAACAACCTGTCCAAAAATTCTTTGTTCCTTTTCAATAATAAATCGATGAATTGGCCATATTTATGAAATGGAAAGTTTTCTCACGCTTTGCTTTTTTTGGCGAGTTTTATACGGAATGAGTTGATATTAACTGTTAAGTATTATTTAGGTAGATGCAGTTGTTCAGTTTTTATTTATCGTTTGTTAATTGGTTGAGTTCTAATCACGGATTTAATATTTTTTGGAGTACTTGCTATTAGTGCATACAGACAGAGATAGATATGTTGGAATCATATCCTCGTTGGATATGTACAATGTGTGTGCAATAATAAAATCGTACATGGTGACTTAAATAAGTGTAACGAAATATTTAGTACTGCTGATTTTAAAGGACGTGCAGTTATGTGGTAACATCCCCCAAAAACTAAAAGCCTTACATACGCCTAGGAATAATGCATACATGTGTATGTTATGTACATACGTAGATCTGAGTAGTTACCACTTTAGGAATGTGTCACTTGTGGTATAAAAGCAAAATTTTTCTAAAATTATCCATCAGTCACAAGCCAGCCCAGGTTTGCATACAAGTTCATCTAGTCACTGGTATATAATCATGTACCGCATTTTGGTAAGAATTATTTCTTAACTTTAATAACAAACCATAAACTCTAGTGTGTGCAATTTAACGGCCTAATAATTTACTTGTTTGGTGACCAAATGTAGGTTGTCGCGGGGTGTGTCGCAGTAGCCCTGTCGGCAGAAATTAAACAAAAAACGAAGCTACATCAACAGAAAAATTCGTTGGATGCTTTGAAGTCCTTTGGCATTGGAGCCTCTTCCGGGGCGGTGGGTTCCTCTGGTGAAGTGAAAGAGGTCGCCAAGGAAGGAATCGTCGCCAAACGTGGCGCAGCCTCGCACGGAAGTAGCTATGCCTTCAACAGCGCTGGAGGTGGGGACGATAAGGGAGGAAGCGGAGATGCTGGAGGAGGAGGTTGGGGATGGGAAAAACCGAAGGAGGTCAAGAAGGGGTGGGGTCATGAGGAGGGAGGTGGAGGTCATGACAAAGGTTGGGGATGGGAAGGGCCCAAGGAAGAAAAGAAGGGGTGGGGCTGGGAAAAACCAAAGGAAGTTAAGAAGGGGTGGGGATGGGAGGAGCCCAAGGAGGAGGTGAAAGGTTGGGGATGGGAAAAGCCCAAGGAAGTGAAAAAGGGATGGGGCCATGAAGAGGGAGGTGCAGGACATGACAAAGGCTGGGGATGGGAAGGGCCAAAAGAGGAGAAGAAGGGGTGGGGTTGGGAAAAACCAAAAGAGGTCAAAAAGGGGTGGGGATGGGAGGGGCCAAAGGAAGAAGTCAAAGGTTGGGGATGGGAGGGGCCTAAAGAAGAAGTGAAAGGTTGGGGGTGGGAGGGGCCAAAGGAGGAGGTCAAAGGTTGGGGATGGGAAGGGCCTAAGGAGGAGAAGAAGGGCTGGGGATGGGAGGGGCCAAAGGAAGAGGTCAAAGGTTGGGGTTGGGAGGGACCCAAGGAAGAAGTAAAGGGTTGGGGGTGGGAGGGGCCCAAGGAAGTAAAACATGGTGGTGGTGACGATAGCAAAGGCTGGGGTTGGGATGGAGGCAAAGAACATGACCAAGGTTAGTGCATCTTACTTGTTAAAGTATTTCAAATCGTCCTTCGCTTCATCATTTATTAACGGATGTCTGCTAATTTCGCTAATTTGATTTTAACAGGTCATGCCCCATGGAGCGGTTCATCCTATGGATTTGTAGGCGGTGGTGGAGGGTGGGGTGTCCACGAAGGCGAATCAGAGGGGATCAAAGGATTCCTATAAACGTAGTCAAATTAGACACACATTAAGTATTCCCATTTACAAGTCTGCAACATGATTCTCAATTTCTGTTTCATATATCTTCTCTCTCAAAGAGACATTGTACGGGTGTGAATATGAACATGAATAAATACATAAAAAATATTCCAATAATCCTAAACGAATGGCGACTTGTAGGCTGAACTAATAAAGATAAGAACAAGAAAACACAACTGTTTAACATGTCCTTGTACTCCATCATCATTAAAAGTTGAGACACTCTTTAGTCCTGTCACATACATAAATAGATATTTGTGCACCGTATTTAATTCCTCACCAAAACATAAAATGGGATCAAGAATTCTTTCCATCCTCATTATATTCTTCGTACTTCCGTATTTCGCCATTTGTCGCAAATGTGACCAAGTTGTGAAAGAAGTTTCGCCCGAGATTCTCAGCTATCTTGGAAATGTGTCCTTCGCCGCTCCCGGACCGTCTGGCGGATCTACGTGGACCTTGTACATGAAAACTACAGCTCCCTTCACATTCATTGGTGTAAGCTTATTTATCTACATAAATACTAATTTTGTTTAATCAATTAAGTATAACTAATGGAGAAAGATTATGTTTAATTTCAGGGTTGGGATGTCCGTGTAGAAAGTGACGCTGAAAAGGGCATCGTAACTTTTCATAACGCCGATGAATGGGTCGTGAAAGCAGGTCTCTCTAAAATAAGTAAATTCTCTTCGTCCTATTTTCATAAACTAAAATTTTAACAACTAGGTGAAGAAATATCGTTCCGATTTAGGATTCACTATGCTCCTGGTACTAGGAAAATTCCGCACGTGAAATCATTGCAATGGGAAAAGTGGACAATTTGCGAAGGGACAACCTTACCTCAAAAACTCGAAAGTTCTGACAGAAAAAGTATCAGGAATGACTTGTTAAGGAAAAGGAAAAATGTATACGAAGAAAGAAAGTACGGGTCAAAATCGGATAATAATTACGTTCGACCATAGTTTATAAAGTATCATGTCATAATTTTGCATTAATTTATATGTATATTGAAGCGTTTCTAAATTGCAATAAATTTTTTGCCATTTAATAAAGTGAGAATTTCTCAGAAACTTGAGACTTGTTATTGCACGAAAAAATAGAGTGGAGGCAAATTGAGAATTGAGACGGGATTAGTGGCAAACTTTTTATCCTTCCAGTTTTAGTATAACGTCGTCCAAATTCAGCATTTCTTGTGTCAACAAATCAAATAATTTAAATTTTGATAAAATTTCCGTACAAGTTTTATAGTTCTGACGTAAGTTTACAAATTGTTATACTTTTAAGATTCCTCATTTATAATTGTAGTGATTATTGTTCACATAAAGACGTATATGTTAACTAAAAGTAACAGTAATTAATAATTATGGAATAATTTCAGCTTAAAAAGGATTCGAAATCAAAGGTAGTAGTATCTTATCATGTCGCTCGCTGAAGAACTCTTGGCCGATTTGGAGGACGGTGATGATGGCGAAGCCGATGACATGTTGGAGGCAGCCTACGCAAGCAGAAATGTGAATCCGGTCACCGGCCAGGTTGGAGATGATGGGGGACTAACGGCGATGGAGACGGATGATGATAACCGTCTTAACGCTGCTCTTCATGGTAAGATACTCAGAAACAGAATTAGGTTAAACATTTGCCAGCATTGTTTTTAATGATACTCAAAAACTTGTTTATCGTTTAGATCCAAAAATTGTATCCATCCGACAAATATGCAAACTTCGAGATTCAGAACAGTTTTCAAGGGTGATGCGTCAAATTGGTGAGAATATTAATCATGCCCGCTCCACAGACGATGTCATTGGTCCAGTCGAAGTTGATCCGGAATATCAATTAATCGTGGAGGCGAATGGTCTAGCGGTCGAAATTGACAACGAGATCAGCACGGTCCATAAATTCACCAAGGACAAGTACAACAAAAGATTTCCCGAATTAGAGTCCTTGGTTGTTAGCCCGTTAGAATATTTAAAAACTGCACGGGAACTGGGAAACGATTTGGAACGTGTAAAAAATAATGAAAAGTTGGGAACATTTTTAACCCAGGCCACAATCATGGTGGTATCAGTGACTGCTTCCACAACTCAAGGGTAACTTTTATAATTTTTGTAATTTTATATTAATTTCGATTATAAATATAAACCGAAAATGTGAATAATCATGCTTGCTTTATTCGAAATTTTAGCCAAGTCGTATCTGAGGATGAGCTACAAAAGATTTTCGAAGGATGCGACATGGCCCTCGACCTCCATGAGTTAAAATTAAAGATTTACGAATATGTCGAATCTAGAATGCAATTTATTGCTCCAAATATGTCCATAATTGTTGGAGCCGCAACTGCAGCAAAATTGATGGGTAAAGATAAATTTTCTGTGCATCATGTTACTTGTTACTTATCTTTTAAATATAAATACATCACTATTTTAGGTTTGGCTGGAGGATTGACAAAGCTCAGTAAAATGCCGTCTTGTAACATATTGACTTTGGGGTCTCAGAAGAAAATATTGTCAGGATTTTCACAATCGGCTATGCTGCCCCACACTGGATTTATATATCATTGCGATTTGGTCCAGGAATCTCCTCCGGTAATTACATGCAAATATATATTTCAATAGCTTATAATTTGTTACAATTTGTAATCCTTTACAAAATATGATTATTATTTACAGGATATGCGGCGTAAAATGGCGAGAATGTTGGCCAACAAATGTACTCTTGCTGCCAGAGTTGACGCTTCTCATGAGTCTTCTACTGGAGAAATCGGTAGAAGTTTAAGGGAGCAGGTGGAAAAGACGTTAGAGAAAATGTTGGAGCCTCCTCCTGTCAAGTCCGTAAAGGCGTTGCCTAAACCAGTAGATCCTCCGAGGAAGCGCCGAGGTGGGAAACGAGTCAGAAAGATGAAGGAAAGATTTGCTGTCACGGAGCTTCGAAAACAAGCCAACCGTACAACATTTGGAGATGTAAGTATATGTGCAAGTGATGAATTTTCGATGTATTTATTCATCACCTTCATAATCGTTTATGTATTGCAACTATTAATGTGTTTCTTTATTTCATCCCTAGATTGGAGACGACGCCTACCAAGAGGATCTTGGCTATAACCGTGGCACTATGGGGAAAAACGGTAGCGGTATGATAAGAACTGCTCAAATTGATGAGAAAACTCGAGTCCGCATTTCTAAAACCTTGACCAAGAATTTGCAAAAGCAGCAAGTATTTGGAGGAACCACCACAATTAAGAAGCAGATCTCAGGAACCGCTTCTTCTGTAGCATTTACTCCATTGCAGGGCTTGGAAATTGTCAATCCGCAAGCTGCAGAACGTCGTGTTAGCGAAGCTAATGCAAAATACTTTTCCAGCAGTGGAACCTTCCTTAATGTGGCTAAACCAACTTAGATTAACAAACATTCTGTATTTTTTTAAGTTCAAACGATGTTGAGTGAATACATCAGAGCAAATACCACGAACAGTTTATTAGATGATTGTAAAATAAAAATTATACCATTTTTAACTGCTTTAACGTTTTATTAAAGTCTGAATTTCTTTCAATGCATTTAGCCAATTGTAATGCATTAACTAACATTAATAAACTCTGGAAGACAGACATCGTTATTTTCTAATTCAGATCTCAAAACAGAATCAAACTCAATGTAATTGTAGGTAACCAATGTAAAAATATACGAGGAGAAGGAATGCATCATCAATTTAGGCAGTTATTATAAATTCACATTATCGTTCATCAGATTTAAAACTTTCGAGAGAAAAGTATGTCGTCCATAATTTCAGTTTTATAAAAATAGTAAAATCATCAGATCCAGGGAATAAATAAATCACGTCAATAGATATTCACTTTGTTAGTCAAAAAAAGTGCTCGAGGCGGATGCAGTGGATTTTGCAGGCGTAGTACTCGCAGAAGCAAGTTTTTCCAAAACCGACTTCACTTCTGACGGATTCAGTTCACCGTTCTCTTTCGTAGGAGCCAGTGGAAGCAAGTCCTTTACGAGTGGAATATTGATTGATGAGTTTCTTGAACGAACTGCCAGAGAGCGGAGATTACGACCCAGATCAGTATCCAATTGTGTCGACGCAGCCAGAATAAGTCCAACATATGGCGGAGATGGTCTCAACGGTCGGCTAAGATATTCAGGATGATATTGGACAGCGCAGAAGAATGCGTGATCTTTCAGTTCCAAAGCTTCCATCCGTTGTCCAGTGTCGTCCTTCCCTAATAATAACACACCAAGCTTTAATATCTCTCATACCTCTAATCAAGTCATAAGAAATTAGTATGTATATTCCAAATACCAACAAAAATCATTCCAGCCGCTTCAATCCGTTCGACATAGGACGGGTTAACTTCATACCGATGACGATGGCGTTCTTCAATTACATCTACATTTCCGTATAGTTTGCGCAATCTACAAGGCCTGGAAGGTTCTTTTGGCATAAATATCGTCGCCTTCCGTCCCAATCGCATCGTTCCTCCCAGTTTTGGGTTAGAATGGTCAGGCATGTTCATTATCACTGGATGTTCAGCATCTGGATTAATCTCCGTACTGTGAGCATCTTTTAGCCCCAATTTATTTCTGCAAGGTTAACAATATCGTTACAATTACGTCGTTGCAAGTCAACTCATTCATCAGAAATTCATGGTACGTTAATGCAACAATACATAATAATGAGTGTGTGCCATTACTGCGAATTAGACGTGGTCAGACAAACGCGTTGGGTTTATAACTTTTCTCTTTCATTTCTCGTTATCATGCCAGGAGGAGATATGCCATTAATCAGTCACACTACATACAACATCCAACCAAGTATCCAACTACTTTTTTTGAAGGACTGATGATCGTCCACCGAACATTGACTGCTAGGAATCTTCTTACATACTTTAAAAAGTACGCAACAGGTCAATGATTCCAAACTTGTAATTGTTTAATAAATGATGATCGTATACATTATTTGACAAAACCGGTTCCCGTCTTTTGACTGTCCGATCGAGACTAACCGTAGTAGCACGGTCTGACCATATCCAATCTGACTAACAGGGATGAGTTTATTATACTGGACGGCTGTATAATGCAATGGTGATGCCAAACACTTGTGATTTTGGTTCATGATCTTAGAGTAAATCGAAAGTTTGGAGGCGCAACAACAGATATAATATTCGGGAGTCTCAATGATTTCCAACGCTGGGGGCTAACGTCGTCACTTGATATTTTTCGGGAGACGAATCCGGGTGTTGAAACACCCGTGAATCACTTGTGCAATCATGCGCAACTTTGTGGTAAGTAATTACATTCTCAGTACAAATAGGGTTAAATTAGCAGGGATAGTTTTACCACTCATCCTCAGTGACAGTGAAACTGCATATAGAAAACAGTATTATTTATAAATTGAAAATATTTCAAAAGTCGAAATAGCTATTTCTATGCAGGTTTATGCATATGATGAAAAACAAGAGTGGTTTTGTTACAAACGTCAATCTATGAATTCCAGTTTTGCAACTTGTTTGTTGGGAATCGCACATAGTCCATCCATGTTTTTTTTTATCATGCGTCCACCTTCTGCATAGACTTTATGCATGTAATCTTGTGTATGTAATATCTTCAATATTTTTTTTGTTGCAGGCATTAACAATATTACTTGTGAGCACATTATACCAAGCTCACACACAAGACTACGTCACAAACAATGGAGAAAGTAGAGAAAGTGAGGCGGATGTTGAAAATATCTGGGCTTTATCGAGACGATCTCTGAAAATAGATTCTGCTGAACTGTCATCCCCAGGATCAGGGTCCAATGAAAATATTGATTTTGAAAGTCACTACAGTAAAGTATCTGGTCGACCAGGTATTCAAAGGTTTGCAAGGTATCGAATCATACGTCCACATCAACAACAAGCACAAACGCAACAGCGAACTCAGTCCAATAATAATAATCCAAGCTACGCCACAGGAGCTGTGCAATATTCCAACTTTGAACGGGATGGCTCTGAACTAGCCGATTATGATTTCGACGCTACAGCTACGTACAACAGTGATGATGATGACGATGCATTGGAAGATGACCGAGACTTCCGACATGGTAAAGGCGATAAGAAGAAGAAAAAGAAGAAAAAGAAGAAGAAGAAGGGGGGAGATGATTCTGATGAAAAGAAAGATTTGTCAAAACTCATCCCTCCATTTTGGCTGGGCAAACCTCGCCCGGGTTGGGGCACAGGTCATGTAGAACAGGTCGGTTGGATCATAAACAATCAAGCGAATCAGGGAAGTGGTTGGGGGATCTGGCCTGGAGGGTCGGACTCGCCAATCGGACAAAATACGGGTGGACTGAAATGGGTTGAGGGGAAGGGATGGACAGGAAGTGTGGGAGCACCATGGAGGCAAAATACCCACGATTGGGGTCCTGGATACGGGTGGATGCCAAAGGAGGAGGAAGGTGAGAATTCATAGATTTATTAAAGCTTTCTCCAGTCTAATTCATTCTTGGTGGTTTCGATAGGCAAAAAGGGCAAAAAAGGAAAGAAGAAGGGTAAGAAAGGTAAAAAAGACAAGAAGGGCAAGAAAGATAAGAAGGGTAAGAAGAAGAAGAAAAATAAGAAGAAAAAGAAGAAGAAGGGCCAGGAGGAGGACCCCTGCAAGGGTCGACGAGGAATGATGAGGGAAGGAAGAGGAAAAAAAGATAAGAAAAACAAGAAAGATAAGAAGAACAAGGGAGGTAAAGATAGCGGAGGAGATGGATGGGGCAAGGACCCCTGCGGTCCAGGTAAAGGAAATAGGCTAAAAATTACGATGATTTCTTCTTAAAGAATTAAGTCTCTATAAGCCCTCTCCCATTCATTTTTTTAGACCCATGGTTTGGATGGCCACAAAAAGTTAAATTCGTCCCCCCACCTCCACGCGGCTCACAAATTTGGCTCAAGCAGGGATGGGCACCAAAACCACTCAAGTCTGGATGGTCCGACTATCATGGTTGGAATTGGAAATCGAAACTAACAAGCGGGTGGGGTGTTTCTGACCTCATTGGAGTTGTGCATTTGTAATTAAGCAATTAAGGTTTGCATGCATTATTGTTCTCATCAAACTATATAAAAAGAGGGGTATAATGTGTATGCATATGTGTGTTAAAGTTGGTTTGAATAAAATATGTTAAAGAAGAATGGATGAGAAACGTTTGACAATAAGTCGTAAAGTATTTTTAACTTAACAATAGCTTACTACCTGGCAAACTCAATAACGGCAGACTGAAAGCCCAGACAGATTCCAAGAAATGGCACGTTTCTTTCTCGACACCATTGAGCAGCCAAAATTTTTCCATCCACTCCTCTGTATCCAAATCCTCCAGGTACAAGCACACCTCTGCATTATAGGAAAAAAATATTTAACGTCATCCATTAAATGCGCACGTATGCAATACTGAAAAATATGTAACAAAACTCACTGTGCACCAACTAAACTTCCCCATGCATCGTGGTACTTGACCGGATTTTCATTCACCATTTGTGGCTCCAAATCCTCAGAGCAGACATACTAATAATGATAACAATAACGGATTAAATTTCATTCACTGGAAAAATTATGAAATATGAATATTAACTATGGTATAGCGTGCATGTGTATTTGCTGATCTTTGTACCTTTAGGATTAGCTTTCTATTCGCAGCCAACGATGCGTGTTTCAACGCTTTTATCACAGATGCATAAGAATCCTCGAATTTAGTGTATTTGCCAACGAGAGCAATAACGGTTTCGTCAGTCAATTTATCAAAGCTGGGAGACAAAGAATTATGCATTTACTTTTAGTCATACTCATCAAATATATATATAAGCAGAATGTTTCTAGTTTACTATCATATTACACTCTAGAAAATAACCAGAAAAATATAATTACCGATCAGCCAAATCTCTCCACTTGGACATTGAGTCTACCAAAGGAGAAGGCCCCAAAATAGGCATTAACAATCTCTCCCTGAAAACTTCAAGAACTCCTTGTTGCTCCATCAAAAGTGGGACACGATAAATAGAAGTACAATCGTGAATTGAGATGACCTAATTCGAACAGAATAATTGCAATTTATGAGTAAATATGTATTTAAATCCAGTTTTCATGTTCATCAAATTCAAATTAAAATATAACCTGATGAGGCGCAACATGACAAAAGTTTGAGATTTTCATTTTTACTTCCTCCGAAATTGGATCTTCAGATCGACAAACAATCAGATCAGGGCTCAACCCAAGTCCACGCAATTCTCGAACGGATGCTTGAGTTGGTTTAGTTTTTTGTTCGCCAGTGGATTTTGGCTGTACATAATTAGCGTATAATTAGTCATTTACATCTTTTAGTGCAATAATACGTAGCACATATACAATTTAATCACGTACCTGAGGAACAAGAGATACATGTACTGAGAAAAAGTTGGTTCTTCCAACTTTAAATTGAAATTGACGAAATCTGGAAATAAATAAGTTTTAAATACCAAACAGTTCTTGTCAATACTAGTTATAGGTAAAAATTGTTGTAAGAATTACGCTTCGACAAAAGGCATTCCTTCAATATCCCCAATTGTTCCGCCCATTTCGATAATGCATATCTGAAAAAAATCGCTTTGTAAAATTTGGAAATAGAAATTCATATTATTTGATAATTTCTTACATCAGGGGTACGACTCTCATTAGCCTTACAAACCGGAAGTTTGCTCACATGTTCAACCCACTCTTGAATGCAGTCCGTTATATGTGGCACGACTGTAACCAAACGACAAAATTAGTAATCTACATTTAAGTCTTACTTTCACTTAAAATGCAATTACAACATATTTGCATAAATACCTTGAACCGTTTTTCCTAAATATTTTCCTTCTCTCTCCTCATTGATAACCTTCTGATAAATTTTGCCCGTGGTAATGTTATTTTCCGAGTGTAAAGTAGCGTCCAAAAATCTTTCATAATTTCCCAGGTCAAGGTCGACTTCTCCTCCATCATCCAAGACGAAAACCTCTCCTGTAATACAGATATATATGTCACACAAAAATTATTTCAACGTTCAACATTCGATACATGAATTTATGAAAACGACAATTTGTGTAATAAGTCGAATAATTCAAATTCAACTAACCATGCTCATACGGCGAAAATGTTCCAGCATCAATGTTAATGTAGGGATCAATCTATTTATTAAAAATAATCAATATTGTTAAAAATACGTAAAAGATAACCAATTATAGAATTATCAATCAAACCTTAATCGCAGTCACTTCAAGCCCATTACATTTAAGGATTGTTCCAATACTTGAAGCAATTACGCCCTTCCCGATCCCACTAATTACTCCTCCAGTGATTAAGATGTACTTCATTTTAACACGATAACTTCAAGCTCGATTTATGTCTTATCTTTGAATCAGTGAACCTTCTTGAATTGTGCAGAGAAGGAGACTGAGCGAATCTGGGTTACTTGGCGGAGTTTTATTTTATGAAGCCAGCAACCAAACCAGCATGCATTGTGTGCACATGCGAGCGACTGCCCACCTGACTGTCTCAGCCGGTAGTTTTTTGTATGAAGCATTTTTTTCTCGCAGTTCTTCGCAAAATAATAAATTTCGTTAATTTTGATTCCATTAATTTGGACGGTCGGTTTAAAATCTGCCGTTTTTTTTCGTTGAATGGGAAAAAGTGATCACTCATCAGCAGCAGCAGAAGGTGGACGACGAGGGGGAGGTAAAAGGAAAAATAAGAACAGAATGAGTTATCTGAAGCAAGTTCGTCAAGGTGGTGGAGGAGGCTGGGGACGTGGTCGCGGTCGAGGGGGGAGAGGTGGAGGAGGAGGAGGTGACTATGTCAGGTATGCTGAGCTTATCAGTTTTGCCAGGATTCTGATTTATACGGATTTTGAGATAACAATTTGTATGATTTAGCGCGTATGGTCGTGACGGGCACAAAAGGCGACAACAACTTGCCCCTGGGATGCGTGGATTCTTATTGACGACAAACTTTCGAGAAAGTGAATGTGTTCGGGATGGATACAATTTGCTGAATGAGTATTATCGACCAGAGGATGAAGTTGAGGGAGGTGTGAAACAAGTAGAGGGAATGGAAACATGCAGTGTTACGAATTCACAGGTACTTAGATATGATTAAGATGAAGAATACTTATAATAGCCAATATCCCCATGTAAAATTCTGCATCATATTTTATTTATTTTGCCACTTATTTTGCAGGATAAGGCACAAGAAAGCGCCGAACCTGCCAAAACTGAGGAAGGTGGTGAAAAAACGGAGGCAAGTCAAGTAGAAGCGTCCGGTTCACTAAATCCTGTGACTTCTTCTGACAATGATGATGAAGATATTGACAACGCTCTTGAAAAAGAAATCACAGAGTTGAAAAGTGACCGAAAAATTCAATATAACATGTTTCAATCGGTGGATACTGGCGTCAAAAACGTCGTTTTCATCAAAACTACGGTGGGCAAAGCGTTTAAGGAAATATTATTGTGTACAACAATTAATTAATATGTTTTGCTTGTTCTTTAGTTGATGAAACCAAATGGAATCATCCAAAGAATTTTTGATGATGTCTTAGCAAACAAAGAAACCAAATCTCGAAACATTCTGCGTTTCATCCCAATTGAAGGGACTTCTCGAGTGAGTATTCAATTATAATCAAAGAATCTATTCAATTAATTACGTACAACTTTTATATTCCAGACTGATAAGGAATCTATTCGTCAACTCTGCAAAGAAATATTCACTCCATATTTCGCTGGAGGGTACAAGTCTTTCAAAATAATTTTCAACGTTCGATACAATAACCTCGCCAGGGATGAAGTTATCGCAACTATCGCTGAGGTGGTCACCGAGATTAACCCGTTGAACGTGGTCAATTTGTCAGATCCTGAGTATACCATCATTGCTGAGGTCATTAAAACGACTCTATGCTTGACTGTGTTGAAAGATTTCTTAAAATTTAAAAAGTACAACATTGTTGAAATCGTGTCACCCACGCCACCTCCAAAACCCAAGTCAATCAATGATGAAGGACCTGGTAAAAAAGATACTGAGGATACATCAACACCAGACAGCGGAAAAAATGAAGCGGAAGGTCAAGATCCAAATAAAGCACCACCACTACCTGAAAATGTAGACCAAGAACCAGGCAATGGTGTTGATACAAGCGATATTATCGCAACAAGCGACCAGCAGAAATCGGAAACGGCAATGGAGGAAGCTTCAAACTAATAACGAATCCGGATATCAGACTGAACTTTGTAATCTTCGCCCAATTTGTTACTTACTTTGTTATCAGCTATTGATTATGTACCATTATGTTTTTGTAAGTACGGTTCTCCTAAAAATTCAATACGCCAAGAAATATTAGCTTTAGATCCAATATGAATTACTGTTTGGATAAATGTAATGTGTACTTTCTGAATTTTCAACATATGTAATGTCATATGCAATGCAACATGTAAAAAGAATACATGTGAATTTTAAAAAGTAAGTGCTTGTGATTGTCTCGACTAATCGTAAGTTAGCATTTGTACACTGTCAATTTGTTTTGTTTATTACAAATATTTTTGTACCAATGTTGCGAATTACAATAAAAATGCAAAGTACGAAGAATTGTAAAAGAATATTTTTCATGACATTCAGTTTGGAAAGCTTGAACCGAGCAGCTTAGCATTGAGTGAGTGCATAGTAGAGGGTCGCGGGATATTGTTTGCCCATGTGCTTCATTTTCACTTCACATAAAATAATAAAATAAATAATTATTTAATTACTTGAAAAGTATTATATTTTCATATTAGTCATCTTAGAATAACAGCTAGAAGGTAAATTATGTCGCAATTGCCTTTGTCACTTCATATTTGGTGTTGGCGTTCTAAAATTTAAAAGATGGAATCATTACATTTTTATTTTTCTTTTCAGATCAGAACTTCTGATTCGTTATTTAGAGCTGACCTTAATTACACCGATTTCCTTAATTTCAAATTCGTCGACGAGTTAAGTAAAATGGGAAGAAAGCGCAAGTTACAGGATGTCGATGAAGATGAAGCAACGGAAGTCGACCTTCCCCCAAAGCATTTGACCGTGTCGCATCTTCGAAAAGAGGAAAAACGTCTCATCGTCATTTTGGAAAAGGCTCAGTTGGAAACTGCCAAGGTGAGAGAGGATTTGATTAAACAATTAATTTCTTTTTTAAAAGAAATTGTTTATCTAAGTTCATGATGGGGAATAAAATTTAATAATTGGTGATGTGTCACAGGTTGGAAAAGGATTTGAACTCTTGAACTGTGACGACCACGCTGGATTTTTGAGACGACACAAACGCGACCCTGCTCAATGTAGACCGGATATCGCTCACCAATGTTTGCTAATGTTACTGGATTCCCCACTTAACCGGGCTGGACTTCTTCAAGTTTATGTTCATTCTGTGGGGGGCGTCTTAATTGAAATTAATCCTCAGACAAGAATACCTCGAACGTATAAACGATTTGCTGGACTAATGGGTACCAGATGCTCTGTTCTTAAAAATACGTGTTTAATTTATTTGCTAATAAGTACTGATGATGACGTTTTGTTGTAATTTTCAGTCCAATTGCTGCATAAATTTTCCATCAGAGCATCCGATGGGCCAATGAAATTGATGAAAGTAATCAAAAATCCTATAACGGACCATCTCCCTGTGGGATGCATAAAATACGGGACTAGTTTTTCTGCAGCCAAGTTGGTTAAACCTACAGAATTGCCGAGAGGAGACCAGCCAGTTGTCATTGTAGTTGGAGCAATGGCGCATGGAAAGGTCCTAATTTAATGCTTTATTGATGAGATTATTTTTAGTGTTTCTTCATAAGTTGCGTAATGTTTTTTTTGCTTATTTTTTTCATAGGTCGAGGTTGACTATACAGAAGAAATCGTATCCGTCAGCGGTTATCCATTGAGCGGTGCCTTGGCTTGTGCAAAAATAACCAGTGGGTTCGAAGAAGTATGGGGAATTCATTAGACGTTAGATTGCTTTTCGTTTACTTTTGACATTCATTAAGTGTTTGTACTTGTTCGCAAATTTTGACTGGAATTCTAATAATTATTTTCTTTAGTTAAAATGACCTTTAATAAAATTGTTGGTTCCTTTCATGTTTCGAGTTTGTCTCAAAGGAATCATAGAATTTATTTAAGACATGGTTATTTAATGCCAGTCCGATCTTGTAAATTGAATGCGTCTATTTGTTCAATTTGCAGAGCTCATTAGTATTTCTTTTCAAGTCCCCAGATCACACAAAGAGACATTCAATACTTTTATTACATTCATTCATAACGAATGAGACTTGGTAGAAAATCTACCCTAGAATTTCTTCCTTCCTTCCTTCGTCTTGGATGGTCTGAGTGAGTGGAATACAGAATTGAGACATTTTGGTCCCCTTTCCTTCCGCCCACACGCTTTTTTGATACACGTTTCATGCTGCGAAAGAAATCCACAGAGGTTCTCTCAAGAACTAAATTGCCACTCACTTTCACCTTACTTTTTTTACCTTGGTGGCTTGGTCGTCGTTTCTCCTCTCCACTTCCACTTCAGCCAACTTACTGTGAACTAGACCCAGGTATTCTTATGATTATTGGGCAATTGGTAGATGTATGTAGCCTACCTGACTCTGCGTACATAGGTTAAGTTGGCTGGCTTTTATCTAATTTAAGAGTATCACATCTCCAATCATTCCCAGCGGAATTCCGGCCGACTTTCACAAGTACTAATTGGATGTACGTACACGACACGACGTTTCTATTAAAATTGTTGGAAAGCAGTTCAAAGAAGAAAAAACTACGGTATAGTTATGGTTTTATGGCTTGACGTGTCAACCCACGTCATATTATTACATCATAGCCCACCTCTCTAGCCGACTCATGCATGCTTTATTGCAAAATGAAACCTTTTCTTTTACGCATGGATGATAACTCGAGAGGAGTCAACCATCGGGAAGCAAATTGAACTGGGAGTGCAAACTTTCCCCAAAGTAACAGAATAATAATGTCATCTGCTTTCCTAACCTTTCGTACTTGCACTCGCTCCACCTTGACGATTACTTTATCCTGACTAATTAATCTCCCATTTTGACTAAAGCCTCGGGCTGGACAAGCTCATTTAACAGAGAAAGGGAGAAAGCTGGCCGATTTCTCTGTCGAACTGATTGCAGAGAAGTAATGCTATACTATTTTACATGTCACCACAAAGTGAAAGCAATCGTCACCCATTGTGCAGTCAACCCACACACGAAAACACCACCAACTTGAATTACTTTCTTTCTCTCTCTGCCTACCTCTAATATTTAGTGGATAAGAGAGTCGCTCGCATACTATTACATACATCTCTTTGTACGCATTGCAGTGCAGTCGGAATATTGATTTCCATCCGGCTCCGACAATCTTTGAGTTGATTTCTGTCTGGTGAATGAGAGAGAGAGCACATGAATGGAATTTTGTCCCTACCAACAAACGCGTCTCTCGTGGTGCTCTTATTATTTCTCCTACACTTTCCCTTTCTACTTTTCCTGCTGATTTCGCCAAAAAGCTTCCCTTCTTCCATCTCGTCCTTTCTCCGCCGCTGCTGCTTTGAATCCAGGTTTTGCCTTTAGACAGACTAGCTGTGATCTAACAATATCTTTATTCCTTTCACTGCACTCCTCACTTTTTCACCGTAGTGCTGCACACCTAAATTATCTTGTGTGAAGGGTTCTTTTCATTAGGTTATCCCTTTTTGCACTGACCACCACCACAGCATCACCTCCTCACCTTTACAGACTTTCTTTATGTCTTTTCTCTCCCCTGCCTTCACGTCTTTTTTTGGTTTCATCTGGTGAAAGTGTAAAATATAAACAAGTTACTGCAGAGCTCAATCCTCTTACAAATTCATAGGGTTAACTTGTATGCACTCAGGATAATACGCTGGTGACCACACAAAGATAGCATCCTCCGAGGGCATAAATAATAAGAACGCTGCGTAGAAAAAAGGCTACACGTTCATATAGAGCTCGCTTTCATATACCCGCAATCACACATAATCCACGAGTCGAAATCATCAGTCATGGCACATAAAGCCATCAACGTCGTCGTCAACAAGTCCTCTTGCCCTGGTGGAGATACGCCCACCGCACATTTACCTGGTTGCTTCCACTAATTCAATCCAAGAAAGAAGAAGTGGTCCAAGTAGTTCCATTTGAAAACCGTGACTGTTTCCTTTTCTCATCAACATTAACGCTCTTAAGAGGAAGGTGGCTTGGCAGTTGGCACATATACTGCCTTCTTTGCCCCTCTAGCATTGATTGATTACCACCACGCACACACCCATTACATATTGGTATCAATTAAGCCGACACAATAGAATTCGCATGATTTTTTTTCCTCTGAAATTGCAAGCTCAACTTCATTATCGCATGTCTCATCCAATCCCGAGTCACGAAACGGATGCCGTAATAAAGTGCACATCACATCAGGGTCCGGTTTGATGGAAAAGTGTTTCATGACATAAAAGAGAAAGCATAGGCAGTGGAAAAAGTCAGCTAGGAAATATATACGACTCCGTAACCCACACATTCTCTCTGGCTCTAATAGTTTCCTTTCCGTCTTTGTTTTGTGTTTCGGCTTGTATGCATAGAAATTGGCGTGTTAATGCAGTTTCTCCTCGTTCCGTTCGTACCATCGTGTCATGATAGTCAGGACAAGATTGTCGTTCTGCCGTTCTGTTTACAACTCACTTTATCACCGCATCTATAGCATAGTTATTTAGATTCCGGTACATTTATTATTACCTGTGATATTTCTGCTGTGTGACTCGGGGACTTTGTAACCCCATCCACTCACTTATTTTTTTAAGTCAACGGGGAGAAAGCATGCGTTGAATTGGGTTTCTCCAGTAGCAGATACATAAAAAGAAATACATTCGGATACAGCAGCATAGTACACATGCAAACGAGAGAGAGAGAGAATTGCAGATATAATTTTGGTTGCTAGCCAAGCTTCACTTTCACTTTACTGTTTTAGTAGTAATTTGGGCGGTAGTATATGTAAGTAGTCCTCGTAATAGTAGTTGTTCTTTGTTTGCATGCAATTTTACCTCACTACACGCAAAGTAATACCATTCAGGGCAGGAAGAACGACCAAAGTTGAGAAGCTGCAGGAGTCTAGTTTAAAAGTGAGATTCGGAGAGAAAGCATAGTCGGATAAGAACTTATCTTTCTTTGTGGTGCGATGTACTCGCTGGAAATGACAACTGTCGCAGTGTCGGACTTTACGGAGGAGATTTACTACAAAATGCAAAGTGTCGAGTCCGACAAGTTTATGGAGGTGAGCGCATAATAAATACATTATATTCATACATATTTACTTATACATGGATTTACAAGAGGGAAAAAGTTTATTCTTGGATAAATATGTAAATTAATTTACATAAATATGTATTTGTCTATAGTATTGCAACACCATCAACGAGTCGGCGACAGAGTCTGCAAAAAATGTGACAAACGGAGTGAAAACCATTTTTGCAAAAATCATGGCCAACGTGTTTGAAGATGAGTGGAATGAGAATAATCCTCTCTTGATTGATTTGGTGAGAAAGCTAAAGTCATAAATAATTAATAAGGCGATAATTAATTGTATATAAAATTTGCATTAATTTTAAACTTCCTTTTCAACTTTCTCTCCAGGTCGTTCGCAACGTTTTGAAATACCTGCCAATGAAAGACCTCACTTGTTGCCGACAAGTCTGTCAACTCTGGAATAGCGAAGCCTCTGCACATTTGAGACAAAGTCAGCGAATCTTCTTTTATCCCGAGTCGACCCAGAAAATGACTACTTTCACCTCGTTTGTCGCACAATCAAAGCAGCAATCGTCGGACACGACGGAAACGGGATCTTATCCAGCCCTCGAGTATCGCGGACCCCCATTTTCCACCTATTGTTTCACTGCACAGTACACCACGACCCAATTTCCTCACCACATTATGCAAACTTTTGTCTCAACTTGTGGCGAGTATGTGAGAAAACTTGAGATTTTCTATCCCGACGATGCATTCCTCTCTCCACAAGACTTTGCGACTTTCTTTCTTCTCGGAATGCCAAATCTGGAGTCTATCCATATTGTCAACCTGCCTCAAAATTTAACGCAATCCTCATTTATTGAAGAATCTCTCAAAATTAATGATGATGACGAGTCGTCATCATTGACCAGTAATAAAACACGACCATCTCATCTCCTAAGTGCAGTTACCCACCTGAGAATAGATCGAACCTGGCAAATTGATACAGTTTGGGGGGTAAACTTTCTCCAAGACCTCCTCAGCCTCATGCCCAACTTGGTAGATTACGAATTGTGGACATGGAACTCGACGACGGAGGATGAGCATTCTGAACCTTATCTGATTTCCCTTTCTCCACGACACATACAAAATTTAAGAGTCCTGCGACCCGGCTCGATTGGCGACCGACTTGGCGTCGCGATCGCTTCGATGGGCCTTAAGCTTACAAAGCTGTACCTCCCCGTGTTGAACAGAGCAGTGACGGCGGAAGTGATAGAGCAGCTCCTATACAGCCAAAAAGGCACCTTGGAGGAATTTCAGCTAAACTGCTCCACGATGCAGGACTCAAGATTGTTAACGTTCCCCCGGATGGAGAAACTCCTCAGCCTTCACATCATGATAACTCACCCATGGAACAATGATTATACGCCGTTCACACCTCCGATCGACTATGGCACCCAGTTCCCTAGGCTGGTCACACTTCGGGTCGAGTTGGCCATTTATAACGATGCAAATTTCATCAACTATTTCTTCCCTCTTGGAAATAAGACACAAGCTTGTAAGACATTGCGAGAGCTGGACATTAGCTTTAGTGGATTTAGAAATGACAAATTCATCGAAACTGTGGCAGCAATTTTCCCCTCAGTCAAAAAACTTAGATTGGATGGGTACGGGAACAAGATTTTCGCTTCAATTTTCCTTCACATGCAAAACTTGGAGAGCCTTGAGCTCTACTTAATTTATGGATTTAATGTCGACGATCAAATGACGGGGATTTCCAAGGACGTCTGTTCAAGGGTGAGGAAGAATGATAAGGTTTTAAGAGCAGGAGGGTTACTCGACTACGTTGTCGTGAATGCATCGCTTTGCAGTTTAAAGAGTGAGTGTGCTTGACAAATCCGAACTACCTACATATTTTGAAAATTATGCTAATACTTGCATTTTCTTATCATGTTTTATGCAGAATTGCGTTCATTGGCGATCAAGCAGAAAGACTATCAAGCCAAGTTTTGGCCGGATGCGCAATGCATTACGAATATTACGGCATACGTGGCATTATCGCAAATGAAGCAATTGTCCCATCTTCACATTGAAAGTGTAAAGGTATGCAGAATTTACGATTGATTACTTAATTAGTTCAAATATGATGGCCTACATTAGTCTAATTTACTCTAATTGCTCCTTTGAATTTATAGTTTACCCAAGAATGTAAGCAGAACTTGGCCCAAGCCTTGGAAAATTGCTGGTTGGATTTTACATAGAATAATCACTTATTTTGTCAAGATACTTACTAAACAAAAAGCGAATTATACTAACAACTAGAACTATCTATATGTATATTATATTGAACTGGAACCATATTATATTATTCTACTAGAGGCAGAAAAACGATTTTAGCTCGAGCCAGGATTTATGGAAGTGTATGACTGTATGTATTTCTGGGAGACGCTAGCGGACGAACCACATTCGACCATCTCCACCTCGGGGTGGTTATAGTTCGTTCAATTCGGACAAAAATTTAGAAATGGATTCTGTTCCTGACTCGGGCTAAATGAAGTAGATTTTTTGTATATTTAGATGCACATCTTTTGCTCAGATAGAAGAGATTGCTCAAAATAACATGCTGCTAGAGCTGCTAGTTACTAATGATAACGTGCAAATATTGTTGTAGATTTTTTTATGAAAGCAAGTATACTGTTCAACTCTGAAAATGATGATTTCGGAAAAATGAAACTACAGGACCTTCAATGACAAATAATCTAGAATAGACATGATAACTTAAGGAGAAATGAATAATATTCAAAATATATAGCGAGTAGATAATGTAATGTCAAAGTCAAATTATTATTATTATGTGTCATTGTAGAAGATGAAATAAACACAAATTAAAGAATGTATGGCGACTTATACTCATACCAAGTCAGGGTCCTTTGACTGTTTCCTTGGAGGATTTCTAGACAGGGTCATGTCAGTTCAAAAATTCTCCAAAATTTTTTTTACAGATTTTAAAGTTTGGGAATATGCGCTGTTTTTGCTGGGAGAACTTGGTTGTCAAGAAAAATAAAATATTCTGTAAAACATCATAAATGCGCGCGAAAAATTTTTAGGTGCCGTTTTTGATACCGATTCTAGTTCAATTATTTTATAACTATTTTAATTTGCAATTCAATTAAATCCTTGTCATTTTATGACGTTTTATAGAATATTTTATTTTTCTTGACAACCAAACTCTCCCAGCAAAAATAGCGTATATTCCCAAACTTTAAAATCTGTAAAAAAATTTAAAAATGTCTAGACATTTAAAATTTAAATCTAGAAAATCTAGTCTAGAAAATCTAGACATCTAGAAATTTAAATGTCTAGAAATCCTCCAAGGAAACAGTTAAAGGACCCTGTACCAAGTCAAACAAAATAAGAATGACAAACTACTCTGCTTTCTCTTCTACATCAGGTTCTACTTTCTCTCGAGTTTTCTCATCAGTCATAGGTACCACTTTCTCCTTAGATTCTTCGTCAATTAGTTCTTCTTTCTCGTTAACGTTGAGTCCCTCTTTCTCTTGAGTTTTCTCATCATCCATAGGTCCCTCTTTCTCTTGCACTTTCTCATCAGTCATAGGTACCTCTGTCTCCTTAGATTGTTCGTCAATTGGTTCTTTCTCGTCAACTTTGAGTCCCACTTTCTCTTGAGTTTTCTCATCGTCTATAAGTCCCTGTTTCTCTTGAGTTTTCTCAATCTCATCGGTCATGGGTCCCTTAGATTGTTCATCAATTGGTTCTTCTTTCTCGTCCACTTTGAGTGCCTCTTTCTCTTGGACGTTCTCATCGGTCATGGGCCCCTCTTTAGATTGTTCGTCAATTGCTTCTTCTTTCTCGTCCACTTTGAGTGCCTCTTTCTCTTGGACGTTCTCATCGGTCATGGGCCCCTCTTTAGATTGTTCGTCAATTGCTTCTTCTTTCTGGTCAACTTTGAGACCCTCTTTCTCTTGGACGTTCTCATCGGTCATGGGCCCCTCTTTAGATTGTTCGTCAATTGCTTCTTCTTTCTGGTCAACTTTGAGACCCTCTTTCTCTTGGACGTTCTCATCGGTCATGGGCCCCTCTTTAGATTGCTCGTCAATTGCTTCTTCTTTCTGGTCAACTTTGAGACCCTCTTTCTCTTGGACGTTCTCATCGGTCATGGGCCCCTCTTTAGATTGTTCGTCAATTGCTTCTTCTTTCTGGTCAACTTTGAGACCCTCTTTCTCTTGGACGTTCTCATCGGTCATGGGCCCCTCTTTAGATTGCTCGTCAATTGCTTCTTCTTTCTGGTCAACTTTGAGACCCTCTTTCTCTTGGACGTTCTCATAGACCACAGGTCCATCTTTCTCTTTAGATTGTTCATCAATTGGTTCTTTCTCGTCCACTTTCTCGCAAACTTCGAGTTCCATCTTTTCATCTTTGTGTTCTTCTTTCTCTGCCGATGGTTTAATCTCATTTTCCCCAGTTTTCACGACGATGCGAAGACCTTTCCAGGTTAAATTGACCTTGTTTCGTGTCTTGGGAGCCTCAACGGTAACACCCTCAATTTGCTTAATGCTCCTGATTACTTGTTTTTCTTCAGCATCTATTTTAATCGCATGCAACACTTCTTTTCTAGCTCCTAAAAGGGTGTTTGCTACACCAACTCCACCACCAGGATTTTGCGCAACTGCTTCAAATCGGTGACTGAGAGGCAGAGCGTTTCCATTATTAATGTTAAAGATGTGGATCAAAGCTACATGGTCCATTTCAATCCCTTGTCCACCGTAACTCCATTCTTTGGGGGTCTCTGTGAAGACCTCCTTCATTTCCTTCTCATATGAGGAAGATGAGGCGATTGAGAGCATCCGACCCAAATTCTTTTCATCTGGAGGAGCTTTGATCCTTTCACAGGTTGGAGAAGGCGGACTGTAAATCTTCAGCAATCGAGATTCTCTGGCGGCCTCCACGTTACGCGGTCGACTTCCGTTGTAGTCTCGAGAAGATGGTTTCATGACCGCTGTAAAAATAGTTATGTTAGATTTTGTCCAATTTAGAGTTTATTATTGATTACCCGAACTAGTCTTAAGAGCTCCACAGCGAAAACAATCGTCCCTCCAATCAAAGTTTGAACTCCCGCATCGAGTGTCGCCACAAGTCCACTCCTTCAAGCATTTTCTATCTGTAAACAGAGAAATGGCCAGAATATATAAATTCATATCGACTTAAAATTAATAAAGCTAGCTAATTTTGATGAATGATGTTAAATAACAATACCAGTAATACCATTTCCTGGTTTGGGTGCGTCTGAAGCTCCCCAGTCCGATGAAGGATTGAAGTCTCTCCTTCTATTATTGTCCCGTCCGCCTGGTTGCCCACGCATAAGATCATCAATGTTAGCATTAGACACAGGTGTTACTGGTGGGGCACCCCACTCATCCAATTTCTTCACCGGGGCAGCCTTACTATTGCTGGCAATTGGAGTCCCCCAATCATCCGAACCTGCTTATTTTAAACTTTGGGTTCTTAAACGTCACGCCAGAACAATTGCTAATTCAGCCAAAATGATGCGTTTCTACCTGTGCTCGGTGAAGGAATAGTGCTTGAAGATCCCCACTCATCAAATCCTGCAGGCGAACCGGAAGAAATTCGTGGACGTTTGGTTACTGGTTCGTAATTTGGATTGTTAGGACTCTCTTCTCGGCGCCGACCTCCTCCTCCTCCACGACCACGACCATTAGAGTTACCTCCGATTCCTAATAAATTAAAATGTACAAATGCTTAAAACATATATTTAAATTTATATACCTGGGGGTGCTGCCGCATGGCATTTGAAACATTCGCGACGTCCAGAAAAATTATTTGCGTTACACCCAGGACATTCCCAATCGCCTTCTTGAGGTTCTCGTGCTAAAAATGGATATGCATTTTCGTAAAGTATTGTAAAATTTTTAAATATTTACATCAAAGGTTAAATTTCGCATCAACGTACGTGGGCGGCGAGACTCTCCTCCCAATCCTAACATTAAGTTATAAACATTTATAAATAATGAAGTAATCAAGTTATGAAGGCCTACCTGGGGGTGCGGCCGCACGGCATTTGAAGCATTCGCGACGTCCAGAGAAATTCTTTGCACTACAGCCAGGACAGTCCCAATCGCCTTCTTGAGGTTGTCTTGCTGAAAATTGGGAAGTGAAATTTCAGTGAAAAGCATAAAGAGTTACATTTTATAACGGACAACGTACGTGGACGATCACCTCCTCCTCCACCACCTCGTCCCCTGCCACCACCTCTATCGCCACGTCCTCGTCCTCTCCCTCGTCCTCCCCCACCACCAAACCTGATTAATTAAAATTCAGTGACAAATTAATATAGCTATAACTGCAGTATAATTATTTATACCTAATGTAGCAATTTACCTGTCTCCATCATTCGAAGAGCGTGAACTGCCACTACCACCACCGCCCCAGCTATCGTTTGCTGAAGTTGTAGTGCTTGCAGGTGCGCCCCAAATATCGTCGTTAGCTTTCTTCACGGGTTCTCCCCATTCGTCTATGGCAGGATTAGCAGTGCCCGCTGGCTTGCTACTTGGAGCACCCCACTCATCCGTACTGGGCACAGGATCTGGCTTTTTTGCTTTTGGCTTAATTGGTTCACCCCATTCATCAGTAGCATCATCAGCAGGAGCACTATTGGTAGCAACTGATGCCGTCGGCAGAATTTTCTTCACAATGGGTTCGCCCCACTCATCCGTTTCGACGTCTTCTTTCTTTGCAGAAGGTGGTGGTGGCAATGCTGAAGCAGCACCGTTCGCAGCAGATGATGTCGGTCGAATTGAAGCGAGATTTTTCTTAACAATGGGTTCCCCCCACTTATCCGTTTCGACTTCTTCTTTCCTTGCACTTGGTGGTGGCCGTGTAGAAGCAGCACCGTTCGCAGCAGATGTTGTCGGTCGAATTGCAGAGGGATTTTTCTTAACAATGGGTTCTCCCCAGTCATCCGTTTCCACCACTTCATTCTTTGCAGTTGGTGGTGGGAGTGCCGAATCAGCAGATTTGTTATTAGTCTCCTCGGTTCCCCAGACCTCGAACGAGGCATCAGAGTTAGGGTTGACTTGCTTCACTTGATATCCGCCAACTGGGGGACCTCGTCCTCGGCCAAATCCAGCACCCGATCCTCTTGAACTATTCCCCGAGTAGTCCCTCTGCGAGGAGATGTCCGACTTGGGCTGCATACAGTCGAATGCGGACACGTTCGCAGTGGCAGGATGTTCGTACGATCTACGAGAGAATGATCGACTGGGTTCACCCCACCCATCATCTTTAGGTTGATTTCCCCACTCGTCATCATCTGTTTTTGTTGATCTTGGAGGAGCTGACTTTGATGATGCTTCCGACTTTGGAATTTTAAATGATTTCAGATCAAAGTGTGGAGCTGGCTTGTTCATGAGTGGAGCAACCAGCAAAGATGGGGACAAGGGTACTTGCGATTTTCCATACGCCTTTTGGGGTTCTAATTGACTAAGCGACTTGGCGTATCTTGACGTCCGCGATCGTGAGCGAGGATCCATACTTGCATCCACCATGTCTGATGTTGGCTTTGGTGGGATGATAACTTGCTTGGATTTTTCTTCTTCTTCCTTTTCTTTCTTCAACTTTTGCAAAAGTTCCTGCTTTTGCGTTTCCGAAAGCCGGTCACCATGAGAGGCCCTCTTCTCCTTTTTGATTTTCTTGAGCATATTCCATGCCTCGTCTTCCATCTTTGATAAGCTCCTTGCACCTTACCTATTGAGTATTGATTAACGAAATTAAACAACCTTATCTGTGATGAGTGTCAATACACACACAATATACATGTCTCATATAAATTGAAAAAAAAAAATTTCAAACGTTCCTTTATTATTGCATTAAATAACTTTATTGTACACACAACGAACTTACTAATATCACGTTGATTATTCCAAACTATAATCTTTCTCTTTCCTTCGAGCACCTTCCTCGGCCTGATAAAAATCCACACACTGAACTATTTCTACTTCTACTAATCTTTCTACCTACGAATTACGATGGATTTAGGGCAAAAAAAAACTTATCAGTCAAATATCTACCTTTGCCTCTGCCCAATTACAGTAAACTCAGAGACAGACAGCTCAATAACTGAAGACGCTCAAATCCACACTGAAGACAGGCGGTCAACTTTACGAAACAAAAGGCCCAAAGAAGCTTCCCCGAGTGAAAGGACATGCTCTCAAGTCGTGCTTTTCTTGTTGTATGGAGTGCGCTGCTCCGGTGAGATTTCCTGCCGTTGGACGAGGATCGAGGGGAAACCATTGAGTTTTACGGTGTCGCGTCGCAGCGCAACTTTTTCTCGATTCAACCTCATCGGTTTGTTTCTCATTCTCGCAGTTTCTTCTTCGTTGTTGCAAAATTATTGTTGTTTGTAAACGCAATTTGGAAGGAGAAGAGGAGGATTGGTTGAGGAAGAGAAATTCAATAAATTCTTGGAATTCCTGGTCTGGTCAAGCCACAACTGCTGGACACACATTTCCTGTCGTATAAAGTTTGAAAGTATGGAGTAAAGGTGAAGGGTAAGCTTTAATTTTGACTTTGCATTACAATACAAATTATATAACGAAGAAGTTATCAATTAATTGTGTAGGTGGTCGGGGGATGAGATGAATTTTTTGGTTTTCTCTGTTATGTATCAAGGAACTCATTATTTATTGTATTTCCTTGTAGGTTTCCGGGTTTCAAAAAAAGTGAAAGGCAGGAGGATACTAATTACACTTGTTTATATTCGAAGTTTGACGTCGCCTAAAACAAGTAGTAATGATTTGTTTTATCCAAAGAAGATGGACATGATACACATAGTAATTAAGCTGAAGTGAACGTGAAGTGAAATTATTTCACATTTGGTAAGTATAAGTAATATGAGTTATGATGATTTGTAGATCAGTGAAACTTGTCTCATTGCAACTTGATTAATCGTTACTTTCTTTATTACTACAGGTTAAACAATTTATGCAAATCGCTCGTTGATTATAAAATTGTTCATCGAGGAAAAAAGAAACCACTGTTTAAGATGGCTACTAAATGTCTTATTTGTGACGGAGACATACAAACAAATGGAATTAACGTACCAAGAGGTGGGGTTCCCACAAAAAAGTTTCATCCTGATGTGGAAAGCCCCAAAATTCCCGTACTCGGTGACAGATCCAAATTTGCCCTCACCCACGTCCAGTACACTGTACTTCAAAGAGTGCTCACCCTTCCTGAAGAAGCGTGTAAAAATGAACTCATGTTTGGGCCCTATTGTCGCGAGTGTTTTACTAATATCAACAACGTTTGTCACTGTATGACTGCCTTGGAGAATCTTCAACAGTCAGTCATGGAATTCAGGAAGGATTTTGGTACCAAGATACAAAAGAGTTGTGATGATACTGGACCTGGAATACCTGCTAAAGGGTCCAAAAAGAGAAAAAGTAATCCAACTGACAATAATTCAAATAGTCAGCCTGTTTTCTCTGCACGCAGTACGATTCTCAACTGTAAGACAACAAATATATTACAGACATTACGCATTAAGATACATGATCATATATCATGTGGTTATTTATGCATGTTTTTCTTCTTTATTTTTCAGATTTGAACAAGGGTGTCTTCACCGGAGGCGTTCCTAATATAAAACAGAATGTGAAAATGAACAGCAACAAACATATTCACGACACTATCAGTAATATGGACCCCAACACCCAATCTCCTGACACCCACGTCGAAGCTGACCTCGTGGTTCGGACGACTAATGGAAATATGCCTGCCAAAAAGCACAAAGCATCACAGAAAAAATGCAATTTGCCACCCAAATCTAAAAAGCAAGTTAAACCTCCTAAACCACCAAAACCGTTAATAACAGCAACGAAACAATTAAAACCAGTAGTAACGCCAATAGTAAATGCTTCTGTCACCCCGACCGAACCTATTGTCAAGGAAGAAAATCAAGGATATAAATGTTGGTGTTGCTCTCGAGTTTTTCCTACGGATGCCGCCCTTGATAAGCATGAGGAGGTCTCTCATCGCCACAAATGTACGGTTGCGGGATGCACGAGAATTTTTCATACTCCAAAGTCACTTAAAAGCCACATGATTAACACGCACAAAATAACTTTGACAAAAGCTTTGAATGTGCGAAAAATGAAGAAATGTGACGAATGCTCAAGATATTTTCCAAATTTTAAGGCGCTCAATAAACACCAAGCCGTCAAGCATCCCAAGAAGCCTGCTAGTACAAATAGTAATAATTCATCAACCACCAGTAGCAGGCCAGGTCGGTGTAAAATTTGTTCGAAAATTGTAATGGATATCCAAGCCCATATGAAGATGCAACATCCTGAGGCTGTTAATGAGAATCAGCAAAAGTCAAAAACTACTATTACTGCTGCTGAAGAGACAGCAACAAATCGTGATTCACCACAACAAAAAGTGAAGACGAAAGTCAATAACGGGATAGAAACACGACCCATGAAGTCTACAAGATCTAACCCAGATTTGTTTAAACAAGTCGATCCTAAAGTGACTGAAACTGAACAGTCCTTGTTCATCTTAAAATCTGAAGAGACAAATAAGACTGAAAATAACGATGAGAAGCTAAATTCGCCACCCCTTCCATCACCTCCACTTCGATCTGCTGTCCCTTTCAACTTTTCGGTACCCTCGAATATCGCCAAGTTGCCCACTCCACCTCAAGCCCAGGCAGGAGCAGGATCCAGCAAATACCAGTTTAAGAATTTATTGAAAATTGGAGATAAAATCTGAACTTCAAAGTTAAAAAAATGCAGGCTTTGACCTTATTTCTAATTCTAACTAAACGTTGCAAAATTCACAATGTTGGCAGATAGGAAGAAAGTTATCACATATTTATCATCCATAATTATCAAGAACCAATTTCTTATCCGGATTATTTTATTAAGTATTAGTTTTATATTATTTTAATTATAATACACTACATGTTCATTAAATTTTACGCATGCCACGCTATTTTCAATCTTTGTTAAAGGATTAAACATGTAATAAGAATTATCATATATCTGTCAATTGTTGAATGTATTTTCAAATTCAGTCCGTACAAAATGTTAGTTTTATTGTTTCACTTTGTTATTTTACCATATTATGATTCATATTCATAACTTCATAAGATATAATTTTCAACCATAATTGATTTCATTCGATTCCCATGCATCCATTGATTAAATTCCGTAGCAAGTAGATTGACGAGACTGCACTCCTTCACTTACTTGTGGGTAGTGATATAAGTATTTTGTATCAAATGAAACTGAATGGTTGATTTAATGCAAAATAAATGCTTGCATACAAAATTTTAGACATTTGCAATTATTTATTTACATATTGCTGATAATAAGAGCACGCAAGTACTTGCAAAAGTGACTTGCAAAAGTGATTTCCGATTGAGAGGGCTCAACGCCGAAATATTTACATTCATTAGATTTTCATTTTCAGCAACGAGTTGGATTTTACTCATTCATCATTCGCACTTCGCAGCCAGCAAACATTCCCTCTCAAATCAATTCTGGTCCTATGATCGTCGTGTGATTAAATTCTTTTGCACGCTGCAATTATTTCAGAAATCTGAAAAACTTTGAAACTTTGTAGTTTGAGAGACACACTCTTCTGAAGAGTCTCTTCAACGGTGGACAAAAAGTAGGGAGGGAGGGCAAACGTTTCCTCAGTTTTCCAATCATTTAGCCTAGCACACAGAATTCAAGTTTGAATGATTATCATTCTTATTGACAGAAAGTAATAATGACGACGATGGACCTCGAGGTTGACAGTACGAAAGAGATGGGCTCATCATCATTGTCCTCAACAGAAGTCAATAATGAGTCAATTGAATCCACTCCTTCTTCAACAACAAGTCAGTTAGAGCATGTCACGCCAGCCAAGGAAGCGGTCAAGGCGAAGGGAGGAGGAGAACCTGCTGTCCCCGGAATAATCAACAAACAAGAGAGCGAGGAAGACGATGCCTTCTGCTGGCGAAAGTTCCTAACGGTCAACTCTGACTATGCCTTGGAGGCTGCACCGGTCTTTGACTTTGCTGGGGTGAGTTATCATTAGTTTTACTCATTATCAATCAATACAAAATAAATTCATCAAGGGTAGATAAGGTATTTAATGTGGGAAATATGTTTTTCATTAAGGCACCCCTGAAAGATAAGTGGGATCAATTTACGATTTCTGATTTGAAGATCGAGTATTTAGTGGAGAAGAATTTGACAACAGCTACCAAGACCTATGATAAAGTTTTCTGGGTTGGAAACATTCGAAAGTATTTCGGTAAGGAAACACATTTCCCTTTTATTGATATTGTTAATTAGATAAATATTCCATTCAAATCTTGTGTATTATAATGGACAGGATATTTGGCCAAGGTGGAGGATGAAGGATATCCAGCAACAGGTAAAGAAATTCCATATCAATGGATGAACTTTGTGAAAGACTGTCATGGGATTGGATATTGTGCCTCGTTGAAATCGTTGAATGCAGCTCTAATTCCTCCACTTCGTGAGCTTTTTATACCATTGCTAAATTCGTTTAATAACATACACCAAAACATAATTACAACATTTCAATTTCAGAAATCCTAAAGTCCGAAATGGACTGGCGTTCTTGCATTATAACTCGAGCAAGGAACCAGTTAACAATTCATCCGCTTGTTGCTGAAACGTTTAAACTTGAAATGAATCTTGGGTGAGTGAGTTTCTCTAAATTTCTGGGTATTTTAAAACACTTTAATTCCTGGATATAATAATATAATTTGATTTTCTCAAAGTTTCAAACCTGGAACTGCTGTTGAAATCTTGGATAAGTCAAACATGTCGATGATGAAAGAAGGAACTATAACCGATGTGAAAGGAACGCGTGTTTTTGTACGATACTGGGACGCCTTGGACCCGAAAAATACTTCCACTTCCGGTAAGCCAAGATTTTCTCAGAAATTGAAATAGAACGTTCAACAATAATATTTTTGATAGGACTTTGGTGTGACATTCGATCTTTCTTGGGTGCACCTGTCCCTCCTGGCTGGACCAAGAGCATTGGCCACGAAATATTAGGTCACGAAGGATACGACCCGATACCGTTGAATGAGAATTTTTTTGATGAAACCAACGAGGATGAAGATGAAACCGACGATGTTCCTGTACTTCAAGAAGTTGGGATGAAATTAGAAACTATTGACCCATACAATCTGAACTACATTGCAGCAGCAACAGTAGTCAAAGTTCTCAAATTTGGTCACATGGTGATTTCCATCGAATCCCCTACGAATATTACTGGAGAAAAACTGGCAGGGGCTCAGCAGAACCTGTATTTGTGCCATATCTCATCGCCGCATATTTTTCCGTGTGGTTTCACAAACGAAGTTGGAATTGAATTGATTCCACCAGCAGATCGTCCTTCTCACGATAAACCATTCATCTGGAAAGACTATTTTGAGACGACTGGATCCAAACCGTTGGCTATTAAAAAATCATCTGATGTATGTGTTTAGTTTAACAAAAATGGAGCCTGATAACAATGTTTGGTCAGTTAAGAGATATATTCATGAATTATTGACAGATTCCCCAAACTGGATTTTCAATCGGGCACAAATTAGAAGCTGCGAATTTTTCGAGCATTCAACCAGCTACGGTGGTGGACATCAAAGGACCCCTTCTCCGTATTCGGATTGATGGATCGGAAGAAGGAACTGATAAATGGATGCACTATGAATCGTTTGATTTGTACCCTGTTGGTGAGTGGAAATATTATTGCACAAAATTTACTATTTAGTCAGTATTTTATTCTTTGGGAAAAGGATGGTGCGACTTGTTAGAATATCGACTAACTGGGCCTAAGAAGGACTCTACGTTCTGGAAAAAATACAAGCATCCCAGCCAGTTCAAGTTAGTAATTCAAATTAAATGATTTCTTGCATTCCTTGCTCACATTAATATTTTCTTTAATATTATTACGATAGGCCAACTATACTCAGCCGAGCCCGCATTCTCCCACAACTGGAATTGTCTAATGATGCTGCAAAAAAAGGGATGAAGCGAAAGTCGGCAGAGCTGTATGACACTGCCGTTTTCAACTGTGACGTTATGAAAGCGGATGCCATCAAATTGGGACCCAAACCAAAAGTTTTACGAAAATCAACAGTTGAGGAGGTACGTGCTATGTTGAAAAATAAGAAGACTTCTCATGCTACTGAACATTAAGGATTTCTTTAAAGTCTCACTACATATCCATTATGTAAACACAGCTTCCTTCTTATTTATATGACCAAATGTAACTTCGTATTTTAGATATTACTGTCATTTTCTCTTGTAGCTTTATTTTACCATTTAGATAGGTCAGTTGCATGAATTATTCACCTTATGTTACGTTTAGTAACTCGGTTTGAGTTAGGTGGGATTTTTTTATATCTTTGTTTCAATTTTCTAACGATAACACCAGTTTATGTAACTCATTTATTGGCTCTTCTAAATACAGTAACATTATCTTAAACCTGAACCACAACTTTGTCCACATCCACATGAGTAATAATATCTATATTCAATTGTTTTGAGCAGTCATCAGCCATTTGGCGAATCTCATTTGTCACACACGACATGAAATGCTTCATTTCCTCGACAGAAATGCATGCGTCATCGGCAATCCCAAGGAATCTAATGTGTTGCGCATACCTCATTATGATGATGCCCATGCCTGTGCAAAAATATACGAATTAATTAGTGTTACGTAATTACTAAGAAACATTTTACTATATACAGTTTAATTAATTAATTTACCCGTGTCAGTTATGAGAGGTGGCCATCCAGATACATGATTAACTTGAGTGTCAAACAAACAAACCTCCTCCTTGGTCATTGGCACGTTACTGAAACTAATAGGGTTCCCAGCATCCTCCATCAATGCTTGGATTACACAGGCTGGAAATCTTCCAAAAAATGAGAACATGAACCTCGTCAGAAAAAATGAGGGGTCAAATGGTATTCCTCTGATCTCCTTGTCTACTTTAAGAATCCTCCTGTACCAACTCATCTCTCCGATCGGGAGGTTAAAGTGGGTCAAGGTAAACTGATTTTTCGGTCGGATATCCTTATATGGCAAGAGTGCGTTGATCATCCCCAACACGACCTGCTTTTCACTCAGGGAATCTTTGGTAGGGAACTTTTCATTCATTTTCCTTAGTCCAGCCCCCGTCGCCGTTGCAAGAATGGTAGGGACGCTAACTTTCGTGGCGGATTTTACCCTCCGTAAGACGGCAGCATCCAATTTATCCGACCAGGCAAAATGTCTCCGACCGCTGTACCTTTTCGTGACGAATCGTCCCTTAAGTCGGGCCGCCTTGTAGATGGTTTTAACACAGGTGAAAGCCGCGCTGAGGACGCAGATCGATTTGATTAGGAACAACTTGACCTTGGGCACCTTCAACTTTCCCATCGTGTCGATAACGTGGGGGAAATTTTCGGGATATTTGTCATACAGACAATGAGAAAACATCAGATTTGCCGTCGCACCGTCCATATAACTGCAGAGAAATTGTGCATATTTTATATTAAGCTAGTCATATTAAGTTAGTTTTACAGATATGCATCTAAAAGTTAAATTGAAAAATTTTCAATGAAAATCTTTTTTTCAAAATGTGAGATATTTGCCATACCTGTGATGATACCGGAAACAGCGGACGGATTGCATTTCATCTCTATCGACACACTTCACGGCAGGAATGATAACTTACATAAGTTTTAATATCAATTATTATATGACGCCAAAATCGTAAATTCAATATAGACACATTGTGAATATGAATATATGATACCTTCCTCCCACTGAGGTTTCGAGTCATCCATATCGTCCGCCAAGCGTGGAAGAATGTCTTCCAGAAATTGATCCTCCGTATAAAACATTGAAGATTCATCACCATTTTTATTACCGGTAGGTAACGGCTCCTCCCACATTCGGACGTGATCCTCAATACGAAAGTCATCCTCTCGGAAGCAATCATACCCAAATTTCCGTGTAAATGTTTTCGTCAACTTTTCATACGGTCGGAGCCCACACGGTAACTGTTTTCGGATGACGCGATTAAGGAACTTTAACCTCTGTGCGTCCAAATCTTGTGGTGGTATTGGATCGTCGGAAAACATGGCAATGACACACATTCTATTGTTCCCGACCTTTTTGTAGTGCCAAATGTTGTCCGCTCCATCAGGGACGAGGGTAAGCTTTCTCCCATGCTTGAGATAAAGGATAAGGGAGATGATAAGTCGGACAATCTCGTTGAAGAACCACACCGTCAAAAATATGGGGCCGATGAGACATGTGAGAAGAAGGGAGATAACAATTTCCAAAGTTGTCCTTATCGAAAAGGCGACCGCCTCCAGGATCCGTGTCAACTTGTGCATAGTGACGAATTATGAATTATAATAATTTTTTGAATTCTTCTAATCAACACAAACAACACCATTGTTTAAGTTCCATTTCCTTTTTTTAATGGAAACTTTATCCTAGAAAATATTATTTGACCCTGACCAATCCTTAGGAGAGGAGAAAGTTTTGTTGAGATTTGCATGGGAAATTAGACGATGCACCACTCCGAGTAAATCTTGGAGTGACTAAACACATCCAAAACTGGGACACGGATTATATATCAACACAATTGTTATGAGCTATTCGTGGCTAGAACTTATTCGTAGTCGTGCTGTATCTTTCTTTATCTTATTTGGTTTGGTTTCACTGTGTTATCTTCACGTTGAGTAAGAGCACTCTCGTTTAGATTTGATTTTGAGATGGATTACTTTACAAGTCTGTCATCCCAGTCGTCACCACGTCTTGAGTGATGGACACATTTGGTTTGGACCTACTTTACTTGTGTCAGACCAGACAACAATACGTGACTATCTATTATTGTGGCTTTGTGATGTGATGACGCTATGGCTCATTTTCATATTTGATTAGCTAACCCTTGGAATTTATGTATGTGTCTCATTGAGAAGGAGACGCACATCTTGAAGCCTTGCAAGGAACGAAGAACTTGTGACTTTCTGTCATTCCGTTTAATAATTCTGTTTTCCTGAATCGAGTTTCATACGCATATCAAATATTTATGAATGAAAGAATTGGTAGGTAAGTCAGGTATGTCTTGACAAGACAGTCTTGTAGCTTATTTTTGGAGAAGGGCTTAATAATAACCCTGGACAATTAATCAAATTAGAGTTCGCAGGATACGGTTTTGGAGGTTATTACGTAGATATTTCGGTAAGAAATGTGGCACGTATTGCGTATTATATTTATGTGTCTCGTTTATCTGAAAAATGTCAACCAATCTAATAGATATCAGGAAATTTATATAAGAATGATGGATCAGAATAATAACGTATGAATCCAATCCAGGTGCAATATTGCGTATTTACTTAGGACCCACTTATCAATTACACGTACTGAACAACTCGAGAGTTTTTGACGTCTTATTACTAATATGAAGTGATTTATGCAACAATAATGCCCTGATTTCGGTATTAATAACTTCTTGACTTATGGAATCGTCAAGTCCGTCCGTCCGTCCGAGGCAGACACAATGAGACGAATAATCTATAACTTCTTCGCCTAATAATTCGAATCAAACTAAACCCGACGTTAGATGAGCCGTTCGTTTTTATTTTCTGGTATAGCATCAATTTTGCAATAAGTTGTGCAATTTTCAACTCGAAGCAATCTTACATGTTTGTCTTGTATTTTATAAATTGAGATGTAGAAGTAATTAGCCATTTTATTTCAACCACAACTAAACCACAGGACTATACCACGCACAATAAATAACTAATAATAGTAAACATTATGGTACTGCACTTAACGCGCTAACTAACTGTGTCCGTTTCCTTACTCCCAAAAGCAAGGAGGGAGACGCCTGTGGAGAGACTTTCAAAATTTAAATGACTTTACAACACCCTGCCGAATGTGCAACTATACTGCAATGAAATGACTAACCCTTTGCCAATTATAAACCATAGCCTCAAGTCTCCTCAGTTTATAGTTTCGATCTAAACTTGCGTAATTTTTATTATTGCTTGTATTAAAGCATTTTGGTATTTATTAGTTTGTCACTTCTTCATTTAGATATGCACATGCCAATAAAGTTGCTTTGTTTCCTTAATTCGTGTATCAAGGCGAGACTGTCGATCATAACAAAAACTACATATCTAATAATAATAATTTTGTAAATAGTTCTAATTTTAAGTTTTTTACTAATTTTACCTCGATTGAATTTATTGTTTGTGATTTTGCATGCATTGAAATTAACCACAACCTATCACATGAAAAAAAGTTGCATACACTGTAAATACTTACGCCTATACAATGCTCCTCTGTTGACTTGCATTCTTTATGATGGATAGTTGAATTGATAAGTATCATCCCATAAAAAATAAAGGTCATCCGGTTCGTTTACAATAAGAAGCAACTCCTCGTTATTTTTAAATCTTTCTTTCAAAAAAGCGGACATTATCTTGTCCCATCATTAAGTAAGGCAACTCTTTGTGTGCGGTAAGTGCATTTCGAAAGCTTTCCTTACGAGATGACAAAATGACACGAAATGAAATATATTTCTCAAATGATTACAGAGTAGACTGATGAAAAATGTTACAAAGTTCATTCATAATAATAGTTATGAATCTTAAACTAGTTTCAAATGTAGAAATGAGAAATGCATGGGACATGTGGTAGTCTCATTTCATGTGTAAATGCAATTTGATACTTACTAAAAATTGGTACAAATCCTACTTGACGATAAAGGTCACGCCACGCGTATGAATGCAGTATGAATAGGTGCACATTTACTGCACTACCTGGTTGGTACATAAAAAGTGCAGTAATGCTTTCATTTGTACGGCTTTGATGCACAATTGTAAAGCCAAGCGGAACTATCATAATGCACGCGCCTTATAAACGAGACGAGAGGAATGTCCGATGTGATGTGATGAATTTCCTAGTGCTTTGACACGCTTGGTGAATTGTGGCTTAGAATGATTGACAAGTTGACACAAGTAATTTAAATTTTCAACAATACGTATTATTCGTACAATCAAGGGTAAGTACGCGAATTATCAAGGGCCACCCAACTAAATGCGATGCTGAAATTATTGATGCATGGATAATTTACAAATAATTAGGGTAAAATGGGTTTTATTTAATTAGTATTGTATGCAGATGCATAAACTTGACCCTAAGCTTATTGTAGCGTGATTATAATTATGTAAGAAGTAGTTCTCTATTGTTTGTACTGTTAAGTCGTTGCGCTACGCAATTAAAATTAGTTCTCGAGAGTGGATTGTTTAGTTAGAAGAGCTTTAAGTGAGGGGATTCAGTCATAGCATGCATGACAAAAACATTGGTTTCATGAAAGTGAATTTCTATTTTTGCATACCACTCAATATTTGTTTCTTTCAAAGGGAAATTCCCACAGAGCTGGAATAAGTACATAGAAAATTTCACAAGAAATATAAAAGATGCAAAGTCATAAGAGAACAAGAAAATTTACCCATTCAGAAAAAGACACGCCTTAATTTGCTTTTTTAAAGACTGGAAATTCCAGACTTAAACAATCCAAAAGAATCCCATTATTTAAACAGTGTATTTGTACTTTATTATTGACGAGTGGACAGGACAACCACTATTTCAGTAAGTATTTGGTAGATTCATGCATAAAAGGTACACTTTGTTGAATATGTAGGTAGCTGAGAATGACTAAATTAAATTAGCATGGGTAACAATAGTTTGATTGGTCACATTGTTTGATTCAAATTTGCGCTAGAGGTCAAGTTTAGTGGACGATAATAGCTCCCTCCTCCTCCTCCCGTCGTATGACTGCACATTTCTTTCTTTTGTCGCAAAAAATCACTTTTTCTACTTCGGCGCAAAGGTTTGGACTTGATTCTGCTGCAGAAATCGTAGTTTAGGATTTCTTCGTCTTCATCGTCGTCATCTCCTCCAAGAGAATATTTTTCAGCCAGACTCTAATAGAATCAAGGAATAAATGGATTACAAAATTTTGTAGGCTCTTAAATTTCGTATGCATATTTACATCCGCATTTATTTACTCACTATGTCAAATTGACGAGTGTCATCCACCACATCTTCCGAAATCACATCCTCTTCTTCTGTGGTCACTTTATTATGGGAGATGAAACTGAACTGGCTACAGCTTACAACTAATCCCTTCTCCAGTTCTACTACGCTATCGAGTACGGGCTGCGTCTTGGGGGCGAAGGGGACATATTTCACGATCAGATTTAAATTCCCATCGACCAGATACGACTGGCTAATCATACTGGATTCCATTATGTTGAGATGCGTCTTGTTGATATTCTTGATTTTTAGAATGGGTGAAGCTAATCCAATAAAATTAGAATTAAAAATCATTTTCAAACGATAGTGCTAAAAAAATTATTACATAACGTAAAATCTTCTCCCAATTTCTGATGAGGTCCTAATGAAAATCCGTACTTGACAAAGAGTGATCCGTAAGTTTTGACGTCTTCTTTCGTCACCACGGGTTGAAGGACAAGTGTATCTTTCTTGTTGAGATATAGCTGGAATTCTATTGGAGGAATAGCACCTTCGAACTGCAACTTGTACGGTTTTAACATTTTTGGGTACTTGGACGTTGTGGGAAAGTCCCTTATAGTCCAGCAACGGTGGTGGGGAGATGGTTCATACTTGAAAATATAATCAAAATTTTTGTAAATTTGTGCCATTTTTAGTTACATATGTAAAGCTTCTTACAAATGACTCGTAGTGAATTGGGGAATGTTCTCCCTCAGATCCAGACACCAGAGGTAACGATGGCGTTGGTTTATGTATAGATTGCTGGGAACCTTTGGGAGTGACTTGTGGCCAAGTTGAGACAGTGTCATCCCTTTTCACAGCAGCGATAGGAGGGTTATTACCCTTCGATTTCTTGGTTATCTCAGTGGCAGAGATGGTAGGGCTGATACAAACGTCATTTTGTAGTTCATCGTGCATACTGGCTTGGGAACGAACTCCCGATTTGGACGGTGACAGGTGACACGATGTTCTAGACATGTTGCAAAGATGGTTAGGAATGACGAAAAATGATCAAGTAGAAACTCGTACTGAAATCGGAGAAATTGCACTTTTTAATTTGTAATGTTTTTAACAGGGTGACACCAAGATTGCTTGACAATTTATCATAATACAAGGTTACGACAGTTGCTTCGATAGCCTCAATCCATTTTTGAAGTGCTAATTATTTGGGCCGTCGCTAACGGTAATTAAAGCACAAAAATTTCTAACAGAACGCCGAAATAGCCGATTTCACATTTACAACAACTGCACTGATTCTTGTATCCATGGTTAACAAATTAATTCGTGGGAACGAAATGTGAGTGCACACTGGTTCCAAAAGGTACCAGGGTTTTCGAAAATTGAAGTTTTTTCATCGTCGAAGTAAGCATCGTGAAGAGACGAAGTTGCAGTTGGCATGTACATTATTAAAAAAATTATCACATAGTGGCAGTAGTGATGGGTTCCCAAACGTTTCACTCTCTGATTGACAAGAGTTACATGAATTTATGTCAACTTTTAATTTATTCATAAATTGCTACCAAACCCAGCCTTATATTTGCAGCTTTATAATTTTACGTGTTATTTTAATATAATTAATTGGCCCTGTGTCCCTTGCCATGATGTCGCAATCGACCTCAGATTCGAAATCAGCGACCAAAAAACTATAAGAATCTACTTTTACCCAACCTCAACAACGTTGAAATAATTAATTATTAACCTTTTAAAAACGGATTCCACCAATAAGGTGGAGGGCGATTTCGATCTCTTGGCGACGGACTACACCAATAAGGTGTAGGCCAAATTTTTCGCCTTAGCGACGGACTACACCAATAAGGTGTAGGCCAACTTTTTCTCGTTGGCGACGGATTCCACCAATAAGGTGTATGGTTACAGAATTCCGTTGAGACCGGGCTACATCAATAAGGTGTAGGAAAAAATAAAAATAAAATGACCGAGAAAATTTTCTCAGTTCCATTCTTTCCTCCTTATTTGTCGTTGGTTTTTCTTCAAGCCTGAACTAATTTTTTTAGAGTTTAGAGTTGTAGTTGTAGTGGGGGGAGGAACTCGGAGGAAGTGCATCATCAGCTAATATATTCGCAATAGTGTCACCACCGATCGGAACAAGTCACAGAACACTGAAGGACAAAATTATAGCTAATAACTTGTTTAAAATATAAAATGCATCCCAAAATCAGTGTCATCAAATTGATGACATGAATGATGACGATTTATTCGTTTAGTTTATTTTTGTAGTACTATCAAAATCAAATCCGATCTTTTTATCAAAATTAATATCGTGTGTTCATTTGGTTCAGTTGCAATTTCATGTTAAAAATGTATTATGTTCTAATTTTTGTTGTCGAATCAGTTCCAGGTCTCTAATAAATCATAACTGCATCAGTAGAATATTCAAAATCGGTTTGCATTAATTCAGTCCCCAACTGATTTTATCACCGCCCCACAAGTCGGTCTCAATGGTATTCTGCCCCCAGTAAATCCGCCCCCAAATGCAATAGAAACCATTTTTAATTCCGTTTTTAAATGGTATCCAGGTCAAAATTAATTAGTTTTTATAAGGTTAATGATGAATTATTTGTAACAATTGTAAATACGGAACATGTGAGGCCGCTTATCTCAGGTGCTATTAATATACATAGGCTATTAATAGCACCAAGTCATACAGTATGACTGGGTGCTATTTATAGCATAACTTTCACCGGTGCTATTTATAGCAGAACTTTCACCGCCCTCCAGAGGGTATAAAAGGAGCTGCACCAGAAATTTGACGTGTCCCTGGGTGAGCTCCCCATTGCAGCTGCGCCCCTGGACCGCCCTGCCTCTCTGGGGAGTCGGGTCCACCCGTGGTTTGTCCCACAGCCTCGACTCTCTTCCCGTTGGAGGGGTGGTCCGGGGGAGCAACGCTGCAAGGGGAGAGCCTTACGGGAAGGTCCCCCCTCCAATGCTCCTCCCACCAAGCAGGCTCACCGGGTGGGGAGCCGGCGGGGCTTGCCAAAAGTGCGGGTGGCGCTTGGCAAGTGAGAGGGGCTCTCTACCTCCAACCCTTGGGTGACGCCGCTCTTTAGCGATACCTCCCCTTGGGGCCGGCCGGGTTCCCGAGTTCGAAGCCTTAATGGGGGCCGATTTACGGGTGCGCTCCCACCTCGTAAGGCGAGGGTCAGACGGGCCCCCTAGGGGAACACGGTTGCAGAGGCGGCGACGTGGGCAGGGCTTTCCCGGCCGGTGGAAGTAGACCCCCGCAGACGCATTCGGGCGTCCGCGGGGGCCGACCCGCGTGGAGCACAAGGGAGCGACGTCCTCGTCGTGTGCTCTGGAAACGCCCTTCTCAGGGCGGCCAACAGCTCCCCCCCTTTATAAATGCATGGCATGGCGACAACCTTTGTCGCCATGCCATAATTTTGCCATTTCTTGACCGATTTGCATGAAATTGAGCACAATGCTTCTAATTGGTGTTATCAACATGTCGCAAGGTCCCACCCGCCGCCACCCCCTTGTTTTCGCCAAATTTCGTCGCCATGCCATAATTTCGCCATTTTTCGTCCGATTTCCATCAAACTTCGACAGAGACTCCATTTTGGTGTTATCGACATGTCGCAAGGTCACACCCGCCGCCACCACCTTGTTTTCGCCAAATTTCGTCGCCATGCCATAACTTCGCCATTTTTCGTCCGATTTCCATCAAACTTCGACAGAGACTCCATTTTGGTGTTATCGACATGTCGCAAGGTCACACCCGCCGCCACCACCTTGTTTTCGCCAAATTTCGTCGCCATGCCATAATTTCGCCATTTCTCGGCCGATTTGCATGAAATTGAGCACAATGCTTCTTATTGGTGTTGTCGACATGTCGCAAGGTCCCACCCGTCGCCACCACCTTGTTTTCGCCCAATTTCGTCGCCATGCCATAATTTCGCCATTTCTCGTCCGATTTGTATGAAATTTGGGAAAATGCTTCTTATTGGTGTTGTTGACATGTCGCAAGGTCCCATTCATGATCATACCCATCCTCAAATTGACAGGTACAGGAAGTCTATCCTTCAGACAAGCAACGTCAACAGGTGCACAACCGGCAATGTTGTGCAGATAAAGATCCATTGCCTCCTTAATCCATGAATTTATATAGTATCCTATACATCCTTTGAATCACCACGGAAGTCTGATCCACCACGATGATTGAAAAATTGTCCGGGCTGTGCGTATTGAGCAATTTGTACGAGTACTTCCTATTGATCATTAATGGACGATCCGGATAGCACCAATCGAGGCTGCCCAAGTCCTTATCAAGCAACATTTCAGTAATCAGCCGTTGTTCCTAAAACAAGAAAGGAAAGAAATGGTGATGCTTAACTGCAGTTACAAGCTGAAGAATTATTTTTTAGCATTATGATAAAGTGTTAAAGTTAAACTATCAAAGACAACTTGACCTTTTGACCCACCTACCGCGTATTATTTTCTTCCTTCCCTAACAAATCAATTTTTATGTTCCTTCAATTTTTTGTCGACAGGCTCGTAAAAACCCTTCGATAATCATTTTTTAATTAGAAAAGGCAGTTTTCTTATTTTCTTCCAGCAGTCTTTCAGTGAGGAGAAAAGACATTTTGGTCTTTTCTCCTCACTAACTTTGAGTGCAAGATTGCTTAATTTATCATAATACATCCATGATTAAAAAATTAATTCGAGAATCGAGAGCTCGAAATGTGAGTGTTGACAAGTTTTGTGCGGTTTGTTTCTGGGCGACAGTTTGTGCGACGCACACTGGTTCCAAAGGTACCAGGGTTTTCGAAAATTGAAGTCTTTTAGGCGTCGAAGCAATTGTCACAACCTTGTAATTATTACTAAAGTTGTCAAGCAACCTTGGGGTGACACTAATTTCGAACGAATATCAAGATTATAGGGGGGAGAAGCGTTACCTAGATACTAAAAGTCATCTAATCGTGGAGTGACTTTACAAATTATAGCCATCTTTAGATATCGATTATGAGGAGCAAAGCAAGACGAAACTCGAGAAGACAAGATGTTCATTCATGTACTACTTAAAGCGTAAGAACATAAGATAAGAACATGGCACATGAGCAGAACATGATAAGAACAGTAGCAGACTATGGATGTCCTGCTTTTCAGTAATACTCCCCGAAGTAAAATAAGTAAATGGTTTTGTATTAAAACATGCTTCAAAGCATCAAAATAGGTGTTTTATTTAAAAAAATAAATGGTTCTTTATTTCAGACATTCATACGTAATAATAAAATAATTTATAAATAATCTAACCCAAAATAACAGCTTGTGCTACCCTTTTGAAGATTTGTAAAGTACACTCTCGACTTCTATTAGCTTGACGCACACGAATAAATTAATACGAATCCACGGGTATACGCAAAATAGTACCCCTGACCCTGAGTAGTGATTATAATATCAAGCAAGATCATGGTATACCAACATTGCTACAATTGTTCCTTTTCTTTATTATTGTAGTACATTTTCATAACCTTTTTACTCGGATTAAGCCCACTAGCTAAACCTGGTCGTTTTTTCTTTGTCTTCCTGTCATCGTCGGGTAATAAGTCGTCGTCACCTTTCTTAAGTCCACCACCGCCATCCCCTCCTGACAATTGGGCAAGGGATGATAACACCACTGGCGTTTCCGAGTCCCAATCTACATTGTCCATACAGAAAGGGTTACGTTTCTTGAACTGCGTTGGAATTTGTTCTGGTTGAACAGGTTGAAAGTTTTTATCGGGTAACTTTATCTGGACAGAATCTGGATCAATCACAGCAGAATCTGTGTCATGTGCAAATTTGCAGTTATGACCTGCACAAAAATTTACATAATTGTGTTAAAACTTATTTAAATTATTTAAAAAAAATAGTTATGAAAATATTTCATAATTACCAAAGCGGCATCTCCCTTTTCGATTATTCCAACAAATCTTTTTTCCATTGATTGTTGTCGCACCCGCAATGATTTCTTGGGACAGCTAGAAATATACAAAACTTATCAAGATCTAGAGGATAATATTATTCGTCTGCATTTTAATCATCCTATTTTTTTTCTTACCTTGACATGCCTTTCTAAAACGGCCGTTTTCTTGGCTTCCTGTTCCCTAAATTCAACCCGCAGAACAGAGTTTTCCACGTTAGCTGACCCGAAGAATCTGAATGGGTTATCTAACTGTTCACCATCGCCGATTCTAAAACCATTAAATACCAACTTTAAATTCGCCCCCTTACATTAAACATTATAAATTATCACTTACTTCTTTTCCTTGACTTTCTCCACTTCTTCATCACTTGAGTCCGACGAAGAACAATTATCTTCCTCGTCATCATCATTATTAACTCCAAACGGATTTCTTAAAGCTTTGCTACACGAAGATTTCGACGGATTCGAATCAGTAACGACTGGTTCCTGCTTCTTCTCCTCCTCCTCCTCCCCTTCCGAATCAGTGTAATCAGCGACAAGCGACATATTTTAATACTTTAATTTTAACTTTAATTGATTACAAAATCAACTCCTTCCAGTCAATTCGCCCTGTTTGGGTTGGTTGGGTCGATGCGAGAATTGCCGGTGGTGACGAGAGAGTGGGGCAAAGTGCTGTAAAAGCATTTCATGAAACCAACTTTCACTCACTTTTACTACCTTTCACTAAATGAAATAATATCATAATAATCAAAATCCGTATAATGAAGGCAGCCAATTTTTTTAATTTGGTGTAAAAATATCAGTTTGCAAATTTTTTAAGATGTAATTTTAAAAATACTTTTCAAGAGGGCAAAAAATCCTTCAAGTCGAGGTACTTATTTACATTTTTTTTCAAATCCAATCTGTTACATGATACTGCGTTTTCCCTCAAAATCAACATACTTAATCATTGTCACTAATAATAACCTGATTGCATTTTTATCTTACCTTCTACTTTTACCAAACCATCGTCACACTAAATATTTACAAAAAGTGAAAGTTTCCCTAAATTTTAAATTTCCAATTAAATCTTTGTCAATACAAAATGACAAAACGTGCAATGAAATGTTCCGATTTCCACTGTGCACACATACTCCTTTATTCACATCATTAACGGCAACATGAAACCATGAAACGTGAGATTTTTAGCGTCTCTCTCTTACTGCAACAACTTTTCTCACAAAATGACTTCGTTTGACTTTCACTTTGCTTTTACTAATCAGGTTTTGCGCTTGCATGTACACGGATAAAGGAGAAGAAGAAAGTGCTTTATCTCTCCGTCCTTGCGTCCCCTCCTCCTCTTTTGGAGTCAAGTTTAAAGAATAAGAAACTCAATAGTGCGTGTAGTGCAAGAAATAAAGGGCAAATGTTGATTATGCATAAATGGAGAGCATGTTCCACCAAGAAGGAAGGGTGGTGGATGGGTGGGTGGGTCGGTGGAGGAAGTAGGAATCGGTAAAAGAGAAAGTTTGGTAATGGGCAACCCTCAGTTTGGAACATTTGTGGAATTTCTATGAGGTGATTCCACGAGTTTTAGCGTCTTCTTCCCTCTTTTTTGAATGGCTCACTGTTGCATCAATTGAGGAAGAAAACCTCACTCGTGGCAAGTCTCGGAGAGTGAAAATTCATTTTGGAATCTTGGAGCTTGTACTGTGTCCTGGATATTGCATTATTGTTGGAGGGGAACAATGGCCAGGGAATGAAATCATTAGGTAATTCCATTAGCGATGGAAGTAACAACATTTTCTTTAGAATCTCATTATAATACCCTCCGGTTTAATACTGATTATGGCTCAAATGTTCTATAAACTCTTCAATAATTGCCCTTGCATGTTTGTCAACACTTAAATAGCCATTACAAACTGTAAAATTTATAAACCATTATCAACCTGGTCGTATACGTAGTTCTATCTACAAGAATTTATTTGCTTAATGCTCGTTAGAAATAGCAATTTAATTAAATTTCCCTATCTCTCTCAATCTCCTCCAAAGTTATGTCTAGTCCCATTTTTCCTGATTGATATTCATTCACAACCCTTAAGTTTATCGAGCATCAGAGAGAAGGTAACAACAGAATGGACAAAAGATTTGATGAATAAAACTGACGAGAAGACTAGTTTAATATGTTTACCCAGGTTGTAACACAATTTAATGTGAATACTTGCATCATTTATGTGTGTCTGGATGTTTCGAAGGCATTTACGGAGAAAGTAAGCAATGTGGACGAGTTGGGAGTCCATCCATAATTCATAAATACCCAACATCAGCCTCTTCGAAGGAGAATTAGACACATTATACGCAAAAGCAGGTTGCTCTCTTGCTCTCAAAGTACCAAGAACAGATAAGTGCACTCTCTCAGATACAAGCAAACTGCTCCACATAAGTACTTATGCATCATGGTGGTTTGGTTGGTGGAATGAATGAGAAAAGGGAATTACTTTAGGCCAGGAATCTTGTGCAGCAAGACAAACCAGGCCAACAACAAGTTAGTACAAACAAGACGCACCACCACCAGTACTGATCCTGATAACAAGAGGAGAATGGAAATTGGGGGCATAATGTGTTTAACCTGGATAAACATTTCATGGAAATTCTTTCAAACAATCTTTATTTTTTGGAGCCATCAAACAACCAACCAAACCACAAAATGGTAAGTGTCTTGGTCGGGTCAGATTACTTATGTATCCTTAGTAGATAAAGGGGCAGGGTGTAATTTCAAACTTTATATACTGCGCAATCTTTCAACTTTTACTCTGATTTTCATATTAAACTCGTATGAATGATCAGTGGTGACGAAATTGCTGGCTTGGTCAGATTTGTTTTTAAGAAAATTAACATTGTTTGTGAAGGATAATAGGAAAATTAAATGCACATCGACCATTAGCCATATCGTCATCTTCTGCATAGCTGTAAGGAGAACATTATGATAATCACGGGGCTTACCCTAAGTTCGTCGTGTTTTAAGGCAAAAGTCATTAAGGGGAAATCGCACGAGGAGAAGAAAACCCATTGCGAAATGCGTTAGTTCACCTGTTCGTTGAATCTTCGAGTTAAAAACTTTCACCTTCTACACTTTGTGGAGGAAATGATTGGGTTGCAGGTTCGGTGAGCATGGGGAGGAGAATGATACATACATTTTTGCATCAGTTATTCATATCCGGAATATCTGCACATTCACATTCCCATCACTATATAAGTTGATGATAGGCCGTTATCATAAATAGTCGAATAAGGAAATGTGTGGGATAATTTTTACTTTTTGAAATTATACTGATACAAAGTCGAGGAGCTAAGATCTGTATTTTTCGAAACAAAACTTAGGTTCAAAATTTCAGTCGTGTACATATTTTTCCCGACTTTCTATTAACCTCCAACTTTGACCCGACCGTTACATACTTGTTCCAAGTTAAATTATAAATTGTCAAAGTTGGAGGATAGAACCGATACGGCGATGGACTATCAAGTAGCAGTTTGAGAGAGAGACTCGCTCACTTGTTGTCTTTTTAAGTGGTAGCAAGTGCTGCATGTATGTACGGTGCTTATATGTTGGTAGGTATGGATTTAAAGCCTCTCTTAAGTAAAATTGGTGGGAGAAAGTGGTGGTGGGGAGAGAAATGTCAAGTCAAGTGTAGTCAAAAGAAGGAGAAGGAGGGAGATAAGGATAATGTGTTTTGCATTTTAAAAGGCTATGACACCAACTCCACTACTTTTCAGGATGAGAGACAACAAAAGCCACTCGTTTTGACTTTTTGACGTTCTCCCGTCCTTTTGAGAAATACTTTCTCCCACTTTCCCCACTTTCCCCGATATGCAATACACCCGTATGCGTATCTATATGTGTATACTTACATATGTCCCTCATGTTTTGTTGAAATTCACCGAAATACGAACAAAACAAAATAGAAAACATTAACCCATTATTCTCTCTTGTATAAAGTCTGTCTCTTTCTGAGTATGTATGTAGCTTTACTGAAGATCACGCGTAACAGTCATGACAAAAGTGTGGGTTGCTGGGTTAATAGTTTGATTTTGAATAAAAGATGTTATGACTAGAGGAGAAAGACAGACGACGTCATATTCAGGTTTGACTACTTTTGCGTAGGTGGATTTGGCTAAAATCTGCAAAAAACATGACAAAACAATGCATATGTATGATGAATAAGACACAAGTATGACAGCATTTTTATACAAGACAGGTCCAAATCCTTTGAAGATAAGGATGCCCATTATGAAATCAATATTAAATAATATGATGTATTTACAAATATCTTAAATTTACCAAATTTTAATTCAGTACAAATTTTATTGTTGAATAATATCATTGTTGTTGTAAGAAGTGTATACTTAACCACTTAAAATATCACAAAATACAAATGCATGTACACCAAGAGATGCATTCATTCGTTCATTCACCAACCTCATCATCGTTCCTGTTTCTCCATCCATTTACACAGAAAGATCATTAAAAGATTTGGTCTAATTGAATACGCAGATGATTTCGCCCTCACACTGATGCAGAGGTTCACACACACAAGTAAGTATGCAGGCTTGCTTTTGTTGCCCCAATAAATTACAATTATCAAAAGCCCCTTCTAACAAGGGGACGAATCTTAACTTAGAATCTAAGACAAGCCTAATGCTATACAGCAATAGTGTAATCCGAGTGAACATTTCCCGGATTTTGTTGTTGTTCTTGCTGCTGGGGAGCTACATTATTAGCAGCAACTTTACCAGCATTGTTAGTACTCACCAGGACAGAATTACTCATTTTGGACGAGATTGGGTTGCCTCCAAACAAGCCTAAAACTTGAGGAGGTCCTGTTTGAAAATTCGTCATAAATCTTCCCGTCCCCAGAATGTTTCTTCCACCATTGTTAATTCGATTATCACATTCCACAGGCATTTGAATTTGATTAAGCTCCATGTCCAGATCGAGGTGGTGTTGGGATGAGGGCGGAGGTGGCCCGTAGATAAAACTCGTCGTGGCCGTCTTACTCCCCCCGCCTTGTTGCTGGATGAGGTCACAGTCCCCGCCGTGTCGGTCCATCGTGGTGGTCGAAGGACCATAAACTCCACTCAGGACGCGGGGGTGATTACTGGAATAACCGTATAAAAACCTGGGGGAAATTAGTTTGCTTTCTGCTCTCATACACAAAGTACAGGAACTTTCTCTCTCCCTGCATACATCTTTTCTGCATTCAAGGTTTAAGCCAGCCAGGAGCGAGCGATTATTCAAAAGCCTTCCAAACAGTAATTTACTTACTCACTCACTCTTCCACTGTTTGGTGATAAAGATTAAAAAGATTAAATTAAGCTGACTCATTAATTCTTCACGGGGCTGCTGGCACATCTAGTTATGGGTTGAAATCCATTAACCAACCGAGTACCAGCTAATCCACAAGTGAAGGATGGATGGATGAGAAGAAAGCGTTTTAATTGTAAATTACTTTTGGATGGACATTTATTTAGACAAGATTATTCAGTCGAGAAGACGAGGAGGACCAAAATTCTCCTGCTGCTGGACCAGACCAACATCATCCATCACGCGTTTCTGATTTATTTTCACTTTAACGTGCATCCAATTTCCTCCCTAATTTATTACATTTGCATCAAATTTACTCTCCTAATCATGTGAAAACATGGAGGAAGCTACTTTCAAAAGGCTTTCTAGAGAGATGGACGCGTTTTTTTCTAGAGAAAACATCAACTTTGCTCGTTTATTGGAATTTGGTTCGAGTTCGATGTCCGATAATGCATTGACCATTATACACAATTTCAAGTAGCCATTTGTGTAAGTATTTATCAATTTTGAGGCTAAATTTCCCTTTCAAATGCATATGTTATGCCTTAGTGTTTGTTAATGGGGTTTGTGCCACGGACGGAATTAGAAGGAAGGAAATAGTCTACCATAGTTTCAGTTTTCGTGTGAAATGGAATTATTTAGAGGCGTGAAAAGTGAATTGTTTAGCAATCAAACACACACTGTTTACTGGGCTAATGGATTTCCATTCTCCATTAATGACAAGTTCTAGAAGCTGGTTGGTAGTGTTTAGGAACAAGGAGCAACAAACACAAGCAAGTGAATTGGCTCGGAATGGTTGATTAATATCATAAATGGGGTTAATTAATTGTCACCTACTCTCTCAAACTCCCATTTAATCCATTATACAATAGCTGCCTTGTTGATATACGCATTAAGTATGTACATGTGTCTGTATGCGACACAATGAAGCAATTTCCCCAAGGAAAATTCACGTGTGGGCACTGCTTTCACTTTAACTTTCTCTCCTCCACGGGAAATAAGTGTGCCATACTGATGGTGAGAGTCTAAATAAATGTGCATACAGTTTAGGTTGAGATTTTGCCTTCATGTTATGTAGTTATGTAGGAACCAAGACTTATTGTCGTGCTCCTTTTATTTGCCACATTGCCAGACCGGAAAGAGAAACTGGTTTTCTCATAAAATGTAACATGATTAAACATACGCTGCTAGTCCCTCCTTCGGTCGAGTGGTCGTTACCAATTTGTGTAAATTGTCTAAAAGCTGGAAAACTTTGAAATGCAGAAAAGAGATGCAGGCAGATACGACACACTTGACTTGACTTACTTTGATCTGCCCCCTCGAGGCAAAGATTTGCGGTCAGAAACGAGCAGAGTTTCGTCATTGTTTCTGAACATATTTCCCCTGCCATTCGTGGCGTAGAGGAGTCCTCCTCCTCCTCCAGAAGAAGTCAGCTTGAGTCGTGAGCTGGTCGTGTTGTTGTCATTCATGAGACCAGCGTCGCCCAGGGCGGCCTCCGAGTCCGAACCGCAGCTGTCATCATACTCGTCACTTTCGCCAGCCTCGCTCTCACCACCGCCGCCGCCGCCACGACCTCCACCACCCCCCTGCAGACTGCTCCGTGACTTTCTCCTCATCTGCTGCTGTGCCAAGTGCTGCATGGGATGTTGCTGCGGCCCACTGACTTGGCCTCCTCCTCGAGGGATCTGTTGTCAAAAAAGCGGTGCAGAGTCACATACTGATTAGACTTGGACAAATTTCACATACTGCATTTCAAATATCGGTGGTGACCTACTCGGCACCACTCTCGAGGGACACTTGTGTCGTCGTCGTGGTATGAGACAATTTCTCACCAGATGCAGATAAAGATTGGAAAATTCTGCTTGAGGAGGATTACTTACTTACTTGCACAAGGAGTATATAGATACGTACAAAAATGAATGTGTAGCATGGTGCGTGGGTAATATGTATGAACACAAAATTCAGGAAATCTCAACACTCTCATCCTCAGACCAAGGAGGGTATAATGTAAACTCGACCCATTTTCAATTCCCAACAAACTTGTTCAACTCAACGAACCCACATCGTCTCTTCTCTGTACCCATCATGTCACTACCTCTCTCTCGTCGAGTAGGATGGAGTGGATGTGAAGATAGGGAAGGATTTCTATTGAAATATCTGTATTGGTAAACACCCCAAAATTGGAGGGGATTGGTTTGGCAGGAGAGAGAGCACAAGGAGAAAGCTGTCAACTGAATGAAAAGAGGAATCAGGGAAATCTGCATCTGCGAATAACAGGTAAACAGATAGTTTCTCTCAACCGGCAAAAATAAGCAGAGTCAAACTTTTCATTTGTACCCGTCCATCTGAAATTCCGAGATTCCATTTTTCCAATTGTGTCAGTCAAGTCAAGCCAGAGGAGGACTTTCTCGTATGAATACACCAGCTTTTTTAGCCCTGGCTGCCACCACGGGCTGGGAGATATGACTGTTCAAAATAAGGGTTTAGCTCATCTGCTCAACGAGTACATTTAGCGACTACTTTATTTAAGATCAAGTCATGTCGTATATAAGCAAGTACAATTAATGCATTCATAATGCATGCATAACCTAGCAGGTTAATAAACTGATGCAAATCCACCCATAATAGTTGGTGGTCTAATATTTGATGCTATGCACATAATTGACATACATCATTGGCAGATCATATCATGATTATTTTTAACAATGACACCTCAGGAATCGCACATAGTAAAGCAAAATCCTTCATCCATCCAAGTGTAATGATCTCGGCGTCTCTCTCTCAGCCTCCAATTTTAAAAGGGATCATTTTCAAATTAAAATTTACATCTCTCAAACGAATATCAATCAAATTAAGTTAAACTCCTACTTTTTCATACAATAAAAAATTTCATTTATACACCGCACAATTCACTAACTGTTTTCAAATTAAAATTTCCATCTCTTAAATACGTAAATATCAATAAAATTCTACTTTTACTGTAAAAAATCCTATTTATACGCCACACAATTTACTAACTGTCCCTTTCTAACTTTCTACAATTTAGTTATATATACGAAACCTGTATGAAAAATCAATTGATTTCATGATTCAATCCCCTCATACTTTTTTTGGCAGAGGTTTTTGTCCAAAGTATCTCTCTCTCCGCACATAAATGCCGATAGGTTATGATACTTTATGATTTTTCTGGTTCAAATACTACAATACAAACTACATCATTTTATAGCTTTCTCCTTGCTACACGGCCAACTCCTCAGTATTCTTGTAAAGTGAAAGTTACCCAACCTAAAGTCGCGTCGTCGAGGATGTGGTGGTGGTGTGGTGGGTGAAAGCATGATTTTATGCACTGTGGATGGAATGGCATATCGAAAAGTGAAGAAGAAAAAAAAACTCACTTGTCGGATGGGGATAGTCTCTCCTGCATTTGACAGCCGTTGAGATGAAGGTGGTTCCAGAAACCCTTCACGAATATTTTCAGCCAAATTTTCCTTCTCTGGCAGGTGGAATGTGGCATATGGGTAGATATCATCTGCACTCTCTGCACACCAGAACAACATTCAACTTTTTATTCAATATTCTCACAGAATCACTACTACTACCAAGTACCAACCGAGGAAAAAATGCATAAACCACCGCCCAGTCAAACCAAACACTACGTATATACACCCACAACATAACAACAAGAACACAAAAAGCAAAAACTTTCACGCCTTTCACATCATTTTCTTGCAAAAAAGACTGCACAACATGTCAGAGAAAAACATGAAGCACGATTTTTCTTGGCGAAAAAAAATCAGGCATAGTCTGATTCTGATCAGAGGGTTGTGATTGAAATATGAAATGATTGGCAAAGTCTGCATGCAGTGCGGAACAGTAGTAAGGAATTCAGGTCAGAAAGGGTAGGTCAGTTAGGAATATTTTCGTCGAAATTTCCAAATCGAAATTTAAAGACTGATCGTCATATACATCGATCGACTATACAGAGATTAAAATTTCTTGTAAAATTGATGCCATATTTTCATGGTGTAACATATATAAAATCTCATCCTCTCGCCACCCCTGTCAGCACGTTCTCGTTCCTTTTTAACTTTTACTTACTGGAGAAGAATTGACTGCTGACCTCTTTTCCCCAGTGTCACTCACTCTCAAAATCTCAAGTTCCAAGTAAACTGTCTGTCAGCCACTAAATTGAAGGGAGGAGAGGAGGAAAGATGGAAGGATGAAATACATACAAAGCTCCAATATAAACTCTCTCTCAGGGAAAAGCGACGAGGAAATGATATTATAACGGTGAGAAAACTTGACTGAAATACATAAATGAAGCAAAATAAATAGCTTCAGCATTATCGCAAATATCTATCACAAGAGTTTCATTAGAAAGCTTGTCAACGAATAGATCAGCGGAAATGACAAGCAATTGTATAAACTCGTAGGATGCCAATCACAGATTAAATAAGTAATGATAATAAAGAGAGACCACTCATTCCACTTAGTAGACCTAATCGGAGAATGATGGAAATTAAATTCAATATGAAATTGCTCATATTCCATTGGTTGGAAAGTGGTCCTAATTTTTTGTATATTTTATTCGCAATTATTCGCAATTTGAGTTTAGTCATGTCCTTTCAAATTATTATTTAGGTTAATCTTCCACAAACAAATGGCAAGCTTTACGTAAATTATACCACTACGGACTGATGGATAATAGAAGTTGTGTTGTTGCGGTGCATATCTAGGTATTTGCTTAGCTACGTGCTGTGCTTGTCATCCTCGATGGAACAACTTTCTTCTGTATGCATGCCAGCCTAAATTGCAAGAAGAGAGTCCAAAATTCGCTGAAATTATGCAAGCAGCTCACAAGTCTGACGATCAAACGTGGACAACTTGCGGGGGCAGACGTGCACAATATACGGAGAAGAAATGCACAAAGAGACAGTTTCGGAGAAATGCACTCACCTGGAACGTAATCATTACAGTCGGGCATTAGTTTGGCACGAATCACGGTATAATCTCGCTCGCCCATGTAATCAATTCCTCCCCGACCTCCGCCAAACGTGATGTGAGGGTCTCTGCGGAAGGCTAAGGAATTCGTCGACTCCATCATCCCTTCGGAGATTTTCTCTGCAAAATTTAAATTCGCAAATGCAAATACTTTTATGCGACTCGAACATTGTCGTGTACAAGTTGTAGAGAGAAGAAAAGTTTGTGGACACTTTCCAATCTAGAAAATTACATATTTCCCAATTCTCTTATGCGTGATCAGCATGGAAGAACGGCATAGTTTTGTATTTTGTTGGTCAAAAAGTATGCTAAAACTTGTCTCTATTTTACGAAGACTGAACAATTTGTTGTTGGACATAAAGTGGACCAACCGTACGGTTTGGTCTGCAATTCTTGTATTATTAGTACATCACAAAACAGGGCTATGTACAAAGCAGACTGTCCTTTTACTCATGACGACATGTCGGTGGGATATACGTACCCGTACGTACAAAAGATATGTATGGCATGATTATTGTTCAGAGAGATGAAACTGGCATAAAATCAGCTAGAGGCACAAAAGGATGAAAGAGACATAAAGCTCAATTACCCAAACTTCAAAATGATATGGCAAATTACTGCACAGTTCCAAATCCACAATCTAATAATAAGAAGACAAAAACATGAAAACAGACCAGCGCTACAAAGAGCTGGATGCAATACAATTTTTAATATTCTGCTTTCACCCATTGTCGTTTAGATGACGCAATGTTTGTACCTATTTAATAGCGAGATCTACATTTGTAACCTATTCGAATTTTCAACTTTTTTGAAACAAAAACTATTTTTCAAAAATTATTTTAAAAAGTCTACAATGCAGACTTCATTTAGCCCGAGTCAGGGACAAAGTCCGCTTCAAAATTTTTGTTCAAAGTGACTGGACTACTGACCCAGTGTTTGCAGCAAAAAAACACTTTTTAATACTATTTCGAAATTTTGATGAATAATACCCGACAATCGGTCAACCAGTGGACCGATTTTGCTCATCTCCGAACTTAACTCCTAACTTTGCCTGACATACATGTTTGCAAAATTTAAACTTAATCGGTTCAGCCGTTTTGGCTTTATCATATCTCAGACATCCAGACATACCTACACAACTATTACACTAGGCCTTCCTCTCTCTAAAAATTCAACATATTTCCACCATGATTGACACTATCGTCTCTCAAGATTACCGCAGCAAATCGTTCCCGATCTTCTCCCTCTACTTTTTGACTCGTTGACATTTTTAGTGGGACAGTTGTTGGACAAGTCATTAAGACTTTCGACTATGACTGAGTGAGTGGTGTGACGTCTTTCTCTTACTTTTTCTCAGCCAGAGGACCACCATCCCGGTGGCAGAGATGATGGCGAAGGATGCGATGATAAGGGGAAGAATGATATGCAGGTCTTGATAGAATGGGCGTTGATGGTGGTGGTGGTCGTCGTCCTCTCTGCCAGCACCGCCACCATTGTCACTTGAGGATGAAGAAGAGCTGGGCCCACCACCACCACCGCCAGAAGAAGAGCTGGACCTGAGCCCTGGGGAATCATAATTTATTATTGTCTCTCTCTCTCCTTCTCCACGGACTACATTACTTTCTCTCCACAACTCAAGACCCACGGCGGACTTTATCTTTTCTACGCCAACACACGAGCAAAGTCCAAAGTAAAATATTCGAATGGCTTATGCAGAACGAACGAACGGGGAGAGAGAAAGGACAAAAGTTGAGTTGTTGTTCATGTCAGTTCAGTGTATATAAGGTTACAACATTGTTATTACGACGAGCTTTGCGACCTTACTTATCCAACGAAACTGTGGTGGAGGCAGGGGTTCCTTCTTCTTTTTTGCACATTTCGTCACTCCGTAAAAAACAAAACTAGCGAGAACGAATAGGTGGTTTGGTTGGTTGGTGAAAGTGAGGTTAAAAAATGACTGCGCTTTTACTTACTCATGCCTGAAACGTTTCTATCTATTCATAAAACCAACAAGTACATGATAAAACGGGGGCTAAATGTGGCAAACAATTTGTGTTTATCACGACTAATCAAGCGCCTGTCAAAAGTTGTCCATCTTATTAAATATTAGTTTTCAAAGACAAACACAACTCTCAACTTTCTCCGGTCTCTCGTAATTTTGGAGTCGTTCTGGAGAGTTTGTAATTTTATCAGGGTGGACGGACAGTCGTTGTGGATGGAGAATGTATTTATGTACATGGTTGAATTTCGGCCAATTAATTTCTGCTGGTTACCTCCTTTGAAGACAGAAGTTGATATTTCATACTCAGCCGTCGTGCTCCCGGCCCCATTCACGGCCCTCATCCTCAGCTGAAATTCGGTTTCGGGTGTGAGCTCATTAATTTGTATGACTTTATTGTCCACCGACGCGGCTCTTCCCCCTTCTTGGTCTCCTACCTCGTGTCTTACTGCAATTCAAACCCAGCATAAATATGAACATTAATTTATGACTCCTTTTCACACTTTGTGACAGCTTCAAAGAACACAAAGTCAGCCCAAAAACACGAGAAATTAGCTGGATTCAATATCATTTTGCTACTTGATACTGCATAATATTCGGTGTTGTGTAATAGCTTTCACTGCTTTCTCCCGGGATATTTATGATGTATTGCAGTCAAGGAATTCCAGAGTTTTAATGAAATTTTAGTGTCGTTTTGGAACGAAATAAGAGAGAAATATGGGACTCGTATAAATTTCAAAGTTTGGAGAGGAATACCGAAATGTTTAGTGTGATTGACCTTCTAATTTACATAAACTATTTACCAACAATGGTTCATAAGTAGTTTGTCCAAACAAGTATTAAATTACTCTTATTAATTTATGTCCATAGTGTGCAAAGGACAGATCTATTCTGTTTCGGGATGAGTTTGCCTTTGGTGTCCGTCCTCATTATTAAATTAAATTATGGTGAGCGAGTAAATTGAATGAACGCGGTTCTTCTGGTGTGATTACTGAATTTATAGATAAGCAACCCTGCACAGAAAATTAACATTTAAGTCAAAGGACGACGACTCTAATCCATTTCTCACGAACCGTTTAATTCGTACAAAAGAGAACTGACTTACTGCTAATAAAAAGAGAAAGTACATTTGGTCGGCCCATCGTTGGACGGTAATTCATATACTTTTCACAAAAAACTTTCCCTTGAGTGGAAGTTAAGTAAATAGAAGCTAACTGAAATTTATCGAAAATTCTGATATTAAAACCGAGCAGCACACTTGTTACGAATGAAAATAAATTAGCAGCCCTGATAACTCTAGCTGAGGAACTTTTGTACAGTAGGAAAATTTCTACGTCTGATTATCTTGGCCGGATAAGACTTTCAGTTTCGTAATTTAAGTGTCGACTTTCTCCATTGTAAACTGAACTCTATCCAAGTAAAAGGAAACTGCTACGATGTATCATGTATGTGTGTGCATACACACTTCCCACCACTGCGGACGGAGGATATTCTCTTGGTTAAGCACTCATGTGGAAAGGAATGTATTTTGTCTTTTCTTGATTAAGCCAAGTGAAACTAGAGTCTGACCAGATATTGGCAAGCCTGTCCATTTTCTTCTTCCTCTCTACTACATACTCGAGATTACAATCGAGCTCCTTCATCTCGGTCGGATATGTTATCTCCGCTAAATCTTTATCTTTCTGGTATTTCATAAGGCATAAAATAAAATTGAGTGTTTGCCAGCTGAAAACGACTTCTTTAGTAATTGTGGGCAAAAAGTGAAAAGTGCAGGACGGATTTCAAGTTTTCTACGGGTATATTTATCCCTACTATTCGCTGCCTAAAATTTCTACACGTAAAAAATTTCCATACAGCTGGTACGCCTCAAAAATTTTGCATTCAATATCTACCTTTATTACAAATATACTTCGGGATTGGAAAATTATCGTGAAATCGTGAAGTATAAAGTGTCAAATAATATTGAGTACAAATGCAGCAAATCTTATAAAAGTTTGTATAAAAGAAAGCTATTTAAAAATATACACGACTTTCACCTCTCTGCTCTGACATTGTTGGAAACATTGAATGCAATGAAATAGTCAAATTGGGACCATGTAACACACATGTAACTAATAAGTTGTCCTCACACAAAAGTGTTGCACTTACAGTTGATAGAATTTCACACCCTTCTCACCCTAACTTAATTACTGTCCGTAAAAAGCGTCTGTTTCGTGTCAAGTCAAGTGGTCCAGAGACAACGAGCCCTCCGCCCAACTCGTCTCAATATGACCACTCCTCTTCCCACCAGCCTCATCATCCACCCAACCAACGCAACATATGCTGGCCTAAAGTAATGATACCAACAATGGTACAGATGGTTTCGTAACGTATTTTGACCACTTCAAAAAACGTGCCGAGTCGTTCATGGAACGTAAAACCATTTCAATTTCAACCTCTTTTGGTCTCCCATTCTGTCATTTTTGCGAGGAAATTGGATACCACGCTTGATACAAAGAGACAAAAATAAGCTTTCTCTTCCCCTCTTTTTTCTTGTGCGGACTTACAAATACTCCAGGATGACGAAGAGCTCTTGACTTTATACTCGATAATGAACAAGGACACGGGACAGTCTGGAGGATCCCAGGAAGCCAAATTGATCCGGATGCTCATCGCATTTGGTTCCAGAAACTGGTATCCGTTCGGAATAAGGGGGCGAGACCCTTTCGTCGTAACTTTCACGGGCTGACTTTGGTCCCCACTTCCGATCTTGTTGAACGCTTTAGAAATATAAAACAAAGCAGGGAATTTATAATCCGACTGAGCTATTCAGTTATACATTTCCTAATATTTTACACGTTCTCACAGTCGGGAGAACAACAACAAACGTCGAAATGCACTTACCACTCAGAAAAAACTCGTAGACTTGTCCACACTTGAGATGTCCGACTTGGAAGGTGGAGAGCTTCCTGGACAACGTGATTTCTTCCCATTCGCCTTCCAAAGTTCGAAAGTTGAGAATAAATCCTCGAACGGACGAACCTCCATTGTCGCCTTGTTTCCACTGGAGTCTGACTGAAGTGGCCGTGACCAGTGTGGGATGCAGCAGCGGAGCCGTTGGAGGAACTGAATTCATACATAGATACGCCTTATTTGAGAGAAATGCATTACGTAAATTACTCCCAAACAGAAAAAAACATGGTAAAAGTGTAAATTCGAGACAAAATAATGCACCACTTTCATTCACCGAGTGACGAGAAGGAGAAAGAAAAACAACTCGTGCCAGGTTTTTATCATTCTAAATTCAATTAATTCAACGTGTGCACTTTAACATGTTACGTTGACATCAATTTATTACCAGGAGGCAACAACTTTACCCACTGGCTGCACTTTCATAAAATGCAATGTCATGCTCAATATGCTGCAAACTTTCTCCCATTCCCGATACTACTGTGTTATTTACCAGAAGTGTGACAATAAGGGAGTATGTAGCACACAATTCAATACTTTCTTTAGTATGCGTATCTACAAATATAACGCTCTCAACCTTTATCCTCATCTAAAAGTCGTGCAACATTATCAAAGTTCTTTTTTCCCTAGGAAAAGTTGGCATATTACTCCGTCCTCTGCACTATTGCACCCGCACCAACGCCACAATGGTGCGTCTACTTTCTCTCTCCTTGCTAAGCCATCCTTTACTTTGCGTTAGTGTCTCGAGTAATAAATCAGTAAACCCATTCATGGCAGTCTAATCCTCTCATTTTTTCGAAGAAAAAAAACATTGAACACTTTGACTGAAACAGGAAAAGCCTGTTACGTCGCCCTCTTCTCTCTCCCATTCTTCGCCTGTAGAAGAATTGCATTTCGAGAAACAGCATTGTTCACATCTCTAAATGTTTGTACTTTAGACATTGTTCAACATGAGAAAAAACCATTATTGTAAAATTCTTAGTTGGGAATCTATTATTCAGCTGCTGGTGCTGCTGCTGGTCCTTACTTTTGAACAACAAAACTGCAACAACACTACGGCTGCTATTTTACTTTACTTGGAGGAGGAGATACATATGTGAAGAAGAGAAAGTTTTCCTATTTCCTGTCAGTTAGTTGTTATACCGGCGAAAAGTACGGAATGGGACTGAAATCGATTTGAAATCCGAAGAAACCAAAGAAGATGGAAAGAAAGAAGGGACGCACCTTGAACGTGTAAAGTGTAAACGATGTGTTGAGATTGAGACGGATTCCGGGCCAAGCAAGTGTAGTTCATGGCGTCTGTTTTTTGAAGATTCTTAATTCTGAGGTCCTTAGGGCTGATCTCGTACTTGCTATTGCTGATTTTAAAAAAATGAATAAAATATTCTTAATGCAAAATGGTAGCGAGGTCTTAAAGTAAATATTTAGAGGACACAGAATTGATAAAATCACACAGGAGACGAAATGTCCATCCATATTATTCTGAGTGACTGACTATGAGGTAGAAAATAAGTGTGCTATGTCTGCGTATCTATCTAAATATTGAGTCTCGACTCTTGAATTAATACGGTTTTGAGCATCTCACCAAAAACCTCATTACAATACTAAGCACTTATCTAACTTGAGTTTAGGTGGTCGTATAGCTTGCTTCGCCGAGCGAGTGGTCACTGACCAGAATATAATTCTCCATTAAGCGGCCAAGTTAATGGAACTGCATGATTCTCCGAGAGTTGAAGTGTTTTTGGGAGTTCTGCTCTTATAATAATGTTTTTGTACAGTTGTCGAGTCCTTCTAGAATTGTTGTTGGAACCCAATTACAAGCTTGGAGTTAACAACTACGCCGCAAATTTCCACCAATAATTTCCAATTGATTTGATGTCTTGTAATAATTAGACTTTTCTATTGCTGGACTCGATCCCATAAAGCGATGAGTTGTACGTAATGAAATCAACCACCATGGATTACGTACCTATTGTGTGACCCCATTTGGATCAAAATGAGTCGTAAACTGGGGAAGAAATCACGACAATTTGCACCTTTTATTTCACATTTATGTACGTCCTACAAATGCGATGAGGTATCAGGTGCGACCTATTTTTTCTGTTTTTTTTACTACTTTACTTTCTTAACAAACCGGTTTTCTATAGTTTACAGTAATGCTTTCTCTATTCGGTATTATAACTTGAGAGACCTTAGAGATAGATTTTTCTTGCCCTGGCTACTTCTTAGCCCGAGTCTGGGCTTATGTACCCATCGTGTCCTTCTGTCCGGTTTGTGGTGACTCTCTTCAAACTCATCCTATCAACTTGAAATTTTGCAAAACATAAGTATTTGCTCACTAAACTGAAAGTATAATTTATCCCGTATTGTTTCGAGCCACCCAATACTGGTTTTCAAAAATAGTCGTAGATATCTTGCTGAAATTTTGCATGAAGCTGCAGGGGTACACCAGATTTGCGAATATTAATAAAATAAATACAATGATAGGGACCCATACCATTTTTAAATTGATTGCAAAAACTGAAATTTTGCGTATTAAACATATGGAAAAACTGATGCAAAATAAAGATGCACTTTTGTAAAATAGTGGTCACGTCACGATGGTAGGTACCCTGGTCCTCCAAATTCAATTCAATGACCTTCTCGGGTACATGAAGTCTGCACTGTAGGTTTTTATAATTGAATGAGAACTCACTTTTTTATATTTATATTTCATTTTATAGGACAATCAAACTCGCCCAATCCTCTGGGACTTGATCAGGTTCTGTCATAAAAAAAGAAAATCTAATACGTGAGTTTTTCTAAGAGACCTGGATTCTTGTTGAAGAAGTCCGGTTGATTCTCTCTCTCTCTTAAATCCATCCTTGCCTTGGGTGAAAGTAAGCGACCCCGAGCTGCTCTGGACTCAATAGGGTTTCCAGAGTTTGTTGATACACAATTCAATATAGCCTTTCAAAATACTTAATGGCCGGTCGGTTTAGGAAAAAAAACTTTTACTTTCAGTTTTTACTACTTTTTCCAAACTACGAAATCGTGAAACTTACTACGACTGGTGAGATGAAGTGAAAGTTTCAAAACAACATGTTCTCTGTAATATATGTATGTGAGGAGACTTAAGTTTAAGGCCAATATGTCAGTTCACACAGACTTGAACCTGGATACACAATCCGCCATAAAAATATCAAATTATCATAAACTTAAAATTTCCAAACCTTGAAGGGTCGATCGTTTTTGTTTCTTTTTTCTTCCACGTGACAATTGGCTTTGGGGATCCGACAGTAATGCAGCCCAGCGAAATTTCAGTCTTCCACGGAACCGTGATGGATCTCCCAAAAGAGACGATACCCGCAGGAACTAAATCAATTAGAATAAACGTTTGACATTTTACGAAAAGATAGAAAAAAGTAGCTTCAACACGGAAATTGTGGTAGTTTCCCTTAATAATTTTCAATGTCAGTTGAGAAAACCATTATACACACGTTCCCTATTTTTGGCCAGAGTTTCTCGTCAATGGTTGAGGTTTTCTAGGGAGGAAGGTGAGCAGGAGGAAAGGATGGGAGAAGAAGAGGGAGATAAGATGAAAGCAAAAGATACAGGCAGAAAACGATCAAAGAAATCATAAATTAGACTGAGGTTGGTTCGTTCCTTGGTTAAAGAAATCAAGCCTCCACTTTTTCCAGTATCTGTTGTACAGGACGATTGGGTCCCCTCTCTCCATGCCAATGAAATTGATTCACATCCGACCACAACCATCAAATGTCTGGAGATATAATGTTGTCGTATTTCCATTTCCAACCAAAACTCCCAACTCCGCCTGACTTACTGTTGCCATTAGTGGTGACAGTCGTGGTAGCTGCCGCGTTGCTCCCATATTTAACCACCGAGGTTTGGCCACCTTCCCCAAGTCGATTCTCTCCCGTTATCCAGATCTCATACGCGTCCCGTCGTTTGAGCTCTGTCACCTCGTAACTCGACGTCGAAGATGGCACCGTTCTCTTTAGTGTCCGGATTTCGCGTCCACTTCCCTCCTCCACGAGGCGCAAGTACAAATGGTACTTGGTCAGCGGACCGTTGGCGGTTTTGGGTGGGAGCCAACTTATGACAAAAGAGTCGCCAGAAGACCCTAGCACTTTGATGTCCGCGGGGGCGTCGGGAACTGGAATATATACAGTTAAAAAATTGGACTCGTATTCAGAAAATAGCGAGGACTGTGTGTTCGCGTTGCCAATTATTAACGGGTGTGAGGGTTGAAATGAAAAATCATGAAGACCATTAATTTGTCCCAGTTACAATAAGTAGAATGGAAATGAGCACATTATGCGACAAAAGTACATGCATTCACACAGTGAAATCCGAGCCTCTACAATTACTGGGTTGGGAATGAGAAAGAGCCACTTTCACCGGCTGACACAAACGAGTATGAGTCCTACACCCAGCTCATTATGCTTCTCTTTCTCTCCAAGCAGTGTAGAGTAAAATTTTACCGTTAGTTAAAATTCAGCTCGTATTATTATAGGAAAAGGTATCAACTTTATTACGTAAGTTAGCGATACACTTGTACACACACGAGCCAGCTTTGAACTCTGTTTAACATAAAACCTTTCATAATCCAGACACACGGAAAGAATTCCACCATTCCACCGACCATGAACGCATACATACATACATATATTTTAACCCTGCGAAATATGCTTATCAAAATTTAATCCCAATACTACACTTCAGAGGTAGCCAAAAATCCTAATTAAAATGAATATCGTATGAATGTCCGTATACATACTTCAAAGCTAGGAAAAGAATGTTTGTTTCTGAATTTTTGTTGGTCTTGTTCACTCTGATTCTTCGCCTTTGATGTTTATTTTAATCTCTCATTTATGCATTTGGTTGGACGTTTGGTTGGAGGATGGATGGATATGAAAGTCTTATTTTGTTTTCACCCTCGCTCCAACTTACGTCTGCGTTGGGTAAAGCTTCATTAACAAAAATTAATTAGGCAGTTTACCCCTTTTGCACTTGTCTCGCTAACTTATTGTTCCGTTTTTGTGCAGGGAAAAGAAAGAATTAAAATAGAATGAGAGACCTTTCACCCCATGTTTGTAGCTGCACATGCAACATTCTTTCTTCTTTGCATCAAAGTTAATTTTGGGGATTTCTTTACTGAAGCTTAGTCTTAATTAACGCATACAAAAACGTTTCCACACCTGTTTCCAAAGTCCTGCAGAAAATGGATTCACTTAATATACCATCGCCCACACTTGTGGCAGCTGCAACTTGAATGCTGTAAAGAAAAAAAGGTCAGACTATAGGTTCAAGATTTGGGGAGAAAATATGTACGTGATTTTTAGCGGATATTTTTGTTGATCAATCCTCGAGAAGGTTCAAAGCTCCGTGCTCAAGAGCTGACAGCGTGTTGAGTTTACTTTGTTCAAATTAACACACAACTTATTCAATATCTGGGAACTCAAGACGCGAAACATGATGATTTAACTCGATTCAAGAGTGGGAATCATTTTCGCCAAATTGATTTGTTTGTTTTTCTGTCTGTTCATTTATGCCGAGAGTTGATTCTCAATTCATCCAGACAAGAAATCCTTTGATTTTATTTGGTGAAAGCGTTCGAGTGAAAGTCGAAGAGAGAGAAAGATAAATATATAAATCACGAAATCTCAAGATTTGATTAATTTTTTGTGCAAAAATGAGATTCTCATCTTGCATGTTACATAATTCTATACTATTTAATGTAATAATACATATGAATATAATCAATAGTGGATTATTCCCAATTAAGAAAGGGTGTTGTATTACCTATAATTCGTATAAGGTGAAAGTCCATGAAACGCTGTGGCTTGATTGGTAACTCTTGACTCGAGTTCTGTTGGAGGTCCACCTAAAAAAATGTAACCTCATGAAAATCAGAGTCACCTGACATACCACGTGATCAAACCACTTACCACTCCCACTCCAGAATTCTCCATCCTCTTCCACCTGTTCCAGGACGACCAGATAGGAAACAATGACCCCGTTTGCATGCTTCCTCGAAAGTGGCTGCCAGCTCACGGCGACGCTATGTGCGGTTGGGGATGAACATGACACCGCGGCCGCAGGGGCACTTGGAACTTGTTGCATAAATTTGATCAAAATCATCACCAGTGACAGCGTGTGTATGAGTGATGAGACAGGAATCCAGGTGAATTCGCATGAGAGAGAGAGAAAGTGATCCAAAATACATGTTAGACATAACAAACTATGGACTGACTGATCAATAAAGTTTACGAGATAAAACAACATTTCTGCCCGAATACGCACAAATTTTCGCTAAATCATTTCCAAAATAAATAAGTGGATTCAAATAATTTCACAAAATTTGCACATGCAGGCAGCAGACTTTGAGATTAAAGAAGTGAAAAGTCTATAGTCTTATATCTATATGATGGAGAAACGTTGTTGAAAGAATGGCACATACATAAGCCGAGCACGAATTATTTATTTATACGCATTCTCGACCTCCGATTAAATTACGCTTGATCCTGATGAATAAGTAAATAAGAATGCGCCTTCGTTCATACACAAAAACTTTAAACAAACGGGAGTTGAAATACAGAGCAAATTTTCTCTCTCTCCCATTGCAAGAGAGAGTTTCAAGTGGTTCATTAACTTTCTCCTCTCTGACTGAACTCATCTCCTCAAAAAACGGTATTTATTTTAATTTCCGACTCTAAAGGTGCGTCATTCACTGTCTTTTGAGATTTGAAACTACATCCTCGCAGTGAAAACAAAGCTTTACAAAGGCAAATATTGGACAAGATTTGTCATTCTTAAGTCCATTGCGTAGGTTTGCACGAGTATTTAAAATATAAGTAGCACGTTGAACTCACCATCTTCCAACGTTGTGACCATGAATGATTGCGTAGGTGGACCTTGTCCTTGTTCATTAAAAGCTGAAATTACGACTTCATACTCCGTAAACTTGTCCAGCCCTGCGAGATTTGCGCTGAGGAGGGATGTCGACGCACTGGATTCTTGAGTGGTGCCCTTTTTCGTCCAGTTGTGACTCTCATTCTCATCCCTAAAGAAGCAACAAATAAAGAAGTGTTTGCAAATACTCGCACGTCTTCATTTTTGGGACATTTCCATTTATTACGAGCATAATTTAATTTAGCATATTGTGTGAGCTTGCATTCCATAATTGCGCACTAGGCCGAAACGGTATTTCACTTTTATTGCCTAATTTTCAGAACACTGTGTGTGTCGCTTATTTTCTAAATAGTGGGAACACCACCTGAGGAAGGCACGAAGTGTGGGGATGAAGAAAATAAAGATTAAATTGAACTGCTTCCTCCTCCAGTGAGGAATTGTAGCATATAATAAAAATAGCAAGTGAGAGGAAAAGGAGTGCTGAGAGTGCAGAATGAGAGTGTGTAGAATGACACATTTAGACCTTCCTTAATTCTTGGGAATTGTCGTCCTCCCTTTCCTGCCTGGCTTCTTATTCCACTTCCGAGAACACATTTCCTCTTCCTCTCCTTCGCCTGCCTTACCTGGCTGGCTGGCTGGCTGGCCCATTCTTCCTCGCTCATTGATTATTGAATTAGATTCGATTCACGGAGAAGAAGAGGAAAAAAGTTGACATTGCAATAACTGCGTTGCTAAATTGCAAAGCTTCCGGAGACATTAGATTACAGGAGGAGAAATAACATTAAAGCAGTGCTCGGAGAGAGCTTGTCGTGCTTCGTAATGAATCAAAGGTTAGTTATTTAATATGGATTCAGAATTGCGTTTTTCTACAAATCGTAACAAAAATTAAAAGTGCTTAATGCCATAATTTCCACAAAATAACTGCGGATTCTCATCTATGAACCTAAAAAATAAGCAAGTTTTGCAGCATTCCACCCTGAGAGGTAATATCTTACACTTATACAGCAATATCTCACCTGCAGGAGTCGTTTACCATTTAAAATGTAAAATCAATGTGTAATAAAACTGATATTGGTGACCATATTACGTGTCGTATCGTATAAATAAATGTGTGACTCAACAAAACCGAGTAATTTGTACTGCTCCGTTTCAGTTTGTAAGCAAAATGTCTCATATATTTGTTACTTCAAAGCAATTGCATTCCTCTCTACGTTCTCAATTGCAGTGTGGCGATGATGGTTGGGTTGGCCTTTCTGTACGTACATGGATCTAACCAGGGAGCCCGCTTTGTGGGAAAATTTGCTGGGATTTCTTTTGAGTTGAGGGTTAGAGGAGGGAGAGGAGTAAAGATTCAATTTCTATTCTGGAGAGAAAGTGCTTACCTAGCTTTTCTTAGGCCAATGTTATAGCCCAGAATGCGTCCATGCCGATACTCCTTGGCCGGAGCTTGCCACGAGACTCGAACCTCGGTTGAGGACATGGCTTCCACCGAAATGTGGAGTGGTGGGCCGCCGGGTGGTTCGCCATCGGTTGTTATCTTAAGAAAATACAGGTGATTAATTGGTAACAATGGAAGTATGGATGGAACAAAAGTCAGTTTCTTGTCTATATTTTTACCAGATTGTATTTTTTGTCAATTAAAACGACTGTATCTTTCTCATTCAATTTCAAAATTAGCATGTCACGACTGAAGGAAGAGGGCGACTTTTATTTAATGTAGCCATAATTAAGCATAATTACATCTCTTCCACTAATTAAGAGAAATCAGGTGAAGGAGTCTCCCTCCTCATTAACTGCAAATGGGTCTCTGCGGTCTGCCCTGATTTTCTCTTTCACATCTTCACCCCAAACTTTCCCCATCATTTCCACCACCACCACCTCGACTCCTTCGTTTGTCCTGATCTGCTGTGTTGTTGTTTTGTGGCACAACAGAAACTGGAGCAGCAGCAGCTCTTGGAGACACGAGTGTTTTATAACATTCTGTAATTACGTAGGGAGACGAGTGCCATAAAAGAAAGCCGGAGAATATACCTCTCAGCAGGTGAAAGTAAACCGGATAATATGTAACGCGCCCAGAAAAAGTACGTGTTACGCACCATAAACCAAATTAAAAACCTGATTATTCCCAGAATGTGACAGGAAAATTACTTTGGATCAAAATCTGAACAAAATTTCATAAAATATCTACCTGCTCATTTAATTTCAGCCCCTTGCCTAACTTATTAACTAGCCATACCCTGTTTAAAAGCTACTCTATTCAGTCACCCCATTGGCAAATTAATGTGTTAATTAATTGCATTCTCCAATTTTCCGGACTTACACCGCCACCAAACCTCCTCCTTTCCTCTCATCTCACCTTCTTCGTACCTCTGGGCAAGAGAATGGATTGCTTCACTTGACTTGCCTCCTCGGTTTTAGACCTCATTTCGGAAGAAGAAGAATACGGAGGAGGCTGAGGCTACTAGCAGCCAGACCACAACCATCTTCCGTTGTGGAAGACAGAATACCACCTGGGGAATAATTGACTCGGTGAGCATCACACTTCCACACAGTCGAGATACTTTGTACTACTCGGCTGCAAATCTCGGCACTCTTCTTCTGTCCCCGGGTAACGGCAAGCTCATAACTTGTCCTCTTCACCACGAACACATATGGACCACGTACGTACATAGCTCTCCTTTGGTGCAACCATACTTATCATACACTTTGTTAAACTGATACACTGCAGTTGTCGACGAGTGGCATTTGTTACTCGCTCAATTTATGAGCTGTGTAACTGAATTTGAGCTTATTTAACACATCAGCCAATCACTTTAGAGAGAAAAGGGGGTTCTTTTCATAAATACAAAATGCAGTTCCGATTTTTTTCAAGCAGAATATTCCAGTTCAGCTTAGTTTTACTTATTAAAATGTTACATATTAAAGGTCATTTAATTAAATAAGTATGTCAGAAATATTAAAAATCTCATGATGTAACATTACAGAGCTCAAAGAAAACCTGTCACGTCCATCCATAGTTACATATTTCCATCAAGGAATAATTAAATGCTCCGAAAAACGAGGGTACGAACCTGCAAAATCTCGCTCGCATCCGACATTCCAAGCTGGTTTCTTGCAAAGAGACGAAAGTCGTAATTGGCCGCGGGGGAAAGACCTTTATTAGAAAAATGTAACGTACTTAATATTTAGGCGCCATCCGTAAGATTGTTTCATGTATCTGTCCTGGAGGAGAGGAATGCATGCAAAGTTGAAGAGTGAAAGCTTCCCCGCTTTCACTTTCATATGAATGACAAGTGTCAAGCACTAACCTGTCACGACGATGGAGTTCTTGTCTCCTGATGCCGATTTTTTGTTCGTTTGTTCGCTCCAGTTTTCTATTGTGCAATAGACAACAAAATTGGACAAGTTACGTAAAAAATAATATAAAATTAGAGTTACATAAAGTTTTAAAAAATTACCGGAAGCGTCCTTGTACCACAAAATGTAGTCCAGCACGTTGGAATCTTGGTCGGCAGGGGAGGCAGATTGAGACCAGGAAAGGACTGCGGTGCGGCTGCTGTGTTCAACCACTCGAAAGTTTTTAGGAACTTGTGGTCTCTCTGTGGCGATAAGTTTGTTAGAATGCGATACGATAGCGATTCATCAGTTGGTGAAACTTTCTTTCACCAACCACCACTTTCACCGTAGGAATAAGCACCTTCTTACCTTGAACTAGGACGTAGATTCGGAACGAGTCGTGTCCAAAAGGGTTCCTAAATATGAGGAGAAAGTTGTCTGTTCATTATGCTCCATTTTAAATTGGTGGATGGATACTAATAAAGCTCCGTTATTAATGCTTACACTGCAGTGCATTCAAAGTCGCCACGGTCATCGATGGAAATGTCTCGGATAGTAAGCTCGGATATGGAAGGAGAACCGCTTCCAGTGCTGGCAGGGTGACGAATAGTTGCAAACCTAGATATTTGGTGTTTTAGCATGACTTCATAAATTACTTATTAACAGAAGGCGGATATGTATTTAGCTTCGACTTTTTCATTTGATGACGACCGATGGTCAAACTTTGTGGGTATATATTGTTCAACAATAAGTCTTATAGATCACAAAAATTTAAAAATATTTCCACATATTGCTACATATATTTATAAATATTTTCACTATTATTTTTTTTAATAAGTAAATATTTCAGATATTTTTCCAAAAATGTATGTATTTTGTAAATATTTCAAGATGATTTTTTTGCTGAAAGAAATTCGATTATATGTAGAATTATATTCAGAAGTACCGCGTAAGTTTTATATTTTAATGTTTTTTTTGTGTAAATATTTCGTAAATATTTTGGCTTTTTTCGTAAATATTAAATACATGTTTCAGCAATTTTCTTAAATACATATCCGCCCTCTGCTACTTTTTGAAGCTTGTGTACGTGTGGATCTAGGAATATTGACCATTTTTTCAAGAAATATTGCATATTACCAACCTGGGGTCCTTGGTGTCATTTAAGGAAATCCCTTTGGCCACCCATGAAATCCTAATGGGTTCATCTCCTTCCGCCTCGCAGCGAAGGCGTACCGTTTCTCCCCTTCGCACCATCTCCTTCTGTGGTCGACTCCTTATCCTTGGAGCAGCTAAGTAAATCCACAAAAAAATCCACACTTTTATTTATATCTGCATTACACTAACAGTTGCAGAAATCGGAAGAGCGAAAGTACCAAAATCAAAGGACGTTAATATATTTTATTTCTCTCAGCCAGTTCTGCCAGCCAAAAAGCGGGTTGAAAATATCTCATCGCATTCATATAAATTTCGAAAGGAGCTTCATTGATCTATTCATGTCAGAATTTAAGATATGGAGCCAGCAGAAAAATTCATTCGTTGGATTGGAGTGCTCATGAGTTTTGGATGCAATTCCTTATTCCGCAATAAGTTACGCAATAATAAAAAAAACACTGATTTGCATATTGTCAATACGCCCACCATGCAGATAAGATATGCAGGTTAGGTAATCACAATTGCACTGGATGGTCATTAGTGGCTCTTACAGCTCCACGTATTAAATTAGACCAAGGCTTATTATTTACTTTTTACAAGAATGTGACTAATTTAAAAAATTGTGATGGGCAGAAATAGTGAAGGTGACCTTTTTAAAGATGTTTGCCAATTTGAAATACCCCATGAAATAGAAATTTTTGAGCATTGTGCAAAGGAACTGCACAATTTAGATGAAAACGAGCATGATAAATTTTGGTCATACACGGCCACTCCTAATCTTCAATCAAAGCGCTACGATAATGTCAAACTTAATACTTCATGGAGACTGAAAACTGTAATCATCAAGTGCATGACACAGGTGTTAATTTTTTTAAATGTACAACGAAATTTGGATAGTCATACTTAATACATTTATAATTTTGTAGGATACGCTACTGGTCCAAGAGACAAACAATTTTTTGAATCACTTAGCTATACCGGCCCGAAAAATTAAAGACATTCACATGAAATCCAGTACTTGTGAAGAAATAATACGAGAAGGTTTGAACTGCTTTATTTCATGTCATGGACGTTGGGCAACAGTTAAAGCACTTCGCTGGATTTTACTATTTAATGAATTCAAGAGTGTACATGGTTCGTGCAATTTTCATTTGCTTAAAAAAATTATACTCATTAATTAATAAAAACAATTTTAGATGAGATGATATGTATGATTGATAACTTTTGTCACGCTGATGGCACATTGGATAGCGAAAAACTCAAGGCCTACAAAGTTAGTTCGCAAATATATTGAATATATCGAACTTAACATGTTTACACTGTTTATTAGCCCAATTCGATACCTGATGAAAGTTACCTGATACCGGATCAAACCCCAGTAACTGACAATTCACCCCAAGGAATAACATTGACCATAAACTATCCCGAGTTGAAGCTATCCGTATCCATCAACATCGATAGTATTGTCAATTACATGATAAAACGAGCAAGTTTTCAGTTATTAACTTAAAAAAAATAAAAATTAGACAAATTTCATATAATGTCGATGATTTTGATTTTAGCTCAATGTCTTGGGCACAAAAGTGCTGGACTTGGTAAAGGAAATGTGTATACCGCAAGGTCATATTAACTTATTGAAAAACATGTACACAAATTTGGAACTGTTCGGCCAGTTGGACTTTGAGAATGCGCGAACATTTCTCGTACAAGCTTTAACGGAATGCATAAAATCGAGTGGAGCCGAAGATACGATTAAAGGCCTACAAAAACATGAGCTGATTGACGTCTCAACTTTCTCACCGTCAAATCCCAATGGTAATAATATGTGCTTTCTCAGCAGTACGCGACAAATAGTATGATTACAAAGTTCCAGTTAGGCAGACTCGACAAACGACGAGTCCCCTTTTTTGTTAATTTAAGACGAAGGAATGCAAGTTTCTAGATAATTTGGCATCTTGCTGTACAAAAATACTTACTACTTGAGCAAGGAAACTTTGTGTGATCCTACTATAGTCACTAAAGCAAGGTCTAACTGTATTCATGGTTGTCTTGTAGAAAATGAATTCATCAAAATTAAACCTGATGGAAACGAGGGAATACCCAGTGCAGCAAAACTGGCAGAAGAACTTGGTCTAACATCGTACAGAAGTGCCACATATGCACAAGTTGTTAAATTAAGTATTTCTGATTAAATTGTTCCTATATTAATTAATGAAACTAATTCTAGTTGATAATATACGATAGAATTAATGCTATATCCAATGTTCTCCATGTATTGCATTAAAACACTAAAGATTGCATGACGATACTTTCCTTACCAACACGTAAGCATAAGAAATATATCCATCTGCACATATACATACACATCGTGCCTGAAATATAGTATGTAAAAGCGGATAAAAACAAAAAAAGGAGCACAAATCCAAATTTAAGGACATCAATATCTCTTTTCCTCTCAACCACAAAGGCATTCGAAGCGTCCCAAAATATCCATTCATCCAAATCTCCAAAAGAGATTCATTTCTATTCATTGATCCATCCATTTCAAAGTCCATCCGATATTGAACCCGACAAAAATTGGTATGCAAGGCTGAGCACGACTTTCTCCGAGATTTTGCACAAATAAAAGTTCTCTGAAGCATCCCAGTTTTTCATTTCGTAATAGAAATCTAATTGCCAGATATCAATTATGAGATTCTAATATTTACAATATTCTAAACCCAAATATTATTCTAGCAGAAAAAATCTCGTAGTGAACGGAACGGGATACTTTCACTTTCCGAAAGCAGCTCTTTTTCACCCACGTAAAAAATATGAGTTTGGCTAAACGAGCGATATGGCTTAGATGGTACCCACCACACACCCGCCAGACCAGCTCAAGAATCGGATTGGATATTATATTGCTTTATCTATCGGATTGCTTTATTGCCTCAATAAGATATCGTCATCGTAGTCGTCGTAGTGCAATGTTTGAGTGTGGAGGAGAAGATCTGGCTCCCATTCACATTTCTGCCTTTCTTCTTCTCTGCCCAATAAGCCAAAATCATGGCGATCCATCGCTTTATATCCATCTGCTTCCTGCCTCCTTGCTCTCACATCCTCGGAACGTTTCATTCTCACAGATCCTTAAAAAGATTCCAGGCTGCAGCACATCCTCGAGTTTGGTTGGACGGAAGGCAATTTGAGTATTTGGCACCGCACTCAACGAGTGATGAAAGTGAGGGCGAGTTAGGAGGACAGTATTGACCAGAAGAAGAAGAAACGACGAAACGAAACGAAAACATTCTGCTGAACTAAACTCACTCTTCAACTTCACGTCATAAATACTTCCGGATGTGACTGACTCAACAGAATCGTAAATAATGAGACTTCGAGGTCAATTGAGCCGCATAATAAATATTTTCCATCCAAAGAATGAAATTGAGTGGGTTGGAGGAAGATAAATAACTTGAGTTGCTTTGTGGAACGTATATAATTTGTCGGAGAAATTAGTTTTGCGCATTCAGATGTATTTATATGTCAAAAATTGATAGCTTGTAATTTTGTCAAAGGCTGAATTTGCTCTATGTGGAATGTCGAGTCGGCTAATTTCTACATGAAAAATGTGAACAGTGAGCATCTGCTCGACTAACAAGAAGAAATGTCGTATAAGATGAAACACGGTCAATTTGACTTTCACCATAACTTTGACCCATTTTCGGATCACGTAAGATTATTCATAACAAATTCACCAAATATAATTTGTATAAACGTTCATAAAACGAATACAGAGTGATTATTCAAAACTAACACTTACCATTTACAATCAGTCGAATTAATTTGCTCAATCCTGGTCCCACGCCGTTGTTCGCTTGGCAGGAGTAATACCCTGAAGAAAAATAGTTATGAGTATAAAAGGAATACGTAATCTTCCACCATGACGGCATAATCATAACGAGAATAATAATACCTTCATGGTCTTCTGTGACTCTGCTTATGATAAGGGACCCATTCTCAGCCGCGAGAACACCTGGGGTCCGATAACCCACTTCTCGAAACTCTTTCCTTTCTGGTCCACCTAACATAACAAAAATGTGCTGCATACATGTGCGTCCACCATTTTTTCTTGACCAACTTTCACTCTCTACAAATATTTAGTGCAAATAAACACCCAGCTGCGGTTTAACCCTGAATGTCAATCGGTAATGACTTATCTTAGTCATGAAGAAAAATTATCACTTTCACCACTCATCATTTTTATTCTCTACCGAACTTGGCTCTGTGTACTGTTATCTAAAAAGTTTAAATTGCTTTATCAAGTAATGTAGTAAAATGAAAAGTATTTTTGTTGTTTCTTCTTCCTCGAGTCACCGGGCGGCTTAAAAAATAGAGTGCCACGCCATAGCATTATTATTACGTGGTTGGAAGGTAAGATGAAACTGAACACCAAATTATCATAATCATTTGGGACCACGGAGAAAAAAGGCCAGGTAACTTTTTTGGTGAGATTGTGAACAAAAAACAGCGACTACTTACATTGGTTCAGGGCAATAGTCGTAAAAAATAAGACGACGTTCATTCATTCTTGTCCGCAGTGTTCTCCTGAGGAGAAAGTAGGCGGGGGGAAAAAGCAGTCAAGTGACAACTCTCCACTTTAACTTATCGTGTTGTTTCAAGAGAAAGAAGAAAACTTATTTCGAGTTTTTTACTGGCTTCATGAAATATCTGACACAATGTTGATCGCAGTCACTTGTTTAAAAGTATCTTTGATGGTGGAGGCACTGGTCGTGAAATTTGAGCCGAGGAGGAAAAGAGACAACATGAATTTATTTTATTTTATGGATATGTATCCAACCTGTTTTGATTTGTCTGTTCATTTTGTATAAATAAATATTTTATGAGCAGTTGGTAAACACTTGTGGGACCGTATTCATCCATTATTAATTAAATTTATGCATTTAGCACTATTTTTAGTGGGTGAAAGTCGGAAATATATTTAAAATATTTAAATAATAACAACTTACCAACAGCTTGCCTCCATTTAACCGTTGGTTTGGGGTAACCTTGCGCTGTAATTTATTTGATAGCATACATCGGTTAGTTGCAATTAGTCTGTTTTGCAGTAAATACATGAATGTATATGTACTTTGGCAATGGATTGCAACATGCGATCCAACAGATACCGATTGATCTCCCGGTTCCATCACCCATTTCGCAGGTACTGTATTGACGACAAGAAAGATAAAGTTATTACGTGATCCCTATATACAACAATTAAAGCTGATAAATACAGAAAAAATTGCAAAATACAATGTGAGCAAGCAAATGCGTGAAAAAGCGATAAAAATATAATATTTAGTAGTGATCTAAATAAGTAACTGGTGGCAGTCAATTTCATGCAGTGCATATAAAAATGTGTAAAATAGAAAGTTCAAATTTCATCCATAAACATAAATAAATCTTTTACAGTACATCATAAATGTATGGAGTTCTCAAAAACATATGTATACAATTTTTTTCACAAACTTAAAACTGGGCCTGCAAAGTCCGTCCCGTTTATTTCTACCCTTTTCTAGCTATCTGTCCTCCTGCTCCTCCTCAGTTTTCTTGAGGTTAACTATATAGATCTAAACTTTTGCCAATAAACAGTTCAGCATTCCCATCAGTAGTAAAGTCAACACCAGCCAACCAGGAAATCAAAACAAGAGGGCAGGAAAATTCTACACAACAGACAACACAATTCTCCATCCACACAATTCCACCGTGCACACGTTGAGAAATCACTTCCTTCACGTGTACAACACCACCACCACATCCTCCTCCATCGCCAAGGAACCAATTTCCACCTCCAGAATCGCCGAGTACACGTATGTAAGGAGAAGACGAAGGCGAAATGCCGCGTGGAGGAGGCAGGGATGGGAAATTGTGGAGAAAGCAAGTTACTTATTGTCCTCTAGGGAACTTTTCTTAACGATTGGCGATTACGATTGGTTGCTCGCTGGTGGTGAAAGAAGAAGAAGTTGCCTTGTTCGAGGTACCAGTTGGGCCTTTCTCTTTCTGGGGCATTGTTAGCAGGATCGGAATTTCCTCTCCTCCTCGCACTGCTCTCTTGCTTGCTTGATGTTCAATCTCGCTTAAGTCTCCGGGCCGTCACACACCATACACAAGTGTTATAAAAACTATCCCCGTTCTAATCTGGGCGAAATCTGATGAGCTTCATCTCCACAGAAGCAAGAGATTTTTGTGCAGTAAGCACACCACCAGAGCCACCAGGGTTGGAGAGATGTGGCGATGATAAAAGTCAGAGGTGGAGAAAGTACGAGTTGTGTGCTGTATTATTGATTTGAACAATTTTCACCCACTCAAACGACTCCGAGAGAACAACAATAGCGGACGGAGAGAAAACGAAACTGGGTTAGGAGAAAGTTTGTCGGACAAGATTCGAAAGTAGAGGAGGAGGTGATGATGAGTGCTTTAGTTGTGTAGGACAGGGAGGCTAATTAAATTTTGCGTCTATAGTACCTGGATGAGCAATTGAGGATTTGAAATAATTACGAAACCTCATTGGAAATTTCTACTTGGAATTTTCATTCATTAGTGAGTAATCCTATGGAGGTATACCTACGACCACTCAGCAAACACCCACCCGATCTTGTCTGCCTGGCCTTTCCTATTGAAAAAGGGAGCAATTCTTTACAACTATTCCAATAAAAGTCGCAATAGTTTCTTTTCCTCGTTAATTCTTTGTGATCAGAGTTATATACCTACGTTTCAAATTACTTGATAGAATTTTAGTACGAGCCACCCTAAAAAACAGGGGATTTGTGCAAAAACCATTAAAAGGTGACATTGAATGGTGAAATTTTTCCAAAATTGATAAAAATAAAAATAAACTAATCCAGTCAAGTTAGCAGTAAGCAGATAATTTTTTGTTATATTGAACTCCACAAGTAGCATCAATAAGCATTTTTGTGATTGCATGCTGTGCTGTGCAGCAGTGGTGGTGATATTATTTGATAAGTGTGCATGTGCAATTTTTGCTGGTGACATTTTTATGATTATACAATCTGGAAATTTACTCTTTTTTTGCAAATAAATTATTGATTATTCAGTCCAAGATTTTTTCATCACTTATTTATATACATCTAGCCCATGTACATTGACGTTGTTACATAAATATACAAATATTATTGGATTGTTTTTTTTATGTCCATGCATTAATTGAGACAGAATTGCAGAAAATCTATAAATATCGTGCAGTAAATGTGCATCTTACTGATTTACGCTGTCTAATTTTAAGTAATTAGGTAGTGCTGTAATTAGTGGAATATTCACGTTGTGCAGATAATTTACGTCGTAACTTGTGGAGTGAGATAAGCGTGAGAATATTTGTGATTTGTGCAAATTGGCAGCCAGAGGATGAAGGAATACTTATTTGTTCAGTATTTGGAGCTCATTTAACTATTCATTTTCCAGATAGAAATTTCAAAAAATTCTCCAAATACTGGGTTATCAAGGGTTATCTCAACAATTTGTCGTCTGACCGACCACCCACCGGTTACGATGAGCTGTGCCTCATGCCCCACTTTCCCCACGAGGTTCTCAACCACGCAGCTATAGTTTCCGCTGTGAAGCGCAGTAATATTAGGAATCGTGAGGATGGTTGAGAAGGTGGAAAAGTAGTTGACGTGAATCCCATGGTTTGTTCCCTTGGAGTTCGAATTGGTGCTGGTGCTGGGCAAGGGCTGCACCTCTTTCGAGTCCTTCAGCCAGGTCATGTTGATGGGCTCGTCTCCCGCAATGGTGGTGCACATGACCTGCGTTCTCATCCCTTCTTGCAACCCCTCGTCGAACACGAAGGGTGAGACGCGGGGGGGAACTGCCAATGAAGTGCACTTGCTTTTAAATTTTACTTAAATTTTACTTTTTTTCAAGGTTTCCTCGTTTTCAATTTTATCCAAAGACACGACTTTAAACCCTATTTCTCAAGTTACATATTCCAAATAATGATGATGTACATGGGCTGGAGATGTTTGAAAGTAAAATTTGTACCCCCAAATTGACTTCTTTTTAGCATGTGATCTTTTTGTGTCGTTAGTTAAACGGTGGAGGTGGTGATGAGATGATGATTATTATTATTTGGTAAGTGAAAGTGAGAGAGTGGTTGCTGAATTAGCATTGCGTGAGATTTGAGAGTGGGTGGGTGGGTGTAATATAAGAAATACATGCAAAAGTCCGATAAAACTACAAGCCGTTAAAAAACTGTAAAGAACTGCAAAAATTTTAAAGGACATTTGCATGCATTTGACAGTGTCATGTTCATGTATGGTAGACATGTAAGTTAATAATATTGTACGTATATAGATATACTTGACAATTAATTACAGAACAAAGAAAGCATGCCAGATATGTAAATATAAGAAATATATAAGAAATGCCGTACATATTATACGAGAACAAGTTGCTTTCAATTAACGACATGTATAGCACAAGAGTGGAAGTAATTTCACTAAAAACCGGAAAATTATTCTGGGTAAGCAACGACGAGCTAATTTCGACAAAAAACTTTCTCCTAGAGTAAAAAAGGAGTTTGTGATGAATGAAACTGACTATACTCTCGGCAAATTACGGAACAACTACAAATTTAATATGGCTAGAAGAGGAGGAACTGCAAATCTCGGAATAAAAAGTTAACGCTATTTTTTTATAACTCAACATACGAATGTATGTAAATATGTGGATCAAATTAATATTTTTTGATTAGGAAATCTATTTTATTTTGAGATTTCAGTCGAGAACAAGAGTGAATAAGGAAAGAGAATGAATGAGAGCATCAAGTAAAAAAACGGTTGCGACTGCTGAACAGAATAGTTGCGAATATTATTAAGATTACGATTATTAATTATGGCGATGACAGCTAGTGAATAGTAAAAATACCATTGACACGGAGAAAGGCGCTGTAAATTGCAGTCTCCGAATTCTCATGGTTCGAAACAAGACAACTATAGTTTCCAGAGTGGAATTCCTCGAGGGGAGAAATGCTCAGAATTGAGGAGAAATGATCAAGTTGGCGAATCGACACTTTGGCGTGTTCATGTTCATGCTGCCCACGGTTCGCCATTTTGTTGTGTGAGTTGTTGTTCGTATTGTGTGAATGAGGCTGGTGTCCAAAGTGTCCATGTTGTCCATGGTTGTTGGTGTTGGTGGGGATGTTGTTCGAGGACAAGGGCATGCCGTCTTTCACCCATGATATGTTTATCGGCTCATCCCCAGCAGTCGTGGTGCACATCACTTTCGTTCGCATCCCCTCTTGCAACCCCTCGTCGAATACGAAAGGTGAGATTCGTGCTCGAACTTTTTGTAAAAAACATTTTATAAAATAAAAGGAAAATTTTTACTGACTCATTTGCGAACCAGTTACTTGGTTTTATGTATGCTATTTAGGGCAGTATTTTTCGCTCAAATATGTACGTGTACCCAATAGAAGATTAATTTAGTTGCAATGATTTTTTACAGGCGTAGAGCCCAAACCTATTGTGTGTATCCAAAAGATGAACAGGTTCTGATCATGACATCCTAAACCTGTAATTTTTGTGATTTATTTCCCTTTATGAAGTACATTGTTTTAATATTTAAAGGATTCAAATTTTACAGATATTCGGAGACCCTGTCAAAGGAAGGTCGGCTCTTATGGTCAATTAAGCCAATTAAGTGCCAGTCCCATATTTATTTTTATTTTTTCTCAAACTTAGCACAACCAACTTCGAATATTTTCGCTAACGAGTTATTACTTTTAGGAAAGAGAAATTACTTTCACAGCAAAACATTTAATACCTGCCGTCCGCCTTGATATAAAGCCGTTGGGAAATTAAATTGCTGTATTTCAGCTCTAACTATTTATTAACTAGTAACAATCAAATTAGTCATGGCTCATTTGTAACTCGAAGTAAAGAAAATATGGAATGCTAGCTAGCTATTTATTTTGTGCAGTCATGCAATGGTGGGATGTTGCTTATTGGAAAATTATTGGCTCTTGTTTGTGTATCCTCCTGAGTAGGCAGAGTTCAACCAACTTGTAGAACAACCCACATCACAAAAGTAGTAAAGTAATCCATCAAGATACAACTTTTCGTGCGAGTTATTGGGTCAAGATAATCGAATTTGCGAACTGACACAAGAGAGAGAACTACCAATCTCGCACAAGTTGTTGTACTGAACCATCGATATATTTTGTATGAGGTAAGTATATCTTCTTATCGATACTTGTAATGTGTCATGTTTCCTGCCACCACATATGATATCACATATTTGTAGCTGTAAAAGTAGCAAGTAATAATATTACATTGTTGTGTTGGACAAAGAAACGATAAACTTTTTAAAACTGTAATGTTACATGGTGTCAAATATCATATTGTGAAAGTAGCGAAAGTGTAGAGAAAGTGGACAGTTTGGAAATTCCAAGTGGTTCAACCCGACAACAAAACGACAAGGTTCCCAGTTCAATCAAAATTCGAAGCTCAAAGTTTAACCCGACAAAAACATTTTGCTGTTTGATACATCAAGAAAGTCTGGAATCCCGAACTACTTACTTACTCGTACGTACGTAGTTCTTGGCAGAAAGGTATCAAGGGATATTATTTACTCGTCCAGCATTGATAAACTTGGACCAGGAAAGTTGTCACACATTTCGATAAGGTTGCTCAACCTCGTTACGATTTGAAATGGGAGTGAATAACACGACATCTTCTTCCGCCTTATGTTTCGAAATGGGTCAGTTTATCCCACCCCAAAATATATATATCTCACCGACCAGTAGAACATGGTATTATTTAAGATCTGCCGAATTATGTACATCCTGCTTTTCCCATCAAAAAATAAAGAAAAGAATAAGACTCACCCATCACACGGACATTGACAGATCTTTCAGAAGTTGAACCCTTATTTTCAGCCATGCACACAAAACTTCCTGCATCGCTGAAATAAATAAATAAATACTTATGTAACAATCTCATTTTATTATTTACCCGGGAATACTCTCTTCCGCAATAAATATTCCATCCCAAATTTAAAAGTTTGAAATGTCAGCCACACCCACTTCCAGCAGTAGTAAAAGGAAGGAGACTCCCATCAGCAGCAAGGGTAGTGCCAAGAAGAAGAAGGGAGAAAAAAGTGAGACTGAAGGGACGGAGAAAAAGTTTCGATATTTAGTGCCGGATAGTGATGATAACAGCGGCGGAGAAGAGGAGAAGGAAGGTCAAGTTAGACCAGAGTGGAAGATAGTTCCTGCGCCACGGGATCCACCCACCCGACCCAACTCTAAATATGTACAGACTCGGAAAGAGATTCAGGTTCGAGCGGATAAGCCCACCCCTCCTTGGTGGAAAATGGCTAAAGTTTTAAAAACTGAAAAAAAGCAGTCCACTCAGCCGAAAGGTTATAATGCATACAAATATTGTGCAAAATGTGATGAATTACTATGCAACATATTAACCATCATATATTATATTATGCAGATCAGTCTGACAATAAGTTGAGGGCTTTCTTCTTCAAATTAAATGAGGAACTCAAGAAAAAGGATGAGGAGGAGGAGAAAGTGGATGAAATGGAGGTCGAGGAGGTTCTTTCCGGTCAGTCTGACAATATCTGGAGCCACCCCCGAAACAATCAAAATTAAGAACAGTGAGTGGACTGATGACATGCGGAAGAGGGTGGTGGGATACCTGGAGAAAGTTGGGATGGATGGGTTGCCAGTGCCCGAAACCAATTATAATGTGGCGTATAAATCTGGCTTGCTCATGATAATTAGCAAAACTACTACCATCCCGGTATGCTATCAATTAGGTAATTAAGCCACTTAGTTAAGGACACTTTGCATAGCCCGAGCAAGAATATAATTATACTGACTTTAATATTTTGCATAGGATGTTTCAGTACTCATGGCGCAAGGGTGACGAAATTCCCAAAATGTCTGAAGCACAAGGGGGAGAAGACTGGATTTGTAGTGGGCGAATTTACGGACGGAGAAAATAATCGACACAACGTTATCTTCCACGTGATCACCTCATTTACTTTCGACGAGGATGACGAAGAAGAAGTAAAGGAGAGCAATGCTACAACAAGTTTGAAAAAAGTGATTGCTTACTCAGGTGCAAAATCCACTAGTGAGAACGGCTGGCAGACCTACTGTCAAGAACGGATTCTGAAGGGAAAGCCCAAACCGGAAGCTGTCGAAATAGAGGGAACACGGACGAATCGACGACGACGATATTTTGATGAGGAAGATGATGCCATGAAAATATATTGTTCTCGACAGGTAATGAATAATGTTACAATATAACTATGTACATTTGGAAGTATAAAGCAGAATTGAGTGATAAGAGTAAGAGTATAAGTCATAAGAGTGATAATATAACTAATAATGAATGAAATGATTTATTTTAGACTGTGACGCTTTTGAAGATGCTACTCTGGCCTAACACCACCACTAAGATAATATGCATCAATGAGATGATTAACTTTCCAAATGGGGCCTACAAGGAATTTAAGGAGGAGATGGATTTGTGGAAGATGGAGCTGCGAGTTTACGATACTCTGAAAATGGAAGATGCCAACAAGATGATTTCTCCCGTTCCATATCTCAAGGTGGCGAAATCTGGGGACACCATCGGGTCAATGTTGAAGAGTGAGAAGAAGAAGAAGGGAGGTGACGAGGAGGATGATAAAATGAAGACGGAGGAGAAAGTTGCCGTGTTGTACTGGGTCTCGAATCCGTATATTCTGTATGCTGGACAGGCCATCAGTGTATCCGTTCACAGTAACCCCAGCACGAGTGACCCACTGATTTGTTACAAGCAACAAATGGGTGGTGACCCAACCTACAAAATAATTCCCATCGGAACAGTGAAGGATGATGATAAGCACAAATGGGAGGCTCATCATCAGATTGCAGCATTCTTCGCGTCAGTTCTCAAGATGCAGAATTGCATCAACCCGGATGACTACACCCTCCTGCCCCAAAACTCGACTACTTATCCATACGGCATTAATAAGCAGACCAGCTCGAAGCACTTTGATAAGAAGTCACTGGGAATCATCAACGAGCTTATGAAAAAGTATTTTTGTATTGATGTGTATTTGGGGGCGAAGGCTTTGGTCGAAAGTGGGGAGAGTGAATTGTTCTTGTTTAATTAATGATTGATGTTTATTTGGGTGCTGAAGTTAAAGTTTGAATTCTATGCATTAATTTATTATTTTAGGTGGTTTCTATAAATAAACTAAGCTGCTGTTTCATACAATCACATGACTTACGAACGTTCCATCTTCTCTATGGTTAGGGTGCCATTGGAGGACACACTCTGCCGGTCATTCAGCGGAATTTTCTCCCCGTCTGGAAAAAAAACGGAGGAAAGTTGAAATTATGAAATGGGATTTAGGATTAGTTTTGAGAAGTGAAAGAAGATGCTGCTTTCACTCGGGATGGGTGCACGCATCGTCGATTCGCTTACATCATCACGATCATACACGTATCACTTGTCAAGGCAGGAACTAAATCTGACATTACGAGAGAGAAAGATGGAGTGGGAATAACGCAAAAGTTGGTTTTTGATTATGTATCTTTCTCCTCAGACATGATTTACCGGACAGCTGGAAAATAGACCAAATCACATGTCGATTTCACCCCTATTACACGAATGTCACATGTAAGGTTATCAACTAGTGGCCAGGCCATATATAATTTACACAAAAGTTTCATTACAAAGTTCGTCGTGTGGTTATACACATTGTCAAATCCAGTAGGATGGTGGTTATCAACCAACTAACTTTTAGTTCAAAACTGTACAGGAGAAGAATAAGAAGAAAAGAAAACTCTACGACGAGTTTTCGTCCTTCTCGATGAAATGCAGTCGTACTATATTATGAAAAGCCTGAGGAAGGGTAAATAATCCCAGGAGAATTATAGAAACTGCAGGAAACATGACGTTGCTTGACTTTCTCCCAGTTTTCGGAGAAATGTGACATTTTCTAGGAATTGTATGTACACACAACAAAAATAAAATACCCACCCGTGTCGTCGTCTCAACCTATTCCACAGTAAAGCAGTATCTACCAGACATACATAACTATGAACCACATTGAATCTCATCACCTTCTTCCACCAGATCCCGGCTCAGTTTTAAAGTGCACAAACTACAAATTCCGCACTAGTAGCGGTGTCACATTAAGGAAGAATCTTGCAACTACCAGCTCCACTTTCTCTCTTATCATCAGATACGCACCTCTTCTCTTGATTCTATCAGAGAGTGATGGAAGACGGGGCTTTAGCTGAATTTGATTCTTTACCCAATCCCGACATTAACGAGAGGAAAGGGGCATCAATATTGCCGGCTTGTTTGACTTTCCACTACACAACGGTCTACAAATCGCGTTTGCTTTTCAGAGTTCGGCATACAAAACGAGCGAGGCCAGAACATTCCCAATTGTCATTTCCCCTCTGATTTATTTGTATTTGTTTTACGTAACGCTTCCCCAATTTGTAATACAATTTCTCCTTCTATATATCCAAGTAATTCATCAATGGTGAAATTTCCGCGGATTTGTTCATCCTAAAAACCACACTGATTTTTTCGCACCACTCCGATTCCGGTGGTGCTTTCACGTAACGAGGGATGAGAATGGGCCAAGAGATTAACCGGATCCCGGATGAAGTGCCAACGCACAACGAAAAGCAAAGTCGAAGAAGAGTAGAAAGCCAAAACTTAATCTGGCCACGATCGGATGATCAAACAGGATTCGAACTGATCAAGGCACAGGAAAAGGAAGCTGCTGGCTGCTGTTGGTCTATGCCCAGTTTCATTACGGGCCACTTTCTCCAACGCGGCACAATTCCACGCTACACGAGTAATTCTCAACGCCGCCCACTACCACCATTTGATTGCTGCATCTTACTTACATCATTTGAAATTAGGACACGTATGTAAGTAGCACGAATCCATCTCCCTCCCTCCCCCAACATTCAAATGGTTTTGACATCTACTTAGCAAAGATGCACTTACTGTACTGCCAGGTAATCGCCTCTACTGGATATCCGCCCACGGGACACTTAATTTGAAGTCTTTGACCCGCCGTGGCTAATATGTCGGGCATCGGTCGGACGTGAGGGGGTCCTGTAAGACGAGAAAAAGATTGACAGTTATTATCTCATTTCTTTCTTGTCAACTAGATAACCGATTCCCAAATTCGTGTCGTTTATAAACACAAAAGTTAAAAGCGAGAGGGAAAAATACACACAAAATAACCCGTCTAATCTGAAAGGGTAAAGATTGCCTAAACTGAGGAGTGAGGAAAAGGGAAGAAAAATGTTACCCTCGTAGATATCTAGCTCACCATAAATATTCAGTCGTGCAGTGTGGCTTGCTTTGCCAGCAGTGTTGGTAAACGTACAAGTAAATTCGCCTCCATCCTCCACCCGGACCGACGTAATGTTGACATGAGAAATGACGTCTCCATACACGTTGGCGAATTGTCCTATCAGGAATCTATTCAGGGAAAAAAATTCATCGTTTACATACAACAACGTCGTCTCAGATCACAAGAAATTATGCGGCACACAGCCCCACGAAAAATTACGATGTATTCTTCGTTACAAAAAAACAACCACCAATTTCTCAATGGCTTTGCATTTCCTCCTTGTTTTTTTCACTTTGAGCGAACAACAGACAACTCATTGACACACATGTCTTGTTCTTGTTCTTTTTTTCTCAATTTCATACCTAAACTGGTCCCCTTTTTCTACTTACTTCTGTAACTGGCATGACAAGGCGTAATTTGTCTGTGTGGAAAACCACCATGCCTTCCTTTTGTATGTACCATATCGTCGTATTTGAACTGACAACAAAGAGGAATTTAGTTTAGTTACGGCAAACTGGATGCATGGATGGAATAGCTTTCCATGCACCACCACAAAATGGGTGGCCCGACCAATGTGCAAAGACAAATGTGCAAACGACAAATGTGCAAAGACATTTGTGCAAACGATAAATGTGCAACCTGACAAATGTGCAGCCCGATAAATGTGCAAACGATAAATGTGCAACCGATAAATATGCAGGAATTTTTCCAACAAATGGTGCAATATATCTTGATATAATTTAAACATAAAATCAAATTACATCTCCTCAAAAACTAAAATTTGAAACATTAATTTTGTGGTGGCATCCCGTATGATGTCTGTTGAAGCTGTAGATCTTATATTGAGCAGTATTAATTTATTGTTAACTTAATATTTTACTAAATTATATTTTTATGGTGCATAAATTTCCTGGTACATACATCTTCGTGAATTCGTGAATTTTAGTCTATCGTATAGGCTGGAATTATGTACATATAAAAATTCTAAATTTCAATGAAATAATTCGGGATTTACTTATTTGCTGTTATTTTAAATTCTGTCCCCGCGGGGTGTCCCTAACTAAAGTTTAATTGTCACTAGCTAAATTTAGCATTACAGTGATTCGGCACGGGAATTTTATTATAAAATTGACAGGGGTCAACCCCGTTATAATGATGATTAGTAATATTTAATAAGTATAAAATCTGCATTATAAGATCTCCAGCTTCATAAGCTTCACCACAAAATTAATGTTTCAGAATTCTTAGTTTTCTGATAAGATGTAATTTGATTTGAAGTGTAAATTATATCAAGATATATTGCACTATTTGTTGGAAAAATTCCTGCACATCTATCGGTTGCACATTTATCGTTTGCACATTTATCGTTTGCACATTTATCGGGCTGCACATTTGTCAGGTTGCACATTTATCGTTTGCACAAATGTCTTTGCACATTAGTCGTTTGCACATTTGTCTTTGCACATTTGTCACCCCATCCACAAAATGTGCTCGTGCCATGAAAAATACAAATGGCCCAACTTTAATCAAGTCAACTGAACAATGACAATTTAGTTGCTCAGTCTCAGCCAGCCGAGTGAGTGAGTGAATGGAATTGGAAGAAAATCTACATCCAAAATCTAGTGGTGAACTAAACTAACTTTCTCCCAACCAACCAACTATTTCCGCTCCTCCGTTGTTTGTAAAATCAAATGAAAGTGAAATACAAGCAGGTTTTGTTGGTTGGTTGGTGGGAGAGGAATTTGTAGTCTTGTTCATATGTATGCACTTGTTTTATTTTGTCACAAAAAGGGTTCCATCGGTATCTAAAATTTTGCTAGAACAATTCTCTGTTCATTCATAAAATTCAGATATCATCAGTGACATGAAATAGGAAAGCTAAAATATGACCGGGTGTATAGATAATGCGGCAAAAAGTAACAAGTTTATTGGTAAAATCTTGTCTCTGCATACACGAGAAAAACAAGACATTTTTATGAAACCCATTGTAGTTGCATTGTGTCCGTAAAAAAGTGCAGAGACGGATTATTGATGGGTTTAGTATTCTAATAAAATGGGTGCATATGTACATACCGATCGCTTTGTGGGAGAGGAAATCCATCCAGCAGCCAGGAAACCTAGAATGGTTAGAATAAAATAAAACATCAAAGTCAACATGGTTTCTTGTCATTAATTTTCCATACTTTCGGTGTCGGATTTCCTGTTGAACTACACTTCAACGAAATGGCTGGTCCCGGCTGGAGCGTCTGCTCGATAAATCTGTAGATAAATTGAGGGTAGGCGTCTGCAAGGAGAGAATAAATTGTGATTATTTTACACTAATTCTCAGAGTTCTATTTTTAACACGTGCACATAAATCTTAAAGAATGACATGACCATTTTAATTCGAGCAAGAAGGAATTTCTCATATTTCTAGATCGGAAAGTATGTGTGATCAGGCGAAATTGGCAATAACGGTGAAAGTCCTTTGAGAATTGGTCGAGCAAACCGAAACTAGAACAAGTCCAGGTAGAATAGAGCAAAATGACGGGCCCAATCTATCCCCTGGAATCGACCCAGTCAACCACGAAGCAAAATACTAGCAAGATTATTGTACTTTATTATTAAGCTTGTGCGATTTTTGTCGGGAATTTTCCAGGTGTATAATAATAATTGGTCGAGCAGGGCCAGAATTTCCCATTAGTTCTAAGCATCCCACCGCACTAATTGGAACCTTCCTGAGATCACAAAGGTCGCGGAAATTGGAGGAATCGAGTGCCGCTCTCCAAATGTGTTTAGTCATCCCTTTTTTCTTCTTGTATTTTTTTGGTAAAGTCGCGATATCGGTAGAATTAACGCTGGACGAACACAGATAAAGCAAGCAGCATCCGAAGAAAATGTAATTCTGATCCAGTTAATTTGATCAGGGACACAATTTACCTATACTACAAGAAAGAATGCTTAAAAGCCTGGAGAAAGTTGCAGTTGGTGAGCCCGCATGTTCTCTACTTTACTTTCCCCTCATTATTATTGGATTGAGTGGTTAGCTGATTAGTAAAAGTTGCTTAATCCATTTGTCTGCTTTCCTAATTTTTTTGAGGAGGAGGTCTAAATGACTTGAGGTAGTTTCTTTATTGGAGAAGGAGAAAGTGTTCAATTTCAAAATTTATGAACACTTCTTTCCATGCACATCCTTCCTTGCACTGCACTGATTTCCATTTATTCAACCTCCAGATAATCTAACTAAGTGACTACACGCATTCTTCAGTAACTAACCAACTACGAAAACGCACAAATTTATTCCAACTTCTTCTTCCCCGTGTCTGTTGGTATTTTGTGTTAGCGTGGAGGGAGCTCCCAGTTTTTGAGATAAGTGCATGAGGAGAGGTTTGGTTATCTTTCGAGATTAGCGAGATGTGGATGGAAGTCATCAGTGTCTCGGGTAAAGGAAGAAGGAAGGGGAGCCATGAGGGCCTCAGGTGGTAGTGGTGTCAGTCAAGTCAAAAGAAAGCAGTAAAATGATGGGAGAAAGTTATTAGGTTGGGTTGATGTTGACGTTTCGTGAGGCCAAGTTAGGTCAGCAGCGTCAAAAAGGACGATTATTATGCCTACCACTTGGCAAAGTTCCTTTTATCTGGGCAGTAATAATTTTCAAAAGTCCTTGTCCAATTAAAGACCAAGTTCAAAAAGTTCATCTTTCTTAAACTTGTTAAATGAGAGAATGTTAAGGATTTGCAAATAGGGGCACTATGATATCCTATAAACTTTCTCTTTTTCTCGCTACATGTACTTTTGCGAGATTCGTGAATCCACATTTCTTTATGTTTATCTCCCCGTGGTCCTTTTTTCGCTTTGTTTTTCTACCCGTACAGCTTGAGAGGGGGCGAAATAAGCGGTAAAGCAAGTAAGAGCTGACTTCTTCTCGAGGATATGCTTCATTATAATTTTCTACTTGAGAAGAAGAAAATAAACTTCACAAGGAACTCGCTGGCTCCTTATTTCCACCACATTACGACGCGATACGGTCATACGTACGTCGCCTATCTGGAGGTATGTCCACGGAGAAGAAAGGAACCGGAGAAAGTCTGCCTGATAAGGAGATCAAGTCAATTTGTTTTCTTTATTGTCACGCCTGCCACTTCCCATTAGAGTGACAAATGAGGTTAAAACCATTAATGGGAACCAAACCAACCATCTGATCCGTCATCCACCAAACAATGGATGGCGAGATGGAGAGCGAGATAGATACCTCTGAACACACAACACGACCACTTTTAACGAACAGTGTGTTAAAGGGGTAAAGGGCTAAAAGTAACCTAAAATCAATCTAAGCCACTATCCAAACTTTATTACGAATGGGACAGGAGGAGCACAAGTCAAAGCCAAAAGGTAAACTTGCCTTTGTACCAGAGACACCTTGACAGGCAGTTTGTGTAGTTGTACTTGCTACCATTCGGATTTGTTGTACATACGTAGCGGTCGACGTAGTATTTGCTCGTTTGACAATGCCAAGGAGGAGAAGAAGTAGGATAGTTATGAGAAGACGACTTTTCACTTCTTTGTAACTTTTTTGGTCGTATAGTTTACCCAAAGTTGGGTAAGAAGTTATCTTATATAACGTTACTTGGTGTCTGGCCTATGTACTATGTATCTTCATAACTATAAAATTAAATTAGACTATGCAGCCGTGTAACAAATTAAATAAATTCAATGACTTTAGTAAAGGACTGTTCAACAATTGGCATGTCGTGATGATAGAGGAAACCCGAACTTTCTCCTAGTCAATTATTAGCAGAATGATGAAATTTTTAGGATAGTTCTTATTTGAAACAAAATCAGGCCACAACTCATATTCAAATCGTATAGAATTGTAGATAAGGGGATTAATTGTACGATAAAAATGGTGATTTCAAGTTATCTCATGACTGAAAATCAACTAATTAAATCGGACTGAATCGACAGAATGAGTTAATTTGATTAAACTTTCTCCAGATTTAGTCTGTAGGTACTAATTTGGTGGTGGTGTAAGTTAGTAGGATTATTATTCTGCTGGTGAGGTGAGATAATTTTTTGGTCTATGACAAGAATTTGTTATCTCAGAAAAAAGTTAGTGTTTGGAGATAAATTTTTAGGCAAATTTAAATTTCTGGCTGAAATTTTCTGATTAGTTTGAAAATGATCTCCAACAAGGAATAAAGTCAAAATGTAAAGATTCTCATCACCACGCAATGTGCTGACTAGATTGAAATTCAGCAGGTCATCAAAGTCTGTTTGACTTTAGATACGGGTTGAAAAGGACAAATGTCTAAATTTCCACGAGACCTCCGTATTATTAGCACTACGCCAGTTATAAAGTGTAATAATACAGCAATGTAATAATGAGCTCTCTTCACACATTTCGCTCGCCTCTATGCATGGCCGTAAGTATGCGTTTGTGGACTTTATAGTCATTTGGGAAATGAGATAAGGATAAATTTCACTGTCAAATAAATTGCGAATATTATCTCTCGTTTTTTGCACTAATATTCCCCTCCTCCAATGGAGAGTAAGTAAATGGGGAAAGTGGAGGAAGAAGTGAATGGATGGGAGCTAAAATTTGGGAATGAAATCCAGCAGGATTTACCATTCTGTCATTTCCAGCTGTGACCTATGCCTGGACTCACAAATCACTGAGGGCACTAAAAACAGTCCAACAATCCCAATCCTCCATCACAAAGCGTCCAATTATTTCCGGCAAACAAAGTCGGTTCCGTATAACAAACCAGGAGTTTGTATGCCGGCGGTGGGAGTATCATCATGTGTAAAATCGTTCATTTCGGCGATGCTCGACCAGTCAGTGCAGCCAGATGCACGGATTAATAATCTCGCAGGAGGAACGAAGGGAAAGTGAAACGGAACGTGCTTTCTCAACCAATTATTTCATATGTCCAGTTTATGCAGTAGATCTAATTTGAGTTGCTGGGTTTTGAGTTTTGTTCATTGAATGAATGACCATCCGTGGTTGAGTAAAGTAAGAGTTGGAAATTCGTGCTGCTCAAAATCTCCATTTGTCACAAACAGGCATGCATCTCTCGGAATAAATGATAAAATTATTCAATAATTTCAACTAATCATGCATATTTACCTCCAAGCCTGAGATGTGCAGCTTTTTGTCCAGTTTCGTAGTCGTTTTTGGCAAAACACTGAAAAAATTAATAGATTTGATGATCACAGGTGTTAAGATTACATCGTCGGTATTTTTTGCATTACTTGATAAATTCCCTGATCTTCTCGCACCACTCCCGTAATAGTTAGTCTATTTTGGCTTAAAAAGCGTATCCTTCCAGCCCCACTGCCGGATCGGAGCGTGACTCCATCTTTCAGCCAGGTCACAGGTCCGGGTTGTGGTTCCCCGCTTGTTTGACATGTAAATTCGGCATTCTTCCCCAAATCCACGACTGCATTTTCTGGATGCAAGTTCACCACTAATGGCGATCGTACAATTAACTCCGTCTAAGGAAATACATAAAGAAACAAATCATACATAATTTAGTGCTCTATTGTTCTTATGTTTTTCTCTGGAGCACGTTATCATTTTTCAAGGTGCAAATGTACATATTTTCTGTATGTGCAATCCTACATTTTCGCTAGATTGCCTGAGAATGGTAAATATTTCAGGAAATTGGCCAAGAAATGAGGCTTGAAGACCCCATGCACACGCCGCCCGCTCTCCATTCTTCCTTTCACCTCTCTCACGGCGTGCGTACGTAGGTATGATGAACAGTTCTCTTACCGAGCAAGCAGTGCATAACGAAGCATCATTTGTCAAAGTCATTGTGCGGCTTTGAGCCTTCAGGTGAACAATGTGGGCAACGAACCCTTAAAGTGTTATTACGACGAGTTTCGCACAACTCAACTTCGTACATATTACACACAACAACAGGAATGATATGATATCTACTCTACTACGCCGCTGTTTTGCATCTGTTAACAGAATTCGCTTTGTTTACTAGTAAAATATTCAGGGAACGGAGGACAAGACACGTTTCTCGAATGAAGACCTCCTTCTTACGTATTCCTATTATTCTTAAGAACATTTATGGTTTGGCTGCTTTAAATGTGATACGTTCTCAATTTGTCTTCTTCCCTCTTGCACAAGATCGATACGAAAGTTGATAAAATTATGGTAGACATGCAAGCATGGAAATTATGCAGTATGTATGGGAGGAAGGGAAATGTTTGAAATATGGAATTATCCAGGGTGACAGTCATCCTGGAGAAAAATGTGGGTTCCATTTGGTCCAGGAAATTGTCAACTTCTTTGTGAAATAGCATTATTCTCTTGTTGTCTCCCGACCTATTTATTTGATTCAGTGTGCCTACATTCTCTTCTACTTATTTTCACTTGGTTCTCGTGGCAGACACAATGGAAATACGGAGAATAAAGGAGTTTATATGAAGGGAAGAGAGAGGGACAAAGTTGAATTTTAAGTGGAGTGGTGGTCTTACCTCCTGGAAGTCGGATGCAATAGAGTTGGACGCGTTGCAGAGGTAGAGACCCTGTAAAATTTAAATTCTTAGTGTTATCACGGCACAAAAGTAGAGATACCAAGGACGGACTTACCTTGTGCACTACTTTCACGGACGTAATGATTAAAGCTCCGTGACGTAGCTTGATAAGTCCGGAAGAGGTTTTTCTACTTGACGAGTCCTGTGCGTCCCACGACCGCAAGTCTTCTAATGATGAGTCATCTATCACAGGAATCAGACGGCTTCCTTCCTTCTTGAACCACCTGAAATATGCACAGTTTTACATTGTACATACATATTTTCAATTTTTTCGAGATGTGAATTTATTAAACTCTGTCGGTAAAAGTCATGAAATATGAAGGATCCAAAACGTTGATAAAAAAGGAAAGTGAGCATTTATTAAACACGACCCACCAACCCGGAAGATCACAACACTAGACCGGGAACTTCCTCCTCTGCGGTCCTGAAGTGGTGAATGTTTTTAGTTCCGGTTTGTGCCCGGAATCACATTTCAAAACCAGGGTTGAATTTTCGATAAATAAACCAATTCTCGAGAGGAGCAGTATTCCAGCCTCACTTGCAATAGCACGTGGGTAATAGCATGAAAGTAGGCACATATGACAGGATACATGAGAAACGCTTTTCATGCCCAGCCAACTATCTCGCACTATACAATAGCCATGCAACACACACATAAATAAGCCAGTCGTGCCAGTGTGGGTGCTGCTGCTGGGTATGGAGTTGATTGATGACATGTGCTTTAAAAGACTGATTGCGGATTGTCCGGATTTACAGATTTAACCCGAATCCGAAATTGTCAGTTTGATTCAATTGAGCAGCTCGAGAGCTCGGTTTCCGCATACATACATAAAGTGTACCTACGTAGACGCTCACTCTGCGGAAGAGAGGCCATTGTATAATAAATTGTTATTTTGGGTGAAGCAGGCTATTTTTCTGAATTTTATGTTTCATTAAACTCCAATCTGCAATCCCATGTGTCCTGTTGAACAACTAATCCAATTTCCGAGAACTTGTACAAAAGCACAATTCAATTCGGATCAAATTGAATGACCAATGAGCATGCCTGACTGGACGGCTACCCACAAAATGCACTAGGACTACTGTCACCGCGTAGTAATGTCCAGATTACAGGAGGGAGAAAGTGCCTTTATTTTTACGTTTGTGTCTAGAAATTTGCAGGCAGGAGAAAGTAGGACGACGTCGACGAGGAAACCTGCCATATTCTTTTTTGTGGTTCTTCCTATATGCCACGCCATAAAGCAGAATTGTGATCGTTCCATTACATCAAATGTTCAGAGAGACGGCTGACCAGCAGCAGTATTGGGATGGATTGTCATAACTGTTTCGTTTGTGGACATCATTAGTTGGTGGGCCGAGGGAATGTTGTTATTCTCCGCTGATGTTCTGCTGGAAGGGACGAGGACACATAACGAAATCGAAATACCAGTGCATATCCTACCTGAAAGAAGGCTTCGGCAGGGCTATTGCTATGCAGGGCAGAATAACTCTATCATTTTCCTTAACGATGACACTGGGCGTTCGGAATTGGATTTCTGGACGAGATGCTCCTTCCAGCTCTGCAAAATGGAAATAAAAATGATGCATTAAAAATTGATGGTCTCTAAATCCGAGGCAAAGCAAAAAAGTCTAGGACCCCCTGCTGGAGGACGAAGATCAAAATACATGACAGATAATATTTGTCAACTTTACTCTGGGCTACGATAATTTTAAATTGGGAAGACATCGTCACAAGTAAGAAAAAATTACATAAATACATTCTGACGACAGAGTAAAAAAAATCATGTCTGTGTTTTGTGTGGTGTTAAATACTAAAGAAAGCATACGTTACACAACAACCTTTAAGGCAGACTTTTTTTTATTTTATGTACTCACCATTGAGAAAGATGCTCCCCGGCTCGGACACTATCGTATGTTGTGTCAGTTTGTGAAGGACTCTACACTGGTAACTGGAGAGAGCTTCTTGTGACGACAATTGCCAAATTAATAGCCTTCCGTCTTGCAGGATGTGGTACTTTGAGTCACTTAGGTCAGAGTCAAGTGACCCTGGGAGGATGTTGAACGACTTGTCACGCACCCAAGAGGTGACAAGTACATAATCTAGATTAATATAAAAGCACAATATAATAAAAGACAATCTATTTGCTTGCACACACTGTTGCTGGCTGGCTGGTCAACAATATCACGCACTTATTTACGTACCTCTCATGTATTTCGGAGTTATCACACAATCCAACACGGTGGGAAAACTCTGGATTCCTTGCTGACTCTCGACATGAGCTTCAAACGACTCCTTCACCACTGCAAGCAAACAATAAATAAATAACGACATCTCTTTATTACTTATCTGTTCCGTGTGAGAACAAATAGATGAAATATTACTACGAAATACTTAACGTGAGCAACATAAATAATACGAATTATTATAGTGCCAGACACTCAAATTGCGTGATGCCTTCCCCACCACCAAGTTTGGAACAAATTAAGAAAGTCTTTCAGCCAAAAAGAGAGGTCTGTGTGCTGCTTCTGCCATTACTTCTTAACTACCTTCTTCTTCTCCTTCCTTCTTCACAATTTCTGCCCAAAACGCCGTTCACATTTCTCATCTCCAGTCAGTGACTGTGTCACATTCATATTTTATTATAGAGTAAAACTTTGCCCCACTAATCGAGACTTTAAGTAAATGATGGGGGAAAAGCCTCATGTTTGTATAAGGGTTTAATCTCTATATAATTTATTACTCTATTCGCGCACAAACAAATCCTTCCACTCATCCAATCATAAAGTTCGTTTAACCAAAGTGTGTGTGTGTATGGATGGAAGTAATGGTGAGGTCGAGGTCGTATATTTTCCTCGGCAGATTGACTCCTTCATCATCATCATCATCCCGTTCCCCGACCAAGGGTTGGACATTAAAGAGAGCGGAAAACCGAGAAATCTGTCATCGTAACATCATCAACGAGAATTTCACACGAGACTGAGTTAACGAGAGGGAGAGAGAAGGGCCTGATCACTTTCACTCTTCCGCTCCAGGATATAGGCAAGGACCTGATTAACTAACTTGTTCAGAGGAATTAGTTCCTCTGTCGTAATAAACTATCCGTCTCGGCAAGTCCAGCAGGGCGAGAGAGAGCCCTATATTTTCTTAAGTACTCTGGCCTGCCACGAACCACCACTACTTTCACCACCACCATCACGACTACGACCAAGATGCCAATGAGAGGCGATGCTATGCGATGCAACTAATTTACTCCCTGTCCTGAAATGTTTATAAACTTTGTGTAATTTATAAAGGCTTCGCCCAGCAAGCGACCAGCCAACCACACACTTTCAGCCGTTCCATTTTCATCTGTTAATTGAAAACTTTGCATAGGTTTTCCCATGAAAAGGTGAAGGAAGGAGTAGTGCAAATCTTGAATCCGCCCTTCAATATTTGATAGGTAGACATGCTTACTAGATATTTGAATATTCCTACATAACCTACACCTCACGGGCCCAAATTGCTTTCGACATTAAATTTCCACCGCTTTCCTTCTTAACATTCTTGCATGAGGAAGAGAGTAAAACTACGTATAAGACAGTCGTTTGGTTTGGATTGACGACGAACATATTTCAATAATGAAGTCATACCCGTAAAAGAGACGGGGATGGTTTTGTGCTTTGATTTTAATGGAATTTGTCGATGACAGTGTGCAGATATTTTGGAGACTTTGTGATCGTGAGAGTTACAAATTAAGCAAGTTTAAGTATACTTTAGGGTTGAGTTGAAGGATGCATTTCTTGAGTCATATTGCATCAAGTCTGTCCTGCTGGTGGGTTGGGAGTGAGTTTCTCTCTAATTAACATAAGGGAAAAGACGGGTTCTTTGAAGAATAAATCAACAGCAGAGTCACACAGTACGAGGGAGCGATGGAGAAAGTTGGTTGTAGGAGGATGCAAGTTACTTTCTCTCCGCGGTCTCGTCGTTCTCACCACTGGTGAAAAAGTGCATAAAAGGAATTTACGACGGTATTTACTTTACGACAGGAAGACGTTGGTGGTGGCAGTCATAAAATCTTGGGTAGCTTACACAGTGTAATTTTGAAGAGGGATGTGAACCAGATAGAGAGAGAGAGACGAGGCATTTACTCACACATGGTTAGGACCCAATGCTACTACTTTGCTTTTCATTAGTCCTTGTAATAATGTGATGCTTAGAATGTATCATTTCCTGGCTTGATGGAAATATAACCTTCCAGACGGGCGATAGGCTCGTAAGGAAATGCTGAATGTACTTATTTATTTCTTACTTCAAGACTAGTTTTTAAGCACGGGCGGGATTTTATATTTTTTACGTCTATATGAATAAAATGAGTGGATGAAAAGAAGTAAAATAACGACAAGCTAAATAGATACACCTTGAATCAATAGTAACGTCAACATACTTTCACTTTTAGCTTAGGAAAAGACTTTGAACTCTAAATCTGCACTTTGCCTCTGAGAGAAATTATTACTCGGCAAATCAGCGAAATGGAAAAAGATGGGAGTTTAGTTTAAATCAAAATTTCAAGATGTACACACATTCCTTGTGATAAACGACAAATGAAAATCCATTTCTTCTCAGAGTGAGTGCAAATGTGGAGAAAGCGCTCGCTCGGTCCCTATTTATTCTGCATGAATGCCCATTCTCACTTATTGCTAACTAGAGAAAGGAGATTCCTCTCTCTGTCTTTGCCTTCATGCTACACGACCAAGTGCGGAATAAGATGAGTTATACACATATTTCCAAAATCTGCTCACTCTCAACCAAAGTAAGTATGCACTAATCTCCGTTTTGTCTAGAGGGCAAAGTACCCGCACATCGTCTGGGCCAAATAATCCAATATTTCTCAGAACCCACGTTGTAAATGGCAAACTATTCTTGTAAATATTATTTAAGACAAAGTAATAACATCTCTACAAACTTTTTACTTGCAGAAAGTATTGGAAGTATAGAAAATGGGGACGCAGCCCCCTTGTTTTGGACGGGAATGAACATTACGGATCAAGGAGAGAAGAAGACACGAGTGAGAATCGTGGAAGAAAAGAATTTGTACAATTATCCAGGAAAAATTACACTTTCTTCATCCCATTAGAGGAAGTGATTGAATGAAACCCCAAATTCTCAAGATGCGCGCGATTACTGCCGCCTCGAGACCATTACTTCTTTTTGCCCACACACTTCACTTCACGCACTTTCACTCCCTTTCTCTCTCCTCCAGAATTGGCCCCTTCTCCAAAGCGAAAAGGTGTTGGGCCCGAATTTTTAAAGCAATTAGATTAAACTCAATGCGTGGCTAAATCTCTCCTGGAAAATAAATTGTCAATCTGAATAAGATGCGGATACGCAACTTTTATTTTCAATTTATTATGGGAAGCACCATTTTCTATTAGATTTCCAAATTTTGTCGGGAAGACGTAGCTCCTTTCTAAACGATCTCTCTTAATGATTAATCAACACTGTTTCCTTGATGGTGGGTGGAAGATATGAGGGTCGACATCAACCAGCGGCATACATACAATCTTTGAGTGGTCATATCTATGGTATATATCCGATAATGGAGATTGTCCATGCACCAACCACCCGTCTTCCCAGGGATGTAAATACATAGCCGACCATAGTCGATAGTTAGCTCGAAAACATAACGAGCTTTGTCTCAACCAGCCACTCATTACTTTCTCCGTGATGTAAAGGGCTGCTGCTGCTGGAGCTTCTCACTACTCGCACAAAGTTAGTTTCCTTCTTCTTCCCACCACTTTCTCTTCTCTCTTCTCCTTCCTTCATCTTTTCTGTCCAAGTGCTAGTCGAACAGGGAACTTGGAGAGAAGAATAACCAGGAAGGAAGGGAAAATTGACCGAAGAAGAAGAAGAGACGCAACCAACTCACCATCATCATCACTGCCACGACCGCTGCTATAACCAACCACAACCCATTTTGGTCTTGTATGTATGTAGGCGAAGAAAATCTAATATTTGTATTATGAGTTATTACGCATGCATGCCAAGTTCATGTATGGTTCGCCTTATTGAAGAAGACTGCTTCCAGGTTACAGATTTTACCTGATTTATGTAAGTGGAAGATTTTTAAGCAGAAATGTTAAATAATGACCATCAAAATTTATGTAACATATTGAACATGTCTCGACCTATTTATAACCCTCGAATTTCAATTTTGTAAAGTACCTTTCGACATAAATATGTACATACGTACAGCGTCAAACGTAACTCACGTTATTTATAAACTTCGAGACCTACTTTGACCCGTTCATATTCATGAATCACAAGCTGAATTTGGTAGAATATGGCTTCACAAACCAAACCAAACCACACATCAGGGCTTTGTGTTCCTCTGCGGATTCCGTATAAGCAGCAGTTGCCACGTGAGTTCGTTCGGAGATTCACCTTCACGTTGGTTAACCCGGACCCACCCGTAAAATAAGGAGGTAAACAAAAGATAAACTTTAATTTAAGCCCTGTAATGCTAGCATTAGCCAAAGAAAACCGCAACCCGATGCCAAACGCTTTCATTGTCTGTATGCACACTAAAACTCTCTACTTGCTAGTTTTGTTCATAAAATCGACAAAAAGCGGCGAGAGGAAGTGTGAGCTTGAAATGTAAATGGAGAATTGATGAGAGACTGGAGAAAATAATTAAACAAGACACGTCTGCAGATTAGCCAGATGAGATGGAGAAAGGAGAAAGTGGAGGCCGTGTGGGTTAGTTGTGTATGTCTGCATTGTGCGAGATTCTGGATAAGCCCAACTTTCCCCGTAGCACGGCAACCTCAGACCAAGTCGACCGAAACTCTTTGTCTAATTTGATTAGCCTCTTATTAAGATTCGGTACACATTATCTATTCGCACTCAGATATAGTCAGTCGCTACTAGATGTGTAACTACTTAATATGTATTCCGTAGGTGGATTGTGGTTCCAAGCTGAATTAAAGGTAAGAATATAGAAAATGTACGTAAAACTCATCCAATTAAAACTATGTTGGCAACTTTTTGATCACAAATCCCATCTAAAATAATTCCAAAATCCTGCATAAACATTACGGATATTCCAAAAAAGTTATTGTTAAGCAAAACGTAAGAAGAAACTAATAATATTGACTCGACTTTTACACGACTTTCCCCGAATAATATGCTATCTGATACTTTATGATACTTTACTTTCTGTATGTCCTTTCCCCAGTCAAAATTTTTAGCCGTAACATTTTCAATCCATCCATTTTCGTTACATTAAATCCGTCCCTCGTACATACATACATTGCAATTCTGATTGTGTGCACCCAGCCAGGAGAAAGGTTGGACCCAAGCCCAGTCAGATCCGCTTTTTGTTCGCAGGGTAACAAAAGCCTTAAAGATTTTGGTTGTCTGAAACCTATGCATCCTTCATACGTACGTATAGCGTCAGTTTCCTACGTACATAGAATCGTAGCAGCAGCAGGAGCAGGAGCACACCCACCATCCAGTCATCCATCCATCCTTCCGAACAAGAGAGTGCACAATGAAGCGGGCAAGAAGGATACAAATGATAAATGAAATTCGGTGAGAACAATTATTTGATATCTGCGATCTTGTGCATGTTCCTCCCTCCACTTCCATCCTCCGCTTTCTTCCTCCTTCCTCCACGCCAAGCACGCCGAGCAAGTGACTAAGGTGAGAGTATTAGAGCGTAAACGTAGATATCCCAATTTCAATCAACCTCGTCAGCACCATTCCAGAAAATTCGCCTTTCTCCGTCCTCCTGCTTCCCTTTTCCTCCTCGCTCAACCGTGGGTCTGAGCCACTCCGTATCCGAGATAGCGGCAACAATTTGACCATATTTCAGTTTAAATGTATGCATGTCGATAGAGGATATCGAAAGATTTCGACAAGTCAAGTGATCCAAGCAGCTATGTAACTAACATATTTAACACCGTGATTTTAACAGATTTGTAGGATGATGCAGACACGTGTTTCCACCAATTATGTGACATTTACCATATTCCAACCTCCGCCAAAGTGCATTTGAGCAGGGTGATGATGAATTGAATGCCTTCGCCAAGAAAAGATACCCATTTCTCAGAATAAGTAAGCAGCGAGAAGAAGAAAGGAGAGAGGGTGATAAGCCCTTTAAATCCTTTCACCACCATCGGAAACCCATTCTCCATAACGGGAATAACCTTTTGATTTGATACTTCTTCTTCTTCGCAAGGATGATGGCTCGTCTGACCCAAAATAGAATTGAGCCCAAGAAAGCTAAGTATATTATCCAAATGTTAAATCCTATTAGCACAGTAACACTTAAATATTACAGTTTCTGAATGAATAGACATTCTCTTAACGGGCGTGGTGGTTACGGGAAAGTGCAAAGTTTAAATGTTGAGCTATCTCTGTATTTTACAACGCTTATGCATAAGCGAAAATTCTAGCACGATGCATATTCTTCAAGGAATTGAAAGAAAAGGTAATAAAATCCTAAATGTGGCTGCGTTGGTGAATCCTAAACGTGTATAAATGCAGATTTGACGTTACCTACGCTATTATTCAACATTGCACTCGAAAAGTTCATTCAACAACAATGAGGAGATTTCATCTAAAAGGAATTCGAAAAGGTATTCAGGTGTAGAAAACGGTTTCGCTATCGAGAAACTCATCAATGCGGATGAGCAAAAGTTCATGAGATTTGCAAAAATACTTAGAAATCCCGAAATTGCAAATATCTATCTGATCCAGTACATACTGGGAGAAAGAATTTTCTTCATTTCCTTCCTTCGGATCCGTTCCAAACGGAGAAAAACAGAAAGTCTTCAGTCAACTGAACTGAACATTTCGAGTCAAGAAAGTTTAAGCCATCATAATAATTTATACATAATTTTCTCCCAAAACCTGAAACACCACACCACACACGCCTTCACTTCGTGGTTAGTTCATGCATGCATGTCTACTTTCTCGTAAAGAATCTCAATTTCGCCCTCTGTCTTTCGCAAACTTGTCAAATTCAAGAAGTGAAACAGACAAGTTCTTAACACGCCTCTTGTTCAAACCTCTTGCACTATTTGGTTTTCTTTTATCTTCCCCAATTAAAAAACACATTGGCCAAACAACCAGCAGCTGCATGCATATGCATACCCTGCCATTTCTCCGTCCTCCAATTTAACCTCGTGTACACATGACACACTGTGTGCGGTCCCAATTAATTAAGTGAAGGAGCACACAAGAAGAAGAGAAGAAACCCGAAAGGCGAAAGTCGTCTTTGGCGTTTCGAAGCCAAAGTAAAACTCCAATCCAAGTCTAAAGTAATTAGCCTAATTTCTGCATATATTCAAATGACATGACACACTTCCTGCCTCCCAAAGAAGAAGCGACATGTATGAAAATCAGGGAGAAAGAGAGACAGTTGCTCCACAGACAAAATGCCTTGTTATCCCGTTCCGTGCACAAAACTTGTCGTCCTTTCTTTTCGCAAGGCTGTGTATTTGGTTGAAAAGGTTGCACATATATTGCAAACCGGACACATTAATTACTTAAAACGGCACGTACGTTTTTATTCTTCCTTCCTTCTGACTTTCTCTCCGAGGTTAGGAGAAGACTAAGACAAAGGAATTTTACTTCTCTGCTGCGCATCAGATAATGAGACACTTTTTCATATCCCACCTTTCCCTTCTTTCTCCTGTGGCTGAGAGATTAATGCAAATTTTTCCTATAACTTTGCTCAAAAAGTTTACCTCAACTGCTCGCCTGTTTCCTACATAAAATTCATCAACTTTTATGGAGAAATACCGTCTTGGAGTAAGTATGTCTGGAGGAGAGACTATGTGAAAGTGGGTAAAAATGCGATCCTCCTCATTACGTAATGGGAGGATGTTTCAGAAGTGGTATAAAGTGACAGTGGTGTGAGATATGGAAGGTAAAAAAAACCTTGAGGCTTCAGAAAACTTTGTCGTTTTCGCTTGATAAATGAAGGAGAAAACCTGATACAGCTATCATTTCTAATTTATGATTAGCAAGACTAATTTGGTGCATGTAATAAATGGTGAGGTATCAATTTTGCAAGTTACGAATGAATGTACGTACTGCCAAGTTTGACGGAGAAGAAGAGTAACTTTTGTGATGTGAAATTATGTAAAGTTCATTAGTTTGGGTGGCACGCGTATGATAATTTTAGTCAGATGACGACTAACTTTTCCAAGATCAAGAAATTGCCATTGCATAACTTGTAATTGTAAACTTGTCTACGTATACCCAAAGGGTATCTAAAGTAAAATAGTTAAGTTACGTACGTATAAAATGTAAAGATAAAAATTATTCCATATTTCTGAAACTGTAAACTCCACCCAAACATTGATGGAATATCGTAAACTGCATTTGACATCCTACATTCACCACGTGTTTTCCTTGGTTTACAAGAAGTCGTCAACCTTAATCACCAGAATTTCTAAGCATACACACATTCAGCAGAAAATTTATAGATATCTACGAGAAATTATGAAGTAAGTGACATTTGCGAGTGGAGTTTCAAGTATGAATTTGTGTTCCTTCACATTCTCTCACACCATCATCATCCATCTCCACGAAGATGAAGCTTATTAAAGTTTCCTGCTGAAATCAAATAAAGTTTTCGCTAATGAATGAATCTGTGCTTTCCTTTCACTCTCTCGCTCTCCATTCACTGCTTAATGTCAGCCTTTCTTCCCTCCAAATGGCTCTCCCCCTTGTCTGAGCGAGTTAGTCAGAAACTTTAGAAATATTTCAGTGAATGAAGACGATTTCGGGATTACGACACCTAAAATGCTTCACATTCATTCATTTACTTACATCGCTCACAAATTATTTAAAGTGAACCAAGTTAATCCGACAAGACAACACGGGTGCGAATCAGGTACGATGCTGCTTGTTCCCACCCACGCAAATGACCTCGTTTCCGCATTCTGCGAAACCCACAATAAAATTATGCATCAAAGATTTAAAAGATTTTCTTGTCTCCTCCCAAAAAGAAGAGTTAAATTGAACCAGGGAATAAAAAATCAGAGCGAGATTTATTTTATTGTGCACCCAGCGAGACAAATGCTTTTCAAATAGGTTTAACTCAACTCTTCCGGTTTTCTGAACCCCAATTCTTCAATTCCAGTAAATCCAATCGGATCTTCTGCCTCCGTACGGAGGACGACGACGACGACGACGGCGGAGAGGGTTCTTCTGATCAAATCCTTTCATTCTTTATCAATACTTTCCAGAGACCAACCTTACATACGTCCATAATCACATTGAGCCTCGTGGTGGATCCTACTTCCATCATGTGCATACACAGGCATTCACCACATTTTTTTGCATGCAAAAATTTCCAGAAGGAATTCTCATTGATTTAAGATCAATAATAAAATTCTGGGGGTGTTTGTCATACGTAAATAAGTAGCACGTGGGTGGATTCTTTAGTTTTTTGTCTCTCCTAATATCAATCACACGTATGTATGCACACATATGTATATCTATAAATACATAAAGTCTTCTGAAAGTACGGATAAAAATAAATAAGCTACCCACCAAAAACTTTGAAAATCCTTCTCTAAATCTGTTGATCAACTCGGCGTGCATGATTCGATTTTTTTGAGAGGGTAAATTGTTGAGGGCAAACTTTCACTTTTGAGATAAAATCATAAACACGAATGGATGGAGTTTGTGGAGATATGCTTTTTCAAAACTCGAGATGCACATTTTAGAATATGTAAAAAGAAGAAAGAAAGCATACGCTATTTCCATGCAATACGGACTAAAAAAGTGTATACGGATACGTACACGAATCAATCAAGAACATACCTGCCCTCAGTTGTACGTCCCGGCTCACAATTGTTCCTACGGAATTGGTCGCAACGCATCTGGAATATTACGCAGAGAGAGGAAATTCTGTTAGTAGAGTTCATATTCAGTGTTTTCCCCCAGCAGGAAACTCTCCTCACAAGTTCATGCACTAAACAACTAACGAAGAATAACTCAAAGGGACAGATGAAACGATAAATCATTTCGAACCGTTCCTACTACACAACCACCGCTGTCGGTGTAAGCGAGGAAGAAATTCTGGTGAGAAAATTCCCTCTGTGCTCAACAGCAAGCAAGCAAGAATTATGGATGCTCGGTATTATTATTTTTTGAACTATTCGAATTTCAAGAATTATTTGGAGTGTCAGTTTTTTGGCGAAAAGAAATCAGTGTTGAACCAAGTGGCAATAAATATTGTAAATGTCGCGAAAAAAATTCGCAAAAATTGTGCAGGTCGGACTAGATTTGAAGGAAATTGTATACGTGAATACGTCTAAAAATAGGAATCGTTAATAATCTCAACTCGATAATAATGAGCCACCCACCCACCTGTAAGTGGATGAATAAAGGTCCGGGCGAAATGCCTCCGCCGCGAAGGGAGGAAACACTAATGAGCCATCTGAGCTGGAAAAATAACGAAGGCCCTGCACTTCCGGCAGGTTCGCCCCGTCGCTCCATGTCCACCGGATGGATGGATCTGGTCGCCCTTTTGCCGAACAGTTCAACCGGACTCCCAGCTCATTGATGAACTCGATCCTCGACGCGGGCTCCTCGATGAAGGTTGGACCCTCGTCGTACAAACAGTTGAACCCTGAAATATGTAAATATCAGAAATATGTAAATGATGAAAGTTTAACATGTATGTCCCGTCATGAGGGAAATTCTCATTAATTATCGTTAAGAGAAAGTTGGATGATGAAAATTTAAAGGAAAAGTCGCATCCCGGATGACCATGTAGTCAAGTAATAATAAGCAATCTATTGCTTCTCTTTTTTATCCCGTAGATAGTTCATCTCCTGGAAAGATGAAAGATGAACTCGGTCTCACCACTCGACAAGCAAGGAAGATAAACTCGATCTGAAAAAGAAGCACAATCACAAAGCATTCGACAGGCGGGTCTCTCTCCTAAGCCGGTGATGTATCTCACCCACTACGCGGAAGCTTATCCAGCCTTCCTGATAGGCAGCAAGTCGGGATTGAATAGAAAACCCAGTGGTCGGTCTGCTCCTCATCTTTCTTTCTTTCTTTCTCTCCTCCTTTATTATTACACACAATCAGTCCACGAGGAGAAAAAATTATGCAAAAATACAAAAAATGCCGAGATCTCTGGCACACTGGGTGGTTGGTTGATTGGATAAAATGTACTGACAAAATTACTCGCTTTCTTTTTTGATGGGATAAAAAAACTTGTTTAATACTTTCTCTCTCTCTCGATAAGCCAAATTAGTGGACGCGGAATACACAAGACAAGTAAGACGAGACCTCCTTTTACAGTGAACTCATTAGTGGTAAACTTATTTGCAAGTCTTGCCCGCAATGCGAAACTACATACATTTATCCGGCTGAGCGACTAATAATAATGCGACGACGAAACTGTATAGTAAACCCAGCTATTGAACCATTCATCTCTCTTCCTCCAGCCGAGAGGAAGGAAAGTCTGTATCCCATTATTTCCTATTATTAGTTCAGTTCAGCAGCAGTCCCCCGCGCAAAAATATTTGCTCGGGAGAATTTTTTCAAGAAAGGTCTTTTCAGTGGTTATCTTGCTCATGAAGAAGAACTCAGCACGAGTGGTAAAACAAGTGCATCCCTTAAAATGAGTGAGATGAGGATGGGAAGAGGCCTGAGTTTACCGGGTGGAGAGAAAGTGGAGAAAGCCATGGGGAGTGACTCTTGGGACACCAGAACGACGACCACCACCACCACTTTCACGACCACTATGAAAAACTAACAGATCATCCGATACGATGCTTTCTACTTATTCATCCTCCACTCTTCCTCTGAAGTGGGCGCATCAATGTTTCAATATGGCATCTAAATACAAAGTTTTCTCAAAAATACGCAGTATTTTAATATGAACCTAATTGTAACTTATTTAGTTTAGGTGTGAACATAATTTTTTGATTTTGTAGAGTTCTTCTCTTTTATTACTGTTTGAAAGTTAAATGTTTTTCTCCTAAGTTTTCTGAGGGCATGGCTTGGTTTTTGCACCACGACCACACACACATCCATAACCAAGGAAGAAAGAAGGTAACAAAAAATTCGAACTTTTACCAAAAGATAGTGAAAAGATAGACCGAATCCTCTCATTTTTGCCTGGTCTTTCACTCCTTTCTTTTTAAGACTCGTTTATTATCTCGTATCTCCCCCTTTGCCTCCTCTTCTTCTTCTGCTCTCTTATTTCCCATCCTTATCAAAATCATCTCTCTTCTCTCCTTCGCCTTTGGTTTGCTTTGCTATTACTTTCTCCAATTTTCTACTTCGCCTACTCCCAACATACAAGCTAGTCTTCCCCTTTATGCACGCTAGCCTGCTTTCCCTTTGCCTCCTCATTTTCATCATGTTCGTCCGCATGTATCGGAACTTGATGCACAATATAATAACCCCGAACGAATGTTACCATACAGGCTCCAAAATAAGGGAATTGATCCAAAAAATGAGAATTTTTTGTACATTTCCCCCAAGACTTGGTACGCAAACGAATTCCAACTATTTTGGTGGACGTGGATTCTGTCTGTGCGTTTATGTACGACGGGTTTAAAAAGGTCTCGTCTCGTCAGTGACCGTAAAATGGTTCAAACTGTTGTGTTTGATGAAACGTCCAACTTTGAATATTTGACAATGGACTCGTAATAAAAAAAGTAGTCGTAGTTTATATCGTGTATCTTGTACGTATCTTCAACTACTCGTGCAAATACAAAGAATTTTTGCCATTCAACCTCGTATTCGTTGATTTTTAAAGGGGTTTATCTAGGTTTTTATGTCCTCTACGTGGTCGCACTCGGTAGTCAACAAGGCTTAAAATGAGATGAAGTGATATTGTCGTCATTCTTATGAAAGAGAAATGCAGCACAAAAAGATAGTGCAGCAGATAAGCGGATACTCGAGACAACAAGCAGCCAACCTTGAAATATTGTATTAAAAGTTAGATAATCTTGTATCGAACCCATAACACAATCCTGGGATGAAGAAGTGAACCACAAAAAGTTGGGGATTAAAAAGTTTTCAAAAACTATAAGTTTTATGATACGAATAATAAAATTATGCATATTAAGCGACTGCACATCCGATATTAAAGGTCATCATTTTAATCAGTAAATCACTACCAAAAAGTCACCTCATTTTGGAACATGAGGTGATTTAATTTGCCAAAATTTCATATCTTTGTCCACAGGAAGGGACAAATCCGTAACAGGCAGCTGGGCATCTATTCCTGAGCTTACATAAAAAATACTAACAATAGAGTAAGATTCTTAGGATTACGTATTATTCAACCCTTTCTCCAACCCAGACGACCAAGCCCATTTACTAAAGAAGATCACATCTAGACCAAAAACTAACAACAAAAACATTCGACCTGCTCGGTCATAAGTAATTGAAGTCAGATCACAGCTCTTCATTGTTGTTGCACCTCGTCGTTTCGCAATCTGTTTGTTACCATACATTGAATCATTTCGATATCTTTCATTTCATGATGAAAAGAAAAACAAGTCTTGCAAGTCTGATTGGAAACCTATTTCAAGAATTATAATACATAATACGAACGAAAGGAAGATGGGATATCGAAGAAAATAACAATACCAAATTATTATTAGGAGACCAACTAATCTCACAAAATTGAAGTATTGCTTCCTCCTCGTGTACATACATGTGTTGCCGTGTAGGTTTTGGCTCAAGGTATATAAATACACACACACAAAAGAAGCTCGAAGGAGAGCAAACCAATCTGGCTTTCGTCATTTATTTCGGCTTATCCTATTCCTTCCTTGTCACGGTTAATAATGCTCTTCCGCCCAAGATGAGGTTTCTTCTCTGCTCTGCTCTGCTCTCCATTACTTGAGGGGGCGCGTGGGCTTTGGCCTTCATCACCGACAATATCGTATAACACCGGGGTGCAATGTCAAGAGAGGAGGTAGGAGAAGACCTACCTAAGTCGTTTCCGAGAAGAATGTATAGCATTAAGTAGTGTGGATTTGGTGGTGGTGACCTGGGTGAAAACAACACTAGGAAAAAAAACCTTGTGGGTTTCCTTGCTTTCTCCACCTCACCTCTAATCTGTTTCCACTCCTTACACTACACAAACTCACCTGAATTGACGAAATTGACCTCGTGAAGGAAACAAGCCAAAATAGGATATGACCAGGATAATGGAATTGTTCAAATTGTGCAAAAAACAACAAGCTACATACAAAATGTAGTGCTTCTGAATTCTGGTCTCACCTCCAGCTTTATAAAACTTTCACCCCGCCACTTTTCCAAGGAGGGCAATAACCGTAATTTTTCCTCCTCCATACGTGTGTAACTACTGTCTTTGATAATGTGACCCCTGAAATTATGTGTGTTTGCGGTGGTACACGCTTTGATTTAGAGAAATACACATGTACCAGCGACCAAGTAAATAAAATAATTATGTTAATTTCTAATTAAACTCGATACATCAGTCGAGCCAGAACCCTGCGTTAGAAAAGTAGTACAAATTAGAAATTCTATCCATCCATCATTACCGCTATTCTGTTATGGATAGGAGCGAACGAACTACTACCATTGTTGTCTGGAAAAGACGATCCTGCTTGCTTGCCTCATGTATCTATCGTTTTGTGGCGCAGACACATTTGTAATTTGCGATTCTTCCGTTCAAGTAGTTGGAGGAAGAGGTGGAGGAGATTGCGAAATGAAATGAGAGGGAATGAAAGACAAGAGTTTCGGAACAAAAGGCGTCATTGAGCAGCAGCTTCACCCATTAGATACGTTGCTTCGTTGCTAGTTCAGGGCATGGTATCACTTATCACCATCAAAGAAATTCAGACCTAACCCATTTGTTTTCAAATCTAAAGTCTACAGAGAGAAGTTGAAACAAAAGAGGAAACTCATCCTTTGACAATTATTAATGTCAATGCTACCACCACCACCACCACCGCTGGTCGTTCATTTTGTGGGTGATCTGATGATAGTTATGGATGCATATGTATACACAAGTTTATGTGTTGGCTAGTAGTTTTTAGTCAGAATTCCATATTTACTGCTTGTGGGATATGTACTTTCCCAAGATTGTGCTAAATCATAGTTACATAATTTTCCAGGAGATACTATGTATCTCATTGCAAATTGTTTCTCGTATGTAGGCCGGGGTATGAAAGTATGTAATTAAGTTTACACATTTCGACATACTTTACATATTACACAACGTGCTGGAGAATGAAAGGAAAATGCTGCTCACCTTTTACGAAGAGAAGCAAGAACAAAGCCTGATGACAGCCAAGTTCCATCATTTTGTTTCGTATAGAAAAAGATTAAAATCTCTTTGGAAAAAAGAAAGTTTAATAAAAGTTTTCAATCTTTCTGGGACGAGGAGTACGAGGAGGAGAGATTAGAGGATAAGTTTGTAGTGAAAATCCATTAATCCATATTTTTAACATTTGCATTTTCTTCCAGCCTTCGAGATCAAACTATAATCCGGGGTAATCTCTTCTTGAAAATGTGGAACGCGACGTGGAGAGAGATAAAAAGAGAAAGTTATAATATCCACCAAGTCATTCACTACGACGAGCTACGAGCATCACTGGCAAAGAAGAATTCATAGACAGAATCCACACCATAAAACATGAGTCGTGTGCACTTCCATGTTCCACGAGATGTGAGACATGCATGTATCTCTAAAAACTAGGGCCAGATGTAACTTATGAGTTGGTTGGTAGAAGGTTACATAAGAGGAGGAAGAGTTGTTGTAGTATTATTATTATCGCCTCGTGTTTCTGCTGCTGCTGATGCTCTGCATTGCTTGATCATTGTTCATTTCTCACTCTCAACGTGGTCTCGTTGTTGCTGATCTTTTTCCACCAAGTGGCATTTTCTTTATTTCCGAATAATGATGTATTATTTCGTTGGAGAAAGTCGTTCGTCTTATTATTAGAGTCTTACATGGACAGTTCTAAATACAACGAAATGAAACTTGTATTCCGACACTCACTGGTATATGTCTCATAAGTAGAATGGAAGAGTGGTGGCAGATGTTGTTCAGCAGCTAGATTGGGACAGATGCTTCTTCGTCACTCTTCTTGTAATCCTTGGCAGTAATGAACCTGAAAAAATTAGAAAGTTGTAAACACGTTAAAAATTGCATGGATGTTGAGTAACTTGGCAAACAGGGATTAGAAAGCACACATTATTCCATTGTAGGTCGGTCGGGTGAATGAAACATTGCATAATGCAAGTGTGCCAGGCATGAATTATGAATATGAAGGTTTTTTTCTTCATCTCAAAGAAAATTAACGGGGCAGGGTTAACTCGTCCATTTTTCTCTTAGTCTCTAATTTACCTAAGTGTTAAGAAGAAGAGGAAAAAGAGGAGTGAAAGTGTAAGTGGACGAGGCTTGGAAGGAAAGCAGATGGGGAAAAGATGTAATTTTTTCTGTCTTCTTTGTGGGAAAGTGGGCACGTGGGCTGTCAAACAGTGGGGATTGAATTTGGACAGATTTCTTCTCCACTTTCTCCCATTTCCTCACCAACCACAGCAGCACCACCACCACTTACTCAGAAATGTGACATGGCCGCACTAGGTACTGCTAACTGCATTGTGATGCATATTGGGCCAAGTAGTTTGTTAGCGGGGAGAAAGGAGTTGGAAGAAACTTCATTTTTACTTTAGAGTGCGAGAACCGTAAGGAAACATGGCTTGGGAAGAAATTTATTGAAACAGCAATAGAGCCGAGTAGCAGAGGAAAATAGGTGGCGGAGAGAGAGAAATTGTGTGGTTGGAAATGTTCTAGTTGCTACTTTAACTTGGTCCCCGTGAGAGATCTGAGATTCCGAAGTTGGTCAAACATTTATACTACTTACTCGGATAAGTTAGCCGCAGTTAAGCAACTGTCAATACGTTATGGTTCAGGGGAAAGGAAGGAAAATATTGATTTGATGAGATTAATTACTTTACTCGGGAGTTTCAAAACTTGGGGAAGAATTAGCTGGCAGTAATCGCAATTAGTCCAAGACTTCTGCTTGGACTGGTTCAATGCTTTCACTTTCAGCTAATATGTGTCTACATACATACGTCAACTCAAGGCTGATGTTTGTATCTCTTTCCGCCCCAGTTAATTTATTTAAAAATTATTATTTATATATGAATCTTTAATAGACAAAGGCTTGCTATTTTTTGATCTTTTTGATGATTTTTCGTATGAAAACCCTCCTTTCATTTCTTAAGACGCTCTCCAAGAGAAAAATCTACTCACTCACTCTTTCACCCATTTTATTGACACTGCTTCTTCTTCCTTTCATTCACGTATGAAATGAAAGAACTCATCTTTCCGTCCTCTTTCTCCCCTTGATGTGGAGAGAGTAGCAGTGTCAGTGTAAATTTTGGCTAGATGTGAGTGGATTATTGAATTAAGTTGTCACGATCATGTTCTCATCATCAATAACCTGTCACAGCCATTTCAAGAAATGAACCACGAATCCAACCACGGCAAGCAAACCTCAAACCTGTCATCAAATCAAACTCTGTTTCACTCAACTCCAGCCACAGATCAGCAGATCTATCTCACAAACCAAACCAAACCACGGAACGATACCTTACTTTCTCTGCCCTGCACAAACGTCTCGTCTCGTCTGAAAACTGATTTTGCCAACTTGCCCCATGCACTCGAAGGCTGAATGTGAGTGAGATTGAGTGAGTGCAAGTGAGGTGATCTCATTTATTTTTCCCCTGAAATAAATAAGATGTGATTTCTCAGCTCGCTCAGATTTTTCGGGAAGCTGCGAATGGCAGTCAAACAATGAAATGACGAGATATTAATGGCATTCTGTTTTATAAATGATTTTAAAAAACTGGAGCTCCGCAATCTAATTTGTAGTCGGCAAGTGGGAAAATTTGATTCTCACGAATGCATGACAAGCCTGAGACTGACTGAGAAATTTAAATGTCAAAGTTTCCTTATCTACTTTCTCTTTCGGGGAACAGAACTATCGAATAAATGCAATTTTATGTGTACTCATACTTATGTAGGAAGCAACAATAAATGGAAATTGGGGGAACCTGCATAAATATATTTGCTGGCTGGACCGACCGACCGAGCAAAAAGGGTCTTCCAAAGTTATACTTACCAACGGCGCTACTAGTCAATTTAAGGACTTGTGGAAGCCAATGTTGAGTCTTGAATCCTTAAAATCCCCATAATTTCAGAAACTTTCCCCGTTTAATCCACACGTGTCAAAAATGTGACATTCAACGGTCCAACATTGCAAAGAATCTACAATTTACACAAACTTTTACCACAATCCAGCCACAATGAAGCACTTAAGTTGAGCTCTGGTCCGTGTCCTCGTCACAGCCTTAAAAAAACTTAACCGATGTTACTACTCAATGTTCTTCAGTGCCCACCATGAACAAACTGTTAAAACTACAACACTTGTAACAGCATCGCGTCACATCATGCGTTTACATTTAGTTAAATAAAGTCACAGCCGACACGAATTTCTCGGTCTTACTTTCTTTCCCAGGAAACTTTTCAACTTGGAATGCACAACAGATCTTCTTCTTTTTTGAGACTTTCGCTCGTGTCTGCCGAGTGTTCTCACTTTTACGCAAAATTATGTTGAATTCACCCTTCTGTTGCTTAATACAGTGTATAAACTACAGCATAATTCAGTCCGAAAGCGGAATAAACGACCACCACCAGTTTTCTCTGAATGGGGAAAGTTTTCGCAAAAACGTCCACTTCCGGTCGATCTCTGTTAAATCTACTTGAACCAACGAGTACTAACTGCCTCAACTTGCGTTAAACATGGGCCGCAACAGGCTGTAAATTTGCGTAACAATAACGTCCCGTCCAAACTTTTATCTCTTTTAGGATGGATTTTTGGTGTTATGATGCAAGTTTTTTTTCCTTGTTTTTTTTCAGAGAATGAAAAAGTATCAATAATTCAAAACTGGTATGAATAAGATTAACTTTCTTGACATGGGTTGAAACCTGGGCGAGTTTCTGAGTCTGAGAGGTGGAGAAAGTGAGAAAGAGAAAGCGAGACAAAGTGTGCCGAGATGTTTCCAGCTCGTACTCGAGGAGCCAACTGAACAAGTTTGAGACTCTGTTTGGGGTGAAAGTTGTCCGTTTTTGGCCATTACATGCGCTTTCCTTCCGTTTTTGAGTTTAATTTACTGTTGAACTCGTGTCCTCTGTTCTGCAGATAAAGACTGGATTATTTGACGAAATGATTTTGTGTATATGAGTTTTCGTCATAAAATAATAATGCTTCATTGTTTATTGTATGTTACGTCGTAATAAGAGACAGAAATAGAAGTAATTTCAATTAGGTGATTTGTTTACCTAGCGAATTGTGCTCTTCTAACTAATGACATAGAATTTAGAACAATTGTTTCTGGTTGATCCAGATTAGTCGATGGATTCATTTACAATAATCTCCTTTAATTGGCTTTCATAACGGGGAGAAAGTTCATTTGTATTGAAATGATAGGATAACGAGAAATAGTCATTAATCTGGATCGGTAGGTTGCTTTTCAACAACCAGGCGTATTCCTGCTGGTTGAACGCCTCGCTAAATTAGCTAAATTCTTCGGATTAGATAAGCTACAGAGAATTTGCCCTTTTCCACATATGAGAGAGAACATGTTGAGAATTGTATTTACAAATTTTGATCAAGTAAGTTTGGGGAAAGTTGGTGCAAGGTTATGCAACCCAATAAATTCACATCAATCTTCAACCTCTCACTTTCACCAGTTCTCACCCTATTCAATTCGACGCACAAATAATGCATAGGTTTTAATGAATTTGATCTCTTAAAAAAATCTTTTTTACTAAAAGATTTTTTTTTTTAGTACTCGTGATTTTTATTCAAACTGATTATAGGATTACTTCTAAATATATATTCAATAGTGTACAAGTATTTTCATATGTTTATATGTACATACCTAGGTATGCATATGTATTTATTTTATTATTATTATTATCTTTGGAATGATGATGTAATATGATAATGCATACTCTGCGATTACAATTTATACAAACATGTCAGATATCAGTTTTTTTTATAGTTTTTTAGACCCATTACTTTTATTAAGGTTCAGATGAAACTGCGAAACTGTGTATTTATTTCGATCTATTTGTCTGGCCTTCCGTTACTATTTAACTGTATTTTTAAGAAACCATTAAGGATACAATTACTTGGTCTAGATTCACCAATGTTCCCGATTATTATCTAAGACACGTATTCAAAATTCACACCACATGCATATAACAATTTGCAAATTTTCTCCAATTAAAGCTCTATTTTTCCCACTCTCTTCTGGATGTTTAGAATTTTTTGTTTCCTAAATACATATAAATTCCTACAATTCCTTCCACCAAGTTAGTTATGCAAATGATTTAATCAAGCAAAACTAGATTTCACGACCCAGCGCGGTCTGCGGAAGGGCATCATCAGGAATAATAATTCTGCATGCATCTTACGGCGAGACCACGATAATACATAATATATTATATAACCACCAAATCTAAAGATGAGGGGATGCGCTAATAGGACGATGGTGGGGCATAAAATACTAAATTCATGTTCCCCTTGGGTTGTTTGTAGCAGTAAAAATCGTGCTAATGCATTTCTCTCCAAGTGGAAAATCCTCCCTGCAGGCCTAACAAACACTACAATTTTCGGAATGATTTTTAGCACCGCAATTTTGAGAAAATCGAGCGTGTTATGGCCAATCAAGCCCAAAATTGGGCATTTTATCAGTATGTATGGAAAGATGTAATAATTTATAAAGATATTGTAACGCTTGAGAAGAATACTTACTATATCATATCAGGCCATGTGAAGATGAGCCTGCTTTGTGTTCGGTAAGTTCAAGCATGTAGGATTAAATCATAAAAATTTGGATATGAGGTAACATTGAGAGAGAAAAAAAAAACTTGATTCAATTTCCTACTTCCAGCTCAAAAGACCTAAAAATTTACTTAAGATTTTGCGACTCTTCTTTACTTGCATTCATTTCAGAGTATTCCGTTTCTCACAAAGATAAATTGTTTTGTATTTATTTTATAAAATGCCCGAGAGAATGAGAATCACTTCGTAGGTCGTCATTACATCATATCGGTGCACCAAGTTGACAACTGGGAGACGATGGAACGAAATAGTTTGCGCACCTCATTTTTCGCAACTTTCTAGATGGGTTGCCTTGGACTTTATTCAAAGATAAGCAGTCATCTCTTCTCAAATAAACCTACCTTGGTGGTGGCGTCATTGATTGGTCAACCCGATACTTGCATATCCACAAATTACTGTTGACAAGATGCCTTGCCGTAATCTCAAACCTACCGAAAATCTCTTGATCTGTCCACCCTACGACTTCAGCTCTGATGATTGTCCTCCTCCAATCCGCCGGCCAGAAGGATTTGAGCCTCCCGAGCCAAAAAAGCTGGACCCTCGACCTCCTCTCCCATGCACTAACTCGGGATGTTGTGCCTGTCGGCCGGGGCCTTTGAGGAAGAAGCCGATCGTTCCAAATCTCAAGTTGAGACAGCTCGCAGACTGTTATTCCTGCCGAGTCTCGGAGGGATGTCACAATCGAAAGAAAGTATTTTATCAACGTTGGCAAACACATCTCGATCGTCTTCCTCGACGCTATCCCAATACGGATTACTCGACGTACTGCTGCGACAACTATGTCGATCTGGGAGTTAATACTGACTTTTTGAAATATGATACATCCCTGGCTCTCCGAGATGGTGAGTTCTTCGTCTAAAAATGTAATAGACAAGGGAATTAAAACTGTTTATGTATGGGTCTGGCAGGTCCGAGAAAGGAGGCTCTCAAGAATTTCTTGTGGATGAAGAATTTGGCGCAGGTCAATTATGACATGAAGTGTCCGATGTATGAATGTCCCCCGCATGAACCGTACCTGCTTTATCAACCTCCGATGATGAAGGATTCTCCTGGAAAGGCTTATGTATGTACATATTAGAGGAAAAGTTAATCTTTATTCCTCCAAATTGGCATCATTATGTATGCGCAGGACAAACGGCACGGACTTTATCATGAGGATGGAATTACGCGATGGAGAGAATTGGTCTCACGTCCAGAGTATGACAGGTTTGTCGAAGGAACTACACCCTTCAACTGTCCAACAAAACCGTTCCGAAAAGATACAAGCTTTACAAATCCGGTGACTGCATTTACTGGTTTCTCGTCTGGAAATAATCCTCCCTTCAAAGAGTTTCGAGCTTTGAAAATGATGTGATTGATTCTGTTTGACGTACAAACAAAATTATTAAATGTGCATGACTTGAATTTATTCAGAGATCCTATACAAATTAGTCATAACAAAAGTAATTAATCAAGGTCAAGATCAAATATCTGCTACAATATCAAATGCTAAACAAATAATAAATATATAACACTCAATTATTACTTCTTTAAACCTATCGCTCGAAGGGTATGGTTGAAAAATGCGGGGACGTGAGCGTGCACATAAACCGGTTCCGAACTATCCGACGCACCATCCGGAAGTGCAAACGAGATTGAGTTACAGTGCAAGTGCAACGGTAGCTCTCTAACTTTACTCTGTCTAACTTTAATCATGTGGAGGAGGTGCGGATGTAAGCGTTGAGGAGCCATTCTATCTCGGTGAGAATATTTATGATCTCCAATAATAGGACAGCCCAGCCCAAGTCCAAAGTGGATTCGAATTTGATGTTGGACGCCTAAATTCGATAGAAAATTGAATGGTTTAAATTGTGCCATTTAACTGGTGCAAACTTTGTGTAAAGTTTTTTTATCGGTTTAGGTTTATGTACTCACCAGTTTCAATCCTGACTTCCACAAAGGCCGCTTCTTTAATTGAGTTTAAGACTTTAAAATGTGTAATTGCTTCTCGGCATTGTTTCTGTTTTGTGTGGATATCATATTCTCTTAAATCAGGTTTCAGGACGGACCGATATTTCGTTGTTGGACCAATTTTCCCTTGGCCTGAAATAGCAATCATTCATGTATTTATTATTAAGTGTCATTTGGAACAATAATTAATTTAAGGATTAAGAAGTCTTGCCCAATAATGTAAGTTGTTAAATAAAATCAACATACCTATAGGTATATTGATAGTTCCGTCTTCAACTTGTGGACAGCTCTTGGTCACTGCTAGATACTTCTTCTCAATTTGTCGCTGGCCGAATTTTTCCGTAATATATTTGGCAATTCGGGCATCCTTGGCGAACAGGAGAACTCCCGACGTTTCCTTATCGAGGCGATGAAGGGGGAAAATATTTTCAACATTTGCCAGTTTAGCGAATCTACTTAAAAATTGCGTAATGTAATGACGACAATCCAACGACGGGCTATGAATGGGAACGCCGGAAGGTTTGTTGATTGCAAATATGTATTCATTTTGAAATATTACGGTCCGTTTCAGTAAAGTCCTCCACATTTCGTCCTGAGTTAATTTGTTGTAGAGTGGTAATTGGTAAATTTTTGGAACATGGTTGGAATCTATGCCATCCGGGCCCCATACTTTGACAAATTTTTCTTGCTCGGTTTGTAAATCAGGTTTTAGCTCGGAACGGCGTTGTGGTTTGTCGATCACGACCGATTGTCTCTTGCTATTTTTTATTTCTTCACTCGTCTCTTGCTTAAATTTCTTTACGAAATCTCCTGCCAGCATTGATTTAGGATCTGGACCGTAATTTTCCTTTTCTCTTCGTCGTCGTTTGTCCAAGTTACTCTGAGATCTTTGTGCATTAACGTGCTCATCAAATTGACCGTGTTCTTCGACAATATTATCAGAGTCCAGCCGCATTGTACCTCCAAAAGACGAAATCCTAAAGGTTTCCGCACCTAACAACGTTTTCTCACGGACATTGGCCACTGCTCGTGCATGAAGCCAGCCTTCATATTTTTTTGCATTAGGAGAGTCTGTTTTTTCTGACGCTGTAAAAACGGAAACTGTCGGTCACGATCCAAGAATAAATTGTCTTAATTAAAATAAGAATTGAGCAGCTTTTACCTGTATCTTTGGGCGTTTGGACGTCTTTGGGCTTATTGTCGTCCAAATTCCGTTCATAAAATCCTTGTACCAGAAGGTTGGAGTTGTTATCACTGATATCTTCAATACCGAAAGGGTCCAGTTTTCTTTCACCTATCGCCGAATTATCGCTGACAGTGTCCGGCTTAGTTGCAATATCTGAATAGTATTTTACACTTTTTTGACACGTCCCAAAAATGTTACATGGCTTTCTTCCACCAGGAAATAAAAATGCTCGTCGTAACGATCTGGGAACTATTATCGAACCCATACCGTCAAAAACAATCAGGAAGCTCGAGACGTTCTGAAAACGGATTTAATATAAACAAATAAATACACAAATAAATGTATTCAACTTTAAAACTTGATTGCAAATTGTGAATTGATTTTACCTGTTCTGTCGCAAAATTGAAACAGTTTTACATGAATCGAACACTGTAAAATTGCTTGCCTTTACAGGAAGCAATTTTAGTGTTTTTAACAAGACCAGAGTGAAAATAAAAATTTCCTAAATCAGGAATTTACTAAATCGAAAAGCCGAAAGTGAGCACATGAATGAGTGGAAGTTAGCGCACCCGTCAGCGTAAAAACTGAGCAGTCGGGGCACACTTGAGACTTGAGACTTTCTTACTTTCTCTCAACTTTTACTAGCTTTCACTTTTTTTTACTGTAGTATTTTCAAAGTTAATGATCCGTGTAAAGCAAATTTTAAACAAGAAACCGAATTTGTGGCTTCAAGTAGTTTATAACTTTAGTTTAATGCCAATGAATTTGAGAAAATTATTAGAAAGTACAAATTGCAATTGTAATAAAATTCCCATGAATTTGGTTCCAGTACAGAAATTTTAGGTCTTATTTTATAACGTAATATTTTTGGAATATACATTAAAAGTATATTAACTTGTTAATTTAAAATACATTCAGGATTTCTTAACTCCACGTTATTTAGAAAACTTGAATCTGGTGTTGCAAGTCCTGTAAAAAATGTAACCATTGTGGATTAATCCGTATAAATTCTTTGTTTATTTGTACCACGCCAATTACCACCATCATAGCAAATCCAATGACCAGCGCTCGTTTTGACGGGATAAGATCTTCGATAAAGTTGACGGTTAGATTAGACCCACAAAAACATCCAAAGCTGATCACTTGTGCAACTTTTAAATTGCTTTCATCATTACATACAATCTTTGAAAATGTGAAAAAATAAATGTCAAAATTGGTACAGAAGAATATGAAGTAATTGAATTATTTAATTGCATGATCCTTTCTTACCGGATACTCTGTTGGACCAAAGCTAGTACCAAAGCACCCTTGGAATTTCGGCTCTACGGTATAAATTGAATCTCCAACAGCGTTTCTAACTTCAAAAAAACTATTCGACCCGCAAGCCGAGTATCGATTAACGCTACCTAATAATCTTCCTGGAGGCCCATAAATCTGGATGTTCTGAAAGAAAATTAGAATAATTATCATAAATCTTTTCCCGATTAATTATATTTCACTAAAATTAGCATATTTTTTACATTTACATACTCACATTTGGCACAGTACATGACCAAGTTCCATCATCAATCTCTATAAGGATAACCAATTCTCGGGTAATTACGTGAAAAATTTCATAATTTTGATGCGAACAACCCCTCTTTCTGGTCGCTTTCATTACAACGTCATTTTCTGGATTTCTGAATTCCAACGTTTGGCAACAAGTTAGACATTCTTCTGCAAGTGAGATTAAATATTCAAGCATTAGTCACCCTGTTTTTTCCCAATGTGCATACAAACTTTTTGTCATACCTTTTACACCATGAGAAATTTTGACTTTGTCCAAACTTGACAGAAACGAAATTTCATTCGGTTCCCGTCTCCCATAACTTGGGGTGGTTGCTCTGCTTTCATTTTGACTTCGATTTTCTGTTGTGGCTATTACACAAAAAAGAGCAAAAATTGAGTTTTTAATGAAAGAATCTATACCACACGAACCACACAAATGGCATTCCATCGATATTATTGATTCCCTCCATTAAATAACTTGCCATTGTTAGCAAAGGGATGCAAAGCGTGATCCAGGCTGCCCAAGTCGATCACGCGTTCCTGCGATATTAATGGAGCCACCGTTGAGCTGGACTTTCTCAAGATTGAGAAATGTTTGACCCCGTTGTTGGACTTGTTGTTGGTCGTTATTACGTTATTATGATCCCCGTCACTCATCCTGCCTTCTCACAAAAAGTAGATTATCCTACGACTGATGCCCTAATATAATCTGATACCCTATTTTGACACGAATTGTTGACATAGTTCAAAAAATAGATGTGTGTTGTACAAGTCCCTGAGAAATTCTAACTACTCATGATAACACCAACCACCACCTGTCCCTCCCACGCTCTAAAAGTAATTGAAGCGTCTCCTCGTAGAACCTCCACTGCCATTACGACCGCTGGACGAGCTGTTCTATAATGCATTCTTGAAATCTTAAATACTTGATTAACGATTGTCCCGTTATTTGTGTGCTTTTCCAAGGTGAAAGTGAAGTGTGTGGGCCATTTATGCATTTTCGCGTGAAATTAAGGCATCCAGCTTGATTGCAAATTTTGTCCAGGTAAGTTTGTTCGATGCGGCACGGAACGGGTGGTTCGTCCTAAAAGGGCTTTCACCACGAGGAGAAAGTGTTGCGTGTCGCGAGATAGCATTCGTGTTGGGATCGTGATAGTTACATGATTCAGAATACTAGCTTTTACTCATGTTTCCTCTCATGTCCACACACTCGGTATGTGGAATGGTGTAGCGATAATCCACTTTCTACATACATAAACCCTCCCAATTTATAATTCATGGGATTGATTGTAAACTTCGGAACTAGAGCGGAGACAATTTGTATCCTCGGACAAACATAATTTCGCATGAGGTGGTGCAGGGGCAGATAAGTGGTAAATATTGTAAACAAGGGCAGCAAGGTTATGTATGTAGAGTGAAGTGTGTGTATGGGCTGAATAAATTGGGGAGTAGTGAATATTGGAGGGGATTATCACCTCGGAATAATTCATGGGCATTGCAAAAGCATTGAAAGGGAAGAATCATTGCAAAATTTCATTATAAATGGTCAAATTCGGTGGAAATGAAATGAAAATCTCAAGCAGTTCAGACTTGCAAAATTATGTATTTTTCAGACGATTAATTCAATCTCCATATTTGTGTGGCTGTATTGTGCAACTAATGAATACGGTTATGCAATATTGTTACTTTATAAAGAAACTGATTGAAATCTGAATATTCACACATGCTGCTTGAGACATTTCCTCTTTTTGTTACAAATATCTGGGGATAGCGATATCAGCGTTACAATTACCAAATGAACGACAGTGATTGATTGCTTTCTTCCACTTTCGTGCGTTCCGTTCCTTTCTTTCAGGTTAGGAAATTAGGAATATTATGAATGATGCCAAAAATTCATTCGAGTTGTTTGAACTTTGCATAATAATTAAATATTGCAAATGGTAATTAAAATGAAAGGTACTTGTTGGGCACTTATCATAAGTATAGCTTTCCAGTGAGTACTTTGATATTCGAGCTGAATCTAGATATCAATTTTCTGTACTTGTAATCTGTTGAATAAGAAGTGTATTTTCATTTCTAATTTCGCGATGCTAATTAAAAATTACTTAACATATTTCTTACACAGAGAGAAATAACTACTTCAAGAAATTAAGTTTATCAGAGTGAAATTTTATGTAGCACGAATTATTTTAAGGAAATATGGACAAAAATTATGCATTTATGTATGTAATGCTATTGAGGATGATTTCGACATGAGAAAATAATAACGCATAAAATAAATCTTTTATTTATTAAAGTGACCAATTTAAAAGTGAAACGAAAAGCAATGAACTTGCTGTTTGATAATAAATGAATTGTGACGATGAAAACTGTTTTTCCATTAAAAAGTAATGGACAAATTCAATGAATCGTGTAACTTACTCGTGTGAACTTCTAACAAACTACGTACGTATATTTAAAAAAACACAATTTACAAAAATAATCTTAAACTATTAAAAACTTATTATTAAAGAAGAATACTGCATTACTTTTGTTTTTCGGGTTTTCATCTTGCTGTAACAGGAACAAATCAACAAAAACCTCAAAACTAATCTAAAACTCCAACAAAATCTAAGTGTATCTCTCCAGTCTTTACAAAAAACCATGCTGCTGCAAATAAATAATTACCAGTTTTCGAATTAAAATCAATTATTGTGTAATTGCTTTAAAGAAAATTGTAAACGTAACAAATTTTTTTGAAATTGTGAATTTTACAAACCAAATTATAAATATAAACCCTGGTGAAAGGGTTAAAGCGAGTTTATGTTGTTGTTCGAGTGCCGTTGTCCTTTCATCTCATCGGCCAACTTTTCCATCTTTCTGTACAGAAAAAATTTGATTCGTCCCCACCAAGTGTGACTGTTGTTCAGCTTTTCGTCCATGGCGTTGAAGGCATCAATGTTCAGGTTTTGTTCAAAGTCTGCGTAAAGGTCGACAAGAGTTGGGTCCTTTGCCAAAATGTTTCCAAGTCGTTCAAAATCTGTCCCAAGTTGGGCGAGTTCCTCGTCAGATAAGTCGGACATCAAGAAATCGTCTTGCTGGTCAGAGTTGCGAAATTCCTTCCAAATGTTGTGAAATCGATCACGGCCAACCTCGCCGTAAACTTTGTGCAAAAGTTCGGGGATATTGGGACCCTAAAAAACAAGGAATGAGGCAAATTGAGACTATTACTTTTTTCATAGATCTAAACTGAGGCAAATTGAGACTATGATCACAACCTTTAATGTCCCAGAAATTTGAGATAACTTTCCTACAACTTTAACTATAATGTCACACGTGTGTATCGTAAGGTTAAGAAAATTGCGAAATGCGGAGACCTATCTTATATAAAGATTTCTCAATATGCCTGCATACTTATAAATAAAATGGAAAAAACCCACGTGCTACATGATATCATATATTTCATACAAATTAAAAAATTCCAACCTCTCTCCAATCTTTCCCAATCCCATTTAAATCGGGCAGTAATAAAATTAAAAATATCCACATGTGGACAACTCTCAAAGTTCATTAATCGAAATTTTACTACTATTTACTACAGCTGCTTGTTTACTCGACGAGATGTATCAGTTGCCCAAATTCATATCAGTCACTGACTGAACTTGAATTTAGTCGAAAACAAAAACAACAACACCATAAAATTGTAACCACTCTGTCAGTCAGTAGTTTGCTTACTTACCAATTGCCCCCGATATCTGGCCTCCACTGTCGACACGGCCAAAATTCCGAGCACAACGATCCCAACGATGACACTGATCTGCCTCATTATTTTGTTCAGTTTGGAGTTGTTTGTTTTCTCGTAATTTACTTTGTCTTCTGGTTTTGAATGTGCTTAAAATTCAGAATAATGGGTTGAAATTGTGATGTAACTTGAGACGCTGAGAATGAGAAGCAGTAAGTATGATGAGGTTCTTTCTGGGTGACTGAAAGTCAATAAATCTCGAGGTTAGCAAGTCAGAGAATTTAATGCTTCTTCATCTCGCCAAATGCTCAAATATGTGGAGCTATCAATGCGTCTTTGTACTCGTGGTGAAGCTATATATACTTAAATACGTACATATTTGACATATGTAGAATCAGACCATTCAATTAGATCTGCTACAATCGACCTCTCTGGAAATCTGTCAGTCAGTTGTAACATTAACTCAAGTTGGTCAGGACGGCCAAGTTTTTAGCTACTTCAAATATACCATAGCCATACATACGAGTACATATTTACATACCTATCTGGATATAATATATATATAAAGAAATACTTGATATATATTTCAAAACGATTATTTCTCAGTATTGAGCAGATTTATCCAGATTTGGAAAAAATTAAAGATAGAAATCCTTTATTGAATTAAAAATTAGGGAGAATCCAAATTAACTTACGTATTATTATTAAATACTACTTCCTTGTGCAGATAGATTGAAACTGAGATTCAGATGATGTTCTCTGGAACTATGCAAGCCTTGTGATGGGGAATCGGGAAATGAGACAATTTTTATAAAGATCTGCCAAGAAGATGGCTCAATTTGCAAATGCGATGGACAGCACGAACAACACGGGATTTTAGGGAATCAACTCCTTTACTTTACCCCTTTGGCGTGGGTGACGTAGAAAAAGACAATAATAGCGACCAAAATAGCTATGTAGACAGGGCAAATTAAATTGGTATAATTTGCTACAAAGACACGTAAGGATTCACATGAGACATGTCCGAGTTTACAGATACTTTACTTGTCCAGCCATCCATCCCACGCACTTTGTTCTTTATTAAACAAACGGACGGACAGAAGTCGACTTTTCGATGACCATTCTGTTTTTTTTTCATTGAATTAAGTGAGCAGTATGTATAGTTTATTATTGAATGAAATAAACTCGTGACCATACAATTTGCATTGCATCATCACGTTGGTATCTGTAGTAAAGTATATTGTAAGAGTACAAATATGTGCAAATTTGCTCAAGTCGTCTCAATTATGTTTGGAATGAATTAATTATATTAATTATTCTGGCTGGTATGCTGCTGCTGAGGACAAAATGCGTCTTATTACATCAGTTTCGGTTGAAATAATTGGGATATATGTACATAAAATTTTATTGTTTCATTCATTTGAGATAAGTGGAGAGGGTTATCTGCATTGCAGATATATATTTTTTAGTCTCATTCATTCGACGTGTTTCTACTTTATGCATGTAAACACTGAGATGACAGGTCGTGTAAATGAAAGAATTCCCTCCATGAAACAAGTCTACGACAGGAAACCAAATTATTTAGTGGAAATGTTTAGCAAAAAAAGCTTTTAATTTTATTTTTGGAGAAATTCCTACTGGAATTTTGTGGCATTTAGGATTCAGGTGGAATATTGAGAAATGTCCTCCTTGAGGACATTGCTTTGCCCTCCATCCATCTTCTTGGGCATTATTAAGCTCATAATCATTTTTCATGAGTAGACGATTCCATTATCGAAGAAGACCTGAATAGTTTTATGACTGACAAGTGAATGTTATCATAGCCATAGGGCAAACTGAGATAAACTCGTATTCCCATAATGCACTAAATGAATTTAGGAAATTGGTAATACTCATATTAAACATATTAGCGTTGACGTTACATTAATCATATCATTAATACGCCATCAATCTTATTAAGGAATAAGAGAGTGTAATTCACTGCGTGGGCCAAAGGTCTCGGTCCTCGGATAAAAATGTCAATGTAAAAATGCAATATCATTTTAATTGGAAATTAATGGGTCTAAATATACCGATATCTGCTTCGTGGGTGGAGCCACTCAAATTAGCATATACATCAGTATGTACATACATATGTATATCCTTCATTTATGTATGTACACCCTTGTCAGCACTGTCTGCCTGTCATGTCAGAAAGTTGTAAATTAAGCAATTTGTTCTCCTTGTTGGATGAGACCGAAGAACATTGTGCCGTGGTTACTGGGCAGAAAGAAAGATAGATGCCTGGCTACCCGAGGTTTCCTTTGTCCCCGATAAATTAGCTGTGTAGGGAACAATTGGGGACACGAAACTCCCGGAAATTGGACAAGACAATAAAACCCACGCTGAGATTGCGGAAAGGAAATGGAAATCGCTGTAATTGCCACCACAAAGTTTGTTTGATTAACTGACCCAAATTCTATTGAATGAAGCTGTCCAACATCATCTGGGATGGAAATCTATTAAAAATATATTTACCAACCACACCACACCATGACTTCGAAGCTCTTGAGAAATACTTAATTAATTTTACTATCAAATCAAATCATATTACACAGTGCCGACTCGGCACATCTTGACAAGCACATTTTTCCCTTATCGTCAAAAAATTCTGAGATTGTGAGCAGGACATGAGACTCCAGAAGCAAAGTAGTCGTAAAAGTTCGTGATGAAATAATTGACCACACCACCGCCAGTGGCCAGTGACCACTTGAACTACTGACTCGATGTCCTGTGTAGTCAGTGTAGTAAATGTTATAGTGTCGTAATATTCTGGTAATTGCACATGTATAAAGTTCGGTTCCGAACGTTGACTTTGCCATTGGTGCAAGAACACGGGACTCGCAAAATACGGCGTAGTTTTCTCAACTGTCAATCACTGGAGGATATGGTGACATATGATGATAGAAAGAAGAAGTATGTGGTGATATTAATATGATGACACAAGTAAAACTTGAGACTCCATCCTAGTATCGTAAATGGAGTGAGTCTCAAGTTTTCGTACGTAATTAATTGATATCGCTCGTTGATAACTCAATCATAGTGTCTGACTCACTCACCATTTGAGAAGTTCATATATGGTTTTAGTAATCGGATCTACATACTTATTTTATTTCAAGGCATCCTGTAACACATCATTGGCGTACTTTTGTTTGATCAACTTAATAATAATGACTGGGTTAAAAAGCTGAATGACGAATAACTTGAGACATTTATAGGCAACTGCGGAGAAGATGATTGTATTATTTTTAGTCGTGTAATTGGAGAAAGTTTGATGAAATTAGCTTTCATCCTTGTAAAGTAGGTCTGCAAAATATCTAAATTATAGTCAATTGGCAGAATTAAGTGATGTATTACATATACATGTGCATAATACGTACAGTATTGAAAAGACACTCATATCAACTTTGCCGTGATGTAAAAAATTAATAGCAATTTATTACTCTGATATGATTAATATATCGAAAATCTTACGTATAATTGGTATATTTTGATTCATGAATCATAATATTATCAAGTGCGTCATGAGCTTACACTGGAACCTTGCTGTTTCAATGAACCAGGCACAATTTGTTCAAGGTACAAATTTCAGAAGACGAACGCAAAAGTATATACGAACTTAAGTAATTGACGTACTTAATTTCTTGAAAATTACATGCGATGCTGAAAATAAATGGTTTCAGCTTAATTAATTTAAACCTTAATTAAAACATGTTCGTTGGTCATTGTCGAGTGATATTGCCGATAAATTGGTCAATGACATAACTGCGTATCTTATCTTTAATCCACTCAATGATGCAATTAAATATTGAGAAAAACTGACCACACATTATTTATTTTGCAATAATAAGGCAAAATCGCAATAATAAGGCAACTTATATTATGTAACTCTATGGGCAAAATTCATGAGTTTGATTTTTTGTATCCATTGGCTTTGGCTACCCTCTTCTTGGGGCTTGAAATGAAAGACGTCGTGGGAAAGAAATTTATGATCATTTAAATTGTGATTTTCAGCTTAATTATTGTGTCGATATCCTCACCAAAACTGAAACTATATGACCTCATAAAGATAATAATTATTAAATCTAAAACAATCCAATTCAAGAAAATGTGTTTTTCAACACGGATTACTCAAGGATTCATTGAATTTTCAATATAATTTCGACCTTCCTCTGTGTATTTGATAACTCTAAAAGCGAATTGTGAATTTCCTTTGGCCACAGAGCCCAAACTCTTTAATTTAATTTAGTACAAAGAGTTAGTTTCATTCATATTCATACTTGTTGTTAGACATTTACAAAGATGTACATGCAGGCAGATAACTAAATCTATAGAGCAAATACGCATAGATGGAGTAAAAATTAAATGAAAAATAAATTTAAAATTTAAAACGACACACAAACGACTTTGCACTTGCGGAGTGGAAATTTTAGGTGAAAATTTGTTTCGTTTCATGGTTGTAAAAAGCCCTATTGTCATAGAATTGAGCACTTCACCCCGAGACGGAACTAAATTTTGAACAAAAGTTGGAGGGCTAACGGTCAACACGGCACATTTCTCACTCTCACTCAACAAAATAACACGCAACGGCAAACAAATAAATCTCAGCCGACCTACCTTCCAAGCAAGCTTATCAATTTTTTTCCACTACCGGAAATTACTATTTCAGTTAATCAAGTGTTATTTTTCTCATCACGTCCGTAGTAAATTTGGACACGTATTGGAAAGAGGATGGAGACGGACGACCGGTCGATTCTCCGCAATAAAGGGGGGAGTAGCAGTATGAAGCAGCGACGAGTTTTGGGGGAGGTTCATTTGGAGGTGGAGCTGCCGTCCGGTGGCCTCGTCGCCCAACAACAACGTTCCTCCACCTCGTCCCTCAAACGACTCTCCGAAGTCCTCTCAGACCAACGTTGCCTCAGGGAGCAGTATAACTCAGCCACCCAGCTGGTCGCCAAAGGGTACATAATAATTTTATATGTACTGCAATACGCACAATGCACAAATTAAATTGTCTTGTCTTATCCATTGTTTTGCAGGGATCAAAGAATTGAAGAGTTGAAGAAGACCCTAAATGTACGAAATGGAATGGTTGAAAATCTCGAGAACGAGAAAGGGAAGTTGTTGGGAGAGTTGAAGCAACTGTCCCTTGAAAAAGAACAGCTTAACACACAACTTCAGGAAGAATTGGACATTCGTAAAATGATACAGGTAATAACTTAATATGGTTCGTGCTTAGATGCAAGTAACATAACGATCGAATATTTTCTTCAGGTTGAGTCACAGAAATTGATTCACGATATTAAAAGCTCATATGAACACAAAATTTCCAAACTCCGAGATGAGATCAAAACAAAAGAGGAAGTTGTTTCAATAAAGGAGGAGCTCATCAAGGATTTGGAGAAGTTAGTAAAGAAATTGAGAACAGAGATTGTCACACTTAATGGTGAACTCCAAACTTCTCGAACTCAAGTTCGGCAAAGTCAAGGCAAAATAACAGAGGTTCGTCTTTGTTAATAAAATGCAGTTTGGAAATGTCCATTTAAGTCTTTATGATTGTTTATACTTTATGTCTAGAACTTTAGAGGAAGCATTTCTATGCTTGAATCTCGGCTTTCAATGAAATCCTCCGAAGCCGAAAGTCAAATCAAGTCGTTGCAGTCGCGACATTCAGAAGAGATTGCAAGAAAAACAAAGAAATTTGAATCTTTTAGTGACAGACTCCAGAGCTCGTTGGAGGAAAAGGAAAAAGAATTGAAGGAAGTGCTCGGAAGACTGAAAGAGTCCAGAAAATCACGGGATGCTACACTCTTGGATATGAACGAAGCTCAAGCGAAGCATGACGTGTTGGTCTCAGAGCTCAAGGAAGAGCTGAAGAAGGTATTGGCAGAAAATGCCGTCCTGAAATTGGAGCGCGTCTCCGAATTAGACTCCCAAATCAAACTGGAGGAACTTGAAGTCGAACTTCAGCAGGCGATCAAAGATAATGATGAACTCAGAGACAAGCTGGAAGACCTTTTACAGGACAGGGAAGACAAGGAGAAGAATATCAAAAGATTAGAGAAATCCGTAAATCGGTTGGAAGGAAACATCGAGGAATTGGAAATTCAGGTATTTATTTCTTACTCTTTCGTTGAAATTCATTCTACTATTTAATATTTCATTTTGCATTACAATTGATTTAAATTCATTACTTATAGAAACAACAATTGTACGAGAAAACTCAAGAGTATTTGCACCAGAAGGATGCTAAAGAGGAATCTTCCGTGGCGATAAAACTCTTACAAGAACAACTCGAGCAATCCCAGCTGAAGTTGGATGAAGCCAAAGAAAACTTGATTTCCGAAAGACACCGCTTTCAAAAATTTAACGAGCAATTCGCCGAGATGGAGAAGAATTTTGGTCTCACCAAAGTTGACCTGAGAATAATGACTCGAGATAAAAATATGGCAGACCAAAGGGTCAGTCGGAATTTGAGTAGAATTGAAAAACTTGAAAAGGTACTTTGAAGCAACCAGTAGTTCGAATATCATGAGTGTCATAAAACAAAAATTAAATGTTGGATATGGAATTAATTGCAGGACTTGGAAGACGTCACAAGCTCCAGAGCAGAATTGGAAAAGAAAGTCCTTGAGATGACACAATTAGTCTCTGAGTCTCGTACAAACTTAGAGAAAGAATCATTCCAATTGGAACAAGCTCGACGAATGTTGGCAGAAACGCAGGAGGAGAAAACTAGACTGCAAGCTGCGCTTGACAACTCTGAAAAAGAAATGGGTAGAATAAAAGTCGAGCTGAGTTCTTTGAATAAATTAAAGAAGCAATTACAAGATTGTGACAGCCTTCTAAAGAAGAAGGACGAAGAAATTCAAGAAAAAACCCGTAAAAATGAAATTATTCGAGAGGTATGCATTTTTCATAAGCATAGTTATTTAATTTCCAGTATTATGGATTAAGAAAGTTGATCGTTATTTATGAATGTACAGAATGTAACACTTTTGAGGGGAGCCTCAGCCGCACTAGAAAACCAGTTGCGAGAATTTGAGGTAGCATTTACTGGAAAAGTACAAGAACTGGAATCTTCTGAGATTGAAAAGTACGTAAAAAAATATGCTTCCTTGACGTATGAATTTTTTAAATAAATTAACTAATTGACAACAATTTTTCGTTTCTAGAACCAAGTTGTCCACAGAATGCTCCTTATTAAAAGAAAATCTGCAAAAGGCAAAGATTGATTTGAACGAAGCCAATAGTCTTAAAGCCTTTTTAGAACGAAGACTTAAAGAGGTGGAGTCAACCATGGGCCGTACCGAAGAGCTGTCTTCTTCCACAATCTCTTCAATGTCGGCTAAGATTGAAGAACTCTCAAGTAAAAATGCTGAGCTCGTTGCAAGTAGCAATAAGTTTGCTGCTGAAGTTCTGAATATTACTGCAGAGAAAGCCTATCTCAGCACTCGCATGGACGAAGTTAGCCAAGACAATTACAAGTTGACCCAAGAGTTGCACAAGTGTTTGGATACGGTAACCAGACTATATTTTGCTTTACCTGACATTAAGTGTCATATTTATGTGTATTATTCCAATTCTGACGCTGATATTCTTAAATTGAAGGTATTTGAGTTAAAACACGAGACTATTAAGCTAAACCAGGAAATCGAGGACACGGAATCCAAAGCAGAGGCTCGCATTACAGAGTATGTCTTATTTTCTCGCAGATAAAAATTTATAAAATGACCATTGTTTAATTCTTGTATTTTGATTTGGTTTGTAGTTTGAGGAGATTACAAACCACTGCTATCCAGGCTAAAGATGCATCCAACATAATGATGCAAAGCACCATCGCCCAACAACTTAAAGTCATTCAGCTCTTGCAAGATCAAAATGAAGCACTCTCCAACAAAAAGAAAAAGTTTCACTTCTTTTCACGAGGAGAAAAGGAGGCAGCCACATATCAGACACCCGTCAAGAAGACGGGAAAGACACTTCCAAGAATGGTAGATAACCCACATATTTTTATGGTGCAGTTCTATTAAAAATCACAAAAAGTTATAATTGATAATACATAAATGTTACATTGTTAGGCACAACCACCCTCAACTGGTAGCACCCTGACACCCAGACCATTTGGGATCAATGCTCGACAGCAGTCTGCTCTTGTTCTTGGCAAGTGTGACGAACAAAAGTTATTGGCAGAATTGGATGCATTGAACAAGCCCAAAAGTCTACCAGCAATACCAGGTAATTCATTTGCATTAAATAGTGAAATTAGTGATACATTAACTATTTATATACGTTTAAAATGGCGTCACAGGCGACAGTGCACCTAAAGAAGTCCCAGTTGTGGCCTCATTGGAGTGTCACGTTAAGAAATGCCTTCTTCTCCAAGATACGAAACAACGGATTGACATTAACTGCTCGTTCCACATCTTAGATGACTTGTATATGATGGGATGCGAGCAAGGACTGTTTTCCAGGAAGGGAGAAACGAGTGATGTCCACGTCGTTAAAATTGACGGAATAGGGGCCGTTTATCAAATGGAGTTCATTTCGTCATTGAACTCTGTCCTCTTTATTGAGGGGGATGAACAGAGATTGTTCATGTCCTCCATGGGAATCGTATCTGCATGTGGTGAAGCGGCAGAATGTTCTCAACCAAAAATATCCGGATCTGTTGTTGCAGAAGTGCAAAACTGTCACATGTTTGAAGTACGGGACGTAAATCAAAATGATTTGACTTTATGTGTGACCACGTCAAAACATATCCACATTCTCTCCTGGAAAGATTCAATTTTCGTCCTACGACAAAAAATTTCCACTCCGGAAGTAGTCACATGCATGCTATTAACACCAAACTCTGTGATATATGGGGCTGGAAAGCTTTATGAATTGGATACCAAAAATTTCCAGCTGCAAGGTATGAAACAGCGATAATATTTATAAATTATTTGTTATAATCTACTTAACAATGACTTGTATATTATTTACTTGTGACATTTCAGAATTTCTGGATGAGACAGATTCATCCCTGTACTTTGTGCTATTTGGGAGTGACGACTTGGCAATACCGATTGCTATTTTGGACGTTGGAATGAGCAATTGGACGCCAGAGACAAAACCACGCAAAGAGTATCTCATCTGCTTCACAACATTGGGCATATTTGTGGATGTAAGGGAGTGACATCTCAACGACATGTTACTTATATATAGGGTTGTACAATTCCCGCTCCCTCCGAATAAATTCCCGTACCTTCCCTCCCTCCCAATCTTCCCGATAAATTCCCTCCTCACTCCATATATTCCCCAACAATTATGTTCCCGGAATTTTGGAGGGAATATTGGGAGTTTTGAGGGAATATTGGGAGTTTTGAGGGAATATTGGGAGTTTTGAGGCAAATTGAGAATATTCTTCCCACCATGCATAAATGCGCTCATACTGACCTGGTTACAAATAGTTTTTTAATTGAGGAGTAATTTTCTATAAACGATATCAACGTTTAACATGTCACTATATGCATTGGACCAATCTAATGTAAAGTGGGATTGTGATTACCAGCAGTAACGGTAGATATTGTTACCCACGAGTCATTATTCAATCCACGTCCATCATCTTCCGAAAATATCTTTATCGGACAAATACTCAAAAGCTATCGCTAGATTTGATGAGAATACATTCGCATCGGATTGCTGAAATGCCTCACTAAATCAATCCTTAACAGACTAATGCTTACCTTTATGAGGTGGAATATATAATTTTACTACAACAGAAATTTACATAACATTATGAAATTGGAGCAAATTGAAACGATCTAAGAGCAGTTTCCGTTTGAAGCAAACATTCCGTGAAAGTGAATGACTCGTACAGTTATGAAAATGTGCTAGTGAAAACTCAAATCCCGCAATTAATTTCTCAAAATTCCCCGAAAAAACAATTTTCAAAGTTCCCAAAATTCCCTGGAAAATAAATTCCCGGAAAATTGGGAATTTTGGGAATTCCAAAATTCCCAAAATTCCCTGGGAGCAGGGAACGGTACAACCATACTTATATATTGGTGTACTTAACTAAAGACGACCATGTCACAATTTACAGGAAGATGGACGTCGCACGAGAGGAGAAGACATTACATGGAATAGGTTTCCACAGTCCATTAGTAAGTCTTGTTTGTAATTCTTTTTCTGTTTCATGACATGCACTAAAAATGGTTTTAATTTGTATTTAGACTATCGACATCCCAACCTCTACATTTTTCATCATTCCTCAGTCGAAGTTATTCGCCTGAACGCCGAAAGTTATACAAAAACTCGCGTTGGTCTTGATTTAGAGTCGACAAATGTTGGAAAGGAGGTTGCTACCATTCCCACGTCCAATTATCTGGATGTCCCAAGTCCAAATTTTATTGGCAAAGGACAACAACCGGGATCAATTGTCATCACTTCAAAGGACAAAAGCAGACTTGATGTATGTTAATACAAATGATTATATCCAAAAGTCTCTACGAGATTATTTATCTATGCCAATTTTTGTAGGTTTTTGATATTAATTTGGACGCGACACCCAGTAATCACAAGGGGACCAAAGAAACTAGAAAATCCGATAAGACGCACAAACCCTCATCCTCAACGTCTCCACTATCCACGACCAGTTCTTCGGATGACGATTCAGAGTCACAATTAGAGTCTGAAGTCTATTAAGTATATTTACGCCATATCCATTCCACATCAACAAAGTGATACTCGTCCCGTGTTCATACATAATAATAATAATGATAATAATAATAATGTATATCGTTGGCCCCGTATTTCGATCATTTGACTCTATTGAATGTTTTCCTCTAGTATAAAATGTCACTGCTCAATGTATTATTACTTTTAGAATTGCTTCATGTACATATGTACATACATACGTGGATAAATTTTTAATAACACATCAGTATATATATTTATATCCGTTTTACATGTTATTCAATTTACTCAATAATTGTGAGATCGTATTAATTATGATAGTTAAATATAATAAGTAATCGTGTAATACTTCGCATCAAGTTTTTGACATTAAACTTATTCACAGCACAATATTCATAGCTGCACTTAGGATTATGCACGTAGTCTTACATACATAAAGAGTAACTCAACTAGGTACATATGTATAGACTGATGAACCAGAGGACAGAGAGAATGCATGAAAGCAAACCGTATCATACATGGTAATTCCGCAACAGTTTCGTAATATGTAAATACACAAATTAATTATTTTTCATCCGAAAAGCCAAAAATCATGTATTATTTTTGGGAACTACAACCCTTTATTTCAATTAAAAATCAATTAATTATCTATTACTAGCACGTACATGAGATTAGAAAAGCTCAAACAGTGTAAGGTTAAGTCGTTCCCCAAGAACTCTGCGACATTCTCGACTCAACTGAAAGATTTGAAACATAAAATTGCAATAAAATGGTGATTAGATGAATAATAATAAAAAAAAGTATTTCCTTACAGTTGCCACATCCGACTTTATCGACACGCTCGTGAGACTCTTCATTTGGCTTAGGGCAAGGTAACCACTCACTGCGGTGAGAAGCGTGGAAGGCAATCCTTCAATTCTTAGTGTTCGTAATTCTAAAGAATATTAAAATGATTTAATGTATATAACCTTTAGCGTAATAATTTAATTTTTGCAATAATTTGCAATGTTTGCTAAGTAGTATCTACATACTTGACATATTGCAAATGGAAGGCTCTGTCCTAATGATGTCTAACACATCCAAGGTTTCCACTTGAGTGTACAAATTCCTCTCTTGAATTTTCTTACATACTTCAAACGGTATTCCAGTAATGATCGAGTCCACATTTACATTCGAAGGACACAACTCTAACCCAAAGTCTAAAATAAAATCAAAATGGGTCCAAATTTCTTGAAGGATTTTATCATTCACATTCCCAACTTGTAATTTCTCCAGATTTGGGAACATTTTTGCCGCAGCTGCAATCAGCGTCATGTCGCTTAGTCCATGGGATATTCTCAACTCTCTCAAACTCTCACATGGCGATGGAGAGGAGTTGAAAAGGTCAGAGAATAAATGGACTCCAGTCGGCTTTCCGGTTTCATGATCGAAACTGATGCTTTTTAATTTCGGAGTTTGTACCGCATAACTAAGCGGACTCAATATTACGTTCCTCTGATCGGGAAAGCAGGGGTCGACAAACTTGATATGCTTTAAAGAGGTCATGATCGGGAGTCGTACGATAAGTGGCGAGTTGTTTTGCGACGGTCGTTTCTGATAGTCTCCTAAAATTAGAGTTTCCAACGTGTGGCGATGTCTCTGAAGAAATGACTCCACACATTCCTTCGTCACTTCAACGGTTAGCAGGGTCAGTTGGAGTGATTTCAGCTGAAAATCAAATTGACTCAGCATTTCCAAGTGTTGCTGGGTCACATATGCATCTAAAAAGAGATGCTTCAGTTGAGAGCATATCGTTCGACACTCTCTGTCCCCAAGGGCGAGAAGGATACGAGTCATCACTTCTTTATTGTGCGTCTCAACCCTCAAAGATTTCAGATTTGGGCCCATTTTTAACAACTCTTTTGTAAACCAGACATTATATCCGCCAGCATTGTCGAATTGGTGTAAAATCAAGGAGGTCATGAAGGGGAAGACAAATCTGCTTCGGGGACGAGGGTCTTCGTAGAGGGAAGGCCTCTCTGTAATCTTGGTTGGTAAAGATAGCTCAATTTCTTCAATGTTTGCCAAGTATGATAAGAAGATGGCACGAAATTCTTCAGTGTAAATTCTATTGGCGAATTCTTCTTCACAACTTAAGCTAAAGTGGGTCATGTGAGGTCCGTAAATTTTGAAGAATTCTTCCAAGTAATTGCGAAATGGATTGATGACAAAGCCAAGGTCGATTTTTAGTCGGGTGAAGAGACAGTCGGACGTGGAGGGATTGGCAGTAAATTGTGTGATGGTTTCAATATTGTTGAAGTTTAGTTTGAAAGTGTGACGTTGTCTGAGACAGAATGATGCCTCGGTGTTCCAGAGGTTGTTTACTTGTCGACATTTTAATAGTTCAGAGGTTGGAAGGTGTTCCATGATTTTGGCGACAATCTAAATTAATTAATGGATAAAAATTAGGTTGCATGTATGTACATATTTCATGGTATTTCTTGTACCAAATCAATAATCATTGGGTTTATGGCTTCTTCATCGACTGATTGTCTCTTTTTTAAGTAGCAAGATTCAGGTAAGATGTCCGCAAAATCTTCACGATTAAAAGAGTCTGACCGACAAAGTAATGCTGATGCCGGAGCTTTTGCTGGATCTTTTTGTAAATCGAAGCCGCACTTGGGACAATTTTTCATGCGTTGTTCCTGCCTATTATTTTCATGGTTAGTTTTCCTATTCCCAGCAGCGTCGTCTTCCTTCATTTCGTCCAAAGTGACCATAAAGTTTTCCAAGTTTTCCATCTTCTTGTTTAGTACTTTTAGCTGCATTTGCAGCAAGTTGTTTTGAGCGTCGGCCTCATTTATTTTCTCTTCTAATCTTCTATTTTGGTGGTTGAGATTGGAAATTGTCTGTTATAATCAAGAAATGTGTAATTTATTAAGATACCTGAGTAAATATTTAATGAGTATTTTTATGTATAGTCACTTCTTACTCCCAAGAAACTTTCCTCTGCTTCCGCAATTGCTGCCAGAGCTGCAATTTGTTCCTGATATCTATTAATTTGCACTTGATGTTGTTGAATGTTTAGGCGTGGGGGTGGATTATTGTTGTTATTATTTTCTGCTTCGTCGTTCTCATTCTCAATATTATCAGCTTCGTTTTGATCTTCAGGCGCCATGATTGCGTAAACTCTTTCTTGAATAAGGTTGTAATTATTAAAATAAATTTGTGTAACAATTCGCCAAATGTGCAATGAAATGAACCGCTACAGGACAAAACGGTATTTGGAATTATTTCTATATATCTATGTGATCGGCGCTGGACGATATGAAGTCATATTGTGAACACGTTATTTTAACCGAGTGAGATTGGTTACGTTCTAAAAATAGTTTTTAGAGTTTCTTAATACCGACCCGAGTAATCAAATGCCACCGAAGTTCGAAAAATAACCCCTTCCCACGTATGCATCACGTAAAAAGTTCTGTTTATTTTTGTATGTATGAGCATATAAGGCATGTAAAACCGGAATCCATACGAGAGCATTTCACATTTTCATACTCAATAACTTTTACTTAGGTTTATTATTATATTTTATCTTTATTTTTGTAAAACAATTTTTAGTTATTGTCCAAAAATACGAGTTCTTTCCGAATTCCGCATGTTCGAGCCAAGTTCAAAAGTTCTTGTTCAAAATCTTCTATCAGCGTTTCAATGTCCACTGGATTTGACAGAACAGCACCATCCACGACAAAAGCGATTCTAATTTTAGCTGCGTAGGTCAACATGCATAGCCCAATGCCTAATTAATTATTAGTGATAAATTAGAATTAATTAGTGAACTTTTATAATTATGATATGCATTTATTCTTTATCTTTATCTCCACCCACCAGTTTTTCCTTTGATGGTATTCCATCCCATAAGATCAACAAGTTCGTCTCCCTATAAATTTCAATTCGGAATTTTCTAACACTAACCATAAGGTAAAATGCGCAAAATGATTTCAATAATTTGAACATTTTTTCACCTGAAACATGGAATATCTCTCTGCTGGACCTAAAAATTTACATATATAAAATTTTGAAAACTAATATTACACTCTTCACAATTAGGTGGATTAATTGACTAATTATAAATCTACCTGGAATATTACTGAGTAGAAACGTAGCTTGCAAACTATTCATAACTTTTTCAATCACCACACACGGATGAAGCCCAGTGAAGCGAATCATGTTAAAAATTTTCACGGTTTCTGCCGGACAACCAAACTCCATCGCGGAATCATTTGCCGTTTTAAGTCGCTGCATTGGACACTCGTCACCCACATTGAGGGGAAAGCCAGCCACGGCGAAACGGTTTTGAGGTCCACAATCTGGATATGGAACAACTGCGGAGGTGGCCCCACCGAATATTTTTCCTGGAACGGGCAGATTTTTTTGCATCGCCAACTTTCTCAAGGCACTCCCAAACGAGGACAAGAGGACAGCCGTCATCGTACTGCTCATCACATTCTTGATTTGTTTTAGGGATTGAAAACATATTGCACGTGACCTACATAAAAAGCACAGGTTATCAAAAATGTCCCACTAAAATGGTCAATTATGGTTCTTGTCTCACCATCTCACAGTTTTTGGTCCCGTTAGCTCTGGGCCTTGAAAACAGTTATTCTTATTCCCAGATAAAAGTGATTTTAGTAATAATCTCGGGCCAAAAATAGCAATTTGAAAATAAAGTAGAGCTTTAAGTTTCCAATTTGGTCTCAATTCTGGGCTGGTCGTGTCGATACTCATTTTCACTGGGGCGTCAGCTATGCAAGTTTGCAATGCGTTAATTGCACTTAATCCGTCCATTATTGAGTGGTTAATTCTCCAAATGATGACATAATGCCTTTTACGGTTTTGAAAAGCATCAACTTCTTCCGATCCATCGTCATGTTTGAATCTTGGAATTATGTACAAAACCCATTGTGGTAAATCTTTCGGTAGCGGATTGTCCATAAAATCCTGCATTTCTTTCAGCACACCGTCTCGATCCATTTCCGAACCAGAGTCCAGTATTTTGATCTGCTTGTCAATGTCAAAATTGTCTCCAATATTCTCCCAACAGTAGAAACCGCACTTTTGTGCGATTTTCGACCTCATTTTCTTGTACACATATTGATCCTTCAAATCCACATTGTCACCTTTACTTCCATCGTCACTCCACTTACGATCAAGTAACGACGTTTTTATCCTATTTCGGATCTTTTCAATGGAACAATTCCCCTGAATAATGTACAAACTGGTGAAACAATTGTCATGAAACTGCTTCGTAAATCCCCACGCGGCATCCTCCCCATTCATTAGTTCATACTTATCGTCATACTTTAACCTTAAATATATGGCCACTACTCGGCGAGCACTGAAAATTAGTAACATCCAACACGCCACGATGGGAATGCACAACAAAGCAATCAAGTTGCTTACGACGAGTTCACAATAAAATTGAAATCTAGAGAGTTTCGGAAAAATTCTATAATTTAAAATGTTTACAAAGTTTTCCACAAATTTACTTGTCTTTGCTAATAAAACAGAAGATGTGTCGTGGATTTGCTTAAAAAGGGTGGGCTTCTCTGGTTCAATGGTCAATTTTGGCGTCGGTCTTTCCAGAGTTATGACGTTAATTTTGCTTAAGGAATCCTGCTTCTCATGTTTGATATCCAAATCGAGAAAAATGTCAGATTTGGGCAGGGAGAGTTGAAACGTCTGGATTTTGTTGTGGAGAGATGCCATCGTTGCGGCGATGATCTCAACGGGACATGAAACGTACCATGCGCCACGATACGCTCTCGCCGTCTGCATTCTAAACATGACAAGAAACAGGTTGTCGTCCAATAATTTTTGGAAATATTATTGCTCTTGCGTGCAAAAGGGTGCATCGTAACGCACAATACTTGACTTACAAAATTGCCCAACGATTGTGGGAATAAACAACAATAATTAGCAGTTAAAGTAAGTTATAGACGGACTAGTTTCCTTCAGTGGTTGGTGATAAGAGTTGCTCACGTGCCATTAGTACATATTATTTATCCTGAGATGTGTACATGTGTGCAACAAAGGTGATGCCTGTGATTGCATGAATCACCCTTCACATTCGTATAATAATTATGGATGGCATTGCAGTAAAATATGAAATGGTATTGCGTAGAGGAATTGATTAATTTTAAGCATAGAAGAAAACCACTTTGTCAAAAAAGGTTTAACATTGGCTCAATTGGTGCGAAGCAGCAGTGATGCAAGTGATGAAGATCAAGATATGCAATCCAAAATGCAATACAGTGTTGCAAGAGAATATCATAAATCTTTGTGTAATCAGGAATTGACGTTAATAAATACATACATATGCACATCGTAGTAACAGGTATATATGATCATACGCTAAAATTGTGAAGTATTTTAATATGAACTTGAGGAATTGGCTGGACAACTAATTGTGGATAATTTTCTAAAGTTTCCAATTTTAGAAAAATGTACAGCAATCACAGAAAAACGTGAAAATATCTAAAAAGAAAACGATTCGCCAATAAACATCATCGGTACGGCACGAAAATAGGTAACGCTGTCACCAAAGATTCCGCTGCTGCGGTTCACGTGCCCTCTTCGTTCATGGGAGGCATTCCGCCCGGAGGAGGACGCAGAGGAAGTGATTCGTCTCCCCCGACTGGAGACGAAAAAGAAAAAGTCGACACGGATCCCTTCAGCCATGTCGATTTTGAATCTGTTAGAGGGCTTGATGATCAGAAAAAGTAAGTGAACGCGTCTAAAAGGGTTGAAAATAGGTAATCTACATGCTTGCACATTTACTTTAGCTGGATAATAAATAACATTGTGGATGCTATGAACGATCCTCAACAACAGGAATTATGGGGCATTCCCATGCCTAAGGTTAGTTTACTTATTTTAATGGACACAGATATTGTCCCAATCAATACCGATGTATGCTAAATAATTAATTGCACTTCCTTTGTGCAGGGAGTTCTCTTTCATGGCCCACCAGGAACTGGAAAAACCCTCCTCGCCAGAGCATTTGGTAACGAAGTATCAAAGTTGACCGGCAAAAAGGTGGAATTTTATCACCGAACAGGTGGAGAACTGTCCTCCAAGTGGTTCGGAGAGTCAGCTCGACTTATCAAAGCCTTGTTCACCGAAGCAGAGCAGAAAGCCCCCGCCATCATCTTCCTGGATGAACTGGATGGATTTTGTGGTTCCAGAAATGATAGGTCTTCTCAAGCTCGGATCGGAGTGGTGACTTCGCTATTGGGTCAAATGGACACGCTAACTCCTGGAAAAGTTTTCGTGTTTGGGGCGACAAATCGAATCGATTCCATCGATCCTGCAATGCGACGGCCTGGACGATTTGACAAAGAGTTGCAATTCTTTCTCCCAAGTCTTGAAGCGAGAAAGGAAATCCTCACTCTGCACTCCAAAATGTGGAAGAGGAGTCATCCAGAAGGTGAACTGCTGGACACCGTGGCGCAAAAGACGGTAGGCTACTGTGGGGCTGATTTAGAGAACTTGTGTCGAGAAACCTTCCACGCTGCGTTTGCAAGACACGTCCCAAATCTGGATGATGAACCGGAAGGAGGAATCGGTAGCATGGAGATCAAACTAGAAGATTGGATGGTAGCCCTGAAGGTCCGAAATTCCAGTGGCAATTCCTCATTCGGATCAGCAATTTATATCCCAAAGATGCCCTCAGTTGAACTAAACCCACTTCTGGTTCGAATGCAAAAGGAAATTATTGATGAGGTGACACAAGTTTTCCCCAAGGAGGAAGTCACTGCCTCCACGTCACTGGAAAAGGATAAGATTTCCAAGTCACCGGCAGAGGTGGCCACATTTTACTTTTGGAACGACAGTCCATATTCAGGAGATTTTGCCCTAGAGTCGCTAATCCTTCCCGGCGTCTTCGCTCACGAGATACTCGGCGACGTCCCCATTTTTATCTTGAACAAGGAAACGATTCTCTCAAAATACTCGTCGCATCGAGTCACAACAATTGCAAATGTAATTATGCAGGCCGCATCTTCTGCGAAACGATGCATAATTTACATCCCTCAGCTGGAAGGAATGGTCAGAGTTTTGGACAATGACACATTCGACCTTTACGACCAACTGATTCATCTCCGAGGGAAACACGTCCTCCTCGTTGCGACCGGGTCCGTCCAACCTAATCAGATTTCTGACCCACTCCTCCGATCACTCTTTACGAGAACTACCCAAAAGTCGTACAAAATTCCAACTATTTCTGCCACCGAGCGTAGAAACTACTTTCAACCAATTTTTGCTGACCTACAAAAAATTAACCCAACAATTAGTCTTGACGTTGCTCTTGAGTCTACTGTCACACGCAGTGAAGGGGACCCTATTGAAACCTTGGCATCTTTAACGGATCAGCTCTACGTAACGATGCATAAGACAAAGGATTCTCAAGATGATGTTCTTGGTCAAATCAACAAGTTGTTGGTGCATTATTCGAAAACAAGATTCAGATTTTAAAGACATTACTACAAAATAAGCAAATAAGTAAATAGACTATAATACAATTAATACACAATTGGCTTAACTTTTACCAAACTGTTTTGCCTGGAGCCAAATACAACATTAATAAACAAGACTTGATACCAGCATATATTATTCATTGCATTATTATTTAACTAAATTATTAATTATCTAAATATATGTCACGAGGACAGGCGAGGGATTTTGTTCGGAAATTATAAATCATCAGCCGTTGCTAAGTCGGAAGTTACGTCATATTTTTGAAGTACGCATTTTATTACGAACGAAAGCATCTTTTTTGCTGAAAATCACTCGCCCCAGAATACCAATAACCACCACTTGTAAGTATTAAAATGTCAAAAAATGATACTCTGAATAAATTTAGAACACGGGCGAAGGAAATCGGGAGACAACAGACGGCATCTAAAAAGAGACAAAAGCTGTTCCCCGTGCCATCCACAACGACTGAGGACGTCACAACGACACAGTCTGAAAATGAACAAACCATCCCCAATAAAACTTCAGTAATTTGCGATAAGAGTTAAATTTTCCAATTATTAAATTCTCTATATTAACAAAATGAACGATGATATGAATTTACACAGTCCGAAAATTTCGCAAAACTTCCAACATTGAAAATCGAGGAGATAAAGTTCTTCGACTTGATAACGCAAGGAGATTTAGTCGGACTGAAAGACTTTATGCAATCTCCTGCCTACTCAAAGATTAACATTAACAAGACTGACAAATATGTATGCATTGTTATCAATTATCAACTTGCAAAACTGTAATAAAATTCATGCCCCCATTTTTTCAGGGATTTTCCGGTTTACATCACGCCGTCAAGCGACAAGACGAAGAAATGGTGTCACTCTTCCTCGAACAAAAAGGCATCCTCACATACGACACCTTATTCCACGCTATTTTAGAAGAAAACATCCCCATCACGAAATTACTACTGGAACATCAGGACAGAATAAGTCCACAGCTCATGGGCAGTTCCATAAGAAGGATTGTGCCCACCACGCTCCCCCTCCCCGGTCTCCCCAGAGTACTTTCACCCACCAAAATCACGACCCGACAGAGTCTCACAGATTTGGAAGAATTTGATTCTGAGTTTCCAATTTATTTTACACCCCTTCTCATCGCTGCCATTCTTGGGAATACGACGCTGATCGAAATGTTTTACGACAGAGGGGAGCGCCTAGAGAGTGAACTTTATAATCATAACACTGGCTGTGCGTGTCGAATCTGCGGAAAGTATGGATTTATTTTTAAGGAACATTTTATACAAGGGGAATGTGAATGGAAAATTATTGGTATTTCACAGATCTCAAGATTTTGTTAACACCAGTGCTTTCGAGCGTTTAGACCTCTTTGATGCCATAACGAATCCGAATTATATTAGTTTCATATCCAGAAAAACTCGTAACCACGATCCAGCAAATTATGCAATTGAGAAGATTAAAAAGTGTAGAAGGATAACTCTTAGGGAAGATATATTTGCAGACAAATACGCAGATTATGAGTCTCGGTTATCGGACTACTTGAAAGATCTTATCGGTGAGTAAATTAGATAGCTTTCGTCCCGTCTAACAATGTAAATGGAGTGCATAAAATTAGTGCCCCTATGAATGTTTCTCATTTCCAGATTTGTGTCGAAACAATGACGAGGCAGAAACATTCTTTAGCGTTCCTGACCCCAAGAGACAAGGAAGATTGAAGGGAAAGTATCCCAGATTGTGGACCCTGGTGGGGTTGGACCTCGAAAATGTCGTGGCACACTCACACACACAATATGTAGTCCTTTTATAGATTCAGTACTCATTTTAAATCCATACATTTTCTATTTAAAAAATCTACTCTTATTTTCTCCTCAGGTGGCAAATAAGCAATGGGCAACGAACCACTGGCCCGAATGGACCACATATAACCGATATCGGATCGTTCTTACAGTGATCTTGACAATACTCTTGTGGCCATTGTACCAAATAATCTTGTGGTTCACGGATGGCTGGGATAGCAAATGGAGACGAAGGTGGACGTGTCCTTTGAGCAAATATCTCCACGGGATCGGCTCATACGTATGGTTTCTGGGGATTCTCGGTGCCCAAGTATACCTCCCATCACGATGTCTTTACAGCAGATACAAGTTCTATGTTCCGGACGCCGATTGTCCAAGTACAGGGCCGCCTACCATTGGTGAGAGATTTTTTAAATACTGTTGTAATATGTCGTAACTTATTTAAACTATTTATTTCTAACTTTCTTTCAGGCACGGAATGGGCCCTTATTATATTTGTGATAGGGCGACTCTTCTCAACTCTTAAGTTGAACTCAATCCCGTGGATGTGGAAGTCTACGTCCACGTGGTGGGCCAGGATTGACCTCTTGACGAACGGGATGTTCGTTATGACGTTCATTTTCTGGTTGTGGTCATGGGCGAGTAATGTCCAAGTACTATTTCATAGAATTCATTGATTGGACTTCTTGACTTCTTGAATATGAAAAATGAAAACTTTTGCTTTTTGTAAAATCTAGCAGAAATCGAGGAATGACTCTCGAGAATATTGGGGACAATACTATCCCGAGATTTTTGGTGAAAGTTCCCTCGCGATCGCCTGCATTTTAGCGTTTTCAAATACACTACAACTTCTCCGGCTTAATCAAGTCTTTGGCCCAATGCAGATCAGTTTGGGAAATACGCTCAAAACTTTCCTTCCAACGGTGGGTGTTTACCTGGTCGTAGTGTTCTCTTTCAGCACTGGTAAATTTTATATTCTTTATATTTTATAATTGTATATTTCCTGAATTACTTGGCATTTGATAAGTGACGTTATTTCTGCTTAATTGAACTCCAGGCTTAAACGCGATATACGTCCCATTCAACGGAATTCCTGGAAAAAGATACGATGGCGTCCCCTCCGTGCAGACGAGTCCTTTCGGCAAAACTGTCTTGAGCCCCAGTGAAGAACTCTTTTGGGTATTCTTTGGCATGTCGGGGAACGATAAGCCGTTGTTTCTCGACTTTGAAAGTGCAGAACCTAGAACTTATAATCACCATACTTGGAGTGAAATGGCTGGCAAAATTTTATTCTTTGGTGAGCACAATACTGCACATGCAGCTTAAGGTCAATTATGGCACATTTTTTATTGTGTGTCAACTTTTAGCCTATAACGTGATCGGAGTTCTGACAATGCATAACATGCTTTTGTCCCATTATACTTCGTCGGCTGCCGAGTTGAAAGATAATTCTGACACCACGTGGAAATTTACTCGTGCTCAGGTGCATAATTTTGAACGTTTGTCTAAAAATTTCGCTAATATTCTACAATGAACTAATATTAATGAACTAATAATATCTTAGATTTATCTAACCTACACGAAAGACACCGTGTTATCTCCACCCTTCAATTTAATCCCCACATTTTCGGATATCCGAAGATTTTTTAAGTTCTTGAGACTATTGTGTCATATGGACACGGATGAAGACGCTCAGGAGGACGAACACCCGGCTTGCTCGTTTCGTCAATGCTGTTTCCTAGTAAGTTTTACTGCATAAAACTTTTACTCCTAATAAGAAATGATTATTTTGCCAGAGACGCCCTATCGACAAGGAGGAAGAAGGAAGGAATTTGAAAGCCTACCGAAGACTTGCCCTGAATCTTCTGAGACGCTACACTCAAATGGTGACTGAGCGAGAAAACAACGCTACAGCAAATAGCGACGACGTGAAAGAAATCGGGGAAGAGTTGGCCGAACTAAAGGCCAAAATCCAAAGTAAAATGAGAGAATTGCAAGAACAAGTGGCACAATCTCAGTCCAATGCGACTATTGTACCATCATCACAACCACAAAGCAGTACAGCGACAGTGGTCAGTCCATCGGTTGAAGTTCATGAGAAGGTTGACAATACGGAAAAACGTCGTTTTGCTGCCGCTGCGAGCAAAGTGGTCAAAAAAGACGTTGTTGGACGGTTTTCAGTAACGAAAGTCGCTCCAATGCCACCATCGCCATCATCGCCACCACTAGGACAACAAGAAATTAATGCCCCACTTCCTTCTAAGACTAGCTCAGAGACAAATGTCAAACCGTCAAAGGTGACGACGCCTCCACAATCAGTGGTACAACTGCATCCAAAAGTGACACCACCCGTGAAGAAAAGTGGTGACGACGTTGTGATATCTAAATCTACACCACCCCCTTCGCAACCCATGGTTTCACCACCCACGAAAAAGTCTCCCATCACATCAGTCAGTGACGTTAATACTGCAGAACCAATCATTCTGGATACACCTCAAAAACAAGTCAAAACTCCGCCAGTAATAAAATCGCCTCAAATTTCCCACCATCCAAGTAATGTCGAAGCACCTCCACAACCATCCGTCACAACGCCACAAAAACAAGTAAAAACGCCACCACAAATCAAGACTCCGCCGGTGACAAAATCGCCCCAAATCTCCCGTCATGCGGGTAATGAAGAAGCTGCTCCGGCCGTCACCACGCCACAACAAGAAGTCAAAACACCACCACCAGCAAAGTCACCACACAAAGTACGGTCACCACAGGAATTGGCAAGTAGTGGGCAGGCAGGGCCAACCTTACCCTTGCACAAACAGCAACCTCTCCAATTCACAATCGAAGATCTAGAACCACATCCTCCGACAAAGCAGACAGGCAAACGCACATCAGGAGATCAGGGAGCTTCGCAACTAGGTGTACTCACAATTGAAAATCAGGACCCTCATCCTCCACAAACTGTGGAAGAAATTCAAAGACAACCACATTCAACCATGTCACCGACGACAAAATCTCCAAAATCCCAACTTTCTCCAAAGGAATCAGGTCATCAAGTTCCAAAACCACCGGCAACTGTTCCATCGCCACATCGGGTTTCCTATAAAAGTCCACCAAAGGAATCGAATAACCCACCTCCACCACCACCTATGAATACTCCAAGTCCAAAGCAATCAAAATCTAACGCTACACAACAGTCTACTCCATTGGCGAAGCCGTGGCCACAACACACCCAACAAATGCCCGGAGGGACACCCCAAAAGAAAGTGGAGCAGATTATTAAGGCAAGCCCAATTTCGCCACCGCCGCCGCCACCTCCACCACCACCAATTCAACCAGGCGAATCGTCTCCTGACCTGACTAAAAGGCTGTCCAAGAAAAAGAGTACGGATAAAAAGACGCAGTGATGGATGAGAATAATGGTATCTGAAAAAATGTAAAATATAAATAAAGAAAAACAAAGTGATTAAGTACATTAGAACATATAATAGCAAAGTAGTAGGAAATACGAAAACATGTATTTTTTAATGATAAGAAATAAATAAAATATTTGAGAACGAAAATTAGAGAACTATATGTACTTATATGCTTCTTGCTAAAATATGAGGATTACAATATTTCTTTAATACTGTAATTTACAGGTGGGCAGTAGTACAAATTCCCATTAAATGAATTGTGTTTAAGATTAGTAGTAAGATCAGTACATTTAAAGATCAACAATTTTGAATGAACTGTTTCATACGAAATGACAACTATGTATGATGGGAGGGTTTGTAATTATATCATCTTCAACTTATCGGCGACGACTTCTTCTCACGTTTGCAGTAGTTTTCTCTACCGGAGCAGCTCGTGCCTCAAGTTTCTCCCGTTTTCTCTCCAAAGGACTTCGATCACTTTTGAAGTCAGCCCCCCTCGTTGTGGCGAAACTTTTCTCTCTTCCGTACGCTTGAAGTTCGTCGTTTGCTCTGGGTCGTTCCTTCGTAGTATTAGTTTCGCGTCTCTTTTGCATCTCGCGTTCACCATTTTCATACGCACTTTCAGCATTTGCAAGTTCTCGTTCTTTGAGGAGTTGGACATTTTTCCAGTCAAATTCATAATCGTAGTAGTTGAAATTACGACGGTATAGCTGATCGAAATTAAAACAAAGATATTCATTATTTATCTAGATCTCTACATGTGTATATTAAACTATTTTATAGGTGCATAGATTTTAGATTTTTACCTGCCGAAATAGTTTTCGTAAGTAGCTGTAGTTGGGCGTCTCTTCAAAGAAAAATAAAGCAAAAATAGACATATTATTAATTAATTCTATTTGTAACTACCCTAAGTAGTTACAAACTACTTAGTACCTTCAAACTCCAAATTGCGACAGTAGATTAAGTAGTCTGCGAACTCATGGGGGAAGCCCTACATAAAGGAATTTTACTACAATTAGTCAATTGCTAAACAAATAGTTTCATAACGAGTAAAATTATTAACATTTTATGTTTACGATTACCTTGCAAAGATCCTCAATTTTTGTACCAATTTTGACATCTTTAATCTTTTCATATTTTTGTTTCTTGGTAGTAGCTTTGAGTCCTTGCCACGGTAAAGTGCCTTTAAGAAAGTACATTAAGATAAATCCTAGTGACTCCAAATCGTCTCGTCGGCTAAATTCAAATAAAAGCAAAAATTACGTACAATTTAATTAGAAATGAATAATTCACTTATTTACGATACCTCTGTTCATGTCCTTTGTGAGCATTGATGGAGGCATATCTTGCTCTAAAAAAGATGTTTTACATAATATAACTACCAAAATAAATACTCGACAAATATGAACTTGGTGATCTCTCACTGATTAAATTGAAAATTGTAATCTTTTTTACTCACGTGCCGGTCAGACTCTTGTCGGTCCTAAAAGGAATGTGACCTCTTGTCCTAGAATCACGAAACTTTTTGGACAAGCCAAAGTCGATAATAAACACTTTGGATGTTTCGTTGCCCGACCCCATGAGAAAGTTGTCCGGTTTGATATCTCGATGAATAAAACCCTTATTGTGAACCGTTTCAACGCGCTGGATCATTTGGTCGGCGAGGTGGAGAACCGTTTTTAGGGTAAACTGACGGTGAGAGTAATTGAATAAATCTTCCAGTGAAGGTCCGAGTAATTGCATCACAAGAACTAGAAAAGTATTACAACCGATACATCACTATAATTAAACCCTTACAATTAAGTGTTACCGTAAGATAATTTAATTAGGATATTTAAGCTACTAACCATTGTAGTCATTTACGGTACCGAACCACTTAACCTCAGGAATTCCATGTGCTTTCAAAAGTTTACAGACTTTACTTTCGTACCTGCAAAAATATGACAATGAATTCATATGAAAGATGTTTTCCATACGTCAAAAAACATACAAGAGTTGTGGATGCTTCGCACGAATATTCTCCATTTTAACGGCAACTTCCTGTAACATGCACATTAAACATTATTAACAGTAACATGCACGGCGTTTATAATTTCACCCCCACCCACACTCAATTCTGAATATTTGGATATCAGTTATTAATCAGTACCTCGTCTCCACTAATGCTCTTTGCATAGTAGATATCCCCAAAGGATCCAGACCCAATTTTCCTTACTAATCTATACTTGTCCGCTATGATGAACTCTGCTTTCCGGGATGCAGCATCGGATGCAGCCATTCGGACGAATTCTGTAATATCAGTTTTTAAATCAAATTAATGTACGAGCATTATTAGCACTATCTACTAATACTAAATTATATGCAGAACAAATCTATAATACAGCTTGCGTTCCTTCCTTACCGAACTCTGTGTGTATGTAACAGGTAAGTGTGGGTCACAAGACCCAAACAGAGTCAAGACCGACAAAAATTGGTACAATATACTGCTCGACAATTTTTTATAGGCTGTGCCACCAGACGAAAAAGTACTGGAAACAAGAAATTGTCAATTGCTAAGATACTGCATGGACGCTTTTTAATTGCATTTTGCAACATGTTACAAAGTGCATATTTGGACCATGAAATGACTGCATGTTGACCTTCATAACATCGTTTGGCTTGGATTTAGATAATTTTGGAAAAATAATGTCGCGTTCTTGGCTAAACTCTTCAAAATACATAATATTATGTTAGATATATGAAATGTATATTAAAAGAGACGACGGAGCCATGAAACAGCCAGCGTCTAAGCAAACCTAAGAAAATATGTGTTTGGACAACCCTTTTCATATTTCCGTCGACATATATATCAAATTTTGAAACATTTCCGGTAACATCATGAACAAACTAAATATTGCAAAATGCATAATCCTTTCGGTTCGTACTGCGCATCCCATTTTCATCCGCCGCATTTAATAATTAAACTTTAATGCTGAACAAAATTACTTTTCTTAGCCAATATATTAGAATTAGCAGAATAACCGAGGTTCGATTTTTTCAAACTTCAAAATACTTATCATGACAAAAATCGAGAAACCAGTCATTTTCTGACCAAAAAGATCAAAGAGTTGTATCTCAATCTCAATATTCCCAGGTGAGAAGTACGTGTGATTCCACCAAAAGCAATTTAACGGAGAAACTTTGGCAGTGTTGAGATATAATTAAAAGACAAATTTTGAAAGACTAAAACATTATTAAACAGAAAGAAGAATATTTTTTCGTAAAACAATACTGACCATATCTAGAATATCTACTGATAAACAAGGTTGGTACACTTAACACCATTTTCTATTTAGAGTAGTAATGAGATTAAAAACAAGTACAGATTATCGATAATTCTTAAATCATCTTATCTTAAATATAAAATGCATTATACACTTTATTAAAAACATACATATTGTATTGATTGTCTTTTCACTTCATTATAATTCAATGCTTATTATGAAATTCAGGTAAAGTGCTTAAAATCCTTACCTGGCAAGTAAAAAATAAGAGCATCAACTGATTTAACCCGGCTAAATTTACCTTATCAATCTCTTAACAAACGATACTAATACTAAAGTAATAATAAAGTATGATACTAATAACATTAGTATCATACTTTAGAGTTTAACTCAAAATCTACTAAAATATAAATTAGAAACACTTTTATGTAGAGTGACTTATATACATTAGTCTCGTGTGCAGAGGTCGGATGATAATCTATCTATTCAAAATCTAATCCTAAACACCTAATCCGAATCAAAATTTAATTAATTTCTAAACTCCGTTGTGCGAAATTTCATAACAAACATTCCAAACCACCGGCCGGCAAAAGAGGTAGGTCATTGACCTCTTACTCAAAATTGTGAATGAAAATTTTTCATCCTGAAATCCTTACCAACTTAAGAACACGCCTCTCATTAATTGATCTCGCATTAATTTACAATTAAATCGTAGCGACTTATAACTTTGAATAACATGTCAAAATCATTCCCATGAAATATGAATGAAATAATGACTAAAAACAAAATTTTACTACAGCATTATGAAGTCCAAACCCCCCACAAAGAAGGCCAAGGTGGGACCTGGCTCTCCGTCGATTGAGGGTCTTCCCTCGCGCAACAACGCCTCCCCCTCAGGCTCAACGACCTCGTCGACTTCATCCCTCCTTAGCATTCCTCCTCCAACGTCCGGCGGTGGACCTCGAGGTGGCGGAGGAGACGTCGTCGCCAAATTGACTTCCGGCATGGCGGGCAAAGGACCTAATAATAATGCAGCTACGGTATCAGTTAGGACGGCGTCCTCCCCACCTGCGTATCCTACCTATGTTCACAGCGATATCAAGGAATGGCCCAAGATGAATGTACTTATCACTTGTCCCAAGGGTGCGAGTGGAACGGATGGTAAACCTTCGGCCACTTTGGGTAAGTCAAGTATTTATGGTAATTTGTGTTATCACTGGATTAATATGATAAAATAGAGACTAAAATGGTGTACAGGTGCATACAATATCGAGCAGCTCGTGCCTCAAGTTTCTCCCGTTTTCTCTCCAAAGGACTTCGATCACTTTTGAAGTCAGCCCCCCTCGTTGTGGCGAAACTTTTCTCTCTTCCGTACGCTTGAAGTTCGTCGTTTGCTCTGGGTCGTTCCTTCGTAGTATTAGTTTCGCGTCTCTTTTGCATCTCGCGTTCACCATTTTCATACGCACTTTCAGCATTTGCAAGTTCTCGTTCTTTGAGGAGTTGGACATTTTTCCAGTCAAATTCATAATCGTAGTAGTTGAAATTACGACGGTATAGCTGATCGAAATTAAAACAAAGATATTCATTATTTATCTAGATCTCTACATGTGTATATTAAACTATTTTATAGGTGCATAGATTTTAGATTTTTACCTGCCGAAATAGTTTTCGTAAGTAGCTGTAGTTGGGCGTCTCTTCAAAGAAAAATAAAGCAAAAATAGACATATTATTAATTAATTCTATTTGTAACTACCCTAAGTAGTTACAAACTACTTAGTACCTTCAAACTCCAAATTGCGACAGTAGATTAAGTAGTCTGCGAACTCATGGGGGAAGCCCTACATAAAGGAATTTTACTACAATTAGTCAATTGCTAAACAAATAGTTTCATAACGAGTAAAATTATTAACATTTTATGTTTACGATTACCTTGCAAAGATCCTCAATTTTTGTACCAATTTTGACATCTTTAATCTTTTCATATTTTTGTTTCTTGGTAGTAGCTTTGAGTCCTTGCCACGGTAAAGTGCCTTTAAGAAAGTACATTAAGATAAATCCTAGTGACTCCAAATCGTCTCGTCGGCTAAATTCAAATAAAAGCAAAAATTACGTACAATTTAATTAGAAATGAATAATTCACTTATTTACGATACCTCTGTTCATGTCCTTTGTGAGCATTGATGGAGGCATATCTTGCTCTAAAAAAGATGTTTTACATAATATAACTACCAAAATAAATACTCGACAAATATGAACTTGGTGATCTCTCACTGATTAAATTGAAAATTGTAATCTTTTTTACTCACGTGCCGGTCAGACTCTTGTCGGTCCTAAAAGGAATGTGACCTCTTGTCCTAGAATCACGAAACTTTTTGGACAAGCCAAAGTCGATAATAAACACTTTGGATGTTTCGTTGCCCGACCCCATGAGAAAGTTGTCCGGTTTGATATCTCGATGAATAAAACCCTTATTGTGAACCGTTTCAACGCGCTGGATCATTTGGTCGGCGAGGTGGAGAACCGTTTTTAGGGTAAACTGACGGTGAGAGTAATTGAATAAATCTTCCAGTGAAGGTCCGAGTAATTGCATCACAAGAACTAGAAAAGTATTACAACCGATACATCACTATAATTAAACCCTTACAATTAAGTGTTACCGTAAGATAATTTAATTAGGATATTTAAGCTACTAACCATTGTAGTCATTTACGGTACCGAACCACTTAACCTCAGGAATTCCATGTGCTTTCAAAAGTTTACAGACTTTACTTTCGTACCTGCAAAAATATGACAATGAATTCATATGAAAGATGTTTTCCATACGTCAAAAAACATACAAGAGTTGTGGATGCTTCGCACGAATATTCTCCATTTTAACGGCAACTTCCTGTAACATGCACATTAAACATTATTAACAGTAACATGCACGGCGTTTATAATTTCACCCCCACCCACACTCAATTCTGAATATTTGGATATCAGTTATTAATCAGTACCTCGTCTCCACTAATGCTCTTTGCATAGTAGATATCCCCAAAGGATCCAGACCCAATTTTCCTTACTAATCTATACTTGTCCGCTATGATGAACTCTGCTTTCCGGGATGCAGCATCGGATGCAGCCATTCGGACGAATTCTGTAATATCAGTTTTTAAATCAAATTAATGTACGAGCATTATTAGCACTATCTACTAATACTAAATTATATGCAGAACAAATCTATAATACAGCTTGCGTTCCTTCCTTACCGAACTCTGTGTGTATGTAACAGGTAAGTGTGGGTCACAAGACCCAAACAGAGTCAAGACCGACAAAAATTGGTACAATATACTGCTCGACAATTTTTTATAGGCTGTGCCACCAGACGAAAAAGTACTGGAAACAAGAAATTGTCAATTGCTAAGATACTGCATGGACGCTTTTTAATTGCATTTTGCAACATGTTACAAAGTGCATATTTGGACCATGAAATGACTGCATGTTGACCTTCATAACATCGTTTGGCTTGGATTTAGATAATTTTGGAAAAATAATGTCGCGTTCTTGGCTAAACTCTTCAAAATACATAATATTATGTTAGATATATGAAATGTATATTAAAAGAGACGACGGAGCCATGAAACAGCCAGCGTCTAAGCAAACCTAAGAAAATATGTGTTTGGACAACCCTTTTCATATTTCCGTCGACATATATATCAAATTTTGAAACATTTCCGGTAACATCATGAACAAACTAAATATTGCAAAATGCATAATCCTTTCGGTTCGTACTGCGCATCCCATTTTCATCCGCCGCATTTAATAATTAAACTTTAATGCTGAACAAAATTACTTTTCTTAGCCAATATATTAGAATTAGCAGAATAACCGAGGTTCGATTTTTTCAAACTTCAAAATACTTATCATGACAAAAATCGAGAAACCAGTCATTTTCTGACCAAAAAGATCAAAGAGTTGTATCTCAATCTCAATATTCCCAGGTGAGAAGTACGTGTGATTCCACCAAAAGCAATTTAACGGAGAAACTTTGGCAGTGTTGAGATATAATTAAAAGACAAATTTTGAAAGACTAAAACATTATTAAACAGAAAGAAGAATATTTTTTCGTAAAACAATACTGACCATATCTAGAATATCTACTGATAAACAAGGTTGGTACACTTAACACCATTTTCTATTTAGAGTAGTAATGAGATTAAAAACAAGTACAGATTATCGATAATTCTTAAATCATCTTATCTTAAATATAAAATGCATTATACACTTTATTAAAAACATACATATTGTATTGATTGTCTTTTCACTTCATTATAATTCAATGCTTATTATGAAATTCAGGTAAAGTGCTTAAAATCCTTACCTGGCAAGTAAAAAATAAGAGCATCAACTGATTTAACCCGGCTAAATTTACCTTATCAATCTCTTAACAAACGATACTAATACTAAAGTAATAATAAAGTATGATACTAATAACATTAGTATCATACTTTAGAGTTTAACTCAAAATCTACTAAAATATAAATTAGAAACACTTTTATGTAGAGTGACTTATATACATTAGTCTCGTGTGCAGAGGTCGGATGATAATCTATCTATTCAAAATCTAATCCTAAACACCTAATCCGAATCAAAATTTAATTAATTTCTAAACTCCGTTGTGCGAAATTTCATAACAAACATTCCAAACCACCGGCCGGCAAAAGAGGTAGGTCATTGACCTCTTACTCAAAATTGTGAATGAAAATTTTTCATCCTGAAATCCTTACCAACTTAAGAACACGCCTCTCATTAATTGATCTCGCATTAATTTACAATTAAATCGTAGCGACTTATAACTTTGAATAACATGTCAAAATCATTCCCATGAAATATGAATGAAATAATGACTAAAAACAAAATTTTACTACAGCATTATGAAGTCCAAACCCCCCACAAAGAAGGCCAAGGTGGGACCTGGCTCTCCGTCGATTGAGGGTCTTCCCTCGCGCAACAACGCCTCCCCCTCAGGCTCAACGACCTCGTCGACTTCATCCCTCCTTAGCATTCCTCCTCCAACGTCCGGCGGTGGACCTCGAGGTGGCGGAGGAGACGTCGTCGCCAAATTGACTTCCGGCATGGCGGGCAAAGGACCTAATAATAATGCAGCTACGGTATCAGTTAGGACGGCGTCCTCCCCACCTGCGTATCCTACCTATGTTCACAGCGATATCAAGGAATGGCCCAAGATGAATGTACTTATCACTTGTCCCAAGGGTGCGAGTGGAACGGATGGTAAACCTTCGGCCACTTTGGGTAAGTCAAGTATTTATGGTAATTTGTGTTATCACTGGATTAATATGATAAAATAGAGACTAAAATGGTGTACAGGTGCATACAATATCGAGAATGTCTACTAACACTATGTACCTGCCTAAATTCATTCATTTAGATAAGAACATTTAGTATTTAATATATGTACAAGGGAAGACTTGAGTTAGACCATCAGTTAACGGCATTTGAGTTAACTCCCCTTATTCTTAATATTACTAGGGCCGGAAGGAATAATGACAATGGATGATTTGGATGCTCTTCAAACCGAACTAGAAACCCTTTGGTCTGCCATGGCATGTAGAATCCGTTCTTTAAAAGTTGACCAAGCCACTCTTCAAAACTCTTCCTCTACTGTTAACGTAAGCACTTCCCTAGGTGAGCATTTTGATCCCTCTCACCAGGAAAAAATTAACGCCGTGGCATCACTTATCGATGCTGGTCACGGCACGAGAACATCGGTTTCGGCTGCAGCCAAGTTGGTGATGGGTACACAAGGTGGAGGACTTTCTACTGCTGGAAATAGTTCTTCAAATTCTGGAATCGGGAGTAAAAAGACTGCTGCAGCAACAACTCCGGCAAAACGGGAGGACAAACTGCCCAAGAAAAAATTAAAGGGGGAGGCGGGGGGAATGGTGAAAAAAGGAAATGACAAGCCTGCCCGCGCCACACAGAACAGATCGCACTCGGTATCTTCAGGTAATTTATTTAAATTTAAGATTATTCGAGTAGTTTGAAAGTATGTTTTTTAAATTTTTTTATAGATTTTGGTGGACTGGATGGATTTTACAAGCATGAAGCACCCAACGAATTCTGGGAATTTGCTGATAACTATTGTGGAGAAATAAAACAGGAGCATTTGGAGGAATTAAATAATATTATCGAGGAGCATAAATCCTTGCCAGAGTCCCTGTTTGAAATTCCACCTTTGGGAAAACATTTTAGAGATAAAGACAACACAACAAGAACACGGTGCATATATTAATTAGTGGAATTTATATTCATAAAATCAATGTGCATTATAAACAACTTTTTTAAATGTCATTTACAGATCGGAGAGCAAAGCTTCCAGACGTGCCGATTCATGCGGACCATTGACCCAACGTTTAGTCTCCGCCTTGGTGGATGAGAGGGTTGCCATGCATAATAACCAACGTGGTTTGAACTCGCCTAAAGACGAAAGTACAGGAAATGGGCACCATCATGAAGTTGGTTTCATACATCGGACTGGTCTCATCAAAGGTTAGATCATGTGTTTATAATTTGTATGCAAAGCTAATAATAGCTTTCTGAAAGCTAATAATATTTTAATGGATTCTGTGTAGCTCTCGGTCTTGACGGAGGGCCGAATCGTCCCCCGATGGAAAGCCAATTGAGAGAATGTCTTCTAGAGAGGGGATTCTTACGCCCGGAGGATGCAAACGATCCTCTATTATCAAATCCTGACGACGAAATTTTAGCAGAAATTCGTAGGACGCAAAATACACTTAAAAAGTTACACAACTATAATACAGAAAGGCTGCAAGAATTGCACAGTAAAGCAACGGTGAGAGAACATTAATTATTAATTATACCAAAATTGAGTAATTTGTACTAATTTGCAATAATTTCCCTACGGTTCCAATTTGTAGAAAGAGCTAAATCGTTCCTCTTTAAAAGTGGAACTTGACCTGGCTGATAAGGAAGTAATAGAAGCGTACAAAACCATCGTATCATTGAAACAGAAAAAGAAACCAGTTACCAAAAAAGACAAAGACGTTGCTCTAAAAGCACTGGAGACAAGGGACAAAATCCTACAGAAGTTAAGTCCATCAAAGTCTGACCCTACAAGTTCCGCAGGGCCCACAACCATTTTAAAAGTAGAGGTGTAAATATTAATATCGGTACATCAATTATGTGGCAACATAGTGAAACCTACGTATAGTATCATATGTACGATACAATACGTATAACCTACCTACATAACCTACGTAATGATAAAGACACTGATTGATTGACGTGGATAAATGCAAAAGATGACGTTAAAATAATTCTATCTTTTTTTATAAATATTTTATAAAATCTCAGAATATTTAACAATAAATTACTAATATTGTATACAAGTATTTGTTTTAGAATTCCGTCCTCTCCTTGTGTTGAAACCGTTTGGCAAGTTTATCATCAATTTCCTGTACTTTGGTCGAAGAGCAGAAACACTTTGCACTCTTCAGTCTCATTTTTTTGTCGACAATTTTCTTCTGATTTTTTCGATCGCATAGGACGGGTATTTCCTTGTACATACATTTCTCTCCTTGGGGACATTGAATCCATTCCGTGAGCGTCGTGTGGCACAAACTTCCTGACTTGAGGACACATCGGTCCAATCCAGAGTCGTAGGTGGATGGGATCTCTTCCAGCAAATATCCATCCGTTGGACAGAGACACTTTTGTTGCAGAAAGTCGCACCGCATCGATTTGTTTATGAGGTGACACACCCCATTCTTTGCACCGTTGCTGTTAATCATGGACTGGACATCCTTGTAGTAACGCGTCTTGAATAAATATGAAATTGAATTAAATATAACTAAATCATGTTATAATTCTACAATCAAGGTAATTAATAAAAAATGAACTTATCTACAACTTGTATTGATCTTAAAAGACTTGAAAAATTAAAAACCTTGAAATAAACATGTTCCAAATTTGCTCGGACATAATCATCAAGTTGAAAGTACGCCCTGTCCACGTCCCAAGAACAGTTGTCCCCGCGTGCCAGAACTTTCCAGTTGGAGATATCATGAACTTTTCGCACTAATTCGGCCATCTTCCTTTTGTCCTCTTGATGGAACTTGTGAAGATCTTTGCTTTGAAACCTCTTTTTGGCTTGATGCGGAGAACAGATGCATTTCTTTGAGATTTGTTCATACTGATCAAGGTCCTTCATATTTGACTCTGTGCAGAGGACCTTCGTGTCCAAAGACTTGATGTCAAATACACACTTTTCACCAGTTGGGCAAGGTATGTCACCGATATCACATTCACTCCCACTCCTGAGCTCGCATCGTCCACCTTGGTCAGAACTCTGGTAAGTTCCGCTATACTTACAAACACACGTTTTTGTCAAGTTGCTGCAAACGAGCACGACTTTGTTCTTGTTGCACACCATTTTTGATCCAGTTTTTAGCCCATCCTCCAAACTTGAGACGACACTGTTGTACTGGCCTTTGTTCATGTAAAAGTCATCGATAGAGTTGGACTCGACGACCTTCTCCAATATGGCGTAATTGCGTTCGTGGTCTACTTCACAAGATTCGCCGTAGTTTATGGGAGGGATTGCTTTGATAGAGTCGAGAAGTTGGTCAATTTTTAAATGTCGGCCTGCAACATTGAACTCGCAGGAGCAGGTATCCGAATTTTTCAAAAAATACTTGTCCAAATTCAATTGTGTGCATGACAAGCTGTAATAAAAATACGGCATGCCACGAATTATTTCAGATTGTAATTTACAATTGCTACTAGTAATGATGTACAAATTAACTACAAAGTGCACTACTTTATGCAATTCATATAAAAATGCACTCACTTTGCTTCTGGCTGATTTGCATCCTTTTTGACCAAGCAATTGGTGTTGTTCATACATTTTGTCTAAAGGAAAATAAGAAAGCATACATTTTTGTATTTATTTTAAGTAGGTTTTAAACCATTGCTTTTTTTAAACCCTACTTACCTCCCATTCAATTTTACAGTTGCTTCCTTCCTGGAAATAGCAGGCCGATAGATCATCGGTAACATTGACCTTGATATTATCTTTATTTGCGCCAGGATAATCCGTTCGGCAGGAACAAATTTTATCTTTGCAGGTCATTCCTTTCGTAATGGGACAGAAAAACTTCTTCTTCTTGTTAACAAGACTTGTCAAAGTTTTATAGTAAAAATTCATCGGTTTCCTGTTCTCAAACATTTCAAACTTATCGTAGTAACGGGAATCACCCTCCAAGATTTGTAATTCGTCAGTCAAATTTTTGTAAGCCTTGTACTCGTAGATACTGGTATCGCAAGCATCATTGTACTTGTGTCCAGCAACTTCATCCAATTCGTGCAGTAATGAATGGAGCTAAATGCGTACAAATTACCAAAAATAGTACAATTTTGCAATATTGCCGTTTGATACAAAATATTCTACAACTTTGATTTGTAGTACTTTTTGCTCTAATTCATCTGGAGTCTCCTTATGTGCCCACGGCTCATCTGGCTCTGGGGTTTTAGCACCAGCAATTAAATTGAAACACAGAAACATTAGGCACAAAATGACCATCACTTTTGGTAATGACATGATGATTTGATTACTTTCCGGATCGAAAAATCCAGAAAATTACTGGGAGGCACAAATTAAGAATTATAGACAGGTCTCAAATAAGTAATTATACCCGATTCTAAAGTGATACTTTTTGAAGTGTCAAAAGAATTGCGACTCGTTTATGATTGGTAATAAATATTCGTTTTGGTCTGAAATTAGAGAATACAATACCTACTTCAAGCAACTTTAAGATGGCATTAATCATTAATGCCATCTTGGTAGTTAATGGCAACACATTTGGGTGGAAATAACCCCCACTGGCCAACCACTTGACCGATCATGCCCATCTTCGAACTCATCCTTACTTTTTACCCGAAGATGAAGTATGCAAAATTTCAACTAGATAGCTTTTGTTTAAAGAGAGTTATCGTGCCTACAGACGGACGGACAGACAGACATCTTGATAAATCTATAAGGCCATCTTAAAAGGCCTAAAAATGTCTGCAAAAATCTATGGCATGGGAACGAAATGTTGAACAGTTAAAAAAATTTCAAACTCTGAGTGGAAAATGAGAATCGATAAAAAAATCTACAACGTCAAGATAAATCTGTCTCAATCCTAACTTTGCCTAGAATTGTTGAAGATATACAAAATCATGGATGTCGATGTTGGTACAGCAGGATTTGCACTACTGGAAAAGTGGACTGGAAAAAATGAGGCGTCGTTAAAACGGGAAATGATATGCCGCTTACCTGTACCCCGCGACGGTCAAGATGATCCCAACAACCGGTCACTCAATTCTTCTTTTTCCTCGGACCGTGATGACAAAATCGTGGCGCTTGACGGGAGTAGGAAAGAAAATGAACATCCACTTCTCAACTCCATCGTAGGCTATTCACACTTATGATGAGATGACGATATCAATTTTCATGATAATTCCCATTTTATTCAGGTGTTGGAGAAAGTGTTTTCCTACCTGATTGCCGATGCTTACCCAGAAAATGTAACGTCTGACTATGACCCCAAAACTCAACGCTCTCTCAACAACATGCGCTTCCTGCGACTAGTATGTAGCACTTGGAATGAGGAACTAATCCGCATCATTCCAACTCCGTACATTTGCCGAAGACCGGAAGATGTAAAGGATCTGTTACGATTGGCCGTCGTGTCTCCCGTCCCCTTCATTCGCCATCTCTCGCTCAAGTACTCCGAACTTTGGAAAACTCCGCAAACCCTGACTCTCCTCTGGAACATTCAAGATTGCCTCAAAACGCTGGAGATTGTCGCCACCGAGCTGGAATATTCTCCCTTCATGTTGCTCCCAAAATGCTGTCCCAGTCTGCAAAAGTTGAAAATATCGTGTACCGACGTCTACCCGGAGACTGACTGGGAGGAGGAACTGGAGCCCTTTTCTGACATTTGGGCCAACCCGTTTCCCAGCCTCCGAGAGGTGAAATTGCGTCACGGATCCCTCACCAAAGCCGCAGTTAAAATAATAATTGCGCTGTTGGAGAGGGCGAAGGGGGTGGATGTCTTAGAAATCCAAACCGACGCTGGATTCGGACGGGATAATGGGAGCACCGAGTTGGGCGAAGAGTTGATGCGTCGTCCAGACGTGTTTAGAAGATTGGACAGTTTTTATCTAGAAAATGAAGACTGTAATGGATTTATGGCCGGAGTTACCAGAATTCTTCATCCAGTAAGACCAGTGTTCTACGCTAATTTGCAGTCGTTCTCGCTAATCCAGAAATCTGGAGCTGTATTTCCGCCCATGTCTGTTTCTCAAATTGAGAAAACATTGTCAAAGCTGATTCAGGAGACTGCTCCAATTCTTAAGAATTTGACCATCGTCAACTCTTCAGAAACGGATTTAACTACTGGCACGACTGTTCCAAAACTCATTCTGCCTGCGGTCATGCCTTGCTTGGAGTTTCTCTGTCTCGGAAATGTGGGACTGGACATCACTTTTGGACCGTATACAAAGCAACCCCCAAAAATGTGGGGATTTCCTCAGATTTTTCCAAGTCTAAAGCACTTCGAATTTTGGATCCGGATCTTTAATGATATCTCCGAAGAGGACAAGGCGATCTTATTCCAAATGTTGTTTCCTCAGACAGATTCTCCACCATCCACAATTGATAGCGTCCAAGTGACAGAAAATCTTGTAAATTATCACACCTACACTAAACTCTTACCTGTCCACACCCACGTCCTGGATGCCCTGTCAAAGTTTAAAAACTTACGAAGTCTCATGCTTGAAATGGACGGCGAATTATTGCCCAGCGCTATCTCCTCATTGAAAGATTTGTGCATCGAGCACTTCACTCTCGTTTACTACGAGACGCCCAAAGGAATGCCAGGATTTGATGCAGCGGTCACCGGGATCAAATCTTCCATCTGTGAACAGCTAGCCGCTGACTGTGTAGACAATCAGGATTACGTGGATCCTGATGACTATCCAGAAATAAAAAAGAAGAATGCTTCGCTGGTTGATTGGAAATGTAGCCAGTCATTCCATACTTTAATTTATCTATGGCCGAAACATCAATTTCCTTCATTATTGTTGTGCTATTTAATCTGATTCAATTTCCTTAGGCCTGTCACGATTTAACGTATCATATCGTCACGGGGGCGTGTTTGATGCTATCTTCCTCGTTTACTGTCTCGTCCACATGGAAGATTTGAAACATTTGGAGTTGCGACATTTCGACGTGAGATCAGTTTTTACTTGATTAAATTTTATTGATTTTTATGACTAATTATTTAATAAATATTTCATATATCTTTCATTCCAGATCAGGGATAATCTGCTCATTCGCCTCATCAAGAAACTGAATTTGAAGACTTTGATCTTTGGAAACTGCAAAGTGACCAATCTCGATCCACATTTTCCCTTATTGAACCACAATTATGGGATTGAGGACGTCCTCGCCCAGTATGAAAAGAAAGAGACGAAGGTCAGCTTTGTGGGTTACGAGGGTGCGTCAGACTCCGATGCAGTTCCATACTACGCCAAGCTCCTCAACCACTTTGACTACGATTATCAGAGCCTATCGGACTAGGAAATTATATCTTCGGAATATTTATTATTTTAATACAAACTGTTTGTCATAACTTGTCCCTTTTGAAACGATTTTATGCTGGCTTTGTGTGCGAAGGAATATTTTTAAACAGAAAATCAATATTGTTAGTATTGACTAATAGTAAATAAATTGTTGATTTAACGGCATCACGTACTTATATATCTTGTTAATACTGGATAAGTCATGCATCGGTGGTAGGGTGGAGTGGAATATATGTACCTACATATATATTTATACATGCATATTGTAGATATTCATGGGTTGGCCTTAACCTTTTCCAATCCAATCGAACTATAATCGAATCCCTTTATCAAGAATTTTTATCAGACAAGATATTTTTTGGCGATGATTCGTCACTGTTAAGAAATTGGCTTTTTATGTATGTACATACAAGACTTTCCTTGAATTATTTATTGATTGTATGCAATTCGCCAAACCCAAGCCATGCAAATTGCTCTTTGATTTTTGCATAACAAAATGTTGAAAAACATCTCAGCATCTTCAATACATCGATAAGATTAAAATACAAATGCAGCTTTGAACTGAGGAGGAGAGTCAGCGTGACTTAATTTAATGTTATGCATACATACAACCGGGTGGTGCGTACGGCATCTCACGGGTTAAGCAGAGTGGCGGAAAGGGGCTGCCCACAAGGTGGCGTACTTTCTCCCCTGCTCTGGAACCTAGTGGTGGATGAGGTACTCAAGAAATTGAGGAACTCTTTACCACAGGTGTACTCAAACGGCTATGCCGATGATATAAGTACTTTGAGTCTTGGACTGGATTTGGGGACAGTGGTACAGGATGCTCAGCGGAGTATCAATATAGTGAATAGGTGGAGTCAGCAAGTAGACCTCGGCGTGGAGGGCGACAAGGTGGCTGCCATTCTACTCACGAGCAAGCGGGTAGGGGGCGAAGCTTTACTTAGTATTGCTGGGAAACCTATTCCGTTTACCAAATCTGCAAAATATCTTGGGGTCACAATTGACAACAAGCTATCTTGGAAACCACATTGTACGGACAGGGCTACGAAGGGTATGATGGCCCTGGCTGTCTGTAAAAGGGCGATTGGACCCACTTGGGGACTTCTACAGTGATGTGGATGTATAAAACCATTGTCCGACCGACAATGGAGTATGGAGCAGTGGTGTGGTGTAGTGCTTCGAAAGTCAAATGCCATATGAAACTCCTGGATAGGGTACAGAGGGTGGCAATGCTGTCGACCTCTGGAACCATGAGGAGTACTCCCTCTGCGAGTTTGGAGTGTCTATTCGGGCTTGAACCGATGGACATTCGGATTCAAAGAGTTGCACTTTCAACAATGTATCGTTTGCAAGTGTACAACCAATGGTTGGGGTGGTATGGGAGGGGATTCAAAGGGCCTATGTCACACATGGACCTTTGCAATAACCTCTCTAGTAAAGTAACCGTTTGCGGGCCTGGGAAATCGGACCGTAAAAAGGCCTGTAGAGAGTGGGCTGAACAAGCACACAAATCTAGGTGGCAGGACACTCATCTGTGTAAGCAGACCAAACTCTTTCTTAAGGAGCCATACCAGGCAAACTTAGGGAACATTGTAAAATTAAACCGAAATTCACTGCGCCAACTGGTTCAGGTAATAACGGGGCATAATACTTTGAACTCACATCTGTATAATTTGAACCTGGTGTCGTCCCCTGGCTGCTTATGTGGACAGGGGAAGGAAACAGGGTATCACTTTATCACAGAGTGTGATTGTTTTGCGATGACCAGACTGGTAGTACTCGAAGGGATTTATCTGACCTCCGAGGAATTACTTGAAATGCCGTTTGCCAGGTTAGCAAGGTTTATTGCTAAGTCTGGAAGATTTTTAAACGATCGCGGATGGCAGAATTCGCAATATTAAACGCAAGTGTTCTTAGGGGAGTCGGCAATTAGCCTTAAATGCGCTACCGCCGCTGGCCTGGCTGTCTCTATTAATGAGTAGTCTGGTCACCCCACATAGTACATACATATGCATACATACATCTGTGATATGCACATATATATTTTGTTTAATATGTACCTAACCTCAAAGAAGAGAAGGAACCTTCTTAAAACCGGTGAAAACTAAATACATGAATTATGTAAGTCAACATGTAAATGTAGATGCACATTTGGTTTAGAGACTCTTCTGGGTCGATGATACATACTTACACACAAAATCTTCTTCTGGAAAGATACACACAATAAAATACATGGGAAGTTGTGAACAACAAGTCGTATAATATATTTCTTTAAGGAAAACACGCAATCTAGAACCACATCAGACTCTGATGATCAGAGTATTGTAGTCGTATCCACCGTCGTATCCACCGTCGTATCCACCAATCCAACTAAACAACAACTTGGTTAAAACTTTGGTCTGGTTGTTTTAGTAATAGTGGAATAACAATCTGATTAGATTAAAAAGTCCATCCGGGAATTAAAAGGTCGAAAGAGTGTCAACTTGGGTTAGTCATCTTCATTATGCTCTTGCCAGAAACAATTCACAAAAATTTTGATCCATTCTAAATTATTCTGTTCACTGGATAAAACAGACTAAAATATAAGACTATTGGTTAAAGTTAACAAGTGATATTTATTGTCATTTCAAAGTTCTGTTCTGTTCTGTTGAAAAAAAATTAAAAAGTTTAGTAGAAGTGATTAGTTTAAAAAAATACAGGTCAAACTGCCGAAAAATGAGTTTTTCTGGAGTAGTGATTTTTAAGAAACTGACCTTGATTGTTATTCTACTTGTTGAATTAGGTAGCGTTTTTGTGGGTAATAAAAATCATCAAAAACACATTACAGTTTAATAAAATGCATTATTTTTACTCCATTAATTTTTTTCCAGTGGTTGACAGTGCTCAATTTAGAGAGTCTCGATTCACCTCCGGTCGAGACGAAGTTTTTTGGAGTCTTACCGATGCGAACAAGACGAAAACTTGTATCTTACTTTCGGGCGTTTTTGAAATTGAGATTCCTTATTACACCGACTATTTCATGGTTCGAAAACACTAATTTTCATGATAATAATACAAAGGCATACTAATTAATGATAATTATTAAATAAATGCAGAAATCCATCGCAGTGATTCGTATTCCCAGGATTGCGTCCGTCACTGGATTTTGTGATACAAATGAAAACCCAAATTTGGAATCTTTGTCTTTCGAGTGGTCTCCAGATCCGCGACAACCGGAAGTGAAACATTCAGTTACGCTCACCTTTAAGAGATATTCCCACTTGAAGGAACCCTCATTTCTCGAACCGTACTACGCGTTGACCACTATTCATGGGAGGATACAAACCAATGAGGTTGATTTTCATGACCCATTTGACCCCGGTGCGTACGAAATAATGAATAATTAAATCATCAATTAGTGAAGGATTCAATTGTTTAACTGATAATTTAGAACACATTTACAATCTGACGGCTTCCGACGTGGGAGCTATTTTAAGCGCCCCTGAAAAGTTATCCTTTGTCTGCAAGTCCATCCAAGTGATCAAGTTCAATGATGGGAGAAACAGTTTCGCCATGTCCGAGGTCCATGCGGAAGCTTTTCATGACAAGATTGCTCTCGGAGATGGCAAAGATTTTGGACCGAGTATGCAAAAATTTTGCACAACGAATCAACGAATAATCAAAACATGACTAACAAAGAATTGGTTTTCTGAATTGCAGAATCATTTTGTGCAAAGGATGGTGTAGAAGTTCTTTTGATGGTATTCACCTACGTAATAATTTTAGCATTATTCGGCTTAGCCGTCTACTACGTTGTGGATAAGAGAAGAAAGCGGGCGTACGTCTATTTGTAGGAATTTCACATTTATTTTTTATACGATTGTGACGATTATGCGCGTAATTATTATCCTATTTATTACTACATGAATCGTTTAAATTTGCAAATGAATAAGTCTTCTTATATCTGTTTGATGACTGAGCTTCAAAATGAGAGAAATAATAAATAATGGTCTCAATAAAAACAAATAATTTTGTGGGCAGATGCCCAATTTTTTGAAGATTTTTTATTTAATTCAAACCAAGGTCAAATAATTTAGATACATGTGATTTCAAATTGCATAGGTTTAATAACAAAGTAAGAAAATATATAAAGGACAATGCAATATTGCAGTGGGTATAATTTTGAAAAAGAATTATAATTTTGAAAGTACTGAGGATTATTAGTATGATAATTAATTAAGGAAACTACCAAAGTTATACATAATGGTTTCTGATTGTATATAGTCAATTTGAAAATGAAAACCAGGCAAATTCAATTAGTTACGAGTAAAGTAACCTCGCACAAAAAAGAGAATCCGTGTAAGAAAACACTTCATAAAATTGTGGAGATTGTACTTTCTCGTTGACAGACAATAAAAATGTCATTTTAAGTAATGAGCTGACAAAGTTGATAAGTTTTCAAACAAATTGGATTTGCCTGGGTGTCTGTTGAACTTCAATCAGTGTTACCTAATTCACCTTCACCTCTCTTAACTGAAATAATTACTAACAAAACATCTTATTCTAGTAAGTAATAGTACTTTCCTATATATGTATTTCTCAATTTTCAGCTACAATTTTTCCAACTACTCATTTCCAAATCAATTCAATTAAACACCTAATAACTTCACTCGCTACTGAAATTAATTACCTTCGTCGATTTCGTATAATGATCTTGTTGTTCGCAGCGGCTGGTTTCCTCGATTGAATAACGTCTCGAAGGAGTTGCTTCACCATCAGGATTTCCCGTTGTAAATCATCCTTCTTCTTCTCGAGATTATCGTGCTCCTGTTGTAATTCGGCCTCACTTTCCAAGATTACGCTGAATTCCAACTTTTTCTTCTGACGATACCGAGTTGCAGCGGTCTTGTTCTGCTCCTTCTTGCGAATAACTTTGTCCTTCACGTAGGCTGAAGATCCTTTCGCAACCTTCTTGGTTGGTTTTCGACCCCTATCATTTACGTAGGAGAAAGAAAAATTTGAATTAGATTTGGTGATGCTAGTTACAAATAATCAATAACTGGGTTAACTGATTCTATTTTAAGACTAATTATATGTCAGTATCCTTTTGGCAAAATTTCATGGTCGGTCATCGTTGGATTGTGATTCATCATGATAAGTTTGGAAGGAAATGCATTGAAAAGACGTGTAATAAATGTAAACGAAAAATCATACCTGCGTTCTGGTTTCTTCTCTACAACAGGTCGTGCTCTCGGTGGGCTTGGCAGGGGGTGGTATGAATCTTCGCTCGACATTGACGAGTCGTCATCATCCTCCACATCGCTACGTGAAATATCCGGCAAGTAGGTTTCGGCAGTGGCAACGTCTCCGAGAAGTAGTGCATCCAAGATCTTTTGTGCAGCTTCTGAATGTTGATCAACAACCGTTGTTGTCAGCATTGGCCCAAAGTTGGAGTTGGAGTGGACAGAATAAGCTGGACTTCCTTGGTTGCTGATTTCGTAGAGTTCAGACTCCTCAATGATGTCGGAATCATTGTCGCTCATATCTTGGACGTAGACGTTATCGATGTCCTCCATATCCATATTGTTATTCAAAAGATCCGATTGTGTAATGCCTGTCAAATCCAGCTCCACGGGAACCAGGGCTTCGCCATCGATGATGGTGGTGGGAATACCCGCAATTTGTAGGACATGGCTGAGAGCTTCCGTGTTATCGCTATCCTTCGGCAGAGAATCTAGAATCGCTTGAAACTCGGCAGTCAAAGATGAAATGTCAGCAGAAGACTCGCTGACTTGTCCGTTCAAAATGTGGACTGGTTGGGGCAAGAGCTGGATGTTGACGGCGTTGGAAATTGCTGGGAGATTGGCAGACGAACGCTTGAGCGATGATGGAGGAGTGTATTCAATTTCTGCTAGTTCCTCGAACAAGTTCAAGTTGACAGATTCCTCATTCCAGTTCAGTCCAAAATCTATAATAGGAAAAAACATACATTAATAAATTATTCCTAAAATCCTAACTGATCGTGAATTCACTCGCCAGCCGTAGTTGTTAATTAGAAAGAAAATATAATAATTCGAGTTTCAGTATCCTTTTGGCAAAATATCTCACGGGGTATCGTCGTTGGATTGTATCATCATTTTTAATAATATTAATCATGATTTCAGCTTGCTAATAAGATATCATAAAACCACAAGGTAAATACGTACCGTTAAATTCCATCTTGACCGACGCATTTTCTTCGAGGTCATTCAAAATGGTGGAGGCCAATTGGGCTCGGATGGATGACGATTTCGAACCCTGGTGTAGGGTCGTTGCGCCGACCTTTCCCCCAGCATGGAGATAATCGGCCTTGTTGTTCTGGATGCTGCTGCTGCGTCCATTATACAAAGAGGGCGATGGTGGTGGGGAGGTGGATGGTGAATCAGGGGGACTGAGGTTGGGTTCAGCAGACGAGAAGTTCTCGAACTGCCATGAGACCAGGCTGCTGGACTCCATGGCGAATGGATTTCGAGTTGAATTGCTGGCTATTTTCGATTTCAGATAAATCGGACCGTAAAAAGTTTTCGATTCGTATAGAAACGATGGAGAGTGGTACGCTTGCTTCGCTCAGGGGAGCGTTGTTTTGGTTGGAAAAAGTTAAAGACCTGAAAAAAGTGAAAGCATAAAAGTAAGTAAGCAATCGTGCTTTCTCTATGATAGTGGATAGGTAAGCATGTGCTTGGTGCATAATAATATAAATCTTGCCTCATGTTTGTTTAATTCGGAATTTGAAAAATAATTTTAGATTTCGGTCGTGACTTTGAAACTTTGAAATGACATTGAATTAAGTATGACGTCGTCATTCATTTATCTAAAAATTGGATGGACTTTCCATTAAGCGTCACTCACGTCCTCTCACCTAGTGTTCTCAATGGTCCGGTTCGGTCCGGTCCAGTGCAGGATCAGGACCGGACCGAAGACCGATAAGCTTGGACCGAAACCGGACCGATATTTTTTGACAGGACCGGGACCGGACCGAGTCTTATCGGTCGGTCCCGGTCGGACCGATAAGATTTCGCTTTCAATATTAGACAAACCTTACGGATTTTACAAGTTACTTCCGAACACGTTAGTTGCTTCACAGAAAAATTTAAGTTTACATTTAATTTTCAAAATTTATTTTAACGTCGTAAAATTCGAAGTTCTTATTAGAATTTTATTTTTTTGATAGATTTAAAGATAGTGACAAGTTTTCACAAGTACAGATTATGAGGGTCACCAAATTTTCAGTAGTGTGCCATTACTAGTGTCTCACCTACTGTCTTTTATCTGATTGAGTAAAAGAAATTTTGTTATTCCCTGCGGCGCAATATAAAATTTAGTGACCCACATGAACTTTTTGAACCTGACCATTGAATAAATACTCTTTACGTTAAACGATGACTAAAAATGGGACAAATTTTAAAACGATTTGTGAAAAATTTGGAAATTTACAGAGATTAATCTCAGAATGAATCGCACGCTAAGTTAAATCTAAGCTTACATCTGTTACAAATATTGGTTGGCGAATCTACCATAAATTTTGGTAAATAAATAACAATTATCCCCAACCTTGCAAAAAAAATTAGATAGATGAAAGTGGTCGGCATGTGTGCGACCGACAAGAGTGAAAGCAAGTAAACAACGTCATAAACTGTAGCAAACGCAATGTAGCAGTAGGGTGAAACATTTGAGAAAGGGCAAGCTGGCTTGGCTTATTTCATACTTATTTCTGTTAATTTTAACGTTTCAAAGATGAAGTACACACATTTGCGTACTGCATAAAACTAAAAAAAAATTCTAAAAAATCTGAGTATTTGTTTGGCAATTTTGTGGCAAATTAGATGGTTAATAGTCGATTGTTTAAAATCATCCCAAATTATGGAATTTTCTCTATACCGGTACTTGGAAACTGGTTGAAATAAACATACCGTCTTTTGTAGGAAATCATGAAGATTTTCATTGGTTGCTATTCGGTGTAATTAAAAAATCAACATCGTACCCAAGGAAATTTTACACAAAAATCATTGATACGAAAGAGGTTAATAAGCTAATTCAAAAGCCAGATATAATAGATATATGTGGTCATAAAATTAAAGCGCTATGTTGTAGCCGTTTCACATTTTCTCCAAAAGTTATCGTCCGAAGGTTATCGGTCCGGTCCGAGACCGGACCGAAATTTTTTATCGGTCCTGGTCCGGTCTAAGCCCAGGACCAGGACCGGACCGAACCGGAGTTATCGGTCCGGTCCGGTCCGTGGACCGGACCATTGAGAACACTACTCTCACCACTTGAAATAAAGACTCTTTAATAAAGACTCTTTATCAATATCATATTTTAATTGAATTGACCAATTGAAATGAGCTCGACTAACAAATAGGTAACGCCACATTAATTATCTTGTCACTTGTTAACATCAGATTTATTCCCAGATTGAAGATAAGAACCTGAGTGCCCTCAGAATTACAGGGTCATTATATTTTAGCAATTTTTGAAACATTGCAATGTTTTTAAAAAATGCACCTATCTACTACAATATAGATTTTCCGACAAAATTCAATTAACAAAATTAATTAAAGCTCAATATATAAGCCTATGAAACCAAAGAATCCCGTTATCTGTTCTAATTAATTTCATCCTCCTCTTTCTTTCTCTTGACTAATTTATGTACAATTACTAATTTATCGGATTATCCCCACCAAAATATTATTGTTTACATAAAACATTCTCTTGATCGATCAACATCAATATCATTGTTCCAAGGACAAAAGGTGGGAGACCTTTCTCCTCGCACAACGGAATTTACGTTAAGCTGCAAACTTTCTATCCTACTAAAAGGAAATGAGTACTTACTCCATGATGATAAGGTTGTACTGGGCACCGAAGTGCAGTGGGCTTGAGTGCTGGACACTAGTAACCCATCGCGGACAAGTAAAAGTTCCTTAGAACATTGTTCCAAACGTTTGGAAACTGTGAGAAAATGTGGACTTCTGTAATGGCTGCTGTGGAGAGAATGAGAGAAATTGGGCAGGAGGCATGGGATATGGGATGATGCAACGTTTTCATGGCGCCGTAGTCAACCTTTATCTTTAGAAAGTAGTTAATACAAAATGGATCATGGTTATTTTATATTTCTCAAATTTGATGAAAATAAAATTTCATATTTTTTTAGAAATTAATTTTTTCGAATTTTGCAACATGCATACGCCACTGACAATTATTTCGTTTACCAAGAAATAAGCAAGCAAGCAAGCTGTAAATGATTTTCTTTATGGCGTTTAAATAAGTAAAGGGTTGGTTAAATAGGGTGGTGGTGGGACGGGTTTGCTGGTAAAATACATAGGCAAAAGAAATATACGGAATATGTATATATACGGAATATGCATCAATAATATTCACATATCACATCACTTTGAGGTTGTATGCACTTGATTTGATGATTGAGTAGTAAGGCAAGTACAGCTTTAAAGTAGTGGAATTGATGGATGTATAGTAATTTTAATTATGACGTCAATGGCTGAATGTTGCCGATGGTAAAAAGTGTCATGAGTGATGCTGGCGTATATTATCTCCCGACCACAAAGAACACTTGAATCACACACAATTGTTGACTGTGTACTTTTTTTAGTCCGTGTTAAACATCAGAGTCATTGCTTGACATTAAAATGCCTTTGAGAATAATTTGCACGCCAGCAGAATAGCAAAATAGTCAGTGGTTTGTCTATCTAATTAAATTACTTTGACTCATAAGCATATTTTCTTGTGGTTAAGAATTTCGTAACTTCTTTTCATGTTTTCTTTTTAATTACGGGAAACATATTTCAAATTTTTGGGTTATCTGCTTCTATTACGCATTACGGTACAGCATATACATATGCTACACATTTACTGCATTTCGGGTGAAAAATTTGCTTGAAAATCGGGATGAAAGTCTCATGATTTCTCAAAGACACGGGATGTTTTGTTTGGGGTCTGGTCACATGCTGCATGAGTCACGAGCTTTTCGCCAGTTTCCTTTCTCGGCCAAAATACACGTGCAATAACCTTCAATCGGGCAATGGTGTTTTTGCGAAATGCCAACTTCGCTAAGATCCGTTTAGAGAATATGTTCAAGTGCTCTTGTGTAAAATTCTCACTTTATGCGAAGAAAGTTGCCATATTTCTGTCCTTTAGAGATACACACTGATTGCTCATGATGATAAAAGTGACAGTGACAGTCCTCATTTTATTAATCTCATTGGCTAAATTTCTGCACATTAACTCTTTCCTCCTCCATTAATTGATGAATAGGACAATGACTTACTTCATCATGCATTAAAATTAGTTTTTAGGCCTTTTAATTAGGCCTTTTAAGATGGCCTTATAGATTTACCAAGATGTCTGTCCGTCCGTCTGTGCGTCCGTCTGTGCGCACGATAACTCTCTTTAAACAAAAGCTATCGACTTGAAATTTTGCACACTTCATCTTCGGGTCAAAAGTAAGGATGAGTTCGGAGATGGGCATGATCGGTCAAGTAATTGGCCGGTGGGGGTCATTTCCATCCAAATGCGTTGCCCTTAACTACCAAGAACCTTTAGAGCAGGTTAAATTATTTAAGTGTAAGTAAAATATTTGTAGCTTGAGAAATATCTATAGTAATAATTTTAAGTAAATTTAGTATGAAGATTGCGACTGACCTCAAAGCGTTTAAATTGGAATGGAGTTTCAGAAATTTTAAACCTGGGAGACCCGATAGGGTGACCCGACGGATTTCTAAAATTTGTAGTAGGTAGTTGAAATTTGGAACAAAGGTTGCTAGTGGATTGTAACAGAAAAAACTGAATTTAGGTTGGAACAATTTTAATCTTGATGGACCCTATGGGGTGACCTATTCTGATTTTTCAAAATCGTCATATCGAAGTGAAATTTGGGAGAGAGGTTGCAAATGGGTCTTAATGGAACAATATGAAATGAAATTGGTAAAATTTATATCTGATGCGGTTATCCATATCTATTTTTAGAAATTGCGTTAAAAACATGAAATCCGGCACGGTAATACTTACAATTAGTGGCTTCTCATCAAAGAATTTGAAATTAAAAGTTAGCTAACAAGGGATACTTTCGAGGTGATAGTCGTGTCCAGGGTACCACTCATTGGTCTAAATGTTTTTTGATCGAGTGTTTCTCACGGGTTCGGGTTCTTACTTCGGGTTTCGGGTTCGGATCGGGTTTGGGTCCTGCTTCGGATACGAAATTTTTGAACCCGAAACTTTCGGGTTCGGGTTCGGGTCCGAGAAATGTGATCCCAAAATTTCGGGTTCGGGTCGGGTTCGGGTTCCGACTAAGAACCCGAAACCCGAACCAACAAGAACTTTTTGCCACAACGAACACGAAAACATTAAAAAAGAAAATAAAGTGTTAACCAAACTTGCTACGACGGTTATGCTGCAGTAATTCATTAAATAATTCAAATTTTTAATTGTCGTAACTTCTTTTCACAAGTGTCTTCAATTAGTGTTATGGTTTGAATATTAAAATAAAATATATTTTTTATCAAAAATTTGCAAAATATTTAGCTTGAGCTTACTTTAATATTGGAAACTTGAAACTGAAAATCATTTTCAGTTTTCAACTGATTTAAAAATTTCTGAATGTCACGGAAAGCCATTATTCATGGTCTTTTTTGAGATTGCATTATTATGGTCAAGGAATTAAGAGTTATGTACTTATGCAGAAATGTGCTTAATTATAATTCCTCGGTCATATTTACAGAAGTATTGTTTGTTTGAAACCTTCCAAAGAATTTTTAGCTAAAAAGCCAGTCACCCCTTAAAGTTAAAATATATTCGGGTTTTTCGGGTTCGGGTTTCGGATTTGATCCGCCAGTTCGGGTTCGGATCGTTGCAAACGGGTTTCGGGTTCGGGTTGCCCTCAAGTTTCGGATCAGTGGCATCGGGTTCGGGTTCGGGTTTCGGATTTGCAAGAACCCGACCCGTGAGAAACACTAACCCATCTTCGAACTCGGTCGATGCCCAGATGCATGTCTGTATCAAATTTGGTAAAATTCAGCCTACTCCTTCGAGAGTTATGGAAAGACAGACAGACGGACAGGTCGATTACATAAGCCCTAGTCCGGGCTAAAAATTATATGCCAATCGTTCATTAGAGTCTGGCTTTTATGTAATAATGCCGTCTTAAAAGGCCTCGCAAAGTTGCTTGGAGTAGGTTTTATTTTGTATAGCTTATCCTGCATATTTTCTTCCATGTATCCACTTTCATTCATCGACCTCTTCTCGGTATTTGTCTCATTTTTGTACAACTTATTCAAGAACTGCGTCTTAGTTTTCTGTAGGTTCTTTGCAAAGGTCAAACTTCAACTCAACCGGTGCAGTGTGGTGCAGACGGACGAAGTCATATAAACTAGTCGTCGGTGTACGTATTATAGGATATAGTATTATATATTATATATCCTATTTAAGATAAACCAGTATATTCAGAAACCTTAATCAGTCACAAATTTATTTTATCAGATTTTAGTTAGGTAAACAGAACATGATCAAAGTACTGTATAGTAGAATGAATAGTAGATTGATACCATTTCAACTGTTTATTAGGGTTGCAGAAAATCGTATCAAAATATTTACGAATATTAAAATTGCATTATCTAAAATTCCTCGAAAAACTTTTCAGCGTATGATTTTGGAGCATCTGCCCAGATAATACTTAATTTATGTTGTTAATAATTTGACTTCTGCATTTTTTACAAGTTTTATTTTATTACCGTTTAAATGAATTGAAAGGGTTGCTTTGATTCAATGAATGCACGTGGATAATCGATGATACATTTGATTAGTAAATCGCATCCCATTCAGTGGCAATGCGTGGCCATGTGGTGATTCGTATTCTTTTTATTGGCATGCTTTCACTTGAAGTTCAAGTTTGATTGATTTTTAAGTTGTCAATTTTCCGTAAAAGATATCAAACTTAATTCGAGGAATTATTTGTTGAATAATAAATACATTGAAATATATAAACAGTTCGTAAATGTGGTGTAATTATGTAATTGCTCTTTATTTTGCAAACATAGTATCAATTACACTAAAATTTATTACGTACTGATTTCAAAGGATGAGGCTGCTGTTGGTTGATCTAAATTTAATAGACACGTTGTGTTACTATTTTTTTACAATTCTACCAAGAATATAGAATTCGATTTCATAAACTCAACAATAAAGATTAACACGTTCTTTCATCTAAGGAGGGGAGCTTGCGAGGTTGATAATAACAGATCCTGATGCCCTTTGGATATGTGGTAGGGTCCTATGAGTGTACTAAAACCCTGAAGTGGTTTGACTCCATGGCCACATTTGCGCCCGCCACACCCACTCAAAAATGCCCAAAAAACGCTTTCACTCCAGGTTTCACTCATTCAAATCAACGCCAAAAATCCAATTTTACTCGGATTTTGAAATTTCTTTCACCATTACACTCCCAGATAGTTGCTTTCTTCAATCCAATGTCAAACTCAATTTTGATGATGATTATTTCGCAGGCATAATTTGCGTTGTGGATTACTACAACAATGCTCATTCAGAATTTTAAATTTTAAAAATACTAATAATTTCGAAAATATTGAGTTTGATATCGAATTGATGAAAGCAACTATCTGGGAGTGTAATGGTGAAAGAAATTTCAAAATCCGAGCAAAATTGGATTTTTGGCGTGGATTTGAGTGAGTGAAAACCGGAGTGAAAGCGGTTTTTGAGCATTTTTGAGTGGGTGTGGCGGGCGCAAATGTGGCCATGGAGTCAAACCACTTCAGGGTTTTAGTACACTCATAGGACCCTACCACATATCCAAAGGGCATCAGGATCTGTTATTATCAACCTCGCAAGCTCCCCTCCTAAGGTTCAGGGTTGTGATACATTACATGCATGTTACTATCTAAAAAAAAATGCATGTATGTACAAGAGCAACTCTGTCAATTTATGTACATTGACATGAATGCCATCAAACCACAATATCTACGGTTCTATGTACATGCATACATTAACCATAAGAAAATTTCGGTCAGCTAGAGGCTTAAAATGTAAATAAAATGTTTCATTGTTGATAACAAAAATTGCAAAATACTGCATTAATAAGAAAGGATGCTTCTTTTTCGTTAAAAAAATGTCTACAGGTACTATATAACTGGGTCTATTCCTTCATACATACATTGTAAGGTTCCAAACACTAACTATTGCCGTACAGTTACATTTTCAGTCCGTAATTTAAACTAAATAGTAGTGATAAACCATTATATTTACGTAAAGTTAAAAGAAACAAAGTAAAATATAGTAACTCAAATTGCACCGGTTGAAATAAAAATAAAGTATTTCATTAAAATACGTTACGTTAAAGTAATACACACATAGGTCGAAATTGTATGCAGCTTGTTTAAGGACCAAAACTGCAAATTCTACGATACACTCAAAGTTTGCATAGGGCTCAAGTTAGTATAGTTTATGGCATACTTATAAGCCATAAAATTATACATATTATTTATTTATTTTGCGGACGAGGACAACGCATTTAACGAGGTTTGTGTCGACGTGTAGCCACCGTTTTGACCTCCATTAAAATGCGATGAGGATGGACTACTCCCTGCTGGCCGTCCGTGAAGGTGCTGTTGTTGCGCCTGGCGAAGCATTTTTGCCTCCTCCTCTTTTACTTGTTTCGCCAATTTTTCTGCGTCTTCTCTCTCCTTAAAGAACCCTGCCTCTGTTTTGCACTCCCGAATCGTCACAGTCATATCCATCACGGTCACGTCCGTGATGACGATCTGGTCTGCGAGGGGTTGTCGCGTCCTCCAATACTCGGCGGGGAGAGCGTTATTATTTTCTTCCTCCAGTTTGATACTGGCGTTGCAATGGAAAGTCGAATTATTATTATCTTCACGGTGGAAGGAGAGGCTACGACCTTTCCCTGGACCACCTCCGCCACCATTCGCCAAGGACGATACAGGCGTCGACGTGGCGAGCTTGGTCGGACTGATGGGTCGGGCAGGGGCACGGGTTGCAGTTCCACCCGTGTGGGCCGAGATTGATGACGAAGTCACAGAATTTTTACGTTCCACCGTTTTCGCAGGGGATTTGGTAATTCGGTCTTTTTCAGCGGTTTTTATTGGGGTCTCCTTATTAGTTTCTGGCTTCCTTTGTGGGGACGTGCTGGAGTTTGTGCGTGCTATTTTGGCTGGAGGAGGAGATACTGGAGAGTCCTTGTCCCCTTTACCACTTCCACCACTATTGCTGTTTTGTTGATGGACAGGACTAGTTTTGGGGGTTGTTGTAATGGTCACTCCGATTTTTCCAGATTCCCTGTAATTTAATTATGTACAAATATTTATAATCCATTGAACATCAGAGACTAGGTTTATTTAAGTCTGAAATAAATAAGATTTCATACTGAATAACTTCAGCCTTCCTCTTAAGCGTGTCTTTTCTTGGGGATCGTTCCTTCTTTCTGAGCTTTTCCTCTTCATCGTCAGTTTCAGAGTCTTCGTCATCGTCCATGCTTGAAGGCGACTTGGATTTAGAAAATTCGCGACTGGTCTCGCTTGTTTTGCTTTTTTGTGACATTGGCGACATGTCTCTGTCTCTGTCCCGATCTCTGCCACGCTCCTTCTGTTGGCATAAAAATATAATATTCATTTATTTGCCTTCATCCAATCCAGATTATTTTTTACTGTATGAAATTGAAACTTACGGCAACTGGTGCTTTAACCTTTAGCTTTGGCTTGGGACCTCGCTTATTCGGTTTCACGGTTGTGCCCTTCTGACTCTCTTCAAACATTTCAATCAGTCTTGAATCCAAAACATTCTCCTCTGGTTCCCATGTATTGTGACTGCAATTATTAATCAGAGTTAGACAAAATACAAATATTTACATATGTGTTTGAATTGATGAAAATAAATAACCGCAGGGAAAACGTTTAAAATTTCGAAATTTGTAAAGATATCCCGTTGAAAAAAATAAAATGTTTAACCAAAAAGCCAAAACGGGTAAAATGAATGAATTAGCTCCGTAGACATCTCAATTTCTTTGCTAACTTCATTACATCTGAACCATTTTTATAATCTTACATGGAACTCCATCCTTTCCATTTGATAAAAAACTCGACAGTCCCCTGCAAAACCAAGAAATATTTCATTTAATTACGAACTTTTCAATGGTGGGCATTACCCGGTAGTTGCACTCATTATTAATAATTATTAAAGCATATTGGCATCTTAAATTTGCATAATATGTAAACTGTACCTTCTTGACACGCTTCTTTAATATCCGCTCTGCAGCGTAAACTTGATCTCCCACACTGGATAATTCCATCCTGTCGTCGTCAGATGTTGACTAGAAAATATATTTTTTAAATTTGTTAGAAAATATCTTTATCAAAATCTCAAATAATTCAGTTTGCAAACATTCAAATTTCAAGGGTCTAAAAAACTACAGCTTTGCATATTTTTACATCATGAAAATTGCTATTATGTGTATTTATACCCGATCCCGATAAAGTCGGATTTTCAGTCCCTGCAATTTTAATTTGCGATACAGTTTGTCCCCCTATTTTGTACACCCCGTACTAACTCTTCAATTAAAAATGTAATAGTCCTCTTAATCCAATTTTATAATGTTCTAACTAATTAAGAAAGTCACTCTCTTAAATAGTCTCAAACAGTCATGATAAAATACCACTTTTGACGTTAAGACACAACTATTCTTATTTTTAACACAAGGTCTGTCTGTCCAGTTACTAAAATTATTCGTCTCAAGTCCCAATCCTCTTGAATAAAATATATGCTCCCAAATCGATCGCAGTATAATCCGCAAATGGGAAAATAATCAGAATCAATTTATCAACGTCACACAATTATTGGACTTGTCAATCACCAAAATCCTGTAATAATAACATACTTATTTATGATACTAGTGTCTTTCACATGGGATTGAATTCTATTGTCTGTTTCTGTGTGTACTTATTTCCATTGACAGGATACGAAGGAAACTCGGATCGGATTTTATTAAGAGAGAGAAAATTCGGGTTCTTTAGGGCGCAAGAGCAAGTGCAGCAAAGCAAACCTTTTATTTTTCTCGTATTATCCAGACGTTTCAAGATCTAAGCTAAACACATACAGATTTCCTATGATTTCAGCGAATACGATATGAGTGAGTTTAATATTTTAGCAGAATTCCAACTTCGTCTATTCCTTACGGGATGGATGGACGATTTTTCGTTTGTGTGTAAGTAATCTGACTGGCTGAGCCTCATCTAATCCTAAGTTAGATGATCTAACTAACAACATTTGTGAGTTTATAAAAAGAAGAAGTCACACGATAAAAAAACAAGCAGGAATCATGCATAAAAGTTTGATCCGAAAAAATGCAATTTCATTTCTCGCCATAAATAAGCTTGTGGAAACATTGATAATTCTACGGTCAGTTTCATACAGCGACAATTTTTTTTAATCTGTCGTGTATTAGTATTTTATCCAATGTTTTGCATCACTTTGATTTGATAAAACTTGTGCAAGATCCTCAAAATACAAAAAGTAATAGTTGTTTTAGCTCATGGCAGGATTGCATTTCAACAAATTCACTGTGCATTCGGATTCTGGATTCATACATTGTTTGTTAGTTAGACACGTCTGTTTTGTGTAATCTAAAATGTGTGGTTAGTTGGTTGTAAGTTGGAAGAGTGAATTTGACCGCAAGCAATTCTACCCGTGTGTACAAAAGGCATCGGGGGTCAAAACTTGCTAAATAGGCATATAAATATATTATCGAGTATTACAAAATTGTAAATAACATGTCAAAATGACAAAATTTGGAGCACCACAAATGTATCATTACATAACTAATCAGATTTATGGAATTCATGGTTCAACGCAAAATCTCACTTATTTGCTTAAGAATTTTGTGAAATATTGTCAACGAACTCGATAGAATGTTTCAAATTGAGCAATAATTCTTATCTGGCGTCGAAGTTGCACAGTTACACATTTCACAATTTCACAATACTAAATAAAATCTCACCTTGTAATTTGAACCCTAATTTTATCACTCAAAACTAGAAATTTCACATTAAAACTTTTAAAAATGTTTAAAATACTACTTTTATTGCAACAACAATCACCGTATACATTAAGTTTGAATTTGCCGTAAGAACTGCCTTAATTGCATGTGCTGCAATACCAATGGGCTTATATGAAATTAGGTAAATAAACGGCGAATGGGTTGGATGACGAGTTAATTGCTTTGCTCGATGGTTGTGTTTTACCAAAGATTTTTTACATTGTTCTCAATAACTAGTTCTGGATTGAATGCATTCCTACGTAATTGGCAAATTTTCCTGTATAACATATATTTTTGTAAGGAAGTTTCCTCATTAGATAATCATCTTACTCCAGTCCAACCCAATCTAATCGTAACAACGCTATATACCTAATACCACTTCCTTATGCATCTTAATTTAGCTTCAAAATTATGCTGTTTCGTTATATTTAGCAAAATCTAATCTCAAAATATACTCAAAATACTTTAAAACACTCGACATAAGACAAAACGCTTTAGGATTAATTTTACTTTATTACACGAACCCAAATTATTGAAACTCACCATTTTTATCGGTGTCGGATGTCAACTCGTCAATTAAAAACACGAATTTTTTTACAGCTTTCACTTTCACCAAACCCTCTTAAACCACATTTCCAAGCTACTACCGACACGATTTTTTCATCACTATCATGAAAATATTTTTCATTAGTGGAAATCAGTGAAATATGGTCTTCCACTCTTATTTATTAAGCACACACAATTGAGCGAGTTTTCAGTCCCTTAATATCCCAAGGTTCAAATGGCCTTCCGTCCCTGAAAGTACCCACCCAACCAACGGAATGGACGGAAATGAATGAAAATACGAGTACCACCACTGAAAAATGTTACAGCTTAAAAGGTTGTAGTTTTGTTGCAGTAAGCGAGAAGAAAACTACACTGACGATGAGCTAAGCTTCATCATGTCATTATGCACATCATTTCTTCTCATGGATGTGTATTTGCCTGGTATTTTCTGCCTTTATTTATACGGGGTCGTCGTATTCTATCTTCTCATCCATCCATCGGGAGAGCTCTCGTTTAGCTGGCAAAGCGTATTTTTCCTTGTTACAAATAATAAAAGCTTCGGTGCAGGAGAGGGTTGGTTTTATTCCTGGTGGTGGACGGAGCCTTGACAGGGATGAATTTTTCGTCGAGGGTGAGAGTGAGAAAGTTTCCATCGTGCTTAATAATAGGACTTCAGGATGTGTATATGCATACTACTAAAAGTTGGCCGTCACGATTTGACTGTGTGATCTAGAAATGTGTGGAAGGATTCGAAGGATTATCGTTATGGAGGCTCGTTATATGTAGATATTCGACTGGTATTTGTTACACTCTGAGGAAAAGGGCCATGCATGCGTAACCCTTCGTTAATGCGTAAGAAGCAGTATGAAAACGAGGTCGTGTAGAACTAATATAATGCGGAGAAAGGTTGGGTATTATGAAGATGAAAATATGAACGAGTTCTGTGCCAATCAGAGGATTTTTCACTAATTTATATTAAATTTTGGATTTTTTGTACAATCTCAACAACTTGTGAGATTTAGGAAGATGTGAAAATGACATATTTCTTTAAAAAACTTGACAAAATGAAAAGTTGTGGGACTGAAGGAATGAAAATTATGAATTTAGTTGTTACAATAAATAAATCATACATACAAATAGTAGGGACTTGTGTTCAGTCCCTTGATTTTTTACAGGCATCGCATCATTTATATTCAAAAAATAACTTGCCCAAATAAGGACAGGAAATTTTGAGGTATTGTATTTGTATGAACGGAACGAAACATCCCTTAAAGTGGAAATTCTATTTTTCCTACGTCGGTGACATGACGTAATTCCATCCACATATTGCGGTCCTTCTATTGGGCAGAGTGAAAGAAGAAGGGACCCTTCCAACTTTTAATGAGCTTCCTTCTCAGAAATGAGAAATAACAACAACATAAACACAAATGTGCCAGTTGAGGTCAGGGATGTAAAAATTCCTACGCATTTTTCCTAACGAAAAAACAACTCATTATCTATGAGCTAATCATTTCATAAGCACAGAATTTAGTACAATTTATTATTACGAATTGTCCCTGATGAAATACAAGATATGGATGAAAAACGTACGCACAATGGGTAATCGTAAACCAGTTTACTAAATTTTGAACATGGGAAAAGTTTAAGAGATAAATTAGACCATTTCCGGTCCAGTCACCATCTTGAAGAAAATAGGTACTCCACGTAAATAAATTTTGTCATTCCCGTAGGAAAAATACGCACAGGAAATTCTCATGTGTTCAGAAAACTATAAAGAGAAGAAAGAAACATGCAGCATTTTGATTTATTTATTAATAAGGGGACTTTTTTCTGACTGAACTGCACATGCATGTATTTTTACAGAATTATACGAATCTAAGTGCCTTGCCTTGTCTTGTCAATCCCTTCGTTTAAGGTAAATAAAAATAAAGCGAGCCACCACCACGTCGCCCTTTTAAGTAACCACGAATCCAATACTTCCACTGAAAATTTTAACTGTTACGACACGAGTCCATGCACAATAGGCGAACGACGCGAGACGCATTTTCACATTGCATGGAGAAAAGGCAGGTGTTACGTAGGTCGATCTGTTATTATGGACGAAGGGCCTTCTGTTCCATTCCATCCACAATTTTCAATTTACTCGTGCACATTTTATTTGTGAAGGAGCACTGCGACTGTATAGGTAGACTTGAGCTAATTCTCATCTCATGTTTGTATGTACATACTTACGTGTCGTGTGTATGAGTGAAATGGATGGAAAGTTGGTTTGGCTTGTGCCAACTGCTGTACGTGTGTGTACTTATCCGATCTTTTAACAAACACCTGCCTAAACTGAAATGGTCAATAATAAATAATAATATGTGTGTAACAACCAAGCCGGATCGCATCTTTTTTCTTTGTGATTTGGACGTATTATTGCCTCTTTGTTGCGTGTATATTGAATCTCATCGTCTAATTTCTTCTCGACGTGATGTTGCAGATGTGTATGATGATGTGATGAGGCACATCTTGAGATGGCTGGACATGTCGTTTAAAAAAAATATTAGGTAATCAAGGATCTGGTTTAATGGTGAGGATTTTCACGGTTGTTATTTGCCAGATGGTTTGAAAATGGGAAAATTGTAATACTATGTATGTTTTCGAGATTTAGCAGCATTCTAAACGTTGTGGTACACAGCGTAAAATTCTTACAATTAGTGTAATTACAATTACTTAACATGTATGTATGTAGTTGAAAAAGTTGCAATTGAGGAGAAATTCATGTACATACGTATACAGACCTCTAAGATTTGATTTTTGGTTTAATTGGTTGAAATTACATACTTGCGTGGATTTTAGTTGGAATGAAATTCTAAATTATAGTGAACACATTACGTATGGACACAAGAAAATCTCCGAAGATATGGGTTCCCAAAACCAGCGCAATCATGTAATATGCAGATGTCTTTTGTTAATATGCCTTTGTTGTTGCCTGGATTTTTATCTATCACATGCAGCTTTCAGTTGACTGGATTGGATTGTCCTGAAATCGCTGCACCACCCACAACATCCCCGAATTTTGACTGGAAACACCTGCACTCATCACTCCTATTCATGTAATATTACGGTCAGTTTGTATAGAAAATGGAGGGCAGATGATCAGAATTTGCTGTTTTCATTATTTTTCCATGCACTGAATATAGAATTCAATAATTATCGTATGGAATTCAACTACTATAATTTTGAAGAATTATAAAGTTTCGTTTATTAAATACCTATATTATTATTTACTTCACAAAATTCAGAAGATTATATAAAGTCAATAATAAATTATAACAAGGATTCAGTCAAAATATTCAAAACTATCGATTGAATTGCACTACCGATAGAAATATTCGTCGTACAAAATATATCATGCGAGCTATTTAGCATATCGTCTTCGTCAATTTGGTCGGAATTAAGCCTCATCCGGCTGACATTTACTATTGTGCTTAACGTAGGACTGCAAATGTACAGCTTTGTGTTACTCGCCAATTCGTACATTTCGGAAAGTTGGGGTGTCAAATTTTGTTCAAAATAAGTTTGGAAAGAATTTTCTAGTTTATGCGTCACTAAATACTCCTTGATGACTTTGGCCAATATAATTGGTTCCTTAAACATGTTCATCTCACTTTTGTCAAATAGTCTTCCTTCATCATCCTACAAAATTATTATTACAATAACAATTAATATCTGATGTTCACTGTTAGCATTATTCACGTTTAACTCTTACGTCATGCGCATCCTCGGTTGTAATTTCAAAATCATCCTTGAGCAATAGTCCGACAAGTAGTGTCAACCCCTCGAGCGGGTGAACCTTGACAAAACTTTCAAGAAAACATTGCACCAAATTTTCCAGCGATTTTCTATCGCAAGCTGCAACTGAGCTAGTGCTAGTTACTTTAGCATTAACAATACTTCGAAACTCTAAGTCGTCATCTTGTGCTAAGTTTAACACTGTAAGCCAAATTCTGCTTTGATTTATGACTGTAAAGACAAGAAGTTAAAATCATTAAACTAAACTAAATACATCTAGCTTTCAATTATTTCGATAATTGAAATAAAATCGGTATATTTACCTGACAGTCTTAAAAGTGGACCACTCAAAGGTACGGAAGGAATGCCCAACGCAGCACCCAGTCGTAAGTCGTCATCCATGGAAGAGTCGGTCCATTCAAGTAACTTCAAACATAGCAATTCTTGATATTCCTAAAGATAACAACAAAACATTAATCTATCCGATTTTTGTGTAAAACACAAATATTTGGAATTAAATTCAACAGTTACCTGTTTAATTTCAATTTCCGTTCCAAATGTTAATTTACACAACATGATCAAAGCAAGGCGTTTATGTTCCGTTGTTGCTGCGGATAACTCCGTGCAGCAAATACTTATCAATCTTTTTAAAAATTGATCCGTCAAGTCTTGTATTTCTTCTTGTCGAGATTTTAAACAATTCTCAAAAGCACCGTCACTTATTTTTGACAATAATTTTAAAAATTTCAGTTCTACCACAGACTGTCCAACATACATAATATCAATTTTCACATAGCAAGATATCAAAGCTTCCAATAAAACTGCGGAAGTAGGTTCCAAACCGTTAAACGTTACATCCAAAATGCATTTGCTTTTCTCAGTGTTGCACAAAACTTCCATTAATTGTTCAAGAAAGGTGACACTCATGCACGAAGTTAGCCAATGGTACAACGTTGCACAAAGACGAGAGCTCAAATCCATGTCTGCTACGAACGATGACATGGTAAACAAAATTACTCCCTTCGAAATCGTGGCATCCGCTTTCAAAAGTCCAGGGACGATGTTCCGCGAAGGAATTTTCGAGTTGTCGTAGCGCTTGTAGTAGACGCTTGTCAGCATATTATAAAGAAATTGTAGCATTTGGTGTTCAAAATTTTCAAACGCCAAAATTACGTCGGCAATCCCTTCAAAAATTGTAGGACAATTGATACTGGAGAAGTATTCCATAGTCAGGAGTTCTGAGAGAGCTTTGGACATAATTTCAATACACTTATTTTCCTTCGTTATATACTTCACAATTGTGGCCATCTATTAGTAATCAAAATCAAGCTATTAATACTCATTCAAAATTTTAAAGATCATGCATGAAATATGTATTTACCTGGATCAAGTTCCCGTGAACATGATTTAACGATAATTTATCAACATTTGCGGTTCTCTTTAATTCAGAAATAATATTCAAAGCGACAGAATAATCGTTCGGACCGTTCAAGAATGGAATGATAGCTTTGGCTGCCAACTTGCGTACTTCAACGTCGGAACAGGCTGCACATTGTCTTAGCTTAAATATAAACTCGGAAAGTTTGAAGTGTTCATCTTCAACGCGACCGGCGGGTGAGAACGACGACAGGAGCAAAAGAAGGTGAAATGTGAAATCGGAACCATTGATGCTTATCACTTCTGAATGACTCCCATCACCAGTGCCAGCAGAGCAGCTCGTTGAAGAAATGTTCAAAACTTTAAGGCACACATCCAGTTCCCCGAGAAGGAAGTCGTACATTTCGGGAAATCTTCGAAAAAATGTGGGTGCACTCATAAGATTTAGCTTCGGACCGAACGTCCTTCTAATAAGTGCTCCATAAAGCATCAGACCTGCATTTCTTTCCTAAAAGAATTATTGTAAAAATTATAAATGTCATCATAATAAGTTTATTAAGTAAAAGTATGCCAACTTACGGTCCAGTCGTTCGATTTCAAACCTCTGAAAGCAATTCGTAACCCTTGATACAAAATTAAATAATTACATTTCACTTGGCCTGGATTGTTTTCCTCCACTTCATTCAAACAAAATGCTCCGTACCTTGCGGGACAAAGGGCATCATTGCACATGAAAATATCGTATCTCTGAACAACGCACGGAGAACATTCATCGAATGAATACGGACTACTGAATTGATTGGAGATTCATCTCTGACAAATAATCGCGTTACCCAATCACCAAGAAATGTCGAGTTGTCGCATTCCGCAGATAACAAAGCCTACAATATAACAAGGATGATAAGCTGCACAACTTATTACAATAATTCAACCATATTAACCAAGAAGCAAATGCAAAACAAATCTGCATCCAACAGGGTACAGGGTAGGTTTATAAAATAAATTTCACCTGAAATATAAACGGTAGCCCAGCACTTCTTCTGGTAATGCACTTTGAACTCATGTGCTCTTCATCCATCGCTTCGTTTAACCACTTGGACGGAAGTGCGCATAGATTAGGATTTGACGAACTACGACAAAACGACAACAAATAAGTACATAATTAACCATGCCAAATTAACATTTCACACTCACGCCCACAAACGACTGGCCAAAGTTTTAAATCCCACAAAAACTTGTTCGAAAACTCCTCGATGAACTAAATTTTTCATTAGATACAACATGTGGTATCCTATCGACGAAACTTGGTCAAAACTAAGGATGAATTGATTGTTTCCTGTTGACTTTTCACCCTCAAGTGGGAGGAGGCCACATATTTCCGCAAACAAGAGGCAGATATCCCGCATGGATCTTCAATATATCATTATATTGCATATATTGTATATATATTTAAAATCTTAAATATAAGCTACCTCCAAGAACACACCAGCAACATTTGGGCCGTGATTGATCGCACAACTTGAGAATTATCATCAGCCGAGTCTGGTAATCCAGGGAGATAACCTTCTGGGGCAACATTTCCCAGCAAGGGGAACAAAATCTCGTCGTATTTCAGGAGCAGAGGTATCAATTTTTCAAAGTAACTCCGATAAAATTCCGTGTTTCGTTGACAGTTTTCTGCCGTAGCCCATACAATCATTCGAATGCCTCGAATCAAACCATACATAGGCCGAGCACAGGCAACTTCAAGTAGAGACGTTGAACAAATTGAGGCATACGTTTCTTCAAGCTTTTGATATAGAGCAGTTAAAATATTTTCTGGAGAATACTTGGGAATTTCGGTTTTTCTCATGAGTAAGGCCATCAAATATCTTCCAGTGGCAGAATCCGGAGGCTTCACGCTTTGACAAAGGGTTACAGATTCATTGAAAAGTTTTTCACACATTGTTTCCTCCTGATATAAAAAAGAACGAAAAAAAGAAAATAAAGATTTTGTTCATGTTTATGTTGTTCATGCACTGTAATTACCTTGAAGGCAGGAATTGGCAACTTGAGTAATATTTCAGACGCATGAATTTTGTTGTTTTCATAAGTATCACTCAACCAGGACAAGTATTTGAGATTGTCAGACTTGACCCTAAAAATTGACAAGTCGCCAAAAGTACCCACAAGTTCAGTAAGACATTCAAGAGACAAACATCTTCGGCCAAAATTTGCTCCTGTAAATATCCCCTCGTCTTCCGTGAAAAAATTCCAAATCCAAATAAAGAATTCTTCATATTGCTTCAATGCAGTGGCATTCTCCTCGTTGCTGCGTCTTAGTAGCGCTTGGCTATCCCTCAGTCTAAGAATTAGCTGAAATAGTACAGAACAAACCATTTTAAGATTGATTGTAATCAACTAATGCAGTTACTTTTTCAAATATCGGTTTCAGGACGACTTACTTTTTTAAAGTACGACATAAATTCTTGTCGAAAGGATGGATTCTGGCTCATCAAATTGTACTTGAACAAAATTCTCAATGATTCAAAATCATCTGCAAGGATAACTTCGCTAGTTTTTTTCGTTTCAATCAATAGGGAAGCACCTGCCAGTCTGACTTGTGGATTTGAATGCCACAACCAAGAGTTAAGCATTTTCCGGGGGATTAGTCCTTTAAACGAATCCTTATTATTATTTTCAGTGTTTTTATTGTCGCTGGCATTATTTTTTTCAAATTCATCAATCTGTAATCCAAATTCTGATGCCATTTTAATAGTTTCGGCAGCAAGTAGGGTCGACTCCGCAATATCTTTTCTTCCATTTTGTGCTGAATTCATTCTTTCGATTACAAAATTCAACAGGGGGTTCAATATGATTTTCAAATTCTGAGCAAATCTATCACGAGGTTTCAAAATGGACTTGATTATTATTTTTTTCTGAGCCCATGATTCGTGATTTTGATTTGGTTGCACTTCAAATAGAGGGAGAATCCAGCGCTGCTCCCAAGTTTGCCGATCACTCAAAGGAAAATCGTACGACATTAATGAAATGTACGATTCAATGGCCTAGATATAATATTTGGAGTATTTGTTAATCAAGAAAGTCATACATACAGAAAAATACATTGTGAATTCAACTATTTTAATATGTAGTGCGTACCGAATTTTTAGAAGATCGTTTAGAACACAGTAGCGAGACAGGTAAATGTTCCTCCAACTTTAATACTTTCACGGATGCAGACGAATTTCGTGTAACACAAGATAAAGCAATCCATCTGACATGATCATCCTTAGATAAGATTTTCTTGAGCAAATTTTCAATCATTTCTGGCGAAGTGCAAAAATTCATCCCTTGCTCTTCTATTCTTACATAAATTTTTGTGAGCGAACCCAATATATTTCGACAGCACGTTTTTACCTGGTCAAAATAAATGCAATCAACTCAATTAATTCATGCACATATACTTCCAGTGATAAAAATGTATTATGCAGAGAATGTATTACCGCATCGATATGACCAGGAATGTAACTAAATATAAAAAATTCTATTGTCCCAAAAAGTGTCGACACTTTCTCTAGTATTTTCTCTGACGCATTTGGGTCGGCTAATTTGTCTGTCAGCATTTCAATTACTCTTGCAGTGCCCAGATTTAATGCCTCCTTGGTTCTATTGCAACATGAATTCAAATTGAGTGAGTACGTTAAAAAATCAAAATAGTATTTCAGTTCAGGCTTATTCAGGGTGGGAAATAGTAATACTTACCCATGGTCGAGATCCATGATATGCTTGGCAATAAGATAAATTAATTCAGCCACATTAATGCTAACATCTTCAACCTCGACATAGCACAGGATACCGGTAGCGACGCTTATTTTGTTAACATCCTTGGACGTTATCCTGCGTACATTTTCCAAAAGATCTACAACATCTTTCTTTTCTTCTTTTTCTAATGACGGCAGATAATCACTGCCATCAAATAATTTTTCGAAATAAGTCACAACATTTTGATTCCATCCTTTAAATCGATACAACACTAAACCGGTAATTGCCAAACCGATGCTGCATCGAATATCTATTCCCATATCGGCGTCACTGTTCACAAACTCACACAAGCTTTCCCCCAGATAGTTAACACTATCCTCTCGTTCAAAAGCACCATCACTGGAGCTGACATTTATAAGGTCCCGTTTCATAAAAACTAACAAGGTTTTTACTGCTTTTTGTAAAAGTCCCAAAAGTTGATGTCTTGCAAACCCTGTGGACGATGTACTCTGATAATGGTCTCTATTTTCAATCAACAAAGTACAGGAAAATTTTTGTAGGTTTTTGTAGCAGTACTGTATAACTTGAGCCAAGTAGTGATAAGTGTCGTGCAGGTTTGGTGTAATGATCATATCCCAGAATAAATCTCTTGGTTTCATAGTGTTGATAAGCTGTTGTTTGTCATTGCTGTCGTCAACCTCCAGTTCCAGTTCCGCTTTAGGATGCGGTGTTTCAGCCAGAACTTTGAGAACGATTAGTGCATTTGTAATTTTATCTTGGATATTGGACGTTTCTAGTAATTGAGATGCTATATCTTGTCCGTAGCTTTTCAGCATGTCACGTACCAAGGCCTTAAACTTGTCTGCAGTGAGTGGTTCCGTTTCCCATTTTACGTTCGAAAGCTCCTTCAACCTGCAAAAGAAAATAAATTAAGAATCAGCCATAAACTTTACTCAGCTTAAGATAATATAAATAATTTTCTCACATTGATTTCAATTTTCCTTCGAAAGGGACGCTTATACCTTTACTTCGGCTTCCGATGTTGTTACCTTTCTTGTCGTCCACATCACCACCGCTTGAACTGAAAGTATCCAACCCCGCTCCCAGTGTTAATTGTCGAAATTTGTTTTCGAGCTCTTGGTGTGACATCTTGAAAAAAAGCTTCTCTTGTGACAAATTGATGACAGAAACGGTCAGCCTCGTTTTAACCGATCTGTATTGAATCCAAACCTGTTGGCAAACACAAAACTTGCTTTTACCTTTGTAAACAGATGGATGGATATAAGAATTGTAAACAAAACATTACCGGTGTAATGTTAAAGTAGTTTTCAAATTTGGAAATTGGAATGGCGAAATACGAACGTGATCCAGGTAATTATTATCACGGAAAATTTATAAATTGAAAATATTTAAATATTTCCCATCAAATTCACACCGACAGTTCTGTATTTTTACTTCACTCACGTCAACACGTGCGGTTCAAAAAGTAGAATTTGTCTTTCCTCCGCTCCATTACAAAAATCTCAAACGAGTACACAAACCGTCGTTTTGTGTAACTTCCACTCCGATTGTGAAATCAAAAAGAAATAAAATAATAGAATTTATTAATTTTATATAATTATGGATTCACAGATAAGGTTGGACTGGTACAGGTCGAATGTTATTGATAATCGATGGAGACAAGAAGTTCTGCCACATGGAGATGTAAGTTCATTTAAAAAATTCAAAATGCTTTTAACTACTTATAGATCAAGTTGTTTTAGTTTGATAATCAAACTTTGATTAATCATGAAAAATGATAGATTTTAATTTATTTTTATTTAGGCCCAAGTTCCAGCCGACGAATTGCCCGACATTTCCGACGGTGACCAGGGTCCTTCTCTGACGCCCAAACAGCAAGAGAAGAAATGGACTGATTGCGGTCTCGCCAGTATATTGGCAAATGCCCGGTGATACATTAATTTAGACTTCATATCATGTCGTTGTCAATAATTTATAAGATCTAGTTTTAATAATCCTATCAGGATGACAAATAAAAATACTTGTTCTTTTAAATGGGTTTGTAATTCATTTTTCTGTAATGAAAAGTGAACCAAAAAATGACTGATTTAAAAATCACTTGTGCATATTCTGAATATTTGCATGAAATATTTTGATCTTGTACAAAGAATTTAAACGGGTACGATCCATTACATTTTCTACGTATCTTACTCTCAATTCATTTATTCCATCCAACAACCACGCAATATAATTTTATAAAATTTTAGATTAGAAGTTACGTTTGTATCCAAACAATTTTACATTTTGTATTTCATGTTACACAATTTAGTTGATGATAAATAATGGTGATGATGTGCAAATATAAAATAGAAATTAGATTTACAAAAAGGCTAGGCGTAGTAGTATAAATTAGTCTTCTTCTTAGCTTGCACTTCCATAATCGCATCAGAAAAATCTTCATGAGTGACAACCGTAGCGTTTCTTCGGAGAGCGATCATACCCTGCAAGAGCAACAATTAATGTTACAATGTCATTTTGTTCCAAACGTTAACGATTATAACAGAAATAATTAAGTATTAGCTAACTCACAGCCTCAACACAAACAGCTTTGCACTGAGCTCCATTGAAATCATCCGTGGAACGGGACAACTCTTCAAAGTTGACTTCCGGAGAAACGTTCATTTTTCTGGAGTGAATTTGCATAATTCTAGCCCGAGCTTCTTCATTTGGATGTGGAAACTCAATCTTTCTATCTAAACGTCCAGATCGTAAGAGTGCAGGATCTAAAATGTCGACACGATTTGTGGCCGCGATGACTTTAATGTCAGCATTAGATGAGAATCCATCTAATTGATTCAACAACTCCAACATAGTTCTTTGCACTTCACGATCCCCGGCTCTCTCAGAGTCGAATCGCTTTGTACCGATGGCGTCAAGTTCGTCGATAAAGATGATGGCTGGAGCCTTCTCCTTTGCTAAAATTACAAAAATGTAGGGTATTATTTATCGTGTTATAATTTGTAGTGCAATGCTTAAGAAATAAACACCCACCCAAGGCGAATGCATCTCGAACCAATTTTGCACCGTCACCAATAAACATTTGCACGAGCTGGGGTCCTGCTAACTTTAAAAATGTTGATTTCGTTTGAGCAGCACAAGCTCGAGCCAGCAAAGTCTTTCCAGTTCCAGGAGCTATCCGATTGATTATCAATTAAATATCATGATAATGACATCACACTAAATAACTAATGATGACTACTCACGTCCATATAATAGTACTCCTTTTGGAGGATGAATTCCTAAGTTTTCAAACTTTTCTTTGTGCGTCATGGGAAGTACGACTGCCTCGATCAATTCTTGAATCTGTTTATCAAGACCACCAATATCAGAATATTGTTCCGTGGGTCGATCATCAACTTCCATGGCTTTCACTCGGGCGTCATATTCTGCTGGGAGACTTTCCAGAATTAAGTATGAATCCTTGTTCACTCCAACAAGTTCGCCAGGTTTCAACTTTTCGACATCCACAAGACCAATCACCGGGAGAAAATATGTTTGTCGTGTCGAAGTTTTAATTACAGCACATTTCCCTTTCCTTAGCGAATCCAAGTCCACATTCGCACCATCCTCTTCTCCCATTTCTTGAGGATCGACATCCAGAATCTTGAGGAAAATAAACTCGAATTAAAAACTTGTCGAATCTTGTCGACAGTACTAATTATAATTTAATACAAACCTCTATGACATTGGACACCAAGTAAGGCAACGTCTTATTGACCTTAATCTTTTCAGTATTTTCTCTGATCTTGTCTCGTTGTGTGGTCAACTCGTGTTGAATACGAGTCACTTCACTTCTCATAATTCGGATCTCGTTCTCTAAAAGTCGGGAACGGCTAATCATGTCGTCTGAGGACCATTGTTGGATTTCCTTCTCCATCTAATCATCAATTCAAGTAGTGAGTAAAGATTTACAGTGATTTATTGAATACTTGTAAAATAATCAGTTTATTTATGAGGAACAGAAATTACATAACAAATTCAATACTGTTTTACCTCGTCGTCGACATTCATTGCTTCAGGAGCAGCAGCAGCAGGAGCAGCCATGTTTAATTATTCAGTGCACAATCACTAATTAATCTAAGATTTTTATAACTTTAAGAAATATTTTCAAAATGTTGAAATTGAGAGAAATGCAGAAGACAATGACACCGCAGGATGAGAAGAGTGAAGTTGAATGCTCTGCAACCCGCAGCATGAATTGGGGCAGATTTTAGACTTGTGCTATTTTCATGAATTGTATGCAAAAATTTGATCTGCAATTTTATATAATTTGCTTTATTTATGTGTAAAAAGAAAAACTCGTCATAATAATGTAATATATAATAAAATATTAAACTGTCGCTTTTCCGTCTTCTCGAGTAAAATCAAAAGGTCCCCAGACTTTTAAGAAGTTCATTAATTTTGTCCGTTGCGTGTTGAAGTCATCCTTCGTCTGCTTTCTCCACAATTTATGATCAAGCTCCATCATGCCACCAATGATTTCTTGGGCGAAATTTGCAGGAAAATATTTCTCGTCCTCGATCACATGAGCAAATCCACAGCTGTCGTCACCAAACTCAACACTGAAGTACGGGAGACCTTTGGGTATTGCTTTTCGAACATCGCGATGTTTCAAGTCGACAACTTTCTTGTTTTGGGACCATTCCGTTTCACATTCTTGGATGGCTTTCTAAAATAAAAGTGAAATGGTTTTAGATATGGAAGATATAAATTCAAAGGATTAATTTAGTTGAAATTATTTACCTTAAAATATATGGGGGCTAGCTCCCCAGTCTCTTTGGGCATGGGGACACATTCTAAGTACATGTGTGGTTGCTTCTTGAGATAAACTGCCCTCTCGAAAAATATGACGTCTTCTTCAGATTGGAAAAACATTCGGACTAGTGCTTTTCTAAATTTCTGAATTTCTGTCCAGACGTCTTCATCAAGCTCTGTAGTGCAAGATACGTGAGACATTGGCACAATCAGACAGTGACCTTCTGTCAAGGACTGATAAGGTGGAACACACAGGAAACACTGGAAATAAAGAATAATAGTTTGAGAAAATCAGATCAGAACTACGTTAATAATTAATATGCTATGTAAGTTATTAAGTTAGGCTTACGGTTTGTCCGATGGAAACAATTAGATTCTTCTGTATGTGTTTTCCATCGAAGCACCAATTACAATTTTCTAGCACTTTGTTGATAGCTTTCTCTTCATAGAGAAGATTTTCGATTTCTCGTTTCTGTTCCTTGGCTGCCTGTCTGGAACTGCTTGCCTTATCCACAAAAATATCGTCTGCATCATAGTCCTCTGTAGCTTTGGAACTCTAATAATGAAATTGAACAAAATTATAAAGCTTTTATGCAATTTAGATTTTCGTTATCGGAAGGACTATTAAAAATCATCTTATAGTCATACCTTTGCCATCAGTCGGGAGAACATTGCATTTTCGTCTTCGACCGTGCTCATCTTTTCCTTTTCAAACTATAAACAAGCATTATATTAAAAATATAATCCAACAAAAATACCAGAGCAAAAATGTACACAGAATAGTGCGTTTATTCTAACCATTGATTTCAAGGAATGCTTATCATCATCAGGAAAGTAGCGAACTCGTTGTCCCGCAACGTGACTCTCTGTCGGTTTATCTTTAGTTCGCCTTTTTGTTTGAGATCCGAGAATTACTTTTGTTATTACTTTCTTAGGTTTGGTATCTGGAAGTTTTCCATTAACGAGGTATTCCTGCCTAGCTTTCTCAGCTTCGGATATTTTCAATTGGAGAGAAGAAACTGTATCCTGAAATTTGAAATATAAATTATAATATGCAACTAAAAGTATCATGTAACTTGTGATTAAACTATTGAACTACCGAATCTCCCAACATTTCTGCCTTGAATAGTTTTGCATTTAACTCGTTCATTTCTTTGTCTGTTAAAACTGATGGGGTTTCAATTTCTGGGACCTCCTCTTGTTCGTCACTTTCGTCGCTGCCAGCCATATCCTCTTCCGGCTCTTTAACCTTTATTGGCTCCTCCCGTCTTGGCAAACTTGGAGTTTCCATTTTAGTATTTGTATGGCTTCGTACTTTTACGTTTTCAGATTCCGCTGTTGCTCGTTTATTTTCATATCCCGGTTTCCTCCACGACTGTCCGCTGTCCCTATTTCTATCTCGATTACTTCGATCACGGTCACGATGATCTCGGTGTGTCGAAGAATACCGTTGATCTCGGTCACGATGAGTTGGTTCTCTACTTTCTTCGTCAGAATTATCACTATGTCTTGATGGACGTTTAAACGACGATCTTTTTCGACGATCGTCATCATAATCATCATCCCTTCTTCGTCCCCCGGATGAATTATTACCCTTGCCGGCCTTGTTTTCTGCTTCCTCCAACAAAGTATAGAAAGTTTCCAGTGACTAAAAGGGTTTATTGTTGCGAAAGTTAAATTACTTTAGTACTTATAAATTATAAGTTATAATACTTATTGCTAGTTTGACTTACACCCCATCGTTCCGCAACTATTTCTTCGACAGGTCGACCAGCATCTTTAGCCTGTTGTTTTGCTCTCTCAAATGATTTTTTCAGCCAGGCCAGGCCCCCGTCTCCCACCCCAGCAGAATTAAGTTTAGGTTTATCATCCTGTGCCTCAGAAGTAGGCAACCCTTTACCTCCATCTTTCCAATATGGATTCAGTTCTTTCTCTGATTGACCAGCCTGCAATAATTTAAATCATAAAAGTAAATCATATATGCATGCATCAATGCATTGAAGTAATATCTAATTAAAACTAATTTCTACCATGTCAATTGAGCTGAGTTCTCTCATTTCCTCCCTTTCCTTCTGTTTTTTGCTTCGCTTTGAATCATTTGAAAACGTCGGAAGCATATTTCCAAAAGCTGACCATTCATCCTCCTCTTCTTTTAGAGCTTGCGGACTGAGAGATTGTACAGGAATTTTTGATTTGTGGGAGGAAGGTTTACTTTCTTTCTTCTTTTTCTTCAATTTTAATTTCTTGCTAGATGTGCTTGATTTGTCAACAATTGTACTTGCTTCGACCCACTGATCCTCACAAGACATGTCCTGTAAGCAGAAAGTGGTCATTTTGAAACAAATGAAATTAACATTAGCTAGATAAACAGAGACGATTCCCTCCTTAGTTAAGTTAATCTCAATAAATCTTACCTCTTCAGAACTCGAACTAGCATCTCTTCGTTTCCGATGTTTCGATTTCTTATGCTTTTTACTCTCCGTACTCTTATGTTTCTTGTGTTTATCATGTTTCCTTTTCTTAATGCGTTCTTCCTCACTGCTGGAGGAACTTGGATCACTGGACTCCATTGCAACAATTAGTAATTCCCAAAACTATTACTTGACGGCTAAAAAATAATTAAATCTTTCAAACGTATTTATTTACACGAACAAATGTATTTTTCCGGATTTGAGTTTGTCCAGTTTCGGGGACTTTGCGACTTTATATTTTTCTCGTTCGAGCAAAATCTCAATTCTCAAAAAATCACTTCACTCACTCTGCAAAATGTGGCGGAAGCACTTTTCTCAACTTTTGTTGCCGTTCTTGGAGAGAATTCCAAAACAATTTCCGAATTCGACATCTCGATTTTGTCGCCATTCATCTACCTCTTGTCAGTTGGAAGTTACTCAGGTCAAGTCGAGGTCACTGATTCGTCTCCGTGGGGCCGAATCGCTTCCCCTTCTTCAAGGCCTCCTCACCAACGACGTCGCCCATTTAGAGACGAAATCCTCGTTTTACACCCTCCTTCTCAACCACCAGGGTCGAGTCCTCTTCGACGCCATCGTTTACAAGTCGCCCTCCGACGAGGACAGCGTTCTTCTCGAATGCGACTCTGCCTTTCGGTCAAAACTCGTCAGTCACTTGAAACTGTACCGGTTAAAGAGAAAAGGTCCTTGAGATTTATATCTATATTATAAGCTGGAAATGTCTGTTGGCAACGGAAGTGAAAGTAATTTTCCGTGACGGAAGTGAAAGTGGAGAAAGTCAAGTTTCGAATTGCGCGAAAATTCAAAATAAATTAAATTCTAACATTAAATGTTAGGGTGGTTATCTGGGAGCGGTTATCGTGGGGTGGTTATCTGGAGTCTGTTGTCGAGTATCGAGAAATGTGATATTCTCTATATTCAGAATATTAACAAAGGATAATTCTTTGTTAATATTCTAAATACAATAATTAATTGAATCCAACAAGTAATCTCTAGTAATTTAGAAACTACAATATTTAACATTGAAAATACATATAAAAAGAAAACAATAAGGTCTGCGACTTGTACTATTTGGTAATATTCTGCAATTAACGGCACATATATTTTAAACGTTTCAACAAAGGAGGTTTTTATTTAATTTATTTTTAAGTCGCTAGTGTGTAGTTGTACTTGTAGCAATCTACAATGGTTGTTTAAAAAACGGTTAACCCAGGTAATTTGACTTTGTTTCACAAACTAATATTCACATTTGCTTACCTTTTTCTGTGCATAATCGATTAGCTCTATAAACTGGTTCTCCTTTAGCCATTTCTGGCTTCTCGACACAAAGATGAACAATTCCGCTTTTGGGTGCCTTGTGAATGACCAGACTCCAACCCGGCTTATCAATAATGGGCACTCTCCCACCTTTGGCGAAAATCGCCGTAAAAAGTTGTTCCCTCTGCTCATCAGATAATCCTTCCTCTTGTGTCAAAATCAGTTCAGGGGAGTCCTCATAAATGTTGTGGGGAGAAAAGAGGGAGTTGGTTCCAACCAAATCTAGAATGGTTTTTCTGATCAACTCGACTCCTTCATCTACATTACATAAAAATAGTTATTATGTTTCTTCTTTTAATTTTGCTAATGTAACGACTAAGGGAATGGTTATGGACCTTGATTTTTTTTACCGTCCCAGAAACACGAGCCTATGTATCGCACTTTAAATTCTTCGGCCAAATCCACTCCTCGAAAAATGACCCCCCGTCCGTCTCTCGGATATCGCTTCTCCAGTATCTGCGTCTCCTCCTTTGGGAAGTAATACCACGTCGGTGGTTCGAAGGCCTGGTCATCACGAACTGAACTAGTTTCCGTGTTGACCTTCCTCTTATCCTCATCTTTCGTCGCAGGAGGGTTGAGTTTCCCAAGGAGGGCGAGAGGATGCTTCTTTTTCTCCACGACTAGCAATTTCGAAGCAGGTGGCAAAGTGGGTTTGGTTTTCTCTTTCTTGGCACTATAACATACAATAAATAATTAAATAAAGTAATGGATGGAAGAGGAAAAAATTCACCGTTTTTTAGCGGAAGGACCCGCGATTTGTTCTTCCTCCTCTCTCTTTGCAAAAACGGGTGGTCTCGTGACCACGAAATCCTCATCAGAACTATACCCTCCCCCTTCCATCATAACAATTAAACTTAAAGATCAAACAAAAGTAACGACAATAAAAAAGAATGGTGACAGAATGAAAAAGAGTTGAACTTAATTCCCGCTTGATTGGATGGTTGATTTTTTCACATGTTAATTTCTTCCAGTCGAGATCGAGGCGGAAGATAAACTCGCGGTTTGGGTGGCTTATGACGCCGCACACTTATCTGGGTAAGAATTTATGTTTATCATTTACACTACATGTTTGGTAAGGATTTTGGGTTTAGATGTCAAGTAAAAATTCGCTGTTTTCTATGCAGTTTTCGTATTACGTCTGCTGGACATACACATCCATCAGTGTTGTATAATTTGAGTGATAATTGTTGTGAACCTTTAACCAACTACAGCAGCAAGAGGGAAGACTTTCCAGCCAAAGTTTTAGATATTTCCAACGTGACCCATTTTGGCGATCCTAGACTGGCTGAATTGGGATGGAGGATATTTGGACCTGCTGAAATTAATACAGAACAACTATTTCCTGGGATATCATCATCCCAGAATATTTCTGTGAAGGATAGTGAGGAGGGGTATAAGGCACTCAAGTACACACTGGGAGTTGGGGAAGGTGTCGTTGACATCCCTTTTGGGAACTCATTTCCATTGGAAGTAAGTTATTGATGGAAATGGAAATGGAGATAGATTATTTGTCAGTTGGCAATTTATTTATTATTAAATTATTAGGCGAATGGAGATTATTTACATGGGATCAGCTTTCACAAGGGGTGTTATTTGGGACAAGAACTGACTGGTACCGTTATGTAAAAAAAATTGTTTACTATGACTAATTTATCTAACTTTGACATTTTTCATGTAACAGCTAGGACACATCACACGGGCGTTGTAAGGAAAAGATTGATGCCATTTAGGTGAGTTTGAGTTGAATAAGATAAAATTACTAATTTGGTATGGTCAAGTGGTCAACTATATTACTTTGATCTAATAATTGTTAGACTGACAACAGCAATCGATGACAAAATTCTTGGAGACGTCCAATCTATTCAAATTCTAAACGGAAAAAAGCGACCGGTAGGAAAAGTACGTGGATTGCACGGAAATCTTGGCATCGCATTGTTTCGGGTGGAAGAAACGCTATCAGCATCAACATTAACATTAAACGATACTTTAATCACAGTCAGTAAACCTAGTTGGTGGCCTGTAGAAGCATCCAAAGATATTTCTCTAGGAAGAAAATAATCATAGTTTATTTATACGTATTTGGAAAGATCGCTCACTTGTGTATAAGAAAAATGTCACAGTCAGAAAACAAGGAGGTTGAAACGTTAGAAAAGGCAAATTCAACAAATTCTAGTGGCAGCAGCTTCCCGACAGTCAAAAAAGATAGACCAAAAATTTTTTTCTTCTGTGGAGATTGTGGTTTGTCTGAGGAAGCTGATTATTATGGACGCAAGCCCCCATTTTGTAGAAACATACTCTTTCATGAGGATAGTTACATTTGTCGTGACCCATTTTCAGCACAGGCTTCAAATAATGCGAATTTTCTACTCTTAGGTTCTAATTGTACAGTTTGTAATGAGATGACATGTCAAGAGTGTAGTGTATTTTATACGAAACGATTATGTGGCAAGTGTTCTAAATCTGCTGTACAATATCTTCCTCAACAATTGAAAATTAGCAAAGCGAATAAAGATGAATGAAACGCAATAATAAAACTATTCCACACCAACATTGTTCGCGACAAGTCAAGAGCACATCGTCTTTTATTTTAACAAAAGTTTGGTTAAAACCACAATTTATGGAATTTAAAAGCGATGTATAGCTTAGAAAAAGAAACCCAAGATTTTTCCTCCAAGATGTTTTCTTCTGGCTTCTTCGTGGTCCATTATTCCTCCTGAAGTGGTTAAAACGACGTACCTGAATCGGATTTAGATAATGCAGCAAATTAAATTTAAATCTTCCATTGTAGCCTTAGTTTAATAGCATAAATAACAGTAATGTTATCAAAACTTACCCAAACTGTCGAGATGGAAGTAGGTTATTAGTCCATTTCTCGATATCAGGGATGCTGACATCAAAGCGAGGCGAGATCACACCACACTTATTCAACCTTCCCGTTAAATTGACAACTATTTTCCCTGCCCTGTGATCATCAACGATTTCAAACTCTCCGATATACCCTGAAATACAAAATAGAGACAAAAAATCACAACCTGCATAGAACGAGAATTTACGAGTAGATTTCTAATTTAGTATAAAAATCGTTAACTTCAGAATCCTTTTGGCTAGCAAAGCATCATCGAATATAGCTCAATGCTGATAATTGTCATCATACTTAACTATCTGCTGCTCTACTTGTTTGATTTAGATGATAATGCAAAATGCAACACAACATACCGTGCTTCATCATGACGGTGAGGAATTTGACGATGACCTTAGAGCACGGCCTAATAAGGACTTGACGCTTCCCTCTCTTCTCGGCGTTGTTAATAGACTTTAAGGCATCAGCCAAAGCGTTCATCCGCACCATGATGGAAGATTAATTCCTGTTACCATAAAAATTAATAGACGACATTAGCACATAATTGAAATCCTTTAAACAATAGGTAACAAAAATAGCTTTAATAATTTCAGAATCCTTTTGGCTAGCAAAGCATCATTGATTGTAACTCAATGCTTAAAAGTTGTCATCATATTTATGTTCCTCCCTCCCCCCAAACTACTCGATACTTGAACGAACAGCAAATCGAAATATAAAATACAAATCAAATTCCGACCTTGATTATTAATTAAATTTACTACTTTTATACTCCCCAATTTACACGCCACACCCACTTCACTCATACCAAACTTTTCAAATTCATCTCAACCCCCAAAAAAATACCAAATCATTTTGTAAATTGGTTCACAAAAAACCGGTCATTATTTCCAACAAACAAAAGAAGACAAATAGCTCAAAATCTATTGCGCTCAAGACCCACCACATCGTTTCAATGTTGTCAAGAATGTGGTAAATTAAGACAAAATAAATATTTTCGTACCTGATCCGGTTGTTCCAAAAATTTTGAAAGATTTCAAAAAATTGTGAATTAATGTGCACGTCGGCGGATGGAAAGAAATAGTCTGCAGCAAATGTAGAAGGACGGCATGGCTGAGAGGAGGAGCGAATACAGCAACCAATCAGAATGGTGACCGCCAATTTTGAACTCGGAAGACCAGCACGAGAAAATTTATTTCGCTCATTTCAACTCGATCTCTTTTGTCTTCGTTTCCTGTCAACTATTGTTCTTGATCTTCAATCTTGTCTTCGCATATTTTTAACTGTTTTACTTTATCGTTGACTTAACTTATCAATAGATAAGCACAGTATTTATCGTTAGCCGGATTGACAAGAATTAAAATAACATCAAGACTTGGAATACACTCAGTGAATCATTTGGTTTGTTTGGAATTCCTTTTGATAATTGGTTTGTGCACTTCGTAGTTCTTGATGGTGGAATTCTGAAAATTTCTCTGAATTGGAAGGCTGATGAATTCAATTAATCTCATACATATTTTCTATTTTATAGGTTTTCTGGTATGAAAGGATCGTGATATTGTTTATTCTCCAAACATTTTCACTTGAATTGAAAAGGCTGAATCATGGGTATTGTTTTACGTATTATATGTACAATTTGTTATTCAATTACAAGAAAATATTAATAGAATTTTGTTTTATAGAGTCAAGTATAAATTTGACCCAGGAGAACGCAGTAGTGGCAGTCGCAGTGCCTATGCCTATGGTACAAATAAGGAAAAAGAAAAAGAAAAATAAGAAAAGAAATAAAAACAAGAAAATGAGGACTATGTTGTACCGAACGAATGTGGCGTGCGGTGTTACGATAACCAGAAATAATTTTTCGTCGCATAAATGGTTTCAAACGAATAAAATACTCAGAGTACCAATTCCGGTTCCACTACCAGAGCCTCGGAAACTACCTCCTCCCATTCCTGAAGGAAAGATTGTCCGAGAAATAAACATGGCGACTGTTGGTCAAGAGATTTGGGGGAAGAAGCGATGTCTCAAATCTCCAGATCAATATTTTGCGATCCCGAAATTTTTCTTTGCCTGGCCAAAATGGATTGTAAGTCAATAATTAGTTGTTATATTTTTTATTCATCCACTTTTATAAATATAACACTGTTCGTTTGTATGAATTTTAGGCAGTTGAACTCAGAGATATTAAACATGAGCTAAATCAAACAAAAAGCCTTTTGGATAATTACCCGTTGAATTCCTGGCACAAACACACGAAACGGATGAACACAGCAGGTCAAGTGATGCCAATCGTGAGGCAGGAGTTTCAACCAGAATTTTGTAGCCAAGCGTGGTACGTGCATAATAATCTTGTAATTGTTATATAACCTCATGTAAGAACCATGATTGGTTTCCACCACTTCCTGTAGGTGCAAAATGTACGAGTGTCTTAGCACTTTCTCTCTAGTACCTGAACGTATTACTACGGCTGCCTCTCAACCAGACGTGTCTGCCCGTCCACGTTTTCTGTCAATACATTTATGTGAAGCCCCAGGAGCGTTCATTTCTGCAACCAATCATTTTCTATCTACTAATTACCCAACAATTCAGGTAAATTATTTCATCAAAATCATATTCATGCTAATTACTTATATTCAACAAATTTTGGTCTAAAGTGGGACTGGCTCGCCACCACCTTAAATCCACACTACGAAGGAAATGACATTGGAACTATGATAAATGAAGACAAGTTGATCTTGAGTTCTTTGAATAATTGGATTTTTCTCAAAGACACGACCGGGAACATAATGAACAGGGCTAATTTGGACAGTTTAATTGAGCAGGTTAAACAAAAATGTCTTAGTCTGGAACACTCTGTTGATTTGGTCACTGCGGATGGAAGCATTGATTGCCAGACGAATCCCATGGAACAGGAGAGCGCTGTCGTAGAATTACAGTTCACTGAAATAATTGCTGCCCTATCAATTTTGGGTGTCGGGGGAAGTTTTGTACTCAAAATATTCACCTTTTTAGAATGTCAAACAATTAGTCACTTGTACATTCTGTGCTCCTTATTTGAAGAAGTGAGTCATTTATTTAAAAATAGTTACTTCGTTGATAGTCAGTTAAAGTATTTTTTCTGGGTCAGGTCCATCTATTTAAACCAGCCACGAGCAAAGAAGGAAATTCAGAAGTTTATGTCGTCTGTCTAAAGTACAGAGGCCGTAGAGTGTTCAGAAATCAACTGGACTTTCTAGTAGAACACGTGGGTAAGTGTTTCCGAATATAGTTAGTAAATATGTAAACTTTTCAAAATGTCCGTATTAAATTTCTAATTAAAAAAAGCACGAGTATAACTTTCATAAATTTAATTTTACCTCAGGATGGAAAACGTCCATCTTGAGCAGGCGTGCTATTATTTCTGACACCCTACTATTTTTTGGCACATTCATGAGCAAAATTCTTGAAGCCGCCTCGTTTTTCACTCAATATCAAGTAATTGTTTAAACGATTCTAGTTTTATTAACTTATCTAAATGTTTCGCCAATTAACCTCATTATTTTGGCTATTTCATTAACAGATTGCTGTTATAAAGCGAAACATCAAAACTTGGGAGGATAAAAGTGGATTATCTCTAACGTATTATCAACATGACATAATGCAGTGCCATGTGTCTTGGGAATGGATTGATCGCTACGATGTTAGATCTCTGCATCCTCAAAAGTCTTTATTTAAATTGAGATATTTCGTAAGTAACATTTCGTTTTATTGAGTTTAAATATTAAGTTTTGTTTACTGCTACTGGTGTATTTTAACATAATTGTTTTATCTCACTCACAGCCTCGACATATTACACATGTAGATCCTAGATTCGAGATTGGGTGTTATCACGATAAACTCTTGTTGCATCAATCGACAGATTTATTGGTAAAAATGGAACAAATCAAACGACAAATTGAGCATTACCAGAAATTTGAAAGTATGTCGTGGGATGTGTCTGAAATATCGGTATGTCATCTATTAATCATAATCATATCAATTAGATAGAAGTTTTATTTATTTTGTTTATATTATTTACTTATTGTTTGAATCTAAAAATTTAGGGCTCATTTTCACAACTCTCCCCTCTCGTGGGTCGCCCGTACAAAAACATATTGAGCTCTCGTTTCTGTTTTGGAAAAATCCTACAAATGCGAAGCGATTTGAGAGCAGCTATAGAACCCGTGTGGTCCTTAAAGCATTGTAAAACTTGGGTGGCTGGGCGCAAACAGTGTGATACCACTGATACCTGTATTACGTGTAATCTTGAAAGTATTCGGTACCACTTTTCACGAGTGTTAACAGACTTGCCTGTAAGTATCGTGGTTTATGGCTGGCATATATTTAATTGGCCTTTTAGTCAATAAAAAAATATTTGGTTTCATTAGGAAGATTCGACGGAAGAAGACTGGGAATTTAGTTTCCTCTGCTGTGCAGAGTCAGTGAGTGATATCTTGTATTACTCTGATGCCCAGAGAACTCGAAAAGCACTCCTGAAAATGCTCCTGAAAATTTCAGAACTTAAAATTAACCAATCCTTGTTCCTCTGCACATTTCCACTCTTGTCAAGAATTCAACTCGGGTTTATGTATGCTCTAAATGCAATTTTTAATATGGTAAAAATACTGCGTAGTCAAATACCTTTAGTAGCAACAAAATTAGCCTTATTTATAGTTTATATTAATACACAAACACAGGTTGTACTCGGTTCAGGAGGAAACGTGTACAGTAAGGAATACCCTCAAGGAATTCTCCTCCACCGATATAAAGGCATAAACTCCATCAAAGATCGGAATATGATACTGGAACTAGTCCGTATTGTCAATGAGATGGATAAAAGTAATGCAAGTGGGCGTGGTGAAGCCATACTGGAAGTCGTACCAGCTAAGAACCTGATTGGTAATAAACCAGAGTTTTAAAACATTCATGGTTAAAATGGATAGTTTTATCATTAATCCATTTTTTATTGCAGAACTAGCCAACTTTAACGATATCTTGATCTACAATTTAGTCAACACGGCAAATGAATTGTCCCAAATTATAACGGAAACTAAGGACGTCATGACGCAACAGGAAGAATTTGCGAAATCTGATGAACCACATTCACTTACATCTACAACCCTTCTCTTGGAACCCTGATCGGCCCATTAATTCGCTTTTATTCACGCTGTTATTTAAATATTACTTGTTATTAATTTTAACTATCATAACTTTACACAAATCCAGACAAACCGAGTGATTCGTGTCAATCTTTGTAATTTTGAGACTGGTTCACAAAGACTGATATCAATCGATTAGTAAGATTTTAATCACCTTCATAGAACGGGTAGTTAAATTCAGAATTTGAATGTGTTTACACATAATTTTTATACTGAAAAATATTCAGACGTTTGGTGCTAATAAAGGAACTTTTTAATATAATAAAAATACTCGATTTAATGTCATCGTTATCTCAAATGCCAGGCAGCATAGAGTTTTGCTCTGCGGGATCACCAACTCCCAAAAAATAATATTGACAAAAATTATCAAATAAGTTCATCGGAAATAATAAATATCTGTATAATTCTCGAAATTCTTTTAACAAATTCAATTTATTTTATTCCCCTCAATCATCAACTTTAATACTTGAGTGACACATACCTGAAAATTTGACACCATCGTATCGTGCTATTTATTAGCTGATTGAATTTTAACATACAAGATTAACTTTATAGAACTGAACGAAATTACTAAATTATAGTATTTAACTAATTGGGATTTACATTTCCATTAATCAAAAACCGGTTTCGGACTTTACTCTTGCCACCTTTGGTTGCAATTTAACTGTGGGCGACGTCGTGATCTGATTAGTAGGAAACTAGGGCTGCCCGAGAAATTGGAGTACCTTTGACCCACACTCGATCCGAGGGCACCGGAAGGACAAAAATTACAGCGGTACTAAAAAAACGGTAAGTGATTTGATATTATCTTGAGCATAGATAATATAGATATTCATAATGTGTGCATAGTCAAAGCTTCATTTGTCATTATCAGTTTCATACCACGTTTTATTGGGTGGAATGAATTTGTCTACGTATGAATTTCTCTGTCTTCTTGTTCAGAAAGGAGGAAATGATCATTATCAGCGTCGTAACAAACAGCATATGACCTCTTTGTCAGGTCATGGTATTTTACCCGCGTACTGGGCTTACTCGTGCACTACGGTAACTTGTAACACGTAAACTGTAACATTCATTCATCCAATGAACCCACCACCAAAGTTGGCATAAGATCAGAGAGGACAAGTCATTTCCCAAAATATCTCTTGCCTCGTCGTTGTCACATCACAATCGTGTCAAGTTTCATCGAATTAGGCAAACGGGGTCAAACGAACGAAGGAAAAGTTGGTAAGAAACGCCAACATCTTTCATATAGAGATATGGCTAAAGTATAATACATAAGTATTGTCAATAATATGACCAATGCACCTTTATATTTCGTTTTTTGTCCTCAATTTCATTTGAAGTGAAAAGGGTGAAGGTGACAAAGTAGTCCGTGCTTGAAGCCTGGTTCTATCCGGAATGATAAAAGGCCGGAAAAAGGATTCTTAAAATAAAAGAATCAGAATTGGACCCTAAAGCATACCGGGTGGGTCCAAATGCTAATGTTCCTCTCTCTCTCTCTCTTTAGCTGTCATCCATCCAATTGTCAACTGAAGAGCTTTCTCTTTCTCTCTTTTCCACAAAAAATTCACATCCTCCTAAATTCTTCCTGTATCATCTTCTCGGAGAAAAGTGTATGTAATGTGAGTGAACGTGAGGTTGCTTAGTTTTGCTTGCGAATCACGTCCAGTCCTACAGTGATAAAAAATCCTCGATGGGTTTCAGATTCTTTTCATGCAATTCCTCTCTCACTTTTAGCACTCTTCTACTCAATATTCTCCCCTTTGTCTAGTCAGAATAAGAATCAGGGAATGGGAAGAGAAAGTTGAAAAACGGTAACACGGACGGACGGACTAGCGGGTGAGACACGTTTATGCCCGGATCCGTCGGCTCATCTCTGCCTCATCGGCAAACAGAGCGAGACGAGACAAGACGGGTAGTGAATTGGAGTTAGGTGATGAATTGGTTCAAGGAAATATAATACGATTCTCAAGAAAGAACTTTATTGGTACATTTTAGGAGGAGATCATACATATGGACGTACGTTATAGTTATGTAATGAATCGAATTTGGATTTCTTTCTTTTTTGATTGCAAGAACACTTGAAAAGAAATGCGAAATGTTTTTCTTTCCTAATACTTTCTGCTATCGAGATAGGAGGATAGGGTATTTGAATTTCGGTTTTGTGTGGTCTGATTTGGTGAAAGTTATAATTTCTAGTTCAAGTTGATGTTATAGCCTGCGATAAATTCCATCAAATGTGTGATGATGGCGATAAAATTTTATGATTTGTCTTCTTCACGTCAATGTCAAGGGATTAAATGTTTTCTTTTATTTTTTCGAACCATTTTTCCAATCCATTGTCCACTCTGCTTGGCTTATGGGAAAATTTCCATTGCCTGAAATGAAGAGTAAGTGCTACTTTATTCTTATTTTTATTGCACTACTTCTACTGTTCTTCTTAGCACGCCTTCAAAATTGGCAAATGTGCCAGTATCTTTTGGCAATTGTCCAGAGAGCTTGCGAATTCCATATCTATTTTGGCGATGGGTGGTGGATATATATCTATAACCTTTCTCTTATTATTATTCACATAGAGCTGCCTGGCTAGATTGAAGGGAAGATAGAAATGCATATTATAACATGCACTTCGTATCCCTGAGTCAGTTCATTGGACACTATTATCAATAGACATGGATCGATTCGCTTTCTGTGCGATCTGATCTGTACAATTCAATGCGTATCTGATATTAAAATCTCAAGTTTATCTTTTTGTCCAGCATCACAAAGTTGATTCCACGAAGAAGAAGAGGAATACGAACGGCTCAAGATTCGTATGTTCTTTTTGAGCTTATATATTATTTTGCACAAGGAGGAGAAGAAGAAGATTTAGTTTCTTATTCTCAATCTCTCTCAAGCGGCTGGAAAAGGCTCAAGAAAGGAGAAAACTCCTCTCAAAATGATTGAGAATGGGATTGAAAGCCTTTGTACTCCGTATACTAGGCTTGGATCAGAAGATCGAGTTGAGATTTTGTGGTTTGATTTACTACTTTTACCACTGCCACGAGCAACGAGGTTTGTGGCCGTCTGTGAGAGACTTTCACTACGTACTTAATTCAATAATGCATCAAACCGAATACCAACTAAATATGATTCAAACTCTGGCGTGTTTTTTTTGCGTGTCGTAATCTTGTAACGTTTTGTGGGCTTATTTCGTTTTTCGGAAAATCTAGTGAAGAATACTACTACATACATAAATCGAGATTATAGAGATGGAGCAGAATAAGAAATTATGTAGGACAAGATGGGAATCATTTGTGTATTTATGGCTGAACGAAATCAATATGCTACTACATATTGATTTAATTTCGTTAAAAAAATAATGACTTTCTCTCTTGCAAACACACATAAACCAACACAAATCAACTAAAGTGTTGTTATTTTATGTGTTATGTACACATTATTGCATTCCAGAAGAGATTGAAACAATGAGGACAAAAGCGGATGGAGGGAGGATTGCAGGATAATTTTGGTAGTGAAAGTAATAAATGAATGGTAAAAATCAAGAATGTGAAATTCTGTACTTTTCCTTTTTCGTGGAACTACACATGTACTGGTGAAAGTGGGAAACTTGCCTACTTTCTCTGGAAGAGCGTGAAGTTCCATTTGATGGAAAACACGCTCTGCCAGACAGACAAGTCGTAAAGATCCCGGTGCTGTTCTTCTGGTGAGATTTATCATTGGAATTAAGGAAATAGTACAACTCGCGATTTGTGTGCCCCTTCTTCTCCATCCATCCATCCAATCACGCAATGTTGAATGTCCAACCGAATAATGATGACCTGACCTGAATGAAGGAGAATTTGGCCTCCTCACATATTGCGTTTCTCTCTCTTGTGCTAAACTCCATTATGAATGTTGTATGATGGTTGGAGTGCGTTACATAAACCCAGAAATTGGAGAAAGTGGGCCAAATCTCCGCTCCGTCTTGGAATTATATCGGAGACAGACAGTTTTGGACTCGAGGTAAAATGACACAATCAATCAAAATGGTTGTTGAGCTGGATTATATAGTTTGCGAACTACTGCTGGGATTTGTCACATCAAAGGGATACTCATGATCAGGATGACAGTTGTTGTACCACATAGTGCTGCTGCTCTATTCTAAATAATGCAGGATGATAAAATACCTTGTGTGTGTATCTCGTGGAGTGGTCGCGGAATCTCGTGAGAGTTCAATAATGAATTTGCTACGCGCAGTTAAGAGGTTTTTTGGGGAAAGTTCTATCAACGGACGGCTTTTGTTAGGGGGCTGCTGTTTTTTACAAGTTGACAAATTCCGTTCTGTGGTTGGTTATACGTATGTATTACTAAATTTTCTAGATTTTTGTCCAATGGCGTTTGTCACATGGAATAAATTGCTACTGTGTGTGTACCGTGTAATCCTGCTGTCCCGTGAGAGAGTAAGAGAAAGTAGGTGAGTGAGTATCAGTGTCAGTCGGTTGGAGAAAGGTGAAGGAATGAATGAATGGACATTCCAGCTTCACCTATGAATAATAAATTGCCCTGAATGTTCTGAATGCCAAACACGGGGCTGGTTCTGTTCTGCTACATACATGAATGCATTAAGTTTCGAGATAGGTCTGGCTGGCCGGACTAGTGGTGCAGTGAGCCCGCATCGCCTTTGCAGATTAGTGTATGTGTTGTACCGTTGATCGAATAGCTGCTGATTTTCTTGCTGGCGCTGGAGAAAGTAATATCACAAATGAATTTGGTAGGAAAAATATGTCGTGATGATGATGACACTAGCTGGCTCGGGTCATGTATTTTATGAGGGTCAAGACTAGGATTTTGTGCCAAGTTACTGGGATTTGACTTTGAGCTGGCCTTTGATCTAGCGTTATTGACTGATTTGTTGGCATTTAGCGTAGTCAGAAATTTCTATGTCCGTACGTGTGTTTGGATGGATTCTCTTTTTAGTACATATAATATAAGTGAAAGCTTACAGTAAAACGTTAAATTTTGATAACATTATTATTATGAAATATGCCCCGTACATGTTCCGAAGTCAAATCTCAAATGACTTTTGCAATTTACTTTTGCACTTTTGTACCCACCGAGAGTGGGAGAATCATTGAATTATTTACCAAAGCAGAGCTGCCCCATATTTCAGGAAGGAGAAAGTGGTAATAAATGCTCTACCAAGCAACATTACAGTGTGGGGATTTCCCTCTCGAAGAGATGTTACTTACCAAAGCATCTAAATCCAAAAGAGAGAGAAAGAGGTTAAGCGAATAAGCGTATTCGAACTCCTTGTCCGATCTAGTTGCTGGATAATTTAATTATTTTGGAGTTGGCTGGAGAGAAAGCGCATACATCTTCGGAATGGAAGGAAGCGAAGCGGGGTCACCGTCTCATCTAAATTGAATCCATGCAACGAAATTATTGTGGCATTGATTAAAGTGGAGGTCTCCCCTCTAAATGTCTTATTAATTTAAATCAAGTGCCCTTAACGAGAATGATTCATGTGTATGAAGGAAGGAAGATGTCTTGATATTCGTACATCGCCTCTAGCAGGTTGTGTGTACATAGTTCATTATACGAGGATTGGAGCATCACAAGACGGGAATAATAATAAGCACCTGATAAGCACTTTCTTAGCAATATAATACAGCAGGCTTTCTTAATTCCACTCCGTTGACGTTGTTGTTGCAATCCGCATTAAATATTTTATCCAGAAAGCGCACCGTTGCAAATTAATTCACCGTCTGTCTAACCTAAACCCCGTGAACATGGCAGTTGGCACACGTCAATTATTCGCCACTGGTACTTTCGTTGAGCTATGTAACTATTTATGTAGTATGGTTAGATGTGAATATGAAACTGATGGTCGTGATTATTTCTACGATGTCTGGGTTGAAACATGGCCTAACCTTTCTTATTATGGAGGTTATCATGCAATAAAGTCAATATATCAAGCGAGCCGTATGTTGAAGGTCACCAGGAACGAAATAAAATCCACATCCGGCTCTTGATTGCTCTTCATACTCGTGCGGTAAAAGTGAAAGCAGCCAAGCAGCGATATATTAAACGAATGCGATAAGAATATTTTATGTGGTAGCGAGCGAACCTAATGGGGCTGCTGCTACTACGATATGTTGTTATTTGATAGCCCGTGATTCCGTTAATGCCTTCTC